TCTATATGGTCACTGAGAACCGTTCTTGGGAGGTCTTTCGCTCCAAGAACAGCACTCTGAAGTAGAGGTTCTCTCTCATTTTGCTCCACCTCAGTTATATAGCAATTTGGGCAGGTGTACTCAGCTTGCCCCCCATCGTTCCTCCGTCCATTAAATAGAGCACATATCTGATGCTGCCAGGCCTCACATTTATCACATTGGACCCACTGCCAAAAAAAAACATGGAATAGAAAAACTCAGAAAAAACCTACAAGGCGGGAGGCACATGACCATACAACTTTACTGAGTGAATAGTCTTACCCATTCTTCAGTCTCTTCATCGTTTTTCTTTTTATCAAGTCTTGCCTTCGGTATGGAAGCCCCTTCAGCGAGTACAGTGTCTCCTCGGGATTCATTATAGCAGGGAATACAAAAGTAATGACGAGTTTCACCACTTCCAACAGTATAGTACATTGCATTTCTCTTGATACGGGTACCACAAGGAGTACAATAAATAGGTGGTGGCTCGAATGTAAGCTTCTCCACCGCACATAACTGGCAGGAATTCTCACTCATCGAATTCTCCATGGCCTGATTCTTTTCTGCTTTGGCTTTACTCTGCAGGCAAATGAAATTAGATGACAAGATATTAATCAGCGACCACGAAATCTATCTTGAACATATAACAACAGTAAAACCAAGGCGACGAAGAGTAAATAAAAAGAATGAATCAAACTTGATTTTCTGTAAACTTTTGAAGTAAACAAAAATGCAAACCTGGCCAACCCACTGACGAAGACCACGAATATGTTCTCGCACTTGTTCGGGAGTGAACAATTCAGTTAAAGAAACACCCTGTATCTTTGGTTTTCCAGATTTTGATGCAAGTTCAGTAGACTCCACCAGATCTTCTTTCTTCGGCTGTTCAGGCTCTTGCTTCATGTTTCTGTTTTCTTGCTTCGGCGAGGCACCAGATAAATCATGTTTACCTGGTTCACTGACAGGTCTAGGCTTGGGAACATCTTCAAAAGCTTCATGTTTCTCCTCTTTGATGCTGAAACCCGGTTGAACAGAATTATCAAGAATTTCTTCTTTCACTTCTGACTTCAATGCCACATGTGCATCGCTGTGACTATGATCCTTTCTTTCAGTATCCTCAGATAATTCTGTCTCTGTTTTGGAAACAATGGAGCTTTTACAACTTTCAGTTTCAGGGACCACTGGTTGAAAAGATTGCTCCACCTTCAACCGTTTTGATGAAGGTTGCAAATTATCTGAAGTATCAGCACAACGAGGGGTACCAGAAACCGCTCCAGCAGTTGCGCATAGTGAATCATTTGATACTATATCTCTGTTCACTGAGCTCACTGCACTGCTTTCGCTTTTCAAACGTGCCTGTGCACGATCTTTAGATTGTTGCTGCTGCTGATAGTAGGTCTTCACTGGCCCACAGACGGGGCACCGAAGATCTTTGCAGCTTTTATAGTGGCTAATCAATGCCTTTGTGTGACGACAACGAGGATACGAGCACTGAGGTTCAACACAACTGTTCATGTGACTCCATAGTTTTTGAACAATAACACAATTTCGGTCTATGCACTTCCCGTCTGGCTGTTTGCAGGTCCGTGCGTGAAGTAGAAACAGGATCCATCTCTGCTGATTCCGGAACTTGTTTAAGTTTCCATTTCTACATGTTGTTCCAATAGAATTTTGCAGACTATGGGATTCGGATATGGTAGAAGTATGATTTTGACCAATAAGAGACCCTTCAGTCAAATTATTAGGTTGAGCTTCATCCCTTCCGGTAATTCTTTGGCGGAAATCCTCCTGAATGTGCTGTTCACTTGCCATACCATTAGACATTTTAGAGTTTTCCTGAGACTGGGGATTGGATTCTGATTTGTTTCCAAAAGCAAGATTGCGAGAACTATTGATAGAATCAGACCCTATATTCTGCGGGTGTGGCATTTGCTGAACCTGTCGGCTATTTTGGGGAAGTGATGTGCATATATCACTCTGACTTGTAACTGAGAGATGCTGAGCGTCTGCATAGCAATCTTCTCCAGATTTCTGATATTGATGTTGTAACTGAGAAAGCTGGAATCGTTCGGATGTTTGGGAGTGCACAGCTTCACTATGGTTCTCCACTCGAGGTTCATTTTTAACATTAGTAACCATGTCAGAAGCCACCTGAGGTTTACCCAAACCATCATTGCTTATTACTTTATGTTGCTGCAGTGTCTGCTGCTTCAAATTCCTTAGATGGAGAAACTTCTGCTGCTGTTGAATCTGATTTGGTTGTTGCTGAAGTCGATTTGGCTGTTGCTGAAACTGTTGTTGTTGTTGATGTGACTGCAAATAGGGTAGGGAAAAAAGATTGGAAGTCTATGTACTAAAAGTAATAAATGTTTAATTGGTAACCATTGTTGCATGCAAATGAAATCCACTGATTGCTCACCAGGGAAGAGTTAGCTCTGGACACAGACTGGATATTTGCTGCATTGATATTCTGAGCATTTGTCATCCTCCCGACGGATGTTACAACTCCAAGCAAATTTCCAGATCCAAGTGTGTCAGGATTTGTTGTGCTATGACCTTCCCCTGAAATATGAAACATGATTTAGATACTCTGACTGGTACGTACTAGTCATTCACAACCACCAAACCACAAGATATGACCATACAGATGAAATAAGATAATCAGGCAAGAAATATAAAAAAGAGAGATGTTATCGAGTTCCTTGACAGGGGAAAGTTATCAATAGACTGCTCTAAAAGGATTGACGAATTACCTGCGTCTACACTTTTTTCGTTCATTTCAACACCACCATTTACAGAGTTCTTGACCACACCAGCCGGTTTCGGTTGCATGTCGGGTCTACGGACAGGAGTGTTTTGGTTGGACAACATGTGACTATTTTGACCCCGAGGATCCTGCCTCTGTTGCTGCTGCTGACACTGAGGTACCAACGTGGGCTCAGCAGAAAATCCACCACTGTTGTTATTAGTACATTTGTTAACGAACCCAGGTGTAGGAATCATCTGGGCAGTACTTCTCTGAGAACCCATGGTTGCCATGTTACCTCCAGAACCAAGAGAAAAGTTTCTCGGCGAATGCTGGTATCCATTAGACATATTACCTGCAAACAAGTTGTTGAGGTGTCAGAGACACATGAGATGAAAATTTCCAGGAAAAGCATCTCCGATCACTTTAATGAAAAAAACCTCCATGCATGTTGTTGTTTCCACTTCCAGTGTTCACAGCTGTACTTGTGATGCTGTTGTTTCCAACTTTTGTAGCATCAGCAGAGGGTGTAACCATCGAGTTAGGATTACCAATAGGGCGTGATAATCCTGGAGTAGGTATCATCGTTCCAACCGAAGAAGGCTTAACAAGTCGCTGATTGTAGTTATTCATCTGTCTGCCTTTTATCAGGCTTGTAATCCGAGATTCAAGGGTTGACCGGTTCACGTAATCCTCCTGTAGTGAAGTTGAAAAGTGTCACAAATGAGAAAATAAAAATATTTTAAATAAGGACATGAGTCAACAAGCTGGATCTAGAGGCAACATGTTAACCAAATCCTAAATGCTAGCCCCCAATCAAGTTTATACTTCCTTTAGAGACACACAAAAATATTTTGAGATACCTTTGAGGTAGCCATCTTAAACAGCCCTTCCTCTAAGCGTCTAGCAACATCCATATATTTCGCCTTTGATGCAGCATCAGCCGGGGATGGTTGCCGTTGCTGTAACATGTTAAAGCTGGAAAGAAAGGAAGATCAAAGAGAGGGTCAATTAAAAACAGTCCCCCATGAAGTAGATATGAAGAAAACACAAGGTATTACGATGTCTTACACAAGAGTTTGCATGTACTGTCGAAGTTTCAAGATATCATGGTCCATGGGACCAACGATGTTACGTGAAGGCCCTACACCAGCACCAGCACCAGCAGCAGCTGAAGCAACAACTAAATTCTGCATTTGAGAGTTCCCATTACTCTGGGGCAATGTCCCTTGGTTTGGAACCTGCCCAGATAGTTGTTGTCCCGACATGTGAGTCTGAACATTCATGGTTATTTCTTAAACTTTCGTCGCCTTGCCCTAATTCTTCTTGTAACTAGCACTAACAACAGGCACTCTCTTTCAAACAAAAATACTAGCACTGACAGGCACTGCATATCTCTTCTGTCCCTGCAAATTCAGAAGACCGAGAGCTCATTTCCTCCTCTTAGTTACGCGTCAAATGATCTCAGTGTAGCAGCTCTTAGCATACGAAACACCTAACACTGCGTGATTTCCTGCAAAACAATCACATACTCTCATTAAACTGAAGTGATATATAACTTTATCTCAATACAGTTGAGCTAGAATTATAAACTATGATCAAAGCAACTAAGCCCAATCTCCAAAAACAAACAAAACTGGATGAATAACGAAAGCAGAGAGCAAGAGGAGCAATAAGAAAGCTATCAAGTGTGTGTTAAGATATATGAGACATCCCCCAAATAAAAACCTAGAACTCAATCCAACCTTGAAATTGATGCTCAAAGAAGCAAACTTCAGCCGCAAAAAGGACAACCCAAGATTTTTTAAAAATCCGCCTCACAAGGTCACGGACACAAAGCCGTTACTAGTGATTGCGATGATCGAATCTCCGAAACGCAGTAGAACAGAGCAATAAAGTCGGTGAACAGCCGATGTCGCACGTGTGAACTCACACAAGCCAGGAGGGAAAGAAAAACAAAAAAAAAAAAAAAAACAGGACAAAAATTAGGAGCAAAAAAGCAAGTAGAGAAATCCGAGAAAGAGAGATTCCAGAAAGCTAGAGGCGAAAGAAGAAGAAGTAAAGAATTATCGACAAATTTCGGAATCGGAGAGTTTTCCGGGGGTCGGAGTTCTTCGAATTTGGGGATTTTTCGGGCGCTCGCTCGATTTGGGGATTTTGGTATTTTTATTTTTCCTATTTAAGGGATTTTTCGTTTCGATTTTGTAACAATTAAAAAGACACATTAAATAACATTTTACTTTATGTTTCTCTTTAAGTCTGAATACATATCATCATTAAGGAACCTGTCAAAGTGAATTGGGGAAACCAAGGTCGAAAATCGAACAGACAAGGAGATGTGTCTGAGATGGATTACGTTCCTGTCCGTCCGATCGATATGTCTAATAATTTACAAACTTTACCCTTCTGGTTTTACTTTGTTCATCTTTACAGCTATTATTATCTTCTTTCCTTTCGGTACGGACTACAGAGAGTGTCACAAAACCAATTCAAATTCAACAATAAATATAATATTCCAAGCTCAAACCGGAAACAAATCAACACCCGTTTTACCATTTTGAACGTACCATCTTACAAGCAGCAATACAGCAACAGTGCAAAAGCCGGTGCTTATATCATCTCATCATTACTTGCAACAGAAGTAATTGAAACGTTTTAAAAATGAACTAGGAAAAAAGACCTTCGGATCATCATCTTCAGCAGTCTCCAACTGATTTACGTTCTCAAGAAGCTCCTCTCTGCCCTTCAGAGACCAAAACAGTTGGAACATCACAAAGTTCAGCTTGTCCCGACCGAAGAAGAATTCGCATGAGGCTGATTGTAGTTATTCAACTGGTCTTTTATTAGGACGCTTGTAATCCGTGATTCAAGGGTTGACACGTTCACGTAATCCTCCTGTAGTACAAGTTTGAAAGCGTATTTTACCAAAAAAAAAAGTTTGAAAGCGTAAGAAATCATTTAAGCGAGGATATGAGTCAGAAGCTAGAGCCAGATGTAGCATATGTCAAAAAAGCATTAAAGCCCAAATAATCAAAACCTAAATGATAGCAACCAAACAGGTATGTTTCCTTTAAACGCACAGATACCTTTGAGTTAGCCATTTGAAACAGCAACTCGTCTAAGCGTCTAGCAACATCCATGTACTTGGCCTTTGATGCATCATCAGCCGGAGATGGTTGATGTTGCTGTAACGTGTTCAAACTGAAGCAAATTGGAGGGTTCAGTAACCATAAGAAAAAAACAGCTATAATATCAGTTCTTAAGAAACAAAGCAGACGCAGTAGACATGCTATAATGGGAAGATGCTAACGGTGTGACTGAAAAAATTGAAGGCTGCTTACACAAGCGTTCGCATGTACTCTCGGAGTTCCGAATCATCCAAAGTGTCAGCAGAAAAAGCGTGTACTGACTCACTTGATACTACAGCATTGTCCACGGTACTGCTTTCGATTATTAAAGAGGCCAGGGCACGTACATTAGCGTGTTGCTGAAGGCAGGTCTTGACTGGCTCACAGACGGGGCACCGAGGAGCCGTGCAGTATCTATGGTGGCTAATCAATACCTTTGTGGGACGACAACGAGGATACAGACACTGAAGTTCAACGCAACAATCCATGTGACTCCATAGATTCCGAGCAGTAACGCAATATGGGTCTTGGCACTTCCCTCCTAGCGGTTTGCAGGTCCGTGCATGACGAAGCAACATGAGCCATCTCTGTTGATTTCGTAAATTGCGATCAATCTCTGCTGGTCTCGGAGCCATCACAAGCGGACGAACCAAAGTGTATCGACCTAAGTCTGAATTTAACCCCAAGCGTAAATTTGGTTCACAAAGAAGGGACACGAAACTATAGTGATTACGGTGATCGATTCTCGAAAACGCAGACTATGTCGCACGTCTTAACTCACGCAACCCCAAGTAAAAATAGTATGACAAATCTTGGAAAGATGAAACAGGTTCAGAAAACGATTTACCTTCGAATCGGAGAGCTTTACTTTCGAATTTAGGGTTCTCGTGGGGGAGGAGCGTCGGAGATATCAGATATATATTACGTTCCGGTTTAACCGATCATATGCTTGGTAATTTATAGTTTTACCCCTTGTAGTTCCCGATTTTAATTTTTTTGTTGTGACTTACTCTGTGAAATGGGGATTCAGACATTCAGTGAAGTCCCTCTTCGAAAATGAGCACTTTCTTTTTTTGGTTTGTACCGACACTGAGAGTAACAACTCCACTTGATGTACTTCAGCTATTGATAAGGTATGAACCATACCGTATGCACGGTCACAGCTTTGAACCGGAAACAAAACCAAAGTCGGTTTTATCATCAATATGAACTTAATAAGTTACATGTATAAGCAATACAGTAGTAAGTCAGCAACAGTGCAAAAGCTGAAGCCATCTTTATTCAAACGAAAACATTTACTAAATAAATTATTAGGCGCAAGACATTCGGATAAAAATATTCAGCGGTAGAGGCTCTCCGACCTCAGATTCTCTGCAATCTCTGTCTCCCACCGATCTCCATTCTCAAGAAGCTTCTCTTTGTCATATAGAAGTTCCTGCATCGTTTTAAAAAAGGAAGAATCAGAATGCCATTTACCGAATACTACACATCTCAACTTTAGGTTCATGGACAAATGATATGTCTCTATCTAGTGTGTTTATACCTCATGAGTCTCCGTAGCGAACTCAAAGTTGGGTCCTTCGACGATTGCATCAACAGGGCAAGCTTCTTGGCAAAAACCACAGTAGATGCACTTCGTCATGTCGATATCATACCTGTACAGTTCCCAATTATCACTACACTATGAGACGTATAGAACCAGACACACAAGACAGTGCAAAAAGTAAGCAAATGGTTAATAAAATGGGAACTTAAGTGGTGACCTAGTGGTTCTTCGGCTTCCATCTTCCCGCTCCTCTGCCTCTATTGTAATTGCTTGAGCTGGACATACCTGATGAAATAAAAGACCAGTATCCGTCACAAATCACAAATTTTCAGGTGAATTGTGATGCTATGGTAACAATTGCTCGAGTAGCGTAGACTTGTAAGACTCACAGCTTCACAGAGTTTGCAGGCAATGCAGCGTTCTTCCCCAGTTGGGTACCTCCGAAGAGCGTGTTCACCACGGAAGCGAGGGCTCAATGGACCCTTCTCAAAAGGATAATTGATCTGCACACAGGATGAAACTTCAGAATCACAATTCTGTTTCTTCAACCTAATTACTAAAAAGTCCGTGAAGACTGCCACTCACTGTAACTTTAGGATCAAAGAAGTACTTGAGGGTCAGCGACAACCCCCTGACCATTTCAGTGAGAAATAGCGTGTTCATGCTCCGTTCAAAGACTGTAAAAGTAAGAAATGTCAGGAATCGCTGATACTCACAGAAGAATATAACGAGAAAGGATAAGTAAGAGAATCAAAAAGGCTCGATCAAATAGCTTACCAGTACTCCAGTCCTTGGAGATCTCCTTAGCAAGTTGCTCAGCTTCTTCATCATCTGCATGTTACATAGGCAAACCACTAGTCACATACAAACCTGAAAAGTCATAACCTCAATAAGCCAAAGAAAACCAAAACAACAGCAAGAAAATATGCATACCTTTTTTGGTCCCATAGGATATACCACGGGACTGTAGGCCACAGAGATGAGATCCCTGTGAAGCTTCCCTTGAAAAAACCTATCAACGAAGACGACAAGGCAGAGGTTAAGTACAAGGAGAATACCATAGCATACCCACCAAACGAAGCTAAAGAGAAAGTAAAACTTAACTATCACACCACTCTCAGTTAAAGGACTCGTATTTGCAGAGACTGAGCTAAGAAAAAAAACATGACGGCGACCCATTCTACCTTTTAGTAAAAATGAAGCCTCGCGAGATAGAATGATGAAAATCTCACACTCTCTAGCTACATGTAGAATCAACTATTTCAATCCCTAAAATCTTAAAACTTGAAGTGACTTTTAACAGTTTCATTCCATTTCCAACACTCCAGCAGAAATCCCGCAATTATAGGAACACAGAGGACATAAAATTGGAAAAGAAAAAAAGAGTCAAGAGCCAACGAGACGAGACTCGTACAAGATGTCGGGCACGGAGAGCACTGAACGACCTGCGAGCCAGCAACGAAGCCATTGATGGAACTCCAAATATCAAATTTTGGGTATTTCTTCTTCGCTGTGCTTAATGGGAGAGAAGACTATTAATCAAGCAAAAGAGGAATCGAATCAGAGAAAGAGATCTTCTGCTCGAACCCAGGCACGGACACGCGACACGATTCCTTGTTAGAGATTCACGATCATCGACTTAGCAAAACAAGATCAGAGGGGGCAACAAAATTCGATCAGATGTTCCAAATTTACAAATTTACCTTATGGCTAACTTACAGCTCATAACCGGGAAAGCAACCTTACATCAAACCAGATTTATTTGGTATAACACGCATTTTGACACATTTCCAAGATTTTGAGGTGAGTGGACCGAACCCGATTGTTGACCAATGGTCACTAACCGGTCCTAAAGTTAAGCTAATAACCGATAATACTGCTGATCTGAGTATAGAGAACCGAATTTTATTTTATGAAAATGCTGACCGCTAGAATGGGATACCAAAAAAAGAAAGTGAAAAATACAAACATCAAATATCACATAAATTTGTCGATCAATGATCATACATTTATCTAGATTTTTATATATTTGGTTGAACAGAAGAATTTCTAAACACTAACCGGAGCATTCTTTACAAAAAGAAAGGGAAATTAGTTGAAGGTGGAAGAGAGAGAGAGAGAGAGATGTTATGGTGCAATGTAGAAAGAGTTGCCACAGTGAATGTGGGTTTGCTGTAGAGGATTCCATCTATCAAATACAATCCGACCGCCTCGACCGATTCTTCCTTGAAACCGAGCTCTTCCGCTTCTTGCATCCGTTGGTGACATGATTCTCGCAGCAGCCAGTTTATCCGGGACCAGCGGTTTTGTGAACAGCATAAGTGGCTCATTAGGATTCTACAGAAGAATAAGAAGAAGAAGAAAAAAAACAGTGAATGTAGTTATCTCATAATCTCAAACTGTTTCAATTACAACTAACAACAAAAGAGAAATACCAGTTTGTGGAGCCATCCGTGTCTTCTCGCCTCTTGCTTTATGATGCTCCCGGCTTGAGCTCGAGCCAGATTTGAGTCGGTGAAACGAGGATGAGGGGTAAAGGAAGGCCTCGTGCCTTCTTGTGTGGTGGTTGGGTCATCCGACTCCATGAATTCATCTTCGCTTGAGCCAAATCTGTAAGGTGTAGAGTGTGGAAAAGCCAAACTATCTTCCAAGAGTTCGGTTTCGTGCTGCAAAGTACACGAAAAACTCAGCCAAGAGATGGAAATGCACAACTCTTTCCGGTTGGAAAAGGACATTCAATGCAAGTTTTAGAGATGAGTACCTTATATTTGAGCTGGATTCTCTGAAGGCTAACCTCACTCGCCATGAAATCTCTCTTTTTCTCTTCTCTCTGTAAGAGTAACAGGTTTCTAGTGAAGTTAATACCAATTTTCTCATGAGATTACGTTGAATTTTACAAGTATTAACTCCATAAAGAATACCTTAATTAGAGCTTCTAGAATTGTCTTTGCTTGGTCAAGATTGCGCCTGACCTGATGTAACCAGAACAGAACAAAAGGACATGTTTGAAAATCAAACAAGGATTATAACAAGTTGCACACAGTCTCAGGTCTTTCCTTACCTGTCGAAGCTTTTCAAATGACTGCGCATTGTTTTCTCTTCTTTGCATCTAAAAGAGAGGCCAGCTCTTATCAGTAAGTTGTGTTGCATTTTCGATTTCATAAACTGCAGACAACAAGAGAGCCTACCCTTCTTGTGTGTAGTCTATGAGCTTTCTCCCGTGGCCTAAACACATTGTACGGATTGGTATCGTTGACCGGTGGTGGAGGCTGTTCCAAACAAAAACCCCTCAACATGTAAGTAACTGTTTTAGGTAAATTTCCAAATAATTCCATTTCTTGCACATGTTCAATTGAGACCAGTCCAAATGATGTTATACCTGTAAACGCCGCAAAACAGGCTTCTGCCATCTTTCACGCTATGAGAATGCAAAACAAAACTAAGTTAGTTCGTGTTATAACCCTATGCTCAAAGAGTCGCACAGAATTCTTATAGAAATTCACCTATCATCAAACAATGTGACATAACATAACAACTATATCCAAAACTCTCAGTGATGAAACTATGCCACACAAAGGTCTATCTCATACCTTATTTTTCCAATAATTGTAGATAGCCTGGAAAACTCCATACTTGATGGGTAAAGATTGCAGCGCCTGTAAGAAAAATGGAAACAGTACAAAAAGAACATTTTTAAATGTAATGCACTGCATCTGAGTAAATACGCACGAGAAGTATACAAGAGACGACACAGGCTCCCAAAGATATATAAAGTGCGAGCGAAGAACACAGTACTCCTCTAGAGGAGGCAATATAAACATTAATGCTATTTCTATGCTCCTGCTACAGTTTCAGGCAGTGGGGAAAAGTAACAATGCAATGAACCATCACCATATTGTCTCTTTTTAACTTCGACAACCGAATATTAAATTAGAGCTAGAGAACAAGATAAATTAAGCGTATACCTCAATAGCAGCATCAAACAACAAAAGCACTGGAACTGGTGAACCAAGGGTAGGATTAATTACTCCAGCTCTTTCCCGCGCCTTGTGATCCAATACTTCTAGTTTAAAAATAATGCCCTCAAGCCTGTTTCAAGTAATTGGCAAGATTACGAGCAGAAAGCTTTGTTGTCGAAGAAGAGAAAGGTTTAGCACTCAATATTAAGGCCATATCAGATATAACTTCTTTCGGTTTCCACACGGCAACATGGTTTCCGTATAAGCAAAATCCAATTTTTCTAAATCCAAACAAAGTGTATGCACTAGGAAAGAGAGAGGCGAATAATTTAGAGTCTAGGAGCCAATAGATCAATCTACTACACAACAAGAATCACGGAAGTCTGAATAATCCAATCTATCACAATGGCTATAAATGGAAAGCATGTAAGGAGATGGAAATAAAAGATAGATGGGATTCTGTAATCAGAAAGCAAAGAATTAGCAACATCTAATACGTGGTTGAGAACTTTACATTTCAGATGAGAGGATGATTTTCTCCTTATCAAACTCGCAAAGCCAGTCGTCATCTTCATTGTCAAGATCATACTCCACAAATTCTCCAAGCTCAGCCCTAGCTGCACGACAGATTCTCAGTCTCCAGGTAAAAGATATCAATCTCGGGAACAAATGTAGAGATACTGTAGATATTACCTCCCCTTGCACGTAAATAGGAAGCAGGCTGGTTAAAAGTCCGGGAGTAGTCTCTTTCATATGTATCCACAACAAGAAACTGAGGTGTTGGTATTTCTGAAACCAGTTTCTTGGTAGGCACTTGAGGATGATGCACCTGATAATGCCAAAAGCGAGAAACTTTCAATCATCATCACTCTACAACTTTACTTACTAACTGATACACTACACCGGAAAGAAAAATCTTGAGAATTTTAAAATAATTTTTTTTACCTCAGTGTCAACCTCTACGGCTGCTATACGCAGCAACTGAGAATTTCTAGTAAGGGAAGAAGGATTCTCTTCATCTTCAAAGTCTTTGAATGACTTTAGAATTGGAAGCTTCTTGTGTATGTCCAATGGACGGGGTCGAAAAGATAGCCTACTCATTTCACTATCCTCCTCTTCTTCACTTCTCTACAACAATTATATAAGCGCACACATGTCACTCGAATTTCAAGATCCCAGAACCCTGAACTCGTAAAATATGAACAATTTCAGTATATACCCGGGAAATAAAACCGAAGAGACGTGATACTTACAAGGTGAGTTTTTAGGGTTTTTCTCTTCCGGAAGAATCGTACCGGCTAATCAAAAATGGGGGTTTTTTTAGCTTACCCAGAGTCTGAGAAAATGTGAAATTCGAGAAAGAGAGATGCTTTATAAAATGTTTGAGAGCGTGTTTGCAAATCTCGACGACAATTGTAAGTAATGGAGGTCGAGGTTTGTGAATCTCGGATTAACAGACAAGACAAACAGTTGAACCGAGGAGGGAAAATTTGGTAATTTCACCTTCGGCTAATTATGGGAAATATTCACCAACGACCAAAAAAAGAATTCAGGGCTGAAGCCATTAATTACTACGAGATTTGGGTTCATGGATCTAACGAAAACTTTGTTCCAGGATTTTTAATTGTAATAAACTAATATCCGAAAAAACAATTAAAAGTATTGTGAACCGGCTTCTTTGTAACTTTCTCATCATATGGTTTCAGAGAAAAACCATCACTTTCACCTCACAGTACACAAATCCACAGATCTTATTTACAGAGAAGGGATCAAAAAATTGTCAGTCAACGTTCGTTTCAAGCTTCCATGTCCCTTCTATCTTCATTAGCACCTTCAAAAGTTGTTTCCTGTTAGGCTCTTCGTTCATTTCTTCGCTTCGTTTTTCCCACATAACAAACCATAGAGCCATTGTTGTTGAGATCTTGCCATTGTCTTCGATGTGTTGTCAGATCAAGTCGACGTTCTTCGCGATTGTTTCTTGGTTAACTTGAAAGGGCTCCAGCTTTTTCTTCGTTTTGATGTCTCACAGAAGAGGCCAGAAGCCATAGCTTGTTGAAGCCATAGCTCAAACTCTTCCTCATCCTCGTCCATCATCTCCACATCAAGATCCCACGGGAACCTGCTCGAGTTTGATCTCTGCGTTGTCTTTTCCAAACCAACCATGTTCACATGGAAACTTGGTCTATGTGTGTTTGGTCTACACGCCATTCCCTTCAATGGAAAACAAGTACACATATAATCATCTCTTCACATCATGCCGTAAAAAGTCTTTAAGCTAATCCAAGTCACTTGAGTGAAACCAACCTGACAAATAGCCCATTCTGAGACATCAAAGACCTTGCTCTCCGCACAGACAAAAGCTCGTGGTATTTCAATCTACAAGACAAGATAAGAAAAGATTAATTCTATCATTGGCAGTAAACAAAGTAGGAAGAAAGATCTTAGAGCCTAACCTTATGTGCTTTCTCGAATACCAGAGTCCCTTTGTGTTCGACCCAACCGTCACCATCTTTGGCTTGATGATACTGACCACAATCCTACAATTTTAATAGAAGTTATAAACATATAACACAAAAAGATTTTCTGCGACAATATTTTGAAATCAATATGCTCGGTAAGGACAAGTGTGAGTGAGTTGGCTAACCTGACACCATCTGGCCTTGGCCTTACTCCTGTTGGTACATACCCAAATGTGTGAATTCCCGCACTTCGTACAGTGTATGCGCCTTGACTCTTCTGATCGATAATCGGGACCACTCTGAAAAGAAAAAAAAAACAGGAAAGCTGTTCAATCAAACAACGCCTGATGCATCAGAAATCCCACAAGATTATATCAACAAACCTGGTGCGAAGAAGCATGCGATGTCTGACAGACACTCCTGGTCCTAGATTCTTCTTTCTTTAATTGCTCATCGTAGTCTCTCCTCTTAACAGAATCAGAGAGAACCTGCAAATTCAAAATAGAAAGAACATAGCGTCTGATTACAGCATCTAAGCTGAAAGCTACTGAGCATCGGCCTATATAGAATATAATTAATGGATCCATCATGCAACAATTACCTCATAAGCACATTGAAGTTTCTTGAATGATTCACTTGCCAAAGGACATCCCCTATTCTTATCCGGATGAACTAGCATTGCCTAAGAATATAAAATAGAACCACTTAGTTAACCAACAGAGAACACTCATAGGCTATGAGTCATAGCCAAGAGAAGATACAAAGTCAATTTCAAATAACAAACCTTCTTTCTGTACTCTTTCTTGAGCACCGCGGGATCAATCTTTTTATTCCGAGGGAACCCCAATGCTTCATAGTGATTCAAACTATGCAGTATCCTTTTCATCTCATCAGCTGAATCTGTTTCTATATTGACTACCTTCACATCAGAAACCTCTTTCAGGTTGCTAATAACAGTTGACGGAGATGCTGGCTTATTGGCCGACTTATTCTCATGGACCTTTTTCTCTGGTTCTTCAACAGGAACAGAAGGATACTCAAACTCTCCCGGAAACTCTTCCTCTATTACAGTTTCAGGTTTCTTTGGCTCCTCCGGTTGTGTTTTTTCACTAACACTATCACACCATTGAAGAAGACAAACAACTATATCGTTGGACAAGAATGCAAGATTCATCGAGAGAATAACTCCAGGCCATCCAAGTCTGACTTTGACACAGTAAATTGCGTACACCGTCGCCATAAGAACCACCACACGCGCGTGATTCAAAGAGAACAAATAACCTGATTCAAAAAAGTTGAGAAATTAACACTATAGAAAGAGCAATAAGATCAGAGTGACATCATCATAGATTGTATGGAAAAGAAATATTGACACTTGCCTGCAACTATAAATAATGTTCCGGTGATCCAAAAGTTAGCGTACATCCACAAAATTAAAATTCCAAATAGTCCTACAATGAAGATCCCAGGAGTGCAGCCTAAGTACAGGACAACAGCAGCAGCAGCAGCCTGCAATGATGGTAAATCAAGAACATGTGAGATTCAACGCAATTATATATAACTCAATACCACTAGATACGTGAAACACCGCAACGAAATCTCCAAAGTTAAACGTACACTAATACTACACTTTAACGAAATTCTCAAAACCGTTTGTGGGAAATAACTTGTAAGATCAGAATATGGCCATTCTGATTTTGCCTCCAAAACAGTTTCTAAATTCATGTTTTCTCATACAACCAAAGCTATGGGAGGTCTAGAGGGCTTACCATACCGAGGAGAACATACACCAAGCAAGATACTGAAGTCAGGCTAAGGAAGCAACTCCACATTATCAGTAGCAAAGCAGCTGAACCAAATTTGGCACTGGACTGGAAACCCCTCAAAATGCAGTCTTTCCAGTAAAAAAACGATAAACTAAGTAACCCTAATAGCTTCCCACATCCAGTGCACACTAGAGGCCAGTGTCTCTCTACGAGAGCTTCTGTCTTTCCCTCAAAACATCGCATTGCAGTGCAAACCCACGAGCACAAATGTTTTTGAGACTGCAACCATTTCCACCCTTGATTAACCAATCCTATATCCTCCATAACTAATTAAAATAGTCAAAACCCTAAACTCTTACTCCAAAGCTCAGATATAGTGGCAGCCGTAAGAAGAACGGTGGTGGTGAGCCTGGAATCTCGAAAAAGCTTACTTCTCAGCCATTTGCAACACTTATAAAAGGTCCGGTAGCTTACAGAAGATACAACGAGACATTACAGGTTTCCACATCGTAGGAGAAGAAGAAAAAGCTATCTTCGAATATCCGAAACAAACAGAATCCTCCTTCCCCTCAATTCACCAATCAGTTGCTGCTTCACAAAATACAAAACCCTAAATTACCCAACAACCATTGTTAGTCTAGTACAATATCCTCAAATCGGATCCCAAAAACCTATAAATCGCAGAAATTTTCCGACGGAGGAACACAGACCCAGCAAACTAGATAGCTTCGTTAGAGCATCACCGCGCACCGACAAGCATATCACTGATTCGGTATGAAGAGTAGAGAGAGAGTGAAGTTTAAAGAAGATATATGAGAGCTTTAGTTAAAGTTGATGGGTTACTGTAAAGATAAGCTCCGGAAATAGGAAAACCCAAAAAGACCTCTTGGGAAAAAGCAAAAAGGAAAAATCTTTTAAAAGATTCAAAAAAGCTCTGAGGGAGAAGACAGACTGAGAGAGAGAGAGACAGAGAGAGAGACAGAAATTAGAGACGAAGGCAACATTAATATATGTTTTAACTTTATAGTTCGTAGCGAATTATCGTTTTGGAATTGGATTAAGTGAACATTAAATTCGCGGGTCCTACGGCCCAACATAACTAAATCGCCTGCGATTGCTCATACAGTACCGTACTGTTTAGTACTCCAAGTCCGAGTTTCATGAATCTTTAGACCAGACCGAGCTGATGGGAATCAATCAGACAGAAAGTGGTTTAAACTCCCTGTTCAAACTCATTCAAGACAATTGAAGCTAAAACAAAGATACATCAGGCAGAGAACATAGATCCTAACTCAAATCACAAATCTGTTTCATCAATTTGGTTGATGAGGTCATTCAGATTCAACTTCAACCTTATATATACACACATACACTGAAATCTTTGTTATACGACTTGAACAACAGTAAGGCAGAACTGCAGTTGCGATTGTTTCAAAATCTAACAAAAAACCTCTGTTCGAATCCAAGGAAGAAGATGAGACACACAATCAAACGCTGTTTTCCCCTATTTACATCTCAAAAACAAAAAACAAATCTCAAAAAAAGAAACATTTTTTTTATATTTTCTAAATGGTACTGCTGAATGTATTACCAGCATTAGCTGAGGAAGCCCCTGATGAATAAGCATTTGAGTTGTCTCTAGTCCCGGCACTAGACGAGGTATTCGAAGAAGAAGGGTTGGTGTAGTTGTGTCTGTTCACTTCCTCTGGCTTTGTTTGAACAGGTCCTCTCACTTTCAAGTCCATGAAATCAGAAATCAAACCCGGTCTGGATATTTTCTTGTAGTCTATATCTTTCTCCCCTGTTAAAAACCTTACCACTGTGGACATTGTTGGCCTTAGCTTAGGACTGTCTTGTGTGCACAACAGACCGATTTTTAGGTACCGGCAGGCTTCCTCTGCGTCAAAGTCTCCATTTAAACCTGTGTCAACAAGATCCACGAGCTCATTCCGCTCATAAAGTTCCCAAGCCTGTGGATTATCCACAAAAAAAAGGTTATCTTTCAAAACAAGAAATCAGACATTTCGAAGACTGATACGATCGATCATGCGAACTAGACCAGAGAAACACACAGTGAATGCGAGAATGACCAATTCCGGTGAGTTGTTAGAAAACAACTAAGCAAGAGAACTTTCTAAAGAAAGAAAGGCAAGACTTACTCTTTCTAGAAGATATTGATATTCTGTGGGTAAGCGGGTGTTTTTGTTACTTCTTCCACTGACAATCTCCATCAGAAGGACTCCAAAGCTGTATATATCGGCTTTACGCGTCAACTGTCCCCTAACCGCATACTCTGGCGCTAAATAACCACTGCCCAAACACAGGTGTGAGAACATGTTAAAAGACCTGCAATTTTCAGTGAGAAAAAAGAAAAAGGGAAAAAAATAAACATTTGGAACTCACATTGTTCCCGCGACACGTGTGCTGACATGAGTCATGTTAGGTGGCATAAGCCTCGCGAGTCCAAAATCAGAGATCTTTGGGGATAAATCTTTGTCAAGTAGAATGTTGCTTGCCTTGATATCTCTATGAATGATGTGTGGCCGTACTTCTTCATGAAGAAAGGCAAGACCTTTAGCGACCCCAACGCAAATATTGGCCCGAGTACTCCAGTCAAACTGTATCCCACTCCGAGTGTATCCCCCAGCTGAAAAAAACATTCATTCCGTTATAAATCACATTTTCAAACCCAGAGAAGCTGACACTTACGAGAGTTACAAAAAAAAAACTATGAGAATCACCTAGAAGTGTCTTATCAAGGCTATTGTTCTCGAGATAGTTGTACACAAGAATCCTGTGATTCCCCTCAACGCAGCATCCATATAACTTAACCAGATTATCATGCTGTATTTTTGATATCACGTTGATCTCAGTCAAGAACTCTTTTGCACCTTGTCTTGACTCAGCTGACAAGACTTTGATAGCTGCGATCTTCCCATCTTTAAGACGGCCCTAGTCATCGAATTTTTTTTCCCACAAATGAGTTAAAAAAAGTTGAAGAGAGAGACTTTGAGAAAAAAATGATGAAGCAACCGAGTTTTGTCATTTTACCTTGTACACAGAACCAAACCCTCCTTCGCCAATTTTATTCAGGGCATTGAAATCATCTGTAGCCTGACGTATCTCTTTGTATTTGTAAATCTTTACGTTGTCTATCGCTGCGATTTCTGTTTGCAAGTATATAAACCAAATTAGAGGAAAGCAACCACAGGACTATGCAGAATTTCACATTGTAAGCTGAAAAATAACACAGAAAATAAGTAATCGTCCCTAGATCGTAGTATGTATATATACCTCCATCAACTTCTGAAGGTTCTCCTCCACTCTTGTGGCATGAGAACCAGGACCAACCCATCAATGTAAGACAGACCTGTGTGACCTGTTTCTGTGCGATTAATCAGAATGTTTTCACACGAAAACCGAGAAGCAATTCAGAGAGTTGACTTCTAACTAGTAAACCACCCATAGATCGGTTTCAAGTTCTACTCGATTTCTCAATTGAATCTCTGTCCAAGTGAGAAAACTAGTGGGGACCAAAAAACCTCAAAAATTAAAGCAACTAAAAAAAGCTGTCAACTTGGAATTTGGGTTTTCTCAAGATTCAGCACAAAACCTAGAAACAGAAGCAGACAAGAAGAAAATTACCGAGAAATAAGAAAACCCACCTCGGAAATATCCTAAATTAGGAACAGCGAAGAAGCGAAATGAGAGAGAGTGGCTCAGAAATCGCAGGTTGAAAACTTGGTACTTGGATAGAGTTTGTATTAAAAAGCCTGTGTCTTTACGCGATTAGAGTCGCTATCTCTCTCCGTATCTCGCCGCGTGTGTGATAACAGATTAAGGATTTGTTGAAATGGGAGACTGAATGAAGAGGGAAGACGGTCCTTGTATGGTGGCGGGCAAAAGTCAATGAGTCAATCGTATGCACACGTCGTCAGTTATATCTTATACGTTGCTCCGACGACCAAAACGCTACCGTCTCTTTTTACTTTTTTTTTTATTTCTTTAATTTTCTCATGTTTAAAATGTCTCTCCGGTTATGATTTTATGAAACGACTTTTTAATTATTGACTATTTCGTATGATTGATTATTATTAGCTTTATGCTTCATTCATGGGCATTAATTCCTCCCATCTTACTTGTAATAAATATTTTTTTAGTATAGACTTATGTCTTGTTCATTAAGGATGGTCCAATTATTTGCCTTCTTGATATTCCTTTTGGTCAACTACACTAATATTAAAAAGGGAAAAATAAACTTGCCTTTTGGATTTTATAATAATATGATGGGTCTCTATAGAAGAATAAGAATTAAAAAAAATTCTTATTATTTTATTAAAATTTTAATCATTTTACATCAACCCAATTTAAGACCAACAAAAAATTATTACTTTATAATGTTTGTTAATTTATCAAGAAATTATTTATAAAGTAATTATTTTATGTTAAGAACTATTATTTATATTTCTTTACCATCGGCTGTAGAAACTATTCTTCGCAATTTTGAATGTTTTCAACAAATTTTGATTCACATACCAGGTGATCTGAAGCTCCTGAATCCACAATAAAATGATAAACGATGATTTCTTAATTAAGAAACTTGAAAGTGCATTTAGCTTAACAGCAAGTACAGATAGATTTAGCTTGCACATTGAATATTTGAGTTATGTTGTTGGAAATGAATTAAGAAATCAATTTAAAAATAATAGCTGAATTGAGTATTCCGGAATAAAGTTAGGGAATGCGGAGTATTTCTTTTGATGAAATCAACGCTTATTCCAACAAGTTAGGGTTTTTTTTTCTTTTCTCGACAATTCTATTATAAGTTTTTTTTTTTACATCATTTTGTTAGTTGGGAAATTGGGTCATATAACCATATTTCCAAGCTAAATTCATAAATTAACCATAGCAAATTAGATGTTATAATATTCTTTATATATTCTACAATATATACAAAATTACTTTTTTTTGTTTTTTGTTTAATTTCTTTCTTTTACGATCTTCTCTTCTTTTTCCATCATTTTTCATTTCCTTTCCTCTGCTCGGCTCATCTCATCTCTCATCTTTCTCTTTTCCTTTCTTTGCCTCCGCTTTCCTCTTCTCCCCTTCTCTTTCGTGTTTTTCATTTTCTTCTTCTTTTTTGTATATATTATATCAAATTGGACTATTCCATAAAATTATATATAGTATAGTATGTAGTATCATATAGTACAAAGTTATTTTCGATAATTGATTGTGGACCATAGTTAGTTTACCAATTTTTTAAATATCATAGCTATATTCCTCGATTGTTTTTTGAATATGGTTAAACAAAAAAACCCTTTGTTAGTTTTCTTTTGATATAAACGCTTTTCAACATGTGTCGTAAAAAAAGAAAACCAAAATTTTCTTGTCAAAAGAATCCATCATTGTTTTCTTTTCTACTGCTTAATTTTTTTTTCCCATTCACATAATGTATCTGAAAAGAGATTCCCCAGTCCTCACACGGTCACACCCCCATTCAACACAAGAGGTATATTATATTACATTGACAAATATGTATATTTACATACAACTAATACAATGAATAATATTACAAGAAGACAGCAAACACTTATAAAGTTATAATCTTATAAAATAACCATTAGGATTTTGGAGCCTATATATTTGTACCTAGAATTGTCGTGTCACCAGACTCACCATCTTGATTTTGATTGGAAATCTATTTGGGTCAATTTAAATTGATGAATTAAGTTTTAATTTAACTAGTTATAATGTGAAAACGTCTATAAGTAACGCATAAGAAACATAATTGCTTATTAAGAATCCAATATTTGAATGAATGTTTTAAATAATAATTAAACCTATAGAGCGTCAGGTGATGAAAATGCATAAACAATGATAAAGAAAATTAAAGGTTTTGAAAGAAAAAGTCAAAAGGAAACCTTATCACATTTTGTTTTTCTTGTTCATCACGAACGGCATTAAAGAAATGGGGCTGTGTTCACACGACGGAAAATGGGGACAGGTATAACCAGAATGCTCAATTAGTTTGATAAATCGAAACCGATATGCATAAAACTTCAACGTCACTTCCAACAGAAACACATTTCACACGTTACCCAAAGCTTTTTAAAGGATCAAAACAGAGTTTTCAAGTTCTATGGTCAAAGTCTTTTAGCAATAATGGCGACATTCCTAGGTGAGATGGTGGGATCAAATATGGGAAGCATAAAAACTTTGATGGAGTCACCATGTTCTTGGAGAAACATAAGCCTATCAAGCAACATCAATGTCTCAAGCACTGGTCCTAGTGCAGCTCGAATAGACCAGTAAGGACCTATCAGCTCCTGCAGTTTTGACAAAACCAAAGACAAGCAGCATTCATCAATTTATGAGAAGCCAAAGACTAAAGAGAGAGAGAGAGAGCGAGAGACTTGGGGAATAGCTTACAGTGAATGCTTCAGCTTCATTCCATGTGGCACTCAGGTCGAGATCTTCAGGATGTTCTAGATTCAGGCGGGAAAATGCTGACAGGCAAAACTGCTCGAAAGAAGAACAAATTTTGGAATCCGAGCTTGTCTTCCTCATGTGCTTCTTATCATCAGTGTCTGCAGTGAACTATATAGACATAAGCAAACTGATCTCGGTCTCACTTAATACAAAACATAATCCATCAACCTCCTGACCTTTCTTAGTCGTAACTAGTGTTGCTGGAGTTTCGAGGGTTTTTCTTTGCTGTTGACGACGAAATGCCTTCCCTTGTCGCCCAATGGATGGACTTGTCGCCAACACCTCTGGATAATGTTTTGACAGAACCTTCAAAGAGTAATTAAGGTTGTTACTCGTTAGAGACAATCGCTATAAATTCAGACTCGATTAAAAATAAGCCACAGATCTTGGGAGAAAGTAAGAAAGAAAAAGTCTATGAACCAAAGCTATATTACCATTTGGAAAGCAGCACGAAAAGAATGCAACTCGAAATTCTGCAGACCAGCCTCTTCTCCTAAGCTGCTCCATCTATCAGCACTCTGAGAAAACGCATGTAAAGTTTTTATACAAATAGGAATACAGAAAAGAAACATTATGATTCAAAACAACAATGCTGCAGCATCCAGGAACCGATACAGTAATCGATTATACCTGACAAGCTAGATCGCGTGCATTTTTACCAAGCGAAAAGTCCAAGGATTTGAGACCAGCGCTCATCGGAAACCCACATTTGGAACAAGAACTCTCACTACTTTTTTCAGATAACAAGTTGTAACAGCAGCCAATGCTCACTACTGCTTTAACTTCTTCACACTCCATAAAAGTCCTGAAGAAATCAAGTTGCGAATTGTTTCAGCTTTTAGGTAGTAACATAGCAAGCATGGCCAAACTAATACCGTGTTTACAGGATAACATCAATCACAGATGAATCAATCGCAGACTAACCTTAGCATTGTAACAGACAGATCTCCACATGCATGAAGGCCAGCAAGAACAAGTGAACACGATCTGTTTGCATCAGGTGATAACTGTGATCTTCTAGGATATTCATTCAAAGCACTTGAACTTAAATCCAAGTCCTTATTATTCTCCAGAGAAACATCTGTCAACGTTTTCAACATCTCTGTGGATAGTACACGGCATGTAATCGTCACTGGAACATCTGGGCACTTGTTTCCTGAACTAGCAGAGAAGAGGTTAAGTAGCATCAGTAAGTCGACATCTGTTACTTTGTAAAAGTAATCTTATAATGTGCTGACCCCTTACCCAGATTTACGCGTCTGTGCAGCAAAATGCTTTCTGATACGTGCTGCGCGTGCATCTGTTACCTTTCCATGATGAGAGGAAGAATCAATCGCAACAACTGAATGCTTATACTGGAAAGAAAGCACCTGAGATAGATAACCCTGAACGAATTGACAAATGAAACAATGTTAGTAAACTAAGGTATAAAAGCGAAATTCATCAGTCAAAAAAATTCCTTGAACAACCAGAATGAGAAGTTAGAAATCCAGAAAAGAAAAGGAGGAAACAACCATCGAGTCACTTAGAGAGAAATATGCAAAAACGATACTAACCATGCCATTATGATTGATGGGTAAAATGAGAAAGGGATTGAAGATACCTGGCCAGAACCGACATCAACAACAGTAGAGGCTCCAACACTGTTAACAACTGAGCTAACAACAGAGGAAAGAACTTCAACCTGCAGATAATACCACCATAAGTGACTTACAGATCCATGTGGCCAGGGGAAGGTCATGACAAGATAAACGATTAAACTAAATCAATGGTTTTGCACTTAGAAAATTATATATAAATGTTATGAGCTTTTGGTGACCATCACAATTTAACATGTGAAGTGACAAATTTCGACTTAAACAGCTACAAACCATGAAGTAGTCTCTTTTCAATTTAAAGTTAGACACCAACTGCAGAAACAGCTGCAAACTACAGAAGGTCCTACCAAAAAGTAGACATCACTGAAAGACACTATACCTCATGTTTTTTCTTCAGATTCATGCCCTGTGAAAGAACGGTGCTAAGCGGTGCCATATTCACATCTGCCAGTATCTGCCAGCAATGGAAAATGATTTAGCATATTCAGTCTAGAATCTAGAATGCCAGAGAAACATTCCACCATTCAGTGTTCATACAATCCCACATGAAGCAACCCCACATGTAAGATTTAGTGCAGAGTACACACTGTACCGTCTGTAAATCCGCTTGCTCTCTAGGAAACGATAGAGACCTCAATGTGTGAACAAATTCCTTGAGTGAAGCAGGCCAGTGATCCTAACAATCAAAACCAACAACACAAGATTATACAGACGCATATCAAAATACTTATTCAGCTAAACTAAAACTAGCACAAATAGGATTAATCAAATTCTCAATGACGAAGAAAAGTCGAGAACTTTACCTGGACCCTACCGGAGGGAATAAGAAGAATATTTTCCGGCTTCTCATTCCTTAAGCAGCTCATCCACTCCTGATCAACAGCTTCCCATTGCTTGTCCTGAAACAAAACATAAAACCCAACAATCAACTCAATTAGGAAATCATAAGCCATCAAAAATACGAACTTTCTAGATAGTTTTGTTTCTAGCAAAAAAAATTGTTGGATACCTTGAAGAAATTAACAACGTGAGCATTGGTTAGGAAAGAGTAAGGTTTAAGGAAGTCAATAATGGCGGTGATCCATTCTAGAGTTTCGGATCTCGTGTTGCACGAATACTTGCCGCTCTTCATTTTTTTTTCCCGACGGCCCAGAGTAGGAACAATGGTTCTTTTCGCCGCGAAACACCGGCCAAGTAAAAAGGAGAAGGAGAAAAAGACTTGAGTGGCCGTGAAACGTTTTCTGGAAGGACCTCGTAACTTTTAAATATATTCAATTTGGGCAACAACTATTGCTCTCTAACAAATACGCCCATCCTGTCACGTGACCAGCACAAGAACCTAGTTCTCTCACTCGGACCGAGTCTTCAAGAGATAACACAAATTCACAAGTTTTCCAGCATTCTTTATAACTACCGAACACTTTCTCTCATTCTCATGTTAACATTCCTCTTCTTCACCAAATACATTTACCACAAAAGTGATAACAGCACACAGTGTGACAGTCTTCCTAATCGATGTTCTAAAGATTAACTTAAAGCAGAAAACAAAGGGTATTCATAAGATTACAAATTTTGCTTCTCCCTTGATATAGACTCAAATTTTAGTTACTGATGTTATCATCTTCTCCTTCGTCTTCTTCGTCTTCTTCTTCACCGGTTCCATACTCATCAACATCAATTACGACTTGAGGGAAGTCTCTAGATTCGCTAACCCCGTCATGACCAAAAATGATAACATAAAAGCTCCGATTGCAGTCATAGATGAAGTTCATCATCTTCCCGTCCTCCAGATTGTTTTCCTTTACAAAATTTTCCCAACCGATTGTCAGAAACACTCTCCTTCCTCTTTTCTTCATCCTAACCGACCAAGATCTCCCACCATAGTCTAGGAGTTCCACCACATTTGGCAATGGATCTGGTAAGTACTCGTTGAAGCCCATCGGTATCTCCTGAACAAAGACATATATATCAATTCCCAGGAGACAACAGCTCACAGCTGAAACACAAATAAGTAATAACATCCGACTCTGTCTTGATATTTGTTGGTCCCTAAGAAAAAATTCGACTCAGTCAGCAGCTAGGTCTAATCACATTCCAATAAATTAAGAAACTTAACATTGGTATCTCCTGAACAAAGACATATATATCAATTCCCAGGAGACAACAGCTCACAGCTGAAACACAAATAAGTAATAACATCCGACTCTGTCTTGATATTTGTTGGTCCCTAAGAAAAAATTCGACTCAGTCAGCAGCTAGGTCTAATCACATTCCAATAAATTAAGAAACTTAACATCTTACACAAAAACTAAGCAATACCCAAAATAACACAAGGAAAAATGGATCTGATACAGAAAAGGCAGATGACGGCTTACTGTTATTATTACTTTTTCGCAAATTTTGAAAGATAAAGGGAGTCTTAAAAGGACCCAAGTTCTTAGCTCAACAGAGATTTGACTAAAGCAGTACACTTTAAAACCACAAGTCTCCAAATCAGAACACTAGACGCATCCTATTACTTATTGAAGATCAAAAGAAAAAAGAGAGAGAGACATTCTTTCTCACCAATGATTCAGATGACTTCTCTGAGATGAAAGGCTTCATAAAACGTTCCTCATTAGTGGCAGCCATGGAAAAGAGTGAGACTGAATATACAGTAGCTACGATCAGTATCCAGAGATTGAATAGAAAGGAAAGAGAGACACTTTAACGAAAACCCTTCTGTACGGTAAATGCAGAAACAGAGATAGAGATTTTATGGGTGACTTTCTCAAATTTCTCTGGAAATTTATTTTTGTCGTTCTCCAGAGTTAAAAGGAAATAAATGGGATGTCGAATGTCAGATTCGAACAACTTGTCTGCTTTTTACTTGTCACAGCTTTTCTAGTTTTCACTTCTTCTTTAGAAGGACCCCAAAACAAAAATAATGAACTCTTAATTCTATTGGGCCGAATGATATCAGCCCAGTAGCCTATTTCTAAACTCAAACAAATAAAAACGACGGCGTTTGATCTTCTAGACGAGTACTCGAAACCCTAAAGTCCGCCACTATATAAGTCTCCCTCCTTTGTTAATCATCGCAACACCACAGTTCCAATCTTTTGTTACAGTCTTTAATGTGAACTTTTTGAAAGCTTTAGTTTGTTTTGTCTTCTTTCAAATTCGTTGAGTTGAATTTTATACGTCGATCTAATTGATTGTCTTGTTTTTGATCGGTCCAAGATCTCCTTTTCTGGTTTTATTTTCTCTGAATTTTGTAAAAATCAAAGTGATTTATGTGTGAGAGAGAGAGCGATGATTATGATGATGATGATAACATAGAACAATCCAACTCTGAACATCTTATGATGAACTTTACATCATGCACTACCATCTGAATCTCGCTCTCTCTTTTATCCTTTTTTTTATTTTATTTGTCAAGAAACTGATTTTCTCGATCCTTGGTATATCCGATAGCCGGATCATTTCAATTTTTTTTGAGTATTAAAATTGATCTGTTTTGTTGGAAGAAAATAATCATAGTTTCTGATTAATCCTGTTCAATGGTTTTGATAATGAGTTTTTGGGTCAAGGATAATGAGTTTTATCAAATTGGTTTTTTGTAGTTTAATATGTAATCGTCTTTCTGTTTGTTGCAAAACATTCGTTTTTCTCATTGTATACATTAGCAAAAAATATGAAGATATCTCAGAATGTCAGTGAAATTATTGGAGACTCAAAATCAGTAGAACCCTAAACATAATTATATAACAACACCTCATAATAAATGCTTCGGAATAATTGAATATGTAATATAGACCAACCTTTCTGTTAATTCCTTGAGCTCACTAATTTGCAATTATCTGATCCAATGAATCTAAATCCAAACCTGCCAATAGAAATGAACAAGATATATTTTCACGTATCATCCTCAAACTTCCTTCTGAGAAATAAACTTTTGTTATAATACATTGTATCATAAGAATTGATTTGAATGCCAAAGGAAAATGAATTGAGCCGATGACCAAATGTTGTTCGCTGCAGCCGAAGGCCCATTATGTACAAAGACTTAAACGTAATGTACATATTTCCAGCAGTGGACGGACCCAACAGCTACATTTCAGATTTTCTCTATTTTTATGGAGATTGCTAACGGATCTTTCCTCTTATATCGCCACTGAAATTGCCATAGGTAACTTCCTAAGAATCAGACGTGTCATCATACTGGCCGTCCACAATGCCACGATGGTCGTTCATCAACAACAGTTGAATATCTGTTTTATCTGGCTCCAATGCTTTCAGAAACAACAGTTTCTTCCAAATATTTCTACATTCTCCAAATAAATCCAAAAGCTCAAAAAACTTAGACAAAAGGAACCTAAAAATTGACGCTTTATAAACTTATTCTAGGCATAGAGTGGTAATTTTCCTTATATTATAAATCTTAAACCCACTAAATTACTGAAATCAAAGACCGTGAGGATTTAGATACTTTTTAAGTTTATGGGGGAATAATAGCAATCTTGAGAAAACTTGGGCGTATAATTGATAAATATAAAGACTAGAGATGTAAAGAAAAAAAGTAATGCGCAAGCGAGGAACTAGCCGTTACGATTTCACTGTCTTTCCGTCTTTTCTCACTCTTTAAAATTCAAAACTTTGGATCGTTAAGTATTCATAATCTTGCAGATTCTTTATATCTTCGTTCATTTAACGAGCAAGAACTGAGATTTCTTAAATAATTCATCCCAATTTCCGAAGGATCCTTGGGCGATTTCATCATCAGTCATGGCTTCTTCTCCTGCTAATTGCAAGGCCTCGGTATCTTCTTCCTCGTCTCCTTCAGTCCCTTGCCGACCAAACCCTAAACCCAGAAGCTCGGAGACCGGAGATCTGATGCGACAGAGTTTTCGAGCCAACCCATTTCCGGCAGATTTGTCCCGGAGGAACTCAGCGCGAAGAGAAATCAGCCGGGTCGATTTTGGGGATAAAGAGAACCAGAACGACAAGGATCAAATCTCAAATGTGGTCAAAGCTCCAAAGGGTGTCAAGAACTTCATGTCACCGACGATTTCAGCCGTTTCCAAGATCAATGCATCGCCAAGGAAGAAGATATTGTCTGATAAGAACGAAGTGCCTCGATCCTTGGACAAAACCCACCATCATCAGGTTCGGTCATCTGTCTCATTTTCGAATGTTGTTAGCATCATTGGGGAAGATAATAAATATCAAGAGCAGATTTGTGTCGATAAGAAGAAGCAATTTCATGAGGAGGAATCACATGACATTACTGTCACCGATTTGGATGAGAGTCATGGAAACAAGAGCAATGGAGATTTCGATGACTCAAGCTTCAAGATTAGCCCTCTCCCTCCTTCTGTTCCATACGCATTCGCTGTGTTTGAGTCTCATCAAGTGGATCCATCGCTGGCTCCTTATGATCCAAAGAAGAACTATCTGTCACCGAGGCCTCAATTTCTTCATTACAGGCCAAATCCAAGAGTCGAGCATCATTTTGATGAGTGCAAGCAGCTCGAGGAGCTTTTCAGCTCTGAAAGCTCTTCTTCCGACACTGGTTTGTCAGCAGAGGAAAGCCAACTAGAAGAGGAAGTTACTTCAAAGGAAGGCGTAGTAGCAGTAGAAGAAGAGACGGAAGTAATCAAGGACGAGAGTGTTGAGGAGCGTTTGGAAGCAGCGGAGGTTGATGAAGAAGTAGTGGTTGGTGAAAGCACTGAAGAAGAAGAAACTCATCAGTTTTCAAAGCAGTCTCGCTTCAACACTTCCAAGTTGCTTGGTTGGATTTTGGTTCTTGGTGTGGCGTATTTGTTGTTGGCTTCTTCAGTGACATTTACTCAGCCAAGCATCATTCAGGATTCACAATTCTACAAGTTCCATATTCCACCAGAAATCACAAAGACTGCAACAGAGAGCTTTGAGCAGTTTAGTGTCAAGCTGAGGATGTGGGCAGAATCATCACTGGTGTACATGGATAAGCTGATCTCAAGTCTACGAAGACAAGAAGGATATGATATTTTTCAATATCATAATTTGACAGATATTTTGGAAGATACCAGATTCTCTGATACTGTTTTCCAGACACCTGGTGGTGAAATCATTGTTGCTGGGTTGCTGATGGATAGCCAAGCCCGGAGCTTGGAAATAGATATGGAAGAAGAGATTGTTGGTCATCAGGAACCTGAACAACCGGAGAAGGATGGTGAAATCGTTCTTGAAGCTGTCTACAATGGGGACGGCAGTGAATCTGAGCAGGGGAGTGAAGGAGGAGAGGTGAACTCAGAAATGGTTTTTGAATTTGATACGCAGGCTGAGATCAAGACGGCCACAGATGCAGATATGAAAGGAGGTGAAGAATATGTAGAATCTCTTTCTGAAGAGGAAGAAAGTGATGGCCAAGAAACTGATGGTGTTGAAGGGCAGAGTGAATATGACCAGAAGAAGCTGAAGGAAGGTCGTGAATCTGAAACTAAAGCAGCCCAAAATGATGAGAAGAACATAGTAGAAGCTGAATCCGCCGCACACCAGATAGAAGATGTTGAGTCTGCTGCATTCAGTGGTCACCAGCAAGTAGACACTGAAGTAGCCAATGCTGAAACTGGCTTTGAAGAAGAAGGTATTGGGGAAATTGCTGAATCCAGCTCCGATATTTCAGCAGAAACGACTGATGAAGATGGTAATGATTTGGAAGAAGACAGTAGGATCGGTGAAGAAGTTGCTAATGAAGCAGCAGAATGGAAGGAAATTTTGTTGAGTAACCAGAAGAAAGTTGTAGTCTTGTTTTCTACTGTGATGGTTATGCTTGCTGCAGCAGCTGCTTTCTTATTAGCTAAGAAGAAGGCAAAACCTGCGATGATGCTACATGAAGATGGTGAAGCAGCAACAATCTCTGACGCTAAAGAGGTAAATTTTGAGCATGTGCCAGTAGAGAATCTGATCAAAGAAAAGCTCTGTTCTCTGAATTTCCATGAAGAAGAAGAAGAAGTTGATGATGACAGAACAAGAGAGGTATCATCATTCCCTTCTGAGATGAGCTTTAGTTCCAAGAAGAACAAATCATTGCACGGCTGCAACGACAGAGATGATCTTAAAGAATATCAAAGCGGAGGAGGAGGAGGCAGGAAGAGTAACGATAGCGGCGAATCTATGGCGTCCTCGGCATCAGAATATACTATAGGCTCTGTTTCATATGGAAGTTTCACAACATACGAGAAGATACAAAAGAGAAGTGGTCGTAAAGAGAAAGAGATGGTAACACCGGTGAGGCGTTCAAGCAGGATCAGGAACCATCAACATTCTGGTAATCAGTGATCGGGGTTTGGTCGCCCAAACGGAAACAGAGAAAGCTGCAGCTCAAGAGAAACCAAAAGCTAAACCTGCAGTCAAAACAAGGTCCTCTCCTTTGTCCGTACACAGAATCTTTGTTGACATCCCAACGTGGCTCTACAACACCATTTTGCTTTGCTTGTGTGCTAGGCAATTGTAAACCGCTTAACCTGTAGGAAATGAAAATGGAATCTTGATTTTTTTTTTGTGTGTCTCTTATCTAAGCTTTAAAATTTTATTTCTCTAAAGAAAATAAAGTCTCATAAAGGAACGCAAATTGAATTCGAACATGTAAAAAGCCTTCAAAAATTACTCATGGCCTTGCAGCTTAAAAGCCCTATAAATAAAAAGTTAAAAACCCGCCACGTATTCATCTCGCGGACTTTTTTTTTTTATGGTTGGTAAATCCACACAGTACGCGAAAGAAAGGATCAAATTATTAAAAAAAAATTAAAAAAATCACAGTCTCTCCTCTTTTCTTTTATCCGCTAGGGTTTTGAAGCAAGGTTTCGCTTGTGCTCGATTATCGCATCCATGGCGAAACCAAGTCGTGGCCGTCGTTCCCCATCGGTGTCTGGGTCGTCATCTCGGTCCAGTTCCAGATCTCGTTCCCGCTCGGGTTCGAGTCCATCGAGGTCTCTTTCGCGCTCCCGGTCCCGTTCTAGATCGGTCTCTTCATCTTCATCTCCTTCGCGGAGCGTCAGTTCAGGGAGTCGCAGTCCTCGACCTCGTAGAAAGAGGTAATTTGATTTGTTAATTTAGCTCCGTTACGAAGTGGATTGACTCCGAATCTGGATTTCGTTCCTCTTGATTCGTCATAGGAACAAGTTTGTAACTGATTTCTTTAGCTGGAAATTAAAAATTCTTAGAATGGAGACTGTTGCATTTAACATATTTTCTTTGGGTGATATCTTATCGTGACGAGTATGTTCTGATTTATCTTCTGCAGTCCTGCTGCTGGACCTGCTAGGCGAGGTCGCTCTCCTCCTCCACAATCTAAAGGAGCCTCTTCACCTCCTACGTATTCTTCAAACTCCTAACTCTTACAAATTCTAGTTTAGAATCTCGATATTGGTCATGAACATCTCTCTCTACATATATGTGCTGAAAAATGCAATTACATTAGAGTTTGGTGATACCTCGTGTTGGTATCTCTGATCGAAAGTCCCAGTTTTTTGTACATTCATGTTTCATCCAATCCTCACTTTTGCTGACTTTTACAACCAATTATGCTTTCAGGAAAGCTACACCTATTCAAGAGTCTCTTGTTCTCCATGTTGATTCTCTTAGCAGGAATGTGAATGAAGGCCATCTGAAAGAAATCTTTGGTATGTTGATTTGTCTTTTGTATTTCCTCTTCTTGTTCTGAGTGCACCAGTGCTTTGGACCTCAACTTTGATCAGTAGTATTTGGGTCATTACGGTCATGATTCATCACTGGCATTATGGTTATTGTATTTTGTTTTTTCTTGACCAATTTGCTTGGTTAATTGTTAAGTCTTCACATTAGTAATGGCTTGTTTTGTCGTTTTAGGCAACTTTGGCGAAGTTATACACGTTGAGCTTGCCATAGATCGAGCTGTAAGTTGCTGTTTCCCTGTTCTCTGTTGTTTTCTGGCATTACTTCTTAAGAAATCTGCTCATGATTCCGTTGAATATCAACAGGTTAATCTTCCAAAAGGATATGCTTATGTTGAGTTTAAGGCAAGAGCTGATGCTGAGAAAGCGCAGCTATTTATGGATGGTGTATGTCTCTTTCCAAATGTGAAATGCACTATGTTATTACCTATCATATTGGCTGAGACGATTTATGCATGCTTTATTTTGCTTACTTAACGCAGGGCCAGATTGATGGAAATCTTGTTAAAGCAAAGTTCACACTACCACCACGTCAGAAAGTATCTCCACCCCCTAAACCTGTCTCAACTGCACCAAAAAAAGAGGCTCCAAAATCTGATAACGCTGGTGCTGACATTGAGAAAGATGGGCCCAAGCGACCCAGAGAGGGTACGTCTATGTTTGTATTTTTGTTATTTGTTATTGTTGTTATACGTGCTTTGTATTGTGTCAATGACTATCATCAATATGTGGTTAGCTTCGCCGCAACGGAAAACCGTACTTTCTCCAAGAAGGCGATCACCTCTACCTAGGAGAGGCGCATCACCAAGGAGATTACCTGATTCTTCCCCTCGCCGGAGGCCAAGCCCCCCTATCCGCCGTCGCGGCGATACACCACCTAGGCGCAGGCCAGCATCACCATCTAGAGGCCGTTCTCCATCTTCCCCTCCTCCAAGACGACATAGATCTCCTCCAAGGTTAGCTGTTGCACCATCTGTTTTGTGTGGTGTTTGTTAGAATCAATAGCTGACTTTTTAAATGTCTGTCTACAGGGGCTCCCCTAGAAGAATCCGTGGCAGTCCTGTTCGAAGACGCTCTCCTCCTCCTCTAAGGCGAAGGTACGTATATGGTATTTATAAGAGGATAGAAAATTAATTACTCCTTTCTAGGCTATGGTACTCAGAGCTGGAAAATGGGTCAGATTGATAAATAGTTTGAAATGGGAATGTTTCAGGTCACCTCCAAGGAGACTACGCAGTCCTCTCAGAAGATCTCCAATCCGCAGGCGTAGCCGATCCCCAATTCGTAGACCTGGTCGCTCTCGTTCAAGGTCCATCTCACCCCGCAGGTATGTTTTATCTCATTCAAAATGTTGTGAAGGTTATCTTTGATATACGGTATTATTTGCAGTTGCATCTCTAAGGTAATACATGTGATGATATAAGATTCTTAACAAGTTTTGAAAGTCTTGCATAATCTACAAGTATATTGATGATGACTTGATCATCATATATCCTGTTAATCTTATCCTTTGTAGGTTTTGTGACATATTGGTTCCTAGAGACGCTGATACCAAATATGACTAAATGATATAGATCTAAGTGGAGTGTGTTAGTGGTGTAACTTTGTCTTCTCTTGTAAGCAGGGGACGAGGAGGCCCAGCTGGGAGACGTGGGAGGTCATCTTCTTACTCTAGTTCGCCAAGTCCCAGAAGGGTAAGGGCCTTGTTGTATATCCCTTTTAGCAATTTTAAAGTTGTTCATGTCTTATTGAGTTGTGTGTTTTGACTTTCTATCCTGTTGCATTATTAAAACATACAGGTTCCTAGGAAGATTTCAAGGAGCCGCAGTCCCAGGAGGTAAACACTTTCTTTGCTTAACACTAGTCCTCGTCATTCGTCTGTGCCGTGCCTTAGTTGAAATAATCTGCAAAACAAAATAGCTTTCAAAAGTCGAAACAAAGCTTAATGGTTTTTGTTGTTGTTGGGGTAATGTGTAGGCCACTGAGAGGAAAAAGAAGCAGCAGTAATAGCAGCAGCAGCAGCAGCCCGCCTCCTCGCAAAACATAAAAAATATTTTCAAAACAAAAAACCTCTGTTATCTCTCTCGGCCTCTTTTCTTAGAACAGTCACCAGTGACCAAATGGGAGGTTGTTGCTGTGTAGTTTTCGTAGTGTTGGATATTTTAACCTTGTTTTGTGTATCTCCCATTATCTGATTTGAATTTCAGTGGTCTTACATGTTATGAGTTATGACTATAGACTCTTTGATTTTCCACACTCGCATTAAAAAGCCAAGAGGATGAGTTGTGACGATGGACACTAGACGAGCACGATCTTCTTTGGTGATTTAGTTAGGCCTCAAGGATGAGTTGTGGCTATGGACACTAAATGAGCACTCCAGCTATATTTTTAGTTGACAGAAACTAAATTGTTGAGTCGAAAATGGAGGAATTGTTCTTAACAGTAGAGTCCACACGAAAGAGAACAATAAGAGTAAGAGAGTAGAAGAACGCGTGTAACTAAAAATCTTGAGGAGCTGCAAAGCTAATAACTTTACGGTACTCTGAAAGCGCCCATAACGGGAAGATGTTTCTGTAGGTTACATAGTTTAGAAAACAATTCTTCATGAACACTCCTGTCATTTCCTGCATAGCGGCAACAAAAAAATATGCTTCAATCATCTAAATACAGACATCATTTCTCTGTGATCAAATATGATATCGAATGTTTCAAGAGAAAGAGAGAGAGATACAGTACCTGTTGAGGATAATCCCCGTTTTCTAGTTGCGAATTGATGATTAGTTTGGCAGCACGGTGAAGAGGCACTGGATCTCTCTCGGCCTGTTACCAAAACATTAAACACGACGTACGTACCTTTTATTTTCAAGAAATATTCTGAATGGGACATGTTTTGAAACCTGTCCCGCTTGAATCAGACCCATCAATGCCCAAGCGGTTTGCACCAGGTTTGATCCCTCTCCTTCTAATGCTATGTATCTCTGCACATCGTTCAAGATTTGAGAGTTTGGGAGATGATTAGGGACTTATATCAATGTCGAGTTGATTACAGAGACATTACCTTTTCAGAGCAAGACAGATAGCTTTCTCCCCAACCTCCATTGCTGTTCTGTTTCTTGAGAAGGAAAGCAACACCTTCACGCATAGCCAAACAGTTGTCATACGTTTTACCAGCTACTGCTAAGCCTCCAAGAGCAAACCATGTTGCATATGTGTAACAAACTCCCCAACTTCCATACCTGTCAGTCAAATATACAAAATACTTCTTACCCTAATTAAACATGCTTTACCTTAGATTTACACTCTTACCATGAACCATCTGCCTCTTGGGTGCTTTCTATGAATTGCACCCCCTTCTCAATGGTACTATCAATCTCTCTCGTCCTGTGATCTGGGTATAGTTCCTTGAACATTACCAACGCTTGGATAACCGATGAAGTACACTCGACGTACTCACGCTCGATCACAAGATCAGCCAGAATCTCTGTGGGGTTGAACAACTGCAATACAGAGAGTATAAGGAATTGGGTGAGTCTAATGATAAAACTATTTGAAATTCTTTGGAGTAAAGTAGAAACACTGAGTTCTTACTTCTAACCATCCATATCCACGGGCAGGCTCCCATGCCGTCATACCTCCATTTTCACTCTACAACAAAGCAATGGTCACACATGTTTGATTGTATTTCTAAAACATTTTTTTTTATTGGATTATAGACTCACCTGATAAGATAGTAAGAGGTTCACAGAATCATATAGTTGCTCAGGATCCATCTTTGGGCCAACAACGTCAGGTGGCATCATGGAGAGCAGAAGACAACACTAGGATGAAACCAAGAAGAGGTGCGTTAAGTGAGGAAATCATTAATTCCTTTTAAAACAGCAGCTAGGTTGTTTTGTTCTGATGACTGGCTGATTTACTTTTAATGCTTCGGCTGAACAATCAGAAACTTGCCATCCCTGATCTCGATCAGAGAAAGTCCATCCTCCTTTGGAAATGTGGCGGTCCATCTTCATGAAATCTCCCGAAGGGTTTTCTCTAATCTTCAAAGTTGTTTGATTTAGGAAAAGAGTTCTAAGAGAGCCCTATAATGCAGACTGCAGAGAGTAAAAGTACCTGAGATTTCTTAATGAAATCATGTCCTTTCATGAGTATAATGGCGATTTCGTTGGAGAGATTACTTGCAAGTAAAGCTTGAATCGCAAGTGCCGTGTCCCATAGTTGACTTCCAAAACTCTGCATACATGTTTGGTACTCAAGCAATCTTGAAAAGAGCGTATGAACATAGAATATATAACTCGGTGAATACCTGCACTTTCATCCCATCTTCAGCAATCCACAGGTAATCCGGAACCCTAGCGAGATGCTTCTTGAAATATTCTCCGTTTGGATCTTCAGCCCAACAAGCAAGCATGCACATTGCCTGACAGTTTAAACATATGATTCCAGTTAGATTCTTAATCATACCTTATCCAAGTGTTTTAGAGGATTACTCAGTGTTTTTTCACCTTCTCAGCGCATCCAATGGTGATATAATGGCTATTTTCATCTTCATAATGTATGTATCCCATCACTACCCGAAGAGCCTTTTCTCTCACAAGCTTGTTCAATGGCCAACGTGTAAGGATAGGCTCCAAGAAAATGTGAAGACTGTCCCATACGAAATCTTGAATACAAGGATGGGGATAATACATGTCTTCCTACACGGAACAACATAAGATTAGGTTGCCAAAAATCTGCAGAGAAATCAAGAAACAAATATAAGAAGCTTTGAAGTAACCTTTGCGTATAGACGACGTGCAGTATTCCAATTGATTTCTTCGTAAGCCTCTAAGTAGAGTTCTTGCCGCAGTTGCACAATAAGAGGTGTTATTGGAGCAACAAATCTCTTCCCATAAAAGTAAGACGTGACCAAGTAAACCAGTCGGCAAAAGCAAGTTGTTTTCCCTGTGTTGATAATTACTTCAGAACATCAATATCATCGTTGAATACAAAAGGAAGTATGATTACTCCAAGATGATGATGATATTAAAAAGCAAACCAAGATGTATAGGAAGAAAAGAAGGAAGCAGCCAGATCTCTGGAGGCATGGGGTTGGTTCCGCTCCAATCATAGATTCCGAGTATCTACACAGACAAATACTAGAATGATGAATCTAAACACAGTTACTCTTTTAAAACATATACATGTGTGTGTCTGAAAATCTCACCGAAAGCCAAGATTTTCCCCAAGAAGGTATGTAAGTGACACCACCACGATCAAGAATCCATTGCCGAGCACGCTTACACGCCCCTCCATCTGGACCTTCTCCAAGAATACGCAGACATATGTAGTTCAGTGCGGTGCAAAACATACCGCTCTTGCCTTCTACGTGTAATCCCCATCCACCATCTTCATTCTGAAAAGCAAACATTAAACACACAGTTAAAAAAATCAAACCAGTGTTTCAGGTTCCTTACATAAACAAATCAGTGTTGTACCTGGTGACAATAGATATATCGAAGCATCTCTTTACGATGCTCTCCAGTAAACATCTCCTCAAGATGTCCTGTGATATAGAAACAGAACACCTGCAACAAATACAAACAAATTTAACAGTGGAGTCGATCGTATTGAGGAAAAACAGAGAGGGAGAGAGAGAGAGAAGGAGAATAAAACTTACCATTGGAGGAACGTAGAAGAGAGGACCGGTGATTTCAGCTGGCCAGTGACCGTCACTGCTTTGCAACGCCGAGAGGTAGTGAACGGATCTTCGTAATGCATTGGTAGCTGCTTCGTTCGTGATTTTCTCAGCGTCGTCGATCTTGACCGGCGGGATTACTTGCTCGAATTTTTTCTCCTTGAGAAACTAACATTCCAGACCAAATTTGTATGTTTGATAGTTATGATCAATTTAAGACTTAAGTACAGTCATTTGTAGGTAGTGCAATGATAATAATAGCAATTTTTAAATTTTGGTACCTTGAGTTTGACAAGATATAGTATATATTAATATCAGATTAAAACTCTATATTCTTCAAGTTCTTCCTAAATGTCTTTCTCAATCAAATCGCAATGAAAACTAATACTAAAACTTCATTATATAAATTTCCATCAAAGAAAAAGAAAAGAATAATTTATTTTTAATTTTGCTTTGTAATAATAAGGAAAACATACTTGTAATAATGTATTGAACAAAAAAAAACAAAAAACGTACTTGCATGCGCCATAAAAGATCACTGCAAGCTCTCACACGATGGCGATTATCGTAAAAACTCCGGCGAGTCTCCTCGATGGCAATTCGTTCTTCCGACGTGCCGGCATTTGGATCAAACTCCCATATTTGCCGACCAGCGAAGTTGTTAGAGCTCATTAGATACGGATTATCTTCTCCACCTCCTCCTCCTATCTTCAACTTCCACATTTGCACTTTGTATATATGTTCGCACGAGAAAACGATTTTTTAATAAGTTATAGCTATATAGAATACCAATAATCGTAACTCTGTACTATATTTTTTTTTGTACCTAAATATTGTATCATTTACTTTTGCAAGAAGATGTTCTACAATACACTCTTAAAAGAGAATCAAGAAGAATGATCACAGAGTTTATGTAAGTTTTACATTATATAATATAATTTCATCATCATACTATAAGATATATATATATATATATATATATTCGATGGAGGATGCTAGAGTTGCAGAACATCTCTTTATTCACTTTCACCATAACCAACAATATCGTCCCCGAAAAATAAAACGTAAACAACAATCTTCTATACACCACCGATCGAGGATTTTATTTCAGTCTTAACTTTAACCTAAATGACATTTATCCCTCGACCCTAGAACTGTAAGCTATTAATGTTGGTCTTTTGTTATTAAGTTGATCAGCCGCTGATAAAATGTATACAGTTTCTTCTTTTTCTAAATTTCCCTTAAAATTTGAGGAAAAAGAACATTAATTGGGCCTAGTTTAGCTAAGTATGTTATAATCGAAGATAATTATAACTGGTCCTAGTTAAATCGTTTAACTCAGATTAATCTCATATTTAACAAGAAAAATACAGTCACCATATAAAGTCCAAGTGGCTGGGTGACTTGAAGTTGACAATCTCCAACACGTTTCAAACGCCTACAATTTGGCATTAACTAACGATGGGCCCGGCTCCATATAGTCTCGACCGGCCTGTCCAAATGATATCCAGCGGTCTCTTCAGCGGACTCTGACTACCCACGTCCCGCAAGAACAATAATGCATGAGGGCTTCAGAAACTGGCTCCCACCGAGACGAAGCTATAATGCATTTTCTTGCAGGATCGAGATCTGTAATTTCAGACATTATTATTGAGTATTACGGTAAGTCGGTAACTACATTGCCCACATTACTTATTATCAATCCATCTTTTATAGCATATTAATCTAGCTTTATGACAATAATTTTTTTTTTAGTAACTCTGGGTCTTACGAATGTAATATATCCCTTTTAATCAGGTGTTACGAAAATTACACTGCTTTTATCAATGTAATTTTCTACTTTAGGAAACTATGTTTACCAATATGTGGTAATGTAAAAAAATACAGATCGTTTTCATTGTCGTCTCCTGTCGATTCTTGTTAGTTTAAGATTGGGCTTGACAAGGTTGTGGTTCAGACAAACTTGGGTGTTCCAAGTAAAGCTGTAAGCAGAGTGGCTCGCTGTCCAGAGATTTGACCGGCGTGATAACTGCCGGCTTTTGCCACTGCTTTGTATCTGTTGGAATCCATAGCTCGCTTTCTTTGCTTGAACCCACTTCAGGAAGCGACCTCAGATACGCCGTCACCTCCCATCTACAGTCTGTATTGTGTGGGAACAAAATTTTAGAAGCATGGTCGTTATAAGATAAGAGAATGTGGCACCTAAAGAAGTAAAAATGATGGAGCTAGAAATGTATTTACGATGAGGAAGAGGCTTGACAAGAGATTTTGAGACGGAGAGCTTGACTAAGAAGGACCTAAGCGCAAATTCCAGATGACCCTCTTCTACTGAAGCAGCGGAAGACAGATTAATCGTGAGTTTGAAGATGAACCTCTCCACAGGAACATTGTCCTTACTGTAAAATATGACTGCTACTCTTTCAACAAGACCCTGATTTCATAAAAACAACAACAAACATTGATTATGCTATATTCGATTTATAATCATTTGAGCTTTATCAAACTAATTGCTGGGAAGGATTATGGAAAGAAAGGCAGATCGGGTTATCTTCCTTACACATTGACTGATGCTAATAGTTAAAGAAACAAGTGCAAATCTTTCAAGTGTGGTTTATTGAAAACGTTTGATTTTTGTGTGCATCAAAAATATAACTAAACCTTTTCGATGAAAGGGAGAAGCCCAGAAGCAGCAGAGTGGATGTAGTCGCGTAGCTCAGGATGGCTTGCCCTTTGCACCACCACATTCATATATCTCCGCCTTTCAAATGCCGCTTCACAAACGCACAACAAGATGATATCAATAATCACTTGTGGTGATGTCAAATGTAATAAATCCAAGAACCACCAATTAAACACAAAATCCACAAACTGTTTTCCATCGCTTTACTCACCAGATGGATATAAACCTTTTACGTAAACAATCATTGTGATGGCTACTTCCAAAAACTCCACCAGAGTACGACCAACTTCTCCTGAAAGGCCGAGATCAGGAATTTGCGAACTTTTGACAAGGCACACACACTCTATCATCATATTCAACATTAGGAAGTTACCTGAATGATTAGCATCCTTCTGATTCATTAGCGTCTCGCAATCGCAAAACGGAGTCGGAGACTTCTAATGCTAACTATGAACGAACCCTGAATTCGCCGTCGATGGCGGCCTCGCCGTGAACCTAAATTCCTTCTCTTTCTTCCGTCGTCAAATTAATCACGCACGTGATAAACACGTGACTCTTTAATTAAACAAGGGAATTATAACATATGGGCCTGTAACTTATGGTCCACTAATTCCTTCTCGGCCCATTATTGTTATTCCTTTGTTGTTTCTTTCTCCTCCTCATCGGAATTTTTTTGCCGGAGCATATCGACGGGATCTGGGAGACCCCGTAAGACTTGATCGAAGGTATGTTTGATCTTTTAAACTGAAATCGTTTTCCTGTTCTATCTTGTAGACTGTATATAGAATTCGCATTAAGAGGTGTGGATTTCTAGTTTCTCGTGGATGAGTAGAGTCTGATAGATATATCACATGATCTGAGCTCGATAAAGTGCTAATGATTAGCTTTGTGATGAGGTTTTAGGGAATAGGAAACGATGGGGAAGAGAGGAAGGGCTTGTGTAGTGGTACTTGGAGATCTTGGTCGAAGTCCTCGGATGCAATATCACGCTCTTTCTCTTGCTCGTCAGGTTCACACTCATTTTATTACAATTGATCAAGTTCTAATCATCTCGACCAATCAGTTAATTCTATTGAATTTAGCTTATTACGTAGTTTATTAGAAGAAAAATTCCTCAATAGACTGATTGTCAATTTTTGACTCTGCAGGCATCAATGCAGGTGGACATTGTTGCATATGGAGGTAAGGATTCCTAATTTAGTGTTATGTCTTATTTCGGTGTTCTTGTGAATCATAATGCATGTTTAAAAAGTTTTTAAAATTCATGAATAGGTTCTATACCTCATGAAGCTGTTTTGAAGCACCCATCAATACACATACATACCATGGTATGCCACGATCAAATCCTCGACGTATAGCTACTAAGACATTTTTTTTAAGATTCATGATCGTTTTTTTTGTTCTTGGCTAACACAGGCGCAGCCTCGATTCATTCAGCTCTTGCCAAAGATACTTTATCCTGTAACTCTCTTGCTCAAGGCATTTATTCAGTTTACAATGCTTCTCTGGTTTCTTTTCGTAAAAGTACCAGCCCCTGACATTTTCTTGGTCCAGGTACAATCTTTTTCATGCTTCACTTTGAAAATTTCTAGTTTTTTCTTTCGAAAGTTTGCACAAAGTTACACAGAGTTGTTTCTGCAGAATCCTCCATCCGTTCCAACTCTTATTGCGGTTAAGTGGGCGAGTTCGTGGAGGCGTGCAGCGTTTGTTGTAGATTGGCATAATTTTGGATTTACATTGCTGGCTTTGTCTTTAGGAAGAAACAATCCTTTGGTATCCTTATACCGCTGGTTAGTAATACAACCATTTATGATGGCTTAAACTATCTATGGAACTTCTTTTATCTTTATGATTGAGATGTGATAATCTTTGCGTGCTTTAGGTTTGAGAAGCGTTATGGAAATATGGCAACTGGGTCGCTATGTGTGACGAAAGCAATGCAACATGAACTAGAACAAAACTGGGGAGTGAGGTGAGATGAGATTTCTCATAGATCATAACCTGCAACAATTTGATTCCGATGTAAAGAAGGTTATGCGATTCTGATTTCGTCTGCAATAATGTTTTGAATTGAAAAACAGAGCCAAAGTTTTATATGACCAGCCTCCTGAGTTTTTTCGCCCGGCTTTGCTTGAAGAAAGGCACGAGGTTAGCTGCTCTTTTCTTCCTTTTTAGATTATTTTCATCAATCCATTTCACTCCGGATAGAGTGTGGTACTGAGGGTAACGGAGATTTTGTTTACTTGTTTAGTTGTTTTGCCGAGTGAAGAAAGATCTTTGCCATCCGATTGGTGTCTATGATATCATTAGTAGAGGTATCTCCTAGAAAATTAGCAGTGCCATGTTTTGATTCCTTTTGAGCTTCTCCCTTCATTCTGATGTCAAATCTTTTCATTCAAATTTAGAGTTGGAGAATCAAGAGCTTAACGAAACCCTTTTTACTACCAAAACTAATGATGACATCTTTCTGAAGCAAAACAGACCAGCTCTTGTTGTGAGCAGTACAAGCTGGTGAGGACACATCATCATTCTTTGTTCACTTTCACTCTTGTGGGATTCTCCTTCCGTGACATTGAATACTAAAAACATGAACTTTTCAGGACCCCGGATGAAAATTTTGGCATCTTATTGGAAGCTGCAGTAATGTATGATCGTCGTGTTGCTGCAAGATCGGAAAAAAGTGATACAGCCGAAATTTCAGAAGAGCAAGACCTTTATCCCAATTTGTTGTTCATCATTACAGGTAAACATGGTTGCGTTCTTGTTTCGAACAGAATAACATTTCGCTGTTTTTTTTTTCTTTCTGATCATGAGCTATCTATACTCTCCCCATTAAAGGTAAAGGACCTGAAAAGGAGATGTACGAGGAGAAAATCAAACGATTAAACCTCAAACATGTGGCATTCCGTACAATGTGGCTCGCAGCTGAAGATTACCCATTGCTTCTAGGTTCTGCAGATCTCGGTGTTTGCTTACACACTTCCTCATCTGGTTTAGACCTTCCCATGAAGGTAAAGTCCATTACAATCAGAGCTCATATGTGCTAAGTAAGGTTAAGACTTTTAAGACTTGATTTTTTATTTTGTCAACTTTTCTGGCGTTTTAGGTTGTGGATATGTTTGGATGTGGCCTTCCAGTTTGTTCGGTTTCCTACTCATGGTAAGTAATCAGTGACTTTCAATACTCTCACGAACAAAGACTTTTAACTTCTAAACCTTAAACTTTCGTGAAGCATCCAAGAACTTGTCAAAGATGGGAAGAACGGACTCTTGTTTTCATCTTCATCGGAGTTAGCAGATCAATTACTGGTTAGTAACTTTTTGTCTTTCTATTAAAGACACTTTTTAAGCTAGTCAGCATCAGTAATGTTTTTGTGTTCTGTTTTTCTGAACAGATTCTCTTTAAGGGTTTTCCTGGGAGCTGCGATGCACTAATGTCGCTTAAAGCGGGTGCCATGGAGACTGGTTCTTCGGGTCGATGGGCTACGGAATGGGAAGATTGTGCAAAACCATTGATTACTCAGGCAAAAATACTTCAGCTCTCTCTCTCTTATCTCTCACACACATACTTTTTTGTTGGGCTATTTCTCACAAGATGTCTGATCTATGCAGGTCGTGTCTCAAAATGTGGAATGATGATAGAGAAAACTCAAAATTGGTGGGATTGAGAGTTTTTCAAACCTTTTGTAGATTCGAATTTTTGTTAACACACTCATATATATAGATCACAAGACTTCCTCAAAGTATTGACAAAAGTCTGACTTCAAAAAGATTTGGCAAAAGCGTGTATGAATGATAAATTAATATCAAAATCTCTCAATTGACCAAAAGCAAGGCCAAGACAAATCTCTAAATTATAAATGAACATTGAAAAACTTAAGAAACCTCTCATTCTGTCACTAAACAAAATCACAAGACCACCTAGCTTTAAACAAAAGATTATGCTTTCTTCTTGATGTTTGAATCCACATTCCCACCTTTTTGTTTTCCCCACAGTGCTTGTGAATGGTCGAGACAAAACGTGCAAATCGTATAAAAATCCTTCTGAAATTTGGCAAATAGACTTACTTTGCCTTTGTCTTAGATTTCTTGAGCAGAGTGTTAGTTCTGAACTCAGCATCGTCTCTAATAAAGCTCCACCAGAGAACGGTAAGAGGAATTGTGGCGGCGTGCCAGATCGAGTGAGCATCGAAGTAGCCTTCGTATGGAGGAAAGTCATATATCTCTAAAAGCATAGCTAAGCCTCCAGCAATCACGACCACCCAAAGTTTCCAATTAGAAGGATGTCTCGAGACAGCGGCCCATCTCGCCCACAGGAAAAGCTGAGCGACTCCCATGGCCACACATACGATCATGTTCCAACCTGCAAACAACATTAAATTCATCGAGATTGCATAGAACACATATTGAACTGGCTTCATGTAGGGGTGAGAGTTCGCGGTAATACCATAGTCGAGTTTGTAGAAGTTAATGTATAGTATGTGGGTGGTGACGAAAGCTAGTATTGGAGCGGATACCATGACTCTTGCAGCCTCGACCCGAACATCAAAGGTTCTTAAGATGGCTAAGATGAGTGAGAATCCGAGAACGGCTACTGCCGATGAGTAGTCCAACCTCTCTGTGAGGTCAACATCCCTGAGAACCATACAGATGGTTTACTAGAAAATCATATGATATATGAAGTAGGTTATGTATGATAAGTAACGTGTAGATGTGATTACCGGCTGTGGAAAACAGCACTCCAGAACCAAGAGTTCATGGACAGGAGCCCGTAGATATGCGACAAACCGACGTATTCATAGTACGACGTCTTGTCTTGTCTCAGAGGCAACTTATAGTACAGCGTAATGAAAAAGGAAAGCCAACCATGGAAATGCATCGCTAGGTTGAGCACGGAGAAAGCAACAGAAGCAGGCTCCTAACAATGAACAAGGTAAAATCAAACTGCGTGCTCCATTTAATTTTGGGAGAAAAAAAAACAGAACTGAATCAAGGTGAAAAGGTCTGACCTGAATCCCAAGGACACGCTTGAAGGGCCATTTACCATGATACTTGACCGGGACCTGACCGAGAGTTTCCCGTTCTTTCTCTCTATTAACCATACAGTGATAGCGGCAATCACCTTGACAGCCCCACTTTTGCCATTGTAAATACAGAGGCTCTTGTATGTACCATGGACCAGCACTGGATGAAGAATTGCACTGAGGAAAGCAAACTTGTCCAACACAACCGCTTATCTCGCATTCTGAAACACAAGTCCTGATACGAAATTTGCCAGATAATTCATACTGTCAAAAATGCTGCTAACATCTGAGCTACTACTCCCAAAAAAACAAGTTCATGCAACAAACTCAAGGAACAAAAGAGCTATAGCTTGAACATAAATGCATAACGCTACAAAGTAAGCAAGATAAGGGTAAGTACGAATCCTAAAGATACAGAAAAAAGATGTACCTGTAATTTGGATCGGCATCGCCGGCACTAGCGTATGAAATACTGAAAAGGCATGACAACACTAGAAACAGGGATGTCCAGTAATGGACTGCCATCTGAGCAGCACATCAAAAATTTGAAAGATGCAGTCAAACCACTGAGAATCATAACTACGCAAGCCTTAAAAAAAGGAAAGATAGAACCAGAAACATCACTTATAGGAACTAAACATTAAATCAGACCATCAAAAGGCAAAAACAAACTAGAATCAATCCATATGAAGATATTTATATGATTAATTCCACTAAAGGATGCACTAATAGGAAGTGATCATTCAGATTAATGAAATTCTCACATATATACAAAAGATCCTTATATAATTCAAACTCGAAAGACTTGCACAATCTCTTCGTCAACGATCGAACTCGCTGTGGAGAAAAAACAAATTCCTTCATAATCTAATCCGGAGTTTCCCAGATTCGATCAGGTTATCGAAAAACTCAGAAAGTAAATCAAATTCATGAGCATAAACCCTTAGAGATCTACCAATTACGAAAAAAGGAACACAGAGATAAGAACCGATCGTGAGAAGATATATATAGGGAAATTCGAGTAGATCATAGAGAATACCTCCGAGTCCGATTCTGGTCTTCGCAACGAAGCTATGTGCTATGAGCACCACAATAGATAATTGAATATTCTGATTAGAGAGGACGGAGGAGAAGCAAAGAGCACGTGTTTCTTTTTATAGACAAAAACGACGCGTTTCGTATGTTTTTCACTTTTATTTTTTAAAGATATGTTAACTAAACCTACGTTTAGTATATATATATAGCTACGCTTCCCGTCGATTTTTTTTGTAGCTGAAGAAGATCACAAAAGCTAAGACGACAATGAAGCTGCGGTTGAGACGTCACGAGACGAGAGAAACCTTAAAACTTGAATTGGCCGATACGGCCACTCTTCATGATCTCCGGCGACGGATCAATGCATCAGTGCCTGCCTCCGTTCATCTATCGCTTAATCGTAAGGACGAGCTCCTCGCGCCTTCGCCGGAGGATACGCTCCAATCGCTTGGTGTTACATCCGGTGACCTTATTTACTACTCTCTCGATCGCTCTGCTTTTGTTGCATCGGCTGGGGAGATCGGATTAGCGTCGTCAGCAGAGGCACATCAAGCCCTAGCTCCAAGTGGCGACGGGAAACTGGGAGAATCTGGAACAGCCCTAGGTCCACAATCAGAGAAGAACCAGGCGTTTGTTCACGATTCGATGGGTATTGGGTTCGCAGCGACCGATGTAGATATGAATATCCAGGATCAATCGAAAACCGATCTGAATTCAGGCGTTGAAGATTCAGCTGAAGGATCCGCCGGGGAAAATTCGGGTCCAGAGCCGATGGATGTAGAGCAGCTTGATGTGGAGCTAGCTGCCGCTGGAAGCAAAAGGTTAAGCGAACCATTCTTCTTGAAAAAGATATTGCTTGAGAAATCTGGTGATACCAGTGAGTTGACTACCTTGGCTATCTCAGTTCATGCGGTTATGCTGGAATCTGGATTTTTGCTGTACAATCCTGGCTCTGATAAGTTTAGCTTCTCAAAAGAGTTGCTTTCGGTATCCCTAAGGTATACTCTGCCTGAGCTAATTACCCGCAACGATACCAATACAATCGAGTCTGTCACTGTGACCTTTCAGAGCTTAGGCGATAGGGTTTTTGTTTACGGGTCTCTAGGTGGGCGAGTACACAGGGTTTATCTTGATAAGCGTAGGTTTGTGCCCGTTATTGATTTGGTTATGGATACTCTCAAGTCTGACAAACAAGGCTCCTCGAGCATCTTCCGCGAGGTGTTTATGTTCTGGAGAACGATGAAAGATGGTCTTGCTATCCCTTTGTTGATTGGTTTTTGCGATAAGTCTGGCTTGGAACTTCCACCATGCTTGATGCGCCTACCAACAGAGCTAAAGCTGAAGATACTAGAGTCACTTCCTGGCGCGAGTGTTGCGAAGGTGGCTTGCGTTTGTACGGAGATGCGGTATCTGGCTTCAGACAATGACTTGTGGAAACACAAGTGCTTGGAAGAAGCTAAGCACCTTGTTGTGAGTGGATCCGGTGATTCGGTTAACTGGAAGGCGAAATTTGCTGCTTTTTGGAGGCAGCAGCTACAACAGCGACAGTTTGAGTCCACAGCTAGACGAACCTTTCGAAACTATATCACGAGGAGAGAAGGCATTCCTTTGCCTCGGATCATTAGAGACCCTGACCCTTTCGAATGGTTTGTTGGGCCTGGATTCATCGGTATCCACCCGAGACAACCGGCTCGAGGGCTTGGCGGACGAGGATGGGGACATCCTTTTAGTCCCAGATGCGATCTTGGAGGAGGCAGCCACCACGGGAGCTTGGCGGACGAGGATGGGGACGAGTTTTGAGTCCTTGTACGTTTGATGTTTTAGATACTTCTTTTGTTTGGAATTCTCTTGGAATATAATATCGCAATAGTTTTGTATATTTTTTCAAGTTAATTTTTTATTTTTTCTACAATGTTGGACCAGTAATACAATGGTATACAACTATACATCTTCTGATATGCACCTTCCTGTGTTTATGTGTGTTTATATGTATAGTATTTGTATCTATAAAGCTTTAACCTACTCAGTAATCAGTATATGGAGTTACTTCTTCTCCAACTTGAATCCAAGACTCCGTTTTTGCATCAATCTCGTATCTCAGAAGAGTTCCAAACAAGATCTTTCCCTGAATCCAGTGAATGACCAAGAAATGTTACTTCACAGTCAATTATCGTATACCTTTTATTTTTGTATGGAGAAAGAAGAATGGTGTCAGAATGTTGAACCTTTACTCTCCTGTATGAAGCTAAAGTTGTTAAGGGCTCGTTGGATTTCTTCACTTGTCCAGTCCCATTACTTATGTTTATCATCTGGCACCGATTACAACCACCCAACGACTGCGTCGAAAGAGAGAGAGAAATAAACCCATGAAAAGTTTGTACATATATGATTACGAATCAAATGCTAAATGGGTCCATGGACTTACCGTGAATTGACTGTCTCCTATCTTGAGAGTTCTCCATTTATCTTCTGCGTATGCTTCACCTCCCGATATTACCAGATTTGGTCTGAATCTATATGGATTAATTTTCTCAAGAGCTTGGTTGTTATCCTTGCCTTCTGCAATCAAAATCTTTTTATCAAGTGGAGAGTAAATAAGGAACAAGATCTACGATTAAAAGGAGATCAAAGAAAACGCACTTGCGTCTAATCTTCTGTTTAGGTCAGCAACACTCTCCTCGGAGATCAACAAGAACTGAGCTTCATTAGCAAAGTTGATATTGCTTTCCAAATCCCTGCACAGCCCATGACTCTTGTTTCTGTTCAAGCAGTGTTTGAAAGTAGAGCTACAATACTGTAACAATTTGCATTGTCGACCAATGGCACTGGTGAACCAACTATTGATTCTTGTTTCCTCGCTATGACTTTCAAGTCTGCACCCAAAAGTCAAAGTTATAGCTAAATTTATCAAAAAGGCAGATATCAGAAGTGAGGGAGCAAAGCATACATGTTGTCATGTGAATCGAACTCATTGCTCCTTGGATTATATGATTTAGACTTGATTCTGATGTGCAACTTGTCTTTGCAGCGAGTAGATTCTACAGACAATAGTCCTTCCTCAAGGTCGAGAAAGGTGCTAATAAGAGACATCTCAGGCACCTAAAAGCCACTCCCAGGCAAATCAAAACTTTGCTGACAGATATACGTAGATATAAAGATTGCAGTTCAAAGATCCTCTAGTACCTTCTTTTGGGTAAGAGTTTCACCCGTCAGACCCTGAATCATCCATTCTCGATCATGCAGCAGGCCTTAGTACGTTTTCAACATAAACACAAGTTGATCATAAACGTCAAAAACATCAGTCCAACCACTATTACCTGCACAAGATGCAGTTCTGATTTTGGAGTATGCTAACGCAAATTAAATGAAATACCTGTTTTGCAAAGTGGCCAACGATTCACAGAAAATCCAGCACACGACTTGATTGGGTATATGGTAACTGATTTAAGGAAGTAGCTAGGAGAGGATTCTCTACTTTCAAGTTCTGCGTAGCAACATTAAGTGGGGATCCCTCAATTCAGACACCGTATATAGTTTATGAAGCATTTGCTATCTCGCAAATTTAATCTCATGGTTTCACGCAGATCATACGAAGTAGGTACAAGCTACATGCGCTCTATATGTGTGAGATAACACAAGCAAAGTATGTAAAGATGGTGACTCTAATAAAGTCACATCCTAGAGAATGAACGGCGAAATCAATTATACCAAGTCCATTCTATATCAATAGGAGTGAATAACGCTTCAATATAGTTATATAGCAACAGCTAGAGTTATTAGAAACAAAGCACAATAATAGGTTTAAGAGAAGGTATACCTTCACTAGGAAGTTGAGTAAACCTTCCACTGACGGCAATTCCATTCCCAATATTCTTTGTAGGTGAAACAAATGAACTTATGATGAAATCAATAAATTTCTGCCAAAAAGTGAGCTTTGCTTGTTAAATCCTACAGCTTCCGACACATATGAATGAGGAATACCTAAACAAAGAAACCTACCTTGGCATCTTCAAAGCTTGACATATAACCAAATGAAACCCTAACAGCCCCTGTTGGTTTTCCATTAATCACGTCATTGTCATCCCAACAAACATGCCCAGCCTGGATTAAAATAAAGGATGCCATGGTCAGCTGTATTGTACCAGATCTGCTAAATCAAGGCCAGTAAGCAAGAAGGAAAATAAAAAACAGTTATACCTCTACATTAGACAACAGATCCGAATGTGACAAGTCGAGATACTTTGCACATGCGCCAGGATTGCAAAAGCATCCTGTCTACATCAAAATGAAGGAAAATGACAGATGGAACTCAGAGTCAAATGACCTAATGCAAGATTACGCCTTGCCAGATAGTGCAAAACTCTCATCTTCCTTAAGTAACTTCTCTTCTCTTCGGTTTTCTTTTGAGCGGAAGGATTCAAAGAGGAAAAAGCTGAACTGTGTTTCCAAAACATACCCGTAACTGAATGCCAGATAACGAAGCAAGCTTTTCCACCTCCAGGTAGCCAAACCAAGAGCCATCAGGTCTCTTCAAGTTGAATGTAACCGTTGGGCCTGATTTATGTGAAGATAACTGTAACATAAAACTAGAATGAATCCAGTACTGCTTACACGAAAAAGTAATTCCATATGACTTCTGAAGTAAATGTTAATATTTTTAAATATATGATCCTTTTTGTGTTCCTTGCTATCCTTTTTGTTTAATCATATTTTTTCACTCAGTAAACGAAGCCATATAATAATGAATTATGAGAAGAAGAAAAAAAACAAATTTCTTTTTAATCACGAAAGAACTTACCTTCTGATTCTCACTGCCATACATAACACATACAGCAGCCCCGTTTCCATGTCTTAAAGCCTGAAGTTTCTTTTTCACATACATGGAAAGTGATGTTGTGTGCCTATGAAGTAGATACACAACACGCTTTAGCTTCTACACAAGCAGGTGGCTACAAAGTTCAAACAATGATTAACAAGGATCAACAACATATGAGTCTTCAAAAATGCAAGGCCCTACTAGGCTATCTTCTAGGATGGAAATTAAGTCGGTTTCAAGACTAGCGATTTTTCATGGGGGACAAGTCTTACTCACATCCAAATTGCAGAAGTAGTAAGGGACTTGAGTAATTTGAAGCCATGGCGGATGGCTGTTATGCTCAAGAATGAAGCAGAGCCATCCTCAAAAAACTCCTCCACTCTTTCTCTTCTTTTTACAAAGTCAATGTCAGCAATTGAGGCAGCGACAGTGCCTGTACGCATTATGTTAAATAAACGCCACATAATTTCATTCATCTTACACAACGAAATGAGATGCATACCTCCACTAAAGTAAGTCTTTTTGAGCAATTTGGCAGCATCTGTAGATTATAATAGCGAGAAAAATATCATGTCAGAAACTAGCATTTGCTATCTTTTGCTTCATCATAATGTACAAGCAGATCTTGCTTGAGAAATGAGTCTGAAAGGAGAGAAGAGTAAAATGAAAACAATATTGGAGATCTTAACAACAAAACTGCTCTGATCTGAGTTACGAGTTTAAAAAGAATGTTTCTGAACTAGAGTCACATGTATGAAAATATACAGAAGGAAACCTCAGAAACAATTACGCACCATTCCGTACAAGGAGAGCACCAAGCCCAGTAGGATAACCAAATAACTTCATGAAAACAACGGAAACAAGGAAGTCAAAATCTAAAAATGAAAGAGCTTCCTCATTTATCTTTAGAAAAATCCAGAAGCTACCTTGTAAAATGACACGACAACAAAATCTGCAGGATACTCCGACAAATTAGGTGGTAGTGTAGCACAGCCTTTCGCAGCATCAATCAAGACCATCCACCGCTTGCTCCTTATAACAAGGATATAAGACATGATGAAAGTCAAAATAATAGAAAAGTAATAAATGAACCAAGTCATAGACGCACTTGAAATCAATACAGAGAGAAGTATCAAATCAAGCCGAACGAGTTCCTTTAAAATGGCTGTAGGCTCGTACTATTAATTGTTGTAAATCATCAATGCGTACATTTCATTTCTAGATATCACCATATCAACCGCAGATAAATCATAAATTCTGTTATAAAGCTAAGCTAAGTCACAATCAAAGACCATGTACGGGAAAATTCACTATGTTCAAGGAGCTGGATTTCCCTCGGATTAACATCGTCAAACCTCAGAACTATGAATTCAAACATACATTCACCATTACCAATGCAAGGCACTAAGAAAAATAAGAGATGAAGAGAGAATGTCAGACGATACATACGTGCCAAAGGGAGAGCCTTGCAGTGTAGCTTCGGGATTTTCTTTAATCAACTTCACCAGATCAAGGTTGAACCTCAAGCCGGTAAAATTGCACTCGGAGGGGAAAGCAAATAAATTATAGGCATCTCCTGTATACGACGCAATGAAACACGGGATGAGCAAACGAGCAATGTCAATTAGTTACCTAAAGAACAAAAAGATAACAGTTGCTACATCTTGAGCAGGCTTTATTCATGATGAAAGAACAAAGAGGAAGTTCCCAAGTTAACGGACCTCTTGACTCATCCTTCTGGAGTTTAGAAGTGTTTCTCCTCTGCACAGCACGATGCTTTACCTTGATAAATGGTCCCGAACTTGCTAGCTGACTGGGCTGGTTAGCTGTCTCTTCAATATCCACTGCACATGCTGAAGCACCTTGACCTAATGCATATTCCCTAATACCAAGTACACTGTTGTGATTCTCCATGGTATACAAAAAGTTGCTGTCATGGGTCCACGGAAATGTCTCTCCGACAAGCTTCAGTGCTGCTGTGGCTCCGGAAGTGAATATGCAACTGTAATCCTCAGGAGATGCATTGAAGTATTCAAGTACCTGACTCAAGTTTGCAATGCAGATTAATTGAACCATATAGAACCAAGTTATAAGCTGAATACAATCGCCAAATTCCACAGATATCAAGACATGAGAATGTAGTACCTGATGCCGAGCATCAGCTATAAGGTCACTGGTCGCTGAACTGATATCACTTTGACTATCTGAATAACTATTAAGGAACCTCTTTCAGGAACATACGCTCACTAACAACAACAACAAAAAAAGACATTTTATTGTCCATACTAAGAAGATCTACAGAAGAGGCTAACTACGTTATTTCTCACCAATCAACATCAAAGTTTTCAAGTTACAAACTTAGCACAGGAACAAAATCTCTGAGATTCAGACCCTACTAGATCTGCCATCTCAGCTAGTAAAACAAAATGTAAGAGATTAAGGATACGTGGATTTCCATAAACATTGCTTGTAAAGTCCTTAAAAACGTTTTCCATCTGCAGCTCGGAATACAAAGTAGAACCAGCATGATCCAGGTATACAACACCTGCACATATCACAGGAACTTCTTAGTTCAATCTTCAAAACTCAGAGGTTTGAGGATGGACAACAAATTGATAAAGCAGCAATATTATACTCGAAGGAAAACTCTTATATCCGTATGCATACTAAGCATTATTTTTCATTGACGCGTTTCTGAGCAATAGCTGAAATGAAATGTTAATGATCAGTGACTCCAAACCCAGAGATAAACCTCGTCGGGTTACACAAATAACCTAAGTTGTACTGACTAATGCTGAATTTTGAATCGAGCAAACACAACCTCGTTTTTAATTAATTTCGAAGCTTTCAAGTAGTTAGCTGTTCCTCCACGGACCCAAATCAAGCAGAATTTTCTGAGAAACTTCAGAAATTCTGCTCTAAATCTAAGGTTTTGCGAACTATATTGAGATCCGAGAGAAGAACTCATACAGATTGAGGAACAGAAACAAAAAAAAAAGGCCAACAAAACGGGAAGATCAAAACAAACCTTCGTCTAATCTCTTGAATTCAGTCTCACGGATCTCTTTGATGCTCTTAGGACCATCTGGGTATCCATAATAGTCTCCGAATTCCTTAAGAAAATCTTCCATCGCGATAGTGTTCCAGATGAAACCCAGGACAATCTCTTCTTCTTCTTTTTCTATTCTCTTTTAATCGCAGAAAAATCGCCGACGAAAAAACGACGGTGATTCCCGGCTTTTTTAAAATAAAAATCTATTTTTCTTTTTTCACATAAATAAGCATTAAATTTTGTATCTTATGATATGAGGAAAAAGAGCTGGAAAATAGCTAAAGCCTTTTAATAGAAAGCCTATTAACTCGTAGCCCGAAAGCCCATTAACGTTAAAAAAGAGAGATAAAATTTTGGGTATGTACATTTTTGGGAACTAAATGTTGTTCTATCATAAAATTAAGTATTTTTAAAAGTTTTATCATTTAGGTTAAAAATTGAAAAAATGAATAGGAAAACATTCATTCATTATATTTTGTAGGAGAATTAAAAGTATTGCATTCGTAAATTTTGTTTTTTATTCAATGCATATTTATTTTATTAATTTTACTTGTGACTATCATTTAAAACTCTTAGAGAATTCAACCTACCATGATATTATATACTTCCTAGTATTTTAAATAGATGTAATAGTACTAATTTATTAATTTGAGTTTTTGTGAATCTTACCAAGTAGCAATAATAAAATTCTAGACGACAGAAAAAGATAGATGTTTAGAAGTTTTAAAAATGTGTGTTTGTTGTTGATTAGTGGATGTGTTAACCAATCAAATTATAAAAGTGATTATAAAAGAAATTTCTTTTACATATATGCAGCATCTGAAACACCATATGAAAACGCTATCATATGGTTATAAAAGTAAACCAGATCTTGGTTCACCAAGAAGTGACAAATGATAATGGCATACCCGACCAAAACAAGGAGCAAAATAGAGAAGCAATGTTGTTTCTACTTGCAAGAAACTATAGAGAAAACTACATGTAGAGTATTCGATTCAATATTTAAACAAAACAATAGCCATTTCAACGCAAATATACGTATAAAAAATGTATGAGAATTTCCCGGTGGGCCACGGAAATCTTAAGGAATAGAGATGGGATTTTTCTGTCCAAAGCAAATCTAATGACTTATTACTTTTGGGTTGGACCCACAAGAAGATTTCATGTCTCACTTTCTATTCTTCTCTATATAAACACAATCACAGATAATTCTCTAAAGTCTTCTTCTCTTCTTGGTCATTTGCTTTAAAGTCTAAAAAGCAAAAAATTCTAAATGAGACAAAAGGGTCACAGACACGGAGGAGTGTCGCCTTGTGCCGCTTGTAAGCTTCTCCGGCGAAAATGTGTGAAAGATTGCGTCTTTGCTCCATATTTTCCAGCCAAAGAGCCTTACAAGTTTGCCATTGTCCACAAGATTTTTGGTGCTAGTAATGTCAATAAGATGTTGCAGGTGAAAATTCACTTCTCCCTTTTGTTGATATCTGTTGTTGTATTTATGATAGGAAATATATAAAACTAAAATACATAAACTGGCGAAGGCTTGCACCTTATGGTTTTTCTTGCTGCAATTTTATCAAGTATCATTATTAACTTTGACTCGCAGTTCAATAGTATAGCATGTAAGCTATAGAAGAAAAAACGGTTTATATAGTAGTGTCAAAGAAGAATTTACATTTCAGATTAATTAGTTTAAAACCTTGGATGGTCGGTCCTCCGTGCTTATTAAACCCTTCAATTTGTGTTAGATTCTTGAAATCTTAACGTTTACAATAGTTATATGTTTTTGGTCTTGTCAATGTGATATATTTGCTTTTTCTGAAAAAGAAAAAAATGTTTATCTGTGGAAAGTATCGAAACCGCGTGTAAGAATAGTGTAGGAAGTCACTTTCTAGTTACTATCAAAAGTCTATATTGCATGTCACGTTAAAAGGCAGAATCATGACATTATTTTTTCTTATTTGCTATCGTATGACTAATATATGACGCGGTGTACGATTTATCTATATCTCTAAAAGGGACTTCTCATTATTTTCTACTGTTAATATATATATAGATATATATATATATATATATGATATCATTTGCAAAATTATTACATACAAACAAACGCATCATTTGCTTTAAACATAGATATTTATTACATAAAGATATCATGTAGTAGAATATCATTTGATTCACCAATGATTTATCTCAAGAGAAGTAAACCCTAAAATAAAATGATTTTCACTGTGTATCTCTGCATAATTGTGTGATTTGGGTAAAAATGGTAGTGCGCTATATTTCGTTATTTCGCATATTACCTTTCATAAGCTATATTTAATTGTAATAGTATATAATCACCAAAACAATAGTATGATGCTAGAGAAGAAAAAATATTATAGAGTATATAGACACAAGAAGACCCTAAGAAATTACTAAAAACATCCCAAACTAATTCATTTAAACTATATAGAAGTCATTAAATAATAAAAGTAAATATTACTATCATCCTATGTAAATGATTTGACGATTTTATACAGATGCTGTCGGAGAACCACCGGAGCGACGCCGTGAACTCGATTGTGTACGAGGCCAACGCGAGGGTGCAGGATCCTGTGTACGGATGCGTAGGGACAATTTCATCATTACACAGACAGCTCGAGACTCTCCAAACTCAGCTCGCTTTTGCTCAGGCCGAGTTGGTACACATAAGGACGCTCCGTTGTATTGACACCAAACCTGCACCGCACACAGCGAGTGCCGCTACTTATCCGGCGAACAAAGACTTCTCCAGTGACGTCGACATGGCTTCTGTGTATGCCGGAGAGTCCCTTTGGTCGTAGCTTTAGCCTGATATATACTTAGGCTACTGTTGCAATAGTTTTTTTTTTTAAATGATAAGATATGTATATTATATGAACATGATAAGGAAATGATTAAATTAAATTAAAGTAGCTGCTTAGAATACTAGCAAGCAGCAACTAAGGAATCAAAATTATAAATTGTATTTCTATCTGTTTCTTATTAAGTTATAACTTATAAGTCATCTTAATTTTGTTTTATACGTGGGGAAGTGAATAGAGACTAGAGAGACATACTGCAATGTCGTATTGGCTTGATGAATTCATGCTACTGGAATAATAAAGCAAAAGTATTTGTGGTAATAACAAAATATTGTCGTATATTGATCGATGTACAATTACTCAATTAGATAAAATAATTTTGTATAATTTTGTATGAACTCGTGTTTCTTAACTTTCGAAAAAAAAGGTTACACAAATCTCTAAAACATTATACTGTAAAATGTTAGTGAGATCAGTGATGATCTATGTGCAGTATCTGTATATAGAATATACCATATCTTATTTTCAATTTTGAATAAAACTTAGATTCAAATTTCCAGCGAAAATGCATATAGTATCAAAAGCGAGAATAAGAAGAAAAAAACACTATCCATGTAACTAGATTTGGTCGAGAATACACATACTACAATGGTTATGATCCTATAACATTGGTCGAGATTCAAAAGTTCTGGTTTACGAAAGTTTAACGCATGTTTCTGTTGAGAAGACCTTGGAAAGACAGGTACAGATCTTTGTTATCTTCCCCAAATATCTCATCTGCTTTCCTCAGAGTTTCCTGTCAAAAGCATCAACCTTCTGAATCCAAAATCTGGACATACCAATATAATTTAAAAAAATGACACACGCACGAGCCAAGGTTTTTTTTACCTCTCGGGTTTGCTTCTGAGCGTTGAGTTCCTTGATGTTAGCTAAGAAGGCACTGAATTGTTCATAGGATAATCGGCTCCTAAGAATGATATATGACAAAGAAAATCAACACTTTGAAACTGTGGTTACTGATAAAACCGACAATAAGACAAGAAGAATTGAACGAAAGGCTCACCTGGCTTGTCTGAAAAATTCCTTACCGTCCATCCGAGGTGTACGAGCTGGAAAAGAGTTTTATACATTGTATTAATGAGAATCATATACGCTTGAGGTTTATCAAGTTTATACAAGTACTGATCTTAAAGATCCTACACGAACCTGGGAGAGTACGGTTGCGGGGTGGAGAATTTGCAGCCGACGATTGCTGACTTGAAGGGTACCAGATTGTTGTCTTTGTGGGAGAAACTGCACCCGATGTTCTTTTGGGAGAGCCCACAGCAGAATAGCCTCGAGGGGATACACTTGTGGAGATGATCTTCGGTGTTGCTGTTGGGGTAAGACGTGGAGAGATGTATGGTGTCATTGAAAAATTGTTTGCGGTGTATTTTGAAGCTGCAAAGTAAAAAAAAAAATATCATGTGTTCTTAATAGCAGCATAGAGATAAAAGGATAACACTGGACGGTTACTATAGGAGGCTGATTCAGTGTTACCTTCGGCAATTGGGTTTTTCATGTCTGCAGCAGATCCACTGTAAGAATGGTTTATTGAGTGTACGTTGGTCCTTTGATCTGCTTGGTTGAAAGATAAATAGCTCATACCGGCGTGTTCCGAAACAACCAAGATCAATCTTTAATTTAATTGGGAATCGAATACTGATGCAGCAGTACCTTTGCCTGGATATGATCCAGTAACTGACTTGTCGCATGTCCTGATATCAACAGGTTCTGCTTGCTGTAATAACAAATGGAGAAGAAGCGAAATTATATTCTCTGGAACCAGAGGCCGAAAGCATGCAGGATAGAGAAAATTAACAGGAAAAGCTGTAGGCCCTCGTGTAGAGCACACAAAAACACACATACATAAAACAACAAATTAATGTGTAATTACATAAAGCTTGAATGTCTTACATGTCCACTCTCGTCGCTAAGGGATTTGATTAACTGCCGCTTGAATGTCTCCAGCTAAAAACAGAGGCATTAGACATTTTCTCCCACCAGAGTGTATATATAGTGTGAAACTCTCTTACGATAAGAAAAGAAAAAAAACAAACCATAGAACATCAGAGAAGTCTCACCTTAGCCAAATCACGAGTGAGTTTTGTAACAGTCATCGCCAGTGAATCCTTCTCCTTTGTTAGGTTAATCTTTAGCAGAAAAGGAAGACAGTTAATCAATATGGTTATAGTCTTATGAAGCAGAGGAAAGACAAGCATGTCACTGAATCATTTGATTCTTCAGTCACTGATATGTTAATACACTGACCAGAGCTGAATATATATATATATATAACAACCTATTCTACCACTTATGGAATATAAGCTGAATCCTTTACCATTGTAAAATTCTCTAGACATGAACCAAATTCCATAACAAAGACACAAAACTAGCCAACAGTAACGAAATTCTAAATCTAAAATGAAGAAGTAAAAGCAACAGAGGAGGGGGATAACGAAATGAAGCTATTGATCTCACATTATCCTCGAGGACGGTCTTCAACCTGGAATCAGCCTCACGACAGTCTCTCTCCAGGCGAGACGCCTTCTCCTCGAGCTCACGCACAACATTTTCCTTGTCCTGAAGCTTATGCCTCAATTCCACCACCTCAGAGTCCAGGTTCGTCACCCTTGAAGCTATCGCCATTGACGTGATCTTCCTCGCGAGATCCAGCTGCTCGAAAGGGTCCATCGGAATCACCGACAGAACCTCCTCGGGGAGCTCGAAATCCAGGCGGTCGTCTCCCATTACCCTTCAGGTGTTTGAAATTGAACCCCAAATGTCGAATTGAATATCCCGAGAAGATTAGGGTTTTTAGCTCTGAAATTGTCCGATTGCCTGATGTTGCAGAGAGAAAAAAAAAAGGCTTTACACTTGTCGTTTTCTTATTGGCTGTACATCTTTTTCCAGTCTCTTTTTTTTGAATTTTTCTTGTTCGAATTTAAAGGAAAGCCTTTTTGATTACTTTTCCCTCCAAACCAGAGAAAACCACTTTTCATTACTTCTTTTATCATTTCTCAAAACTACTATTTATTTATTTCAAACAAAAGATTAGGGAGATAACAAGAAAAAGAAAACAAAATGTTAGTGCCGATCTGGTCCTACATTTCAAACTTACAAAATTGACAAATTGCGACGTGAATTTGCATTTATTATGTGTTGTTAAAATATTCCATATTATTGGCCTATTGAGATTTTTATATACTAAAACAATTTTAATTGCAATAATTAAAGTTTCAGCATTTTTCTAGTTACGAGTTGAGGTGTCACATCTATGCAGTTGAGCGGAATCACCAGACACGTGTATAAATACATATAAATTTCGTAGCTGCTACGTATATCAAATTTTCTTATGTGTACAACTACAAACACATAGCCGGAATTTACCGGTTTGCATTAATTATTTATACGATTAAATAATTAATCGGAACCTACATGTCAGATTATGATGTATCGTGTCGTGTGGTGAAACTCACAATCATAAAGCCTAATCTCCTCATCCACTTCGTTTGTATCGTCTGGTATACCAACCAAACCGATCGGAGACAGCTATCGGTTAGTTTAGCTGGTTAACACAGCCCAGGGTCTCAATTTGGAATTATAGTTTACCGGTTCAAACTCTATTGGTAACCAAATGTAAAATGGATATAGCCTGGATCGGTTTAATATAGTTTAAATTTACGAAAATAATCATAAAATAAATCCAGAATGCTTACACACAATAATTTTCCTCTATTTAATTTGGACCAAATCCCATTCAGTTGGAAACATTGGGTTTTTCATATTGTCCACCGGTTATGCATAATCGTTTATTAGCATCAGAAACCTATTAAACCGGGCAAAAAATATCCATCTCTAAACCGGTTTGTCTAATAGATACCGTGTTGTCTACAAGGCTTTTAGCATTTATTGCATTGTCCGGACCATAGGGGTATCTTCGAGACTTCGAGCATGTCTGTGTGCGTATACCTATATACACGTACATGTAATTACATAAATATACACACGGATGTGTTGTATATATATATACACATATCTCGATGCAAAAAAAAAAAAACATATCATCTTCTGAGTCGTCTTCTGATAATCGAAATAGACTTAAAAGAAATGTATTGTCTTCAAGTTGCAGCTTATCACTTGTTCTTCAACGCAGCTCGGTTATGTTATCTTCTCGCTCTGGTTATCTTTATCTTCCTCAGGTTCTTTTCTATTTTCCAGAATATCTCAGTTGTTAGTCACGTCGGCGAATCCAGAACGGCATCGTTTTCAGCGATTGCTGTTACACAACAAGCTCAGGGAGATTTAAATGTAACTTTCTCTCGTGTTTTCTTAGGATCTGTAATGAAAGATGTTGTGGATAATGTTTTCTAGTGAGTTGTGTATTGTTTATGTACTTATCTTTACATATATGATAACGATGATTCTAGGCATCATCACTACTACAAGTTTCTTTAATTTTTTTCTTTTCGGTTAGACTTGAGGTTCTAGCAGAGTAGTTATGCCGTCGTGTGATAAATGATAACTGCGTTAGTTTTTAGCCTTTTAGGACGAACGATTTTTTTTTTTTTAATTCGGTTTATTATTGTGACTGTATTATACAAAAATTAAATGCCAACTAACTAATGCCTGAAAAAGGTCTTAGCAAGCTCGATCCTATATAGACCGGTTTAAGAATAGGGTCGCTTTGTTTTTCTTATTCCAAAAACGTAGCCGCATATTTTCGATCCACCAAAACCTATAAAAATCAGCAACTTAATTACAAATATATAAATTCTCCCTTTTTTGGTACTTGGCAACATTTGTATTTTTAGAGCATCATTAATGATGATTTTTCGAAGAGTATTAAACAAAAAAAGAAAAAAAAAAAAAAATGGCGTGATGAGACTGGGAAGGAGCGCTTTTCTGTGCAGAGCCTGCAGTCCGTCTCTTCTATAATGTGGTGATGTCTGATTTAGTTAATTTTTTTTTTGAAAATCATTTTTAATAAAAAAATAATAATAAAAGTCTTTTACGATAATCATGCTCTTAGACCATTTGTAATAGAAATCTTTCAATAAGTTTTTCACTATTAAAAAAAATTAAAAAGTTAAAATAAAGAGAAAGAATGAGATGAATCTCTTATTTGAGAGATTATGAAAGACTCATGAAAGATTTTCAAACCATGTGTTTTTTTATAATTGGTTTATTTTTTTAATAAATTAAAATGTAATTATTAAACTAAATTTTACTTAAAATAATAGAAATTCATGTGAATCTCTCACCAATGCAGATGATCTTAGTTTTGTATTTTAAACTCACTGTCATATTATTTTGTTTAGTCATTTGTAGAGTATTTTTTTCTTTTCATGATGTAGATATCTAATACAAATAAATACTGAAACTGCGGCCCGGTTCAAAATGTGTTTGGGCCTTTAACCTTTGTAAATGCCGAAACTAAATCCAAATTATTCCGGGCCGACAGATAGGCCTCACGTGTTTGGCATTAAGTTTTGTATTTTTTGTAAGAAAAAGCCAGATTGTTGTTGTGTAATACGAGATTGCTCCGTACTGAGGTCAGAGAAAGAAGGACAGGCAGAGAGTTGGTGGGTCACACTCTGTATGAATAAAATGAGTAAATGACCGTACAACCAAACCCACCTGCCACTCTTTAATACCTTTAATGACACGTCATTGAAAAAGAAATAGATTTCTCCGTTTTATTTTATTTTTAGTACATTTTATTGGAAAAAATAAATTTGTCTTTTCAATTTCCCTCTTTCGATTGAACTTGAAAAACCCATCCATTTTCTTCAAAAATCCATAATATTTTTTGTGCGTATGTATATAGAAAAATATATAGATAGTTGAAAAGTCGTAATGAAAAGTACGGTATATAGCTAATAGAATCATTAAACATGTCGTCTTAGTTTGTTTGTTTTTTCTGTAAACTTGCCGTTTAGTTAATGAAACAATTTATTAAAGAACAAATTTAGTAATATCCAAAACGCAAGGGGACAAAAGTGTCGTGAACAACTTGTCTAGTGACTCCGAATTTGGTCGATGTTTTGTTTATGCCTCGATGTTTTTATGTAACTGTAACTATTTGAGTTTCTTTTTAAATTAAGAAATTTGATGTTTTTTTTGTTAGTTATAAATTGTGTGTTCGAGACATGCGAATAACGTTTACCAGACAAGAATTAGTATTGTAGATATTTAAACGAGCAAAATAAGTATGAAATGTTGAGGAAACTATAAATTTTGTCGGGCAGATCAACTATAAAAATAAAAGAGACTAAAAACATACTACAGTATAAAATACGTTCAACAAGAAAAGATATCACAAAGCTGAAATTAATAATATTCTAATAATCCAAATAATCGACAAAAACGAAGAGACAGATTTTTCTCGATCCAAAATTGATATTTCTGTACTAGTCTCTTTGACTTATTGGTCTCTGTGTAAATCTTATAAAATGTACGTTGAACTATCCGCGGAGATTTCATCCAACCATCTTTAATTTATTGACCAATTTTCTGAAAAGGTAAAAAACAAACAAAACTCGATTTTAAAATACTTTATTTATTTATTGAATTCTACTAAACCACCAACCTCATAAATGAAGCTTTCAAAACATTTCCTGTTTCTTTCATCTTTGACCATGATCACGTAAGAACAACTTGTTAATCATACTCGAATTTGATTTTAAACAAAATCACGGACTATTTCATTTGGTTGGTCTAGACTTCACTAGCTCAAATCTATAATATAATACGTAATAGTATTAATATACAATAAGTAATAAAATAAGAGAAAATGTTTCAAATAGATTTGCAATAAAATGTTAGCAAAACGATTACGTGAATTCGTAGTTTCGGTAATATGTTATAATAAAAGAAAACCTGCTGTGTAGCTTTAACTTGATTTTGTATGTTAAAGGTTTAATATTCTAAACTTTTGATGATTTTATAATTACTTTTTATCTATGTTGTTACTTAAGATTTGATTTCCTAATCAGAATACAAAAATTACAAGTAACTTTTTAATGGAAATATAAAAAGAAATTTTACTATATCACAATTAAGAAATGCACAATATATTTTTGATTTAAAATAGTATAAATGTAACTTCAAACTCTATATTTTGAAGTTCGTGTACGGTATATATCTCATACACTTCAGCTTGAAATTTCAGAAACGAAAAGTAGTTTTTCTCAAATTTTAAATATATTAAAAGCCTATTTTTGACCTAGTTAATTACTTATATTTTTATCAACAAAAAAAGTATTTTTAATTTTATGTTCTGGAAGTTAAATTTCCTGGGCTTGTACCTGGCAAGTACCGCCTATGTACTCTCTCCCGTATGCTCTCGTCATAATCTTTCCATGTCTCCTCTCTCTATATATAATCCTTCTCTTTGTCCCACACACTCTCTCTCTGTCTCTGTCTCTCTCCCGTTTTGAATTTCATCTCTCTTGAAACCGCCGGAGTAGTAAAAATGAAGCATCTAATCCGCCGCCTCTCTCGAGTCGCCGACTCATCCTCCGAATTCTCCCACCGTCGATCCACCTCATCCTTTCGCACCCGCCGCGGCCATCTCCGTCCCCACGCGCCACTGCCGCCATGGTCGATCTGTCCGGCGAGAAGAGTCAACACCGTCCCCGCCGGTCACGTACCTGTCTACGTCGGCGACGAGATGGAGAGGTTCGTGGTGAGCGCTGAGCTGATGAACCATCCGATCTTCGTCGGGTTGCTCAACAGATCCGCTCAGGAGTACGGTTACGCCCAGAAAGGAGTCCTCCACATCCCCTGCCACGTCATCGTGTTCGAGCGCGTGGTGGAAACGCTCCGGCTGGGATCTAACGAGTCCCGTGAGCTTCAGGATCTCGTCGCGTCGTTACTCTCCGGCGAGGAGTTTATATCTGGAACTACAGAGTAGCTTTCGAAGAATCAAATCGGCGATTTATATTTTACTCAAAAATTATTTTTAAATTTCCGTCTTTAGTTTCTCGGGGTTCTTTTTGTAAATATATACCGGTTTTCTTCTTCTAAGTAATCTCTGTTTTAGCTGGCCCCGTAAAGTCCACATATCAAACCGACAATGAATCTGCAGAAATTGAATTTGATCTCCGGCGACTCTGTAACTGAAACGCCTCTGTTTTTTTTTCCCCGCAATTAAAAAGTAAAAAGTAAAAACAACAAAAAGAACAAAAGAGAAAACAGAAGAAACGTGCGTCCCACACGTTTCATGTACCCTTTTGGTTTAACAATCAAATTAACTCAATGTCGAAATTGCACGTCTTGGTAAATATAAGTCATATGTGTATTTTGTGTGTGTTTAGCATATACCAACAAACGTACGAGTTAGTGTATTTATGGAGTTCGACGGCAAACTTAGAACTACGAAGTTTAGTTTCAACTTTGTAAGTTAAGGTCTACTGATTAAGTTTGCAGATGTTATTCTTTTTTGTAATTCTGTGTAATATTAGAAAAATATATGGCTCATAAACAATTCGATATCTTATGCTTGTATTTCAGTTGATTTTGTTTTACAAAAAAGTTATGCAAAGGATATAATATTCCGAGAACCATTGAAGACCGGAAGAGGATGAAATCGTAATATATGGATAAGCGCCGGGTTAGTTTTGTCATTTAAATTGGAGTATGGATTTGTGTGCAGTTGTGCACCGTACGGATCCATCAGATAAAGTACATAGAGTTGCAACAAAACGTCCAAATAATATATCAGTTGAAATTAAACAAACATTAAATACATAAAGATCCACAAATAATGATTTTATAATATACTCCGATCTATACTTTTATTTATGTATTTGCACACGTCGACGTACACTTTTTTTTTAGTGGCGCACACACTTTTTATCAATATTTTTTGTTTATTGTATTTTTTTTTATAAATTTTAAGAGAATAATAATCATGCACTCTCTTTAGATTAGTTGGGATTTGTAAATGTGCTGCCAAAGAAAGTTAAATTGTTAATGCTGTCGAGTGTCGACATATATTAGTTAGTTTTTTTTATTTTTAGATCATTAACATAAACAAATTGGATTGAAATTATGGTTGTAAGTACTATTATCGACAAGATGCTTATCAGTTGCATCTAATTAACAACGGGAGACGACATATCGTATTTTTTTTCTAGGCCAAACTGTCAATTTATAAATTCATTTAATAGGTACTATTTAACCCAACCTTTTGGCTATTTAATAACTGATACCGAAAGTTCTAATTTTATAATGTAAATGTCACTACATTTGAGTGGATATTACACTAGTACTCTCATAAACTATATGTGTATATATCTTAATAAATCACTGCAAACAGAAAACTTAAGGAAATTTCTCAAATTAGTTATTGCAATATTACATTAGAAATTTTGATAAAATAGGCAAAAAATAATACGACGACCATAATATAGCAGTTTTTCTAGAAGTTTTTTTAATTGTATATTTGTATAGGCAGGTGGTCCATTTGTGGACATTCGACAGAAAAAGTTAAAGAATAGCAACAAGTGTTTGTAAGTTGTAAACAACAACAACAAAAAACCATAAATTTATGTAATTCATAATGCTAAAATGGTTGCTATCGGAATTTATGAGCTATGTTGAAAATATTTGAAAACAAAAGTATCTTGTTTTCAAAAGTAAAAAGTCAAATCAAAGCTTGTTTAACAACTTGAGCTATAAAAAAATACAGGCTAGAACCAGAATTAAATTATTAACTGTACATGCATATAATATTGTGTTCCGAGATATATCAATCGGTTTTGGGAAGGGTGAAGATGGGCATGTACGACACTGGACTATTTGCCGGAATACTGAGATCTACAATTTCTGTTTTGTTTTTATATATCCCTAAATGAGCAAGATTCAGTGATGTGGCAATCAACAATTGGCTAGAAGGTTGATTTGGCAAATCTATGGCACATGTGTTGCTTCATTTCGTACGATGTTGGGGAAACTTAAGTAACAGCTAACGAGTTAGCATAAATCACAGCTGACAACTTTACATCCATATACCAACTCTTTTGTATGTATTATTACACTTAAAATACTAAAATAATTTGAGAATAATGATTTAATGTATAAATTACAAAGGGCAGGAGATCAAAAGTATATACATATGTACAGGTTGAAGCAGCAACAAGGAACCTATTATGCTTACTTTTTCTCCACATCATAAAACCGAAAATAGCTAGAAGATACTCAATTACAAGAATCTGCTTGTTAGCTAATGGCACAGCAAATGAGAGAACTGAGTATTACTATTTAAACGTGTTCGGTTTTAAATTTTTGCAAAAGGTAAACCGAGAGATGAGGAAGTTACATTTTACAATCATCCGAATCTGGAAAAGATTTGCCTACATCTGCTATGATATGTTAAACTCGATATTGTAATTAATAGAAGCTTTTCTTCTTTATCAACCAGCAAGTAAGAAAGTAGAGATTCCATACTTTCGTTTTCAATTAGTTTTTGCTTGTTGAATCTGCTGGAGAAGTGCTGCTGCTAGCTGTAACGTTGCTTGAAGACGCTTCTGTGGATTAGCCTCGGTTTCTTCTTCTTCTTGACCGTTGCTGCTACCTTGTAGCTGTACGTTTTGATTTCCTGGAGATACCAATTGAGGTATGGTTGGTGCCTGCACGTGTTGCAAATGGCTGAAACTTGCTCGAACCTCTGGTGCATATCTCTCAGGCTGATTTGGTGTGTTATCTACCTGCGTCTGCTGTCTGGACAGAGAGGAAGCTAAATGTGTAAGCTGTTCAGGCTGAAACCCTGAAAAGGTTTCTGTTTCATGGAAACGACTTCGATCTGCACTTGACTGATTCCCAGGAACAAACCCGCTATGCTCTTGAAAGCCTACCAAGGGTTGACTTCTGGTGTTGGTAAATGACACATCACGAGGTGGCCTGTCCAATCCAGAATACCGGTGACTCAACTGATCGTGCTTGCTCTCGATGTACGGATCCATATGTGAACTTTGAACATCTCGTGCAGCACTACGCAAATATGGTGGGTTTCTAGCATCAGGATAAGCTCCATTGTCCTCTGAATACGATGTCTCACCATAATAGGTTAACAGGTCTGGATCTCTTCTCTCACCTTGCTGTTGAAGAGGTCCAGATCCAGAACTGCCGTATTCTAACCGTAGAATAACCCCGGAGATGCTTAGTTTCCCGGGAACTTTAAGTACTTTCTCGGAGAAATCAGATGGAGGCACGAGGAATAACGTCGTTGTGTCATCCAATTTAGAAACAGCTGCGCGTTGCTTCTCCTCCAGATAATGCATAAACTCGTTATAGAAGCCAATATCAGCATCGCTTCCAGGAACGAAGAAAACCACCCACGCTTGAGATGATTGGTAGTAATGCTTCGCCAGCATGTCTAAACCAGTTCTTGCCGTGCAATCTAGAAACTCAGGCCTGCATTTACAACCATTAACTAGATCAGAAAATTTCATCACAAGTCTAAAAGACTATATACAAAACGACTAAGCTCTCTCAGCTGCTTGATTGAATGCAACTGAAACAAGAAATACAGAAAAAATAAAGATTTAGAACTACTTACAGCATCATGTCCATCACTTTGCCCACAGGAAAGCATTTAGCACGACAAATAGGGTTCCCTCCCTTTGCAATAGTCCCTTCCCAGTTCCAGTCCTTAAGTGATGGTCGATTCAGTTCAGGGGTATACCGTTTCCCTTCAGGCAGAGAAAAAGCTCCCATTAACTCGTCATTTTGTTCACGAAAGCTACTCTTATCCCCGTTTCTCATACCCAGATTCAATGGCTTCTCAACCGCTCGCTTGTATCTTAGCTGTCCAGCCTCATAGTTCCGCTCCAACGCGTCTTTTGGGGAAAAATCAGCAGATGCCCTTGAAAAAGGCTGTCTCTCAGGCTGCGACGACCTTGTCTTCTGTCTCTTGGTTTCCTGGTAGTAGTAGTCTTCTTCGGGTAAACCCCATGGCTCTTCATACACAGAACTCCTTGAAGAAAACCTGTGAGGATCATCACGGAATGCAGAACCCATTTCCCTAGGACTAGCATGATACTCATGCATATCCTGAGGCAGTTTATGCGCAGACCTCGACCTTCCATATGCAGTGCCTCCATCATTCCTCGAGGCTCCTTTCCTGCTAAACATGTAATTTTCAGACTCGTCAAAATCCCTATCGTCTATGTAATGTGGGTCCCTCATTCTGCTCATGCTTCCGTAATTTCTATCCTGAAGATAGCCTTCTGAAGATCCCAGCCGATCAACAGATCTGTAAGGCGGAGAGAGTGATCGACCAGACGAACCCCTTCCACCGCTGGATGAGGAAGGTTCACTCTTTGCGAAAGAAATATGCACTCGAGAATTCCCAAACAGTTTACCCTGAAGAGTTTCTTTTGCCTCACAAGCTGCCATTAGATTCCGGAATTGAACAAATGCATAACTACGACCAGAGAATATCGTAACCTTCGTTATGTCTCCAAATGGAGAAAAGACCTTCCTCAATAGCGTTTCATCTACTTTCAACGATGCTGGGAATCCTATATATAATACCTCACTGGGTTCTGCATTTCTGTCACTCATATTCGATTTGCTATACGTATCTGGGCTCTCATAACGCATTCTAGAGTCCTTTTGGACAAAAGGTGACACTCTTTCTGCATACCGCTGTTCATCATGACGATATATATCTTCTGTGCGTGATCCACTAGAGGACTTATCCTGCGATAAACAGTATCGTATTAACCAAAGCCTTAGTTAACTGCATGATCAAGAATAAAAAGATTCTCAAGTTTTAGAGAATAGCCATATTAGTTCAGTGAAGAAAGTCACTGGCTTTAGTGCCAACTCGTTTATGAGTCATTTAAAGAGGCAACTTACCGGAATAGCTAGCATTGGTGGTAAAGCAATCACATGAACCTATTCTATATAAAGACCCACTATACTCAAGGATAAAGCAGAAATGTTACACAGCTTTTGCGCATGGATGAACAATACCCTTTGCCACGAGCAATTAACTAGTTAAGATAGCTATGCAACTAATACCAAGAAAACGATAAATACAATCTACATACAACACCATCTCTGCAATATGTAAGCTTTTACGTAGACAGGTAAATAACTGAGATATCAGACAATAAGGCAGCCCTTAGCATATTACAGAAAAGGGAATCTTTCTCCTCAGTTTCAAACATCATCATTTAGCCACGAAGAGTTTATAACAGAAAGGCACTGCAATCATGCCAAATTTAGGCATCACCAGAAACAAACAGCAAACCTAAGACGTTTGGCAATGAAAGTTATAGTATCATCTTGAAGGCAATGAAAGTTATGCTCAATTTACTGGCCTGGTGCAAGGCTGGAATTGGTAAATGTGAAGCAAATGCTGCTTTTGATCAATTAATCCAATCTCTCTATAAATAAGTAAGCATTTTAATAGCTTGTGTCTGTTGGCATTGTCAAGTTGAATGGATTATAACATGGTGAAGATGGGGAATGGATGTTAACAAAGCCTTGAACGCATGGTAGGTTACTGACGTATCAATTAGTGAGTATGGAGGTATGTCATCAACTACTAGCTAGATAATAGTTTCATCTTCTAACAATAAGTTCATAATGAAATAATGGAAGGTAGGAAAAGTTACTTGGGCTATCATGTCATTCATCTTCATAGATACTGAGAGACAACTGAAGAAATCAAATTCAAGTTAGGTGAACTAATGCCAACGTAATGCTATTAACTTTGGATCAATAAGTTTGGAGTGAATGTGGACCTGAAGATGAAGGATATGGATATGAAAATTTCCAAAGTTGTTTGGTAAACATCAACTCCAACACATGTAGATGATCCTGGAAAGCAGTTGGCCTCAAGTAATCTAAGAGCATATTTCTCACCAAAAGGAGAGAGAATTCCAAACTACCAAGTTCAAATTATTTGTCAATAACATTCTGAATGCTTCTCAACATTATGGCTGAAGTGCCTGTGCTGTGAATGATAAAGGTGAATGCTTATGAGGTTACACCTGGACACCTTTGATGTAGAAACATAATTGAAGATAGAGATGGCCTTGACATGGTTTAACAGAGAAAGATTTCTATTTCTAAGTTTCCATCTGTAGAAACATAATTATCTATGTAACTACTGAACCTTTCCCATTTTATGTGAAAGAAAACTTGTTGCAATTTATCAAAGCCTGCTGAAATTTGTGTCACTGATCTATGCAGCAGAGTGTGAGGCTTACAAAGAGGAGACACCAATGACATACGAGCTGTGCTTGCTTTGCTCATTGATAAGTTTCATCCGAGACAAGGGATTCAGAGCAATTTAATACCAAATGAGAGAATTATTAAAGCAGATGAACACATGACTAGCATCTCTGAGTAATATCTATGATAATCACTCCCTCAAAACAAGTATTCCCTTTTCGTAATGGCATCACTAGACATCTATTGGACTATGAAGAACTAAGTAAGTCCTGTTCTCTCTAATCAGCCTCAAGACTCGAAACTAACTCAAATTCAATCAACAGGAAGATCAGATTCAAAGGACGAGAAAGCAAAACGCACGAGTACAGGAAAGCAACAACGAAACTAGGAAAGAGAAGGATTTGCGAAGAGAAGCAAGCATAGAAGAAAAGAAAGAGTTCAACACTAACCGCCTTGGCAAACTCGATCCTAAGAGGGTTGCCGGCGAGTGAGAACCCTTGGAGCGAATCAATGGCAGCGAAGGCATCCTCGTCGTGCTTGAAGTTGAGGAATGCGTAGCTCCGTGCAGGCTGAAACGCAACGCTCTCCAATTCTCCGAACCTTATGAACCGGTCGGCTAGTTCCCGTTCCGATATCCCATGGGGAAGGTTCCCGACCCAGAGATGCCGCGACGGCGGATTCCTTCCTCTGTCCTCCTTCATCGTCCTCTCCCTTCCTCCGCCTCCTCTAACTGACTGTAAACAACACCGGCACAAAACAAGATGAGCACATATGTGGCAGCTTGAACAGGAGAAACAAGGAGAGGGATATAGACCATTGCCACTTCGAGTTTCTGGTTTCCGTGATCCGATCTGCTGCGAGAGAGAGAGAGACAGAGAGAGCAATCGGAGATTTCAGATGAGAATCCTCACCGTGATCACTGTTGTTCAACTTTCACTGTAACTAAAAAGGATTTTTTCTATTTAGGGCTGCAAAATCCCCAATTTCAACTGAGACGTCTGATCTTCTTCCTATTTGGATCCGCAATTTTACAGAAGCGCGCCTATACTATCGGGTTGTTATCAAATCGACCCCAAACATTTTATATTATTTCGTTCGAATTTGAAGTATCTAACTGATACAAGTATTAATGAGTTGGGTGCTGCTATGTCACGGAGAGGAACTCCCATAGCCATTCATCGAAAAGCTATAGTCTAATGAACCTGATTTCGATGAATTCGGATATAAATAACAGTGTTAGTGACAGTCCAAAAGCCAAAGGTGAACATGAGCGCAAAGTCTTCATGTGCATGTACAATTGTGATAAAAAAAATTCTCACTTGAAGATGACTTCTTTTCTCTTAGGATGGTGTGGATAAAACCTCCATGGCCCAAGATTTTTGAATTTGAGAGAGGAAAATGGGTAACCAAATATCACTATGGGCTTTTTGACTTGCAACCTTCTTCATAGTTTGTGGATGGAGCTTTTGTTAGGACTTGGGTTGTCTAATGGAGCCCAATGTAAAGGCCACATAAGACTAAGCTAATTTGACAGTTAGGGTACACAAGTAAAATAACTCAGCAAAAAAATGCTATTAGATTTTATAGCATTTGCTAGTTAAAGTAATTTCAGATCCAATCCATAAAAGTTGTTTGATTTTTTTTTTTTAAAAAAAATACATGAATCCAACTATGACAAATTTATACGAGTTAAAACTATAATACATAAACATAATATCATCCAATAATTAATATTGGAGTGATATATTTTTGAAAAAAATGTATCGACTCAGACAAAAGTTTGCAATAGCTGACGTCATAAATAGCATGTTCTTCTTCAACAAAATAAATAAATACAAGTTGTTAATAGTTTGATATAGACAAATACCAACCAAAGCATCTGTAGCACCGTACTCCATCAGTAATATGTTCAATGAAAAAGTTATTCTACGAGATATTTAATAACTAATTTATGTCCTACCCAAACGTATGCTTTTCTTTTATTGTTGTCATAGCACTGTAATTAATACTGTAGACTTGTAGATCTTATTTTTAAGAAGAGGATTTTTTATAGACTTCTGCACTTTTATGAAAATAAATTAAAATTGAAAACGACTCTCGTTCGAAATCAAATGGAATGAGAATATACATGTATGCATATGTTTGGTCACTTGGTCAGCAGTATGTGTGTGCATGAACATGCATCGTTGGCCTATGCAAGAAGTTAGGTCAGCGAAACTTTAATGACTCGTTTATTGACTTATTTCTACTTTAATTGTCATATTTATTATTCATCAGTTTTTTTGTATGTAACAGTCTACACCTACAGTAAATGCCCCCTTACTCCACTTAACTTCATTTGAAAAAAAATACACTTCAAATATTTAATTCATTAGTGATCATATAGTATTTGATCGCTCTCTTGATTATTTATCCAGCACCAAAATAATGTATTTGAGTTTTTCTTTTTGTACTTTTTCGGCAAATGTATTTGAGTTTTTAATATTCGTTTTCAATGAAATAAAAGAACTTTCAAGGTTTGAATCCTCTATATAAGACTTTCACCATTTAATTATTTTGTGGAAAATGTTATTTTTAAATAGTGGTTGGAAGAAAAATAATATTAACTTAATAAATCGTCAACTAACATCGAACTAACCTGACTTTGGGTTATTTTCTTTGACAAAAAAAACACTGGCTTATTATTTTTTATTTTTTTTGTCAAACACATTGGGTTGTTTTAGATGCGGAATAAAGAAGAGTAAACTTTTAATAACGATAATAATAATAATTGGCGTATGGTTGAATTAAGTATAATTAAATCTATTGACCAAATAATAGTTATCAGATTAACATTTTGTTACCTCAAATATTAGTCTCTCTTTCAAATAAGAAAAACACTACTCCTTCATTACTAATTTACTACAAAGCAATTTACAAAAAAAAACCTTACTTCATTTCCAGTAAATTTCCTCCTTTTATCCATGAAACTCCTGATTTATCTATCATTTACAGAAACCGAAACTTTCAAAAAATAATTATTAATTTCGATCCATAGAGCTTTCAAATCGAAATGTTGAGATCAATTTTAGGCTTCTTCATGGCAGTCAAAGGAACAAACGAATGACACCTCGGGCATTTCGGATTGTTCTTCATCACCAACACGTACGATAAGCATCCTGGACATCCCGCCGCAACCGGAGACGCGGCGGCAGAAGCGTTTCGATCGCAAACGCCGTCGTCTGGCGATTGGCGTTTCTTGATCGCCACGGATGAAACTTTCTCCGCCCTCTCCAGCGCCGATTTCACCTTCTCGAGTGTGCAAACACTCTGGAAACTCGAATTCGTCGATGATACAGAGATCGAAGATAGATACGAGAGCGACGGAATTGAAGAAGATGATGATGACGAAGACGGGACTAGCTTCAGTTCAAGGGTTGTGTCGTCGAAGAGGCTTAGCAATGGTTTCGCCGGAGATTTACCGGGAATCGGCGGGAAATTTAAATCATGAAACCTCGCAACTGTTTGGGAGGATTTGTTTGCGACTGCGTCGTGATGATGATGATGAGTTGATGACGACGAACTCGTTGAATTGCATTGTTGCAGATACACTTTCCCTGACTGTTTTCAAAAATTCACAGATTGATTACGTCAATAATTACGAGTTTTCAGTTTTCAAGAATATAATTACCCGTTAGCAATTGAAACGGATTCAGACTTCGCAGTAATTACAGAGAAAACAAAATTCGAATTTTTTTTTTTTCATTTCCGAAGCATATCTGTTACTAGTTTCGTTTCTTCCTCTCAAAACTTTATCGGAAAAAAACGAAAATAGAGAAATCTAAGCAACGAACCTTCAAGTCGAGACGCTTTTCCCAGCCGTTGGGGACTTGAAGGTCAAGGTCAAGCTCCAGTGATTGATCGTCTCTTCCACCTCCGCAACCGCCGCTTCCGAGGAGATCGCGAGTCATGAGCGCTACCGTTGATTTTGGTCCGACGGAATCCTTTACCGTCGTCCGATCATCCTTGTACCTACTTAGTATCCGTACGAGAGAGCTGACGTCAGCAGCCATACTAGAAAGAAGAAAGAAGAGAGAGAGAGAGAGAGAGAGAGAGAGAGAGAGAGAGAGAGAGAGAGAGAGAGAGATGGAGATCAGTTATGGGGTATGTTAGGCAGAGAGTTATATAGATGGGGCCAAAGTCTCAACTCTCAAGTTAACGAGGCCGGTTACAGCAAATTTAAAGCCAATAAATTTGTTTCATTTATTATTAAAAAATTAAAACTATGACAAGTAAACATTTTTATTCGCTGCTCGAGAATTCTTTTTAGTACTATGTTTCTGCTATTTGTTTCCACCGTGAAAAAATTAACTTCTTGTGTAATCTGTGTGTCATATAAATTTGTAAAAGTATTTTCCTACTCATCACAAATACATAGAATCGTTTCACAATTGACAAAAAAAAAAAAACATAATTTCCACTTTTTTTTTGTTTTTCTTTTCGCACAACATAATTTTCATCCTACATTGAAAAATTGGAGACTGAACCAATCCATGCCTAAGTAGGGAAAGCTAGGTAGAAACCAGCAACCCATAATGCTTTTGGCCATTTCAAGGTTCTATAATCAGTACCTTTTTCTAACTAAACCATACTGCATTTAAGATATTAAACTTTAAAGTACAACTTCTTAGGAAAATATACAAGGAAAATATGTATTTTTCTTTTCTTTTACTACCAACTAAATAGAGTTTAAATTAAATGAATAAGAGTAAGAAACAGAGTAACAAATTAAGAATCAAAAGGCCAAGAAAGGGTGTGGAGGGAGGAATTCAAGGAGGTAGCAGACACAAAGTGTAATAAATGCAAAGAAAAACGCATTAAGTTGCGTGGAAAACTCCAAGTAGTTTCTGCTTCTCTCTATCGTTTTTTTTTGTTTTTGGTATTATTATTCTCCTCTCGACTTATAGAATAGAGTAGCATTTTCAAGTCCTAAATTTAAGTTTTGCTTAATTAACCACGCATTGATGAACATATTTATTTAGTACACTTTCGTCTTCTTTTGTATTGGGCACGTCAAAGATATTTAATGACGTAGGGTATTGGTACGAGTGTGTGGTATTTAGAGTAAACCAACACTAATATTGGAGTATATTATACTATGTCTTGCCCAATAATATCAGCCTTCATTGATTTTGCCTACATAACATACCCTATATTCTTTTTGTTGTTACATTTACTTATAAGCAACATTTATTTGATCAGGAGATGTATAAACTTTTTTTTTTGTTTGAGCAACAGTTTTATATAAACTTGAAGACAAACATTATTAGGCAACGTGTCGTAAGCCCGTTGGGGCACGAGCCACGTATGATGTGGCTTTTCGTCGGAGGGTGTGGCAACGAACTTTTTCGTTCATCCAACTAATCGAATTATCGACCTTTTATTTTTAATTAACTTTAACTCGGTTTCAGTATTCTTTATAACCTTATTACTATATTGTTTCATTTTACAATGGGTCGCATGTTCCTTTAATCTAAATGGAAATTTGTAATTTACAAACCTTTTATAGGGTATATAAAAAAAGAAGGGAAAACTGCGAAAAAAATATATTGATAAATAATTAACTAAATGGAGTTCGCAGAAAAAAAATGAATGTTTAAGCATTCAAGAGCTTTAAATAACAACGTTGAAAACGTTAAAATAAAATTTAAAAAGAAAAAAAAATAAAAAAAATCCATAAGTAAGTGATGATGCTCACGGACGTTATTCACTTATTCTCACGAGTCACGACACCAGCGCAACTAAAGCTCTTAAATTTTCAACACATGCACCTACCTTTTCTTTTCCACGACTAAATTCTAACTAAAATTTCTTCATAAGGGGACAATATTGAATAGTTAAAGAGACAAGTTCATTATTAGCCTTGATTATGAGAAAAAATACATTAAAAACCTGATTAAGTGAAAAAAAAAACATGAAATGGAGAGCTTAATCTTGAAGTTGATGGTTGGAAGAAATAAAGCATTCCACCAGTACTTATTTTACTGCATTTTTCTAGCTGATATGAGTATAAGAGTTACTCTTAGTCCTAACTAGACGGCTAGCCCTTAAATGTATTTATAAGGTGACCCATATAACGATAGCATGAATTAAATTGGACATCGTATTTATTAATGGTTGCAAGACTGGTCTTGGGATTTGAATGCATTTAAATGCGAAATCGGTAAGGTTTATTAATGCGAAAATTAAATGGCACTGCCCTTTTTTGTTATGATAATATTTTTGAGAGGGTAATCTTTAATTGTTATGAAAACCTTAAATTCCGAGGCCATAAAGAAGTTGCAGCAGTCTGAGATCGGATTCTCCACCACCAACTAACTTTTCAATAGTATTTATTTTTGTTTTATTTTCCTTCAATGCATAAAAATGTTCAATCTTCCTTCACCAAAATGTTGTTGTCCTTTAAATGTTCAATATTTAGGCTTGGCCGACTGTATTATGTCGACGAGGATGACTTAAATTAAAATCATATACTCCCGCCAAACTATATTTTTTATACTGTACTACTGTAGTTTCTTAGTAATAGATGTGTTAAAATAAAATTTTGTTTTATCAAAATATACATTTCTTATGTTTCCCTACTTACTAGAACCAAAATAAATAAAACAAGGGACAGTTAGCATGTTTTCATCAATCATTTACTCCAAAAATTATAGACCCTTTTTTTTTTTTGAAAAATGGTTATCCATTATATATTAATTTGACGTCTAAGTCGACGTAAGTTTGTCTGGGTTAGCTCAAAATTTTACAGAAGCTTGTTTTGGTTTAGCAAAATTTTACTTTGTGAACTGACCTAAACGTATTTGTATTAAAATTGTTATTTACGAGAGGAAAATGTCAAAAGGCAATGTTCATCACGTTGATTCGTTGAAGTTATTAGACATTTTCAATAGTTTTAAGAAATTTCCAATTGTTTTGGTTCTGAAACTTTCGCAAGTTCTTAGAATCATTTTAAGACAACGATATAGACTAAGAACTTGTGAAAGTTTCAAAACAACAAATGTCTTAGTCTAAGCAGTTTATATTGTTGTCTTAGACTTCATCATAGTTAGTTGATACCGCGGCAGTATATCACCGAATCAAATTAACACCACAGGTCCGCAACGTTGCATTAACCATCGACCGTAAACACGAGCCACTCGTAATTCTTGAGATTAGGCTTAGACTAGAAAGGCTCATATACCGTATTTTCAGCCCATATAATGTAAAGCCCATCCTAAACATATGGTATCCTATCCGCATAGAATCTAAAAAATATGTCAAAAACCAAAATATTTAGCAAATGGCAATTTTTTTTTAACCTCAGAGAATGCTGTTTTATATTATTTGTATCTCTTATTGTTGCAGCATAGTATTCTAGTATTAAATACCATTTGTAACATATTTTTTAAAGTTTTTTCGTATGATTAATTTACAAGATTAGACTACAAGATTAATTTTGTCCAAAAAAAGACTACGAGATTATAATAATATGTAGTAATTCGCACCAAAATAGTAATAATAATATGTAATTCTTCATTATTAACGGTGCGTCATGCACATGTAATGTGATCGTCTAATTCTTTCTTAGTCCACGACTTACTTATTTTTGTTTACTTATTTATGCATTTGTTTATGGATTATAAATTTACGAGTCCTGTGTTTGGACCTTATGAGTATGAGTGATTAGTTAGGTAGTGATGACTCATTGAAAAAGCGATCACTACCAACCAACTCACATACTATTTTCCAAAATTTTATTTACATATTTCCAAGATTAGGTGCCCTATATTGGGGTTACTTTATAATTATTCCATCATTGTTTTCAATTCATCGAACACATCGTCATGTAGTCATGTGATGATTAGGTAACTTTAATCAACCATGATTTTGGTTTTATTTATTTTATAAACTACATATTTGTTCAATCATATATAATAAACTAATTACGACCTTTTAAACTTATATTTTTAGATTCTAATTATAAGTTAATCACATGTCATATATATTATCATTACATATTTGTTGTTCAGACGTAGCTTGTCATCTATAACCAAAAAAATCAATAACACGAACATGCACATCCATTTTAATCAACTTTTATATATATATATATATATGCTATATATTTAACATGTGATTATTTGTTGGATTATTTTAAAATTATAAGATTTGAACGCGACGGGACAAAATTATATCAAACAATGCGTGCATGCATTCTTTGCTTATTACTTACAATAGACACATTCAAATAGTTTTTAGTTGGTTTCTGATGTGAACACGCATATACTGATAAACATAACTTCTTATATTAGACCATTGTTAAAAAAAAAACTAGTAGATATGATTGAGATCAATACAATTTGTATTAGTTATATGCATTTTGATTTTTTTTCCATTGGACGTAAGGCCATCAAAATATACATCTCTTCTGTTTTGGCCACAAAAATATTTTGTTTGGCAATCAAGATCTCGTTTAACTATACTACCAAGGTGTGAACATTAGTGTCTCACCAAACCAAAACATACCATCTTTGATCTTTATTAACCAAACAAAAAAAGCCTTTTCTTTTTCATTGCAAAATAAAGGGAATTAAAGAGAAACGGTGCAGTAAGCCGTCCTCATATATAATGGATCAGTGGCTTCACCTTTAAAGTAGTCTCGACTTCAAAGTTCAAATTCATTATGTAACTGGTTAATGTAAGTATACGTATTTAATTGGTGTTATAGGAAAAAAAAACGTTGTGAACCGTTAAAAATATGGCTGGTGCATTCAATATATTCAAATCCTCAAAAGAACAGTGTGATCACAAGCCATTGGATTGTGGATTAGCTAAACAATTAACTATAGTTTCTACTAATTTTATACGTTTTGGCATTGATATATGGCAGTCTATATTTATTTATTTTATTTTTTTGCGGTACTGGACAACCGCGATAAGACATAGCCTTAAAACAAATTATTGTGTTATTGTATACGTTAAAATTCATTGTCACTAGCGGTATACATTTTCAAACGCAAACGTGGATTGTTTAATCACACCACCTTAATAAACTAAAAAATGTTCGTACTCGTGGTTATGCTATTTCTTACAGAAATGGGCAGCCGAACCAAATAGACTAAAAACAGAGGTGTGTTTGATAGCAACGCGTGTGCTTTCGTCATGCAAATTCCAAGTTTTTTTTCAAATGTTTAAGATATTTTTTTTCATTCTGCTCGTCATCGATTTGGACATTTCAACTTTCTTCAATTTTATTCAACTGAGTTTACTAAAACTTCTTTTTCATTGGAACCTAATTGATTCAAGTTAATATAACATTTTCGTAAGTTGTTCACCAAACAAAAGACACCTAAAATTATAACTTTGTTAGAGATGTACTCTACTGACTACTGCTATTTTCGAACGAACCTTTATAACGAGACAATTTATTTATTTATTGTTATATCTAATCCATTAATATTAACTGATTTTTCTGGTTTAATATTCAGTATACATATATATCCATCTTAGTTTAAAAGATAAAATTTATGAAACGAACGTTATCGTTGTTTCTGTAAATTATTATATTTTTACCTTGCCACAAAATTAGACACGACCTTGAATTTATTGACTACTCTTATAACTACGTATACTGTTACTGTTAACGGAAACATGAGTTTGGTCGTATCCTGTTTCCTGTTGACACAAGAAGTATAAATCATAACCTCACTATTGATGAAAACAAACTGAAGTTAAGTAAGCGATTGATTCGAATATGTTCTATTGATTTATATACAAGTGATTCATGTTGATCCTGTTGAAAGATTCATTTTTGGATTGGATCGGAGAACTAATTAGATTGAGAAATCATTTTATAAGTAGGATACTTTATGCATTTTTTGAAAAATAATTTTTTTTCAAAAGATACGTTCTTTTATTACACTTCTAAAAACCCCGAACCAGTCAAACTCAGTTTTCTAATTTTATTTGTTTCTGAAAACTTATATAATAAGTTCAAGTTTAAGATCAACATTTTTATTCACACTTAAAACAATATAAGTACATTTCCTGATATGATATGAGTCAAGTTTTATTTTATAAATTTTCCGTTTATCAAAACTTACTTTGTTTGTTAAAAACGTTTTTCAAACGTTGGTATAGTCTCATAGATAGAAAAATTGTTATGGCCTTCTGATTTGACTTGGAGAGACTTAATGACACGTATCACTTAGTCAAATCACAAAAATTAATAATAAGCTAATAATCATTCAAAAAAAAAAAGCTAATATTTAACTTAGTCAAAATTTGTTTACAAAACAGTCACAAGGATAAATCTAATTAATTTGGTTTTAGTAAAGATAAATTCAACTTATAGATTCGTGGGAGCCATTTTTTATATGTTTCAGACTGAATGAAAAATGCGAGACTGATAAATAGAAGTTCAGACCTGCAGGAGAGTAATATTAATATAGAACCTTTAAAAAAGAGAGAAAATATTTCCAAAATAACTCTCATTTTTTACATATATAAATAGGAAGGATATATATAATTAAGAAAAGATGGAATCATGCCAGATACTCATCCACAATATAGACAAGTTCTTAAATTAAAAAAAAAATCTGATTTGACAAATGTCATTGTCTTTTGTCTATGACATGTATCTCAATGTCAGGATCACACACCACTTCATTGTATAAATACAGATAGGACCAATTAGATTTGGTAAACAAGGAATCTTAAAAGTGTGTGTAGGGGAGGAAAGAGAGAAAGAGAGAGAGGAGAGAGAGGGGGAATGGGCAAAGGAAGAGCGCCATGTTGTGACAAAACCAAAGTGAAGAGAGGACCATGGAGCCAAGAAGAAGACTTGAAACTCATCTCTTTCGTTCACAAGTATGGTCATGAGAATTGGAGATCTCTCCCAAAGCAAGCTGGTAATGTTTCTGATTCTAAAAGTCCCCTTTCTTCTTCAGCTTTTCCAACCTTTCTGGTTCTGATTATATCTATGCATGCAATGAAGGGTTGTTGAGGTGTGGCAAGAGTTGTCGTCTTCGATGGATTAATTACCTCAGACCTGATGTTAAACGTGGCAATTTCAGCGCAGAGGAAGAAGAAACCATCATTAAACTCCACCAGAGCTTTGGGAACAAGTATGTGTTATCTTGTTAATTAACAATGCCTTGTGTGGCTCAAGTTTCAATTGCATCAATAGTTTGTTTTTCTTCCACATTTTTGGATTCAGGTGGTCGAAGATTGCTTCTAAACTGCCTGGAAGAACAGACAACGAGATCAAGAATGTATGGCACACCCATCTCAAGAAAAGATTGAGCTCGGACACTAACCTTAATGCAGATGAAGCGGCTATAAAAGGTTCTTTGGATGAAGAAGAAGAGACCTCTCAAGAGTCGTCTCGTAATGCCTCAATGTCTTTTGGTGGTTCCAACAATTCAAGCAAAGAAGATGATACACATATATGTCAGACGTTCGAGTATTTTCAAGATTATAGCGAGTTTACGGGGATATTACAAGAGGTAGACAAACCAGAGCTGCTGGAGGTACCTTTTGATTTAGATCCTGACATTTGGAGTTTCATAGATGGTTCAGACTCATTCCAACAACCTGAGAACAGTTCGAATTCATGGGCTCCTAGAGAATGTGAGGAAGATGAAGTTGAGAAATGGTTCAAGCACCTGGAAAGCGAACTCGGGTTAGTGGAAAACGATAACCAACAACAACAGCATAATGAAGCCAAAGAAGAATCATCGTCATCATCACTCTTGGAGAGTTACGAGCTCCTGATACATTAATGAAGCCATAAGAAACTTAAACAACTGGTTTATTCTTATACAATAGAGCTAAGTTCTTGGCAATTTTATTTTAGTAAATGACAAGATCAGGTGTAGTGAAGAAACGTAGAAATGTAAACAGCATGTAGATATTACAGAGCGTTAAGATATCGAGCCAAAAGATTGCTTTGTAAGTGAAACCAAGTTAACATGTTTTAAAAGGGTAATAATCTCTATCACCTAACAACCATCCAGAAACAGAGAAGACAAAGTAATCATATCTCCAATGTTAAAGGGAGTTTCCTTTCTTTTTCTTAAAAAAGATGAAGTTTTAATCAAAAACTGTGTACCGATCATAGGGATTTAATATGCCCACTTTTGTAAGAGGGACCAGTGTTAAACGGAGTTTCCTTTCTTTCCCAAAGAGTATGAATTTTAACTCAAAAACTGTGTACCGATCATATCGCCAGCCAAAGAAAGCAAAGCAAAACAAAGAAAATAAATCATTTATTAAAGTATAGAGAAGACCAGATTTGTTAAGTTGGGGAAACATATTCTCCCTCCAAACATGTAGTACAAAAAAGAAACAAGAGATTATAATTGGTTCTTGATCCAAGAATTTGCTTTCAATCACTCAGAATGTTTCCCCAACTTTCTGAGTAATTTATATTTCCAAACAGTCAGAATGTCCTTGGGTCTGGAAGCAAACTCCTCCTCTCGATCTTTTGCTAACTTGGCAGATATCTCATTGATGATATAATCCTCAGCAGCTTTGAAGATGGCTAGAATGGGCTCATAGTAATCAATGTGAGCATCCATACACTTCTTCAGAATCGGCAAGTGTTCCTTACACCTAGTGATTCTGTGAGTGGTGACACTGTCAACTTTCTCCATGCAATCTTCCAGATGCTTGACTGGTTCTTTGCAGGCACCTGCTTTCATGAAATTGCAAAACCGCTCTAATACTTCCTCATCCTCGGCCTCGTCCCTCTTTGTCTCTGTGTCGACGACGACTTTCCCGGTTTCTGCGGGAAATAAGGGGTGGAGCTTCTTGAGTATCAGATTGAAAGTAGAATACGCCCCCGCTTCTATTTGAACTCTCTCTTCCTCCGTCTCCTCCTCCAGATTCAGCTCCTCCAGCTCTGCCAGGTGCTCTAACAGGAAGAAATCGTATCGAGGTTTGGATGACCTGATCCCCATTTTTTTACAGCCCCTGAGATCGGATCCCTATAAAAATCGGCCGCTCGCGATTAGGTTAAAAGAATTTCTAGAGTGAAGATGAAACGACGCTTTACACCCTAATTTATATTGTGAGCATTATGATGTGTACATCATATCTCCCGCCAAGAAACTACAATAGAAAATTACTGTTTCAGCCTAATAAGAATACAAAACCCGGACTAGAGTGGTCCAGTAATTCCAATTTCCGGTACGACTCTTCGGTTATTTCGTTTTGCTCTAACGAGAGAGAGAAGAGCTCTTCTTTGTTTCGTTTCTCCTCCAAATCGTCTCAACTTTCCGGAGCCGCCGACGAATTAGAGCTGGCCACCTGTCATCGCAAAGTCCTGTCTCTTCAGGGGTTACTAACTGATTTATTCCCCCGCCATTCCAGGACGCGGAGATTCTCGACATTGCAATGTTTGAAAAAGGTGGAAGAAGAAGGAAGAAAAGCCACCAGATTGAGTGGATGTTTCTCGCTCGCAGACCATTGGAACCCGGAATTATCCTGTTTTCATCAGAATGGATTCTCTCAGATCAGTAGAGAATCTACGGGAAGAGCTGTACATGCGCTTTGTGTCAAGGGATTGCTTCGTCTCAGTGTTCTACACACCAACACTTTGATAAACATGTACACAAAGTTTGGCCGAGCCAAACCCGCGCGCTACCTGTTCGACGAAATGCCTGTGAGAAACGAAGTTTCTTGGAATACCATGATGTCGGGGCTTGTCCGTGTTGGATTGTACGGGGAATCTATGGATTTTTTTCTGAAAATGTGTCATCTTGGAATCAAGCCAAGTAGCTTTGTGATTGCCAGTTTAGTAACAGCTTGTGGTCGGTCAGGTTCTATGCTCGGAGAAGGTCTTCAAGTTCACGGCTTTGTGGCTAAGTCTGGTTTGCTGTCTGACGTCTACGTGAGCACTGCTATTTTGCATCTCTATGGGGTTTACGGATTGGTTTCCTGTTCAAGGAAGGTCTTTGAGGCGATGCCTGACCGAAACGTGGTGTCTTGGACTTCACTGATGGTTGGTTACTCGGATAAGGGCGAGCCAGAGGAAGTCATTGATATCTTTAAAGGTATGAAAGGAGAAGGAGTCGGGTGTAATGAAAATTCCATGTCTTTGGTCATTAGTTCTTGCGGATTGCTTAAGGATGAATCCTTGGGCCGTCAAATCATCGGGCAGGTTATCAAATCGGGACTGGAGAGTAAACTGGCAGTGGAGAATTCGCTCATATCCATGTTTGGTAATCTTGGAAATGTAGACTATGCAAGGTACATTTTTGATCAAATGTCAGAACGTGACACAATTTCATGGAACTCGATTGCTGCTGCGTATGCACAAAATGGCCATTTCGAGGAATCGTTGTGGGTTTTCCAGTTGATGCGTCATTTTCACGATGAAGTGAATTCCACCACCGTGTCAACTCTGTTATCGGTCTTGGGTCATGTGGATCACCAAAAATGGGGTAAAGGAATTCATGGTCTGGTGGTTAAAATGGGGTTTGATTCGGTTGTCTGTGTATGCAATACTCTTTTGAGAATGTACGCAGGCGCTGGAAGAACAGAAGAGGCAGAGTTGGTGTTCGAACAGATGCCCGCTAAAGATTTGATCTCATGGAACTCTTTGATGGCTTGTTTCGTTGAGGATGGGAGGAGCTTAGATGCTTTAGGACTTCTTTGTTCGATGATAAGGACTGGCAAAGCAGTGAACTATGTGAGTTTTACAAGCGCATTGGCTGCTTGCTATAGTCCCGCATTTCTCGATAATGGTAGGATCCTTCATGGGCTTGTAGTGGTCACGGGTTTATTTGACAATCAGATTATTGGTAATGCGTTGGTTACTATGTACGGGAAGATAGGCGAGATGAGCGAATCCAGACGAGTACTATTACAGATGCCTAGACGAGATGAGGTAGCTTGGAATGCTCTAATTGGTGGCTATGCTGAGGATAAAGATCTCGACAAGGCACTGGCTGCTTTTCGAATTATGCGAATGGAAGGTGTTCCTGCAAACTATATCACAGTGGTAAGTGTTCTTGGTGCTTGCTTAATGCCTGGTGATTTGCTTGAACGAGGGAAGCCATTACACGCTTATATAGTTTCTGCTGGATTTGAATCGGATGAACACGTGAAAAACTCGCTTATCACTATGTACGCGAAATGTGGTGATTTAAGCTCGAGTCAGGGCCTATTTAGCAGATTAGATGATAAGAACATCATCACGTGGAATGCTATGCTTGCAGCAAATGCTCATCACGGTCAGGGAGAGGAGGTGCTAAAACTTGTATCAAAGATGAGAAGCCTTGGGTTGAATCTGGACCAGTTTAGTTTCTCTGAGGCACTTTCTGCTGCTGCGAAGCTAGCTGTCCTAGAGGAAGGCCAACAACTTCATGGTTTAGCTGTAAAACTCGGGTTTGAACAAGATTGTTTCATCTTTAACGCTGCTGCAGACATGTATAGCAAATGCGGGGAAATAGGCGAAGTGGTGAAAATGCTTCCTCCATCGGTGAATCGATCGCTGCCCTCGTGGAACATACTAATATCAGCTTTTGGAAGACACGGCTACTTTGAGAAAGTGTGTGAGACTTTCCATGAGATGCTCCAAATGGGAGTCAAGCCAGGTCATGTTACATTTGTCTCTCTTCTAACAGCATGTAGCCATGGAGGGTTAGTAGACCAAGGCCTTGCGTATTACGACATGATTGCTAGAGATTTCGGTATAAAACCGGCGATTGAACATTGCGTTTGTGTGATTGATCTTCTCGGAAGATCAGGGAGGTTAGCTGAAGCTGAAGCGTTTATATCTAACATGCCAATGAAACCAAACGACCTCGTGTGGCGTAGTTTGTTAGCTTCCTGCAAAATCCACGGGGATTTGGACCGTGGGAGAAAAGCAGCGGAACATCTCTCGAAGCTAGAACCCGAGGATGATTCTGTTTACGTCTTGTCTTCAAATATGTTCGCAACAACAGGTAGATGGGAAGATGTAGAGAGTGTGAGAAAGCAAATGGGTTTCAAGAACATCAAGAAGAAACAAGCTTGCAGTTGGGTGAAACTAAAAGACAAAGTGAGTACATTTGGCATTGGAGACAGAACTCATCCACAAACACTGGAGATATACGCGAAGCTAAAAGACATCAAGAAGCTGATCAAAGAATCTGGGTATGTAGCGGATACAAGCCAGGCGTTGCAAGACACAGATGAAGAACAAAAAGAGCACAATCTTTGGAATCACAGCGAAAGACTTGCTCTTGCTTATGCGTTGATGAGTACTCCTGAAGGTTCTACGGTTAGAATCTTTAAGAACCTTCGCATCTGCGGTGATTGTCACTCTGTTTACAAGTTTGTTAGTAGAGTCATAGGACGTAGAATCGTGTTGAGAGATCAGTATCGGTTTCACCATTTTGAGAGTGGTGTGTGTTCTTGTAAGGACTACTGGTGAAAGAAGAAGAAACTCGATTACGACTCTGTACATCATAGCTCACAAAAGTTCCATTATAGGATTCTTTGGTTAAGGTTTTGGGATTCAACAGTTTTGTAAACATTACTCCGTGAAATTGGATTATTCATCAGATTCTGTTTGTAGACAGTCAATGCGTTGTTAGGAATTCACTAGAGAAACTTTCACAAGTGAAAAAACAGATTTCATTAGTCACTGAATCATAATAAAGACGTCCAGCTTGAGTACAGCAACAAACTATTTAAAGATTCAATGTTTCACTGAAAAAAAAAACTCTTAAACTCTGCAAACGCCAATAAAGTCTGGTCTTAACCACATGTTTGTTGCTAGACTATGCAGAAAGTTACTCGACTTCAGCAAGGTAATCATCGATCTCTGCTGGTGTTAGCACCCTGCATTACCCAAGAAAACCAATCAACATTCTATTCAAATGTCAGCAGCTTAACAAATATTCTTAATTTTGAAGATAAAGGTACCTGAAAACTTTGTCAGCACCGATTTTGCCAATCTCAATATTTTTGCTTGAGATCTCTCCCTCAAAGCTACCAAAAACAAAAAGAAAAACAAATAATACATATGTTAGAAGACTAAAGCTACATATGTACGTTTGTATACAAGACTACAATTCTGCTTTCTAATAGAAGACAGTGATAAGGGTTTGGTAATCAAATAGCCACACGACTAGGAATTTTTTACTAATGATTAATGATGATCAAGATACCTTATATCCGTATATTCTTAATTTACTTACCCTTCTTTCAAGGTCAGTATGGCTGTGTGAATGGCATCGTCCAGTTCCATATCTTCTGTGTACCTGCAAGTAATTAAGATTGGTCAGCCAAAATAAGAGTGGTGGTCTCCTGTTACTAACAAATTTTGAGTGATCAGAGTAAATTACAAGATCGAGTGACTGATTATAGAATGCTCCGCTATTTACAAAATTTGAATATCAAGTTATCAACAAATAGTACCTTTTCTCAAGGAATGTTTTTGCATTAGAAACGTTCTTCCCCATGGCTGAAGCTTTCCATGAGAAATAAGAGCCAGATGGATCCACCTAACGAAAAAAAACAAAAACATATCAAGCTCGACCCCCTACCCTGAGAAAGGAACAATTATGGTCAATCAACAGTTAAAGAGGGAATACCTGATAGAGTTGCGGACCTTTGTCGTCATATCCAGCCACTAGCAGAGAAACACCAAAAGGCCTAACACCACTATTAACATAAGAAATTAGAAACAGGAAATATGATCTACGCTATGGGTACAGATACACTACAGCATTAGTTCATCCCAAGTCAATATCAAATCTTAAACTGAGAGTGCAAAGCTACACACTCCTTTCCTGAGCAAATAATTCATCTCAATTCAGACATATTAGGAATATGGGAGAAAGTAGATGAGAGTGGAATGAATTTTACAATATAAACTGAAACTATAGTACTTACCCTGATTGAGTAAACTCTTGCATAACAGTAGCGGTTTCCCTTACAAGTTGAGTAACTGGGATAGGTTCCTGCAGCAATAAACTTCCTTAGATGATAAAAAAAAACAGAATTGACTCAATCAAGGCTTCCAAGATATTTTAAGAACCGGTACTAAATCACAAAAGGGAGATATGATTACTTTGTACAGTCGGAGATATTGCTCAGCCTGCTTCCTACTCTTCTTAACAAGAACTCGGAAATCAGGACCCATGCCACTTCATAGAAGGAAATATACAAATGGTTAGTACTCAAGCTAATACATCAAAAACAGTAGGAAAAAAAAGGATCTAAAGGAGGAGAAAACCTGTATACAACTCCAATGTTAGGAGTCAAATGCTGAATCTTTTGAACCTGAAACAGTCGAAAGAGAAAAGTTAATGGCAGATAAGTTTCCTGGAGTAAACAATCTAGGATAACACCACATGCATGAATATCAGCTAATGATACAAAAATTCTCATCTATTGGGTTCTACAGCATATCACAAGCATGTAAGTCTACCATTATATGATTAGGTAGGGAGATTATCAACTTACAGATGCTTCATCAACCAGAATAGAAGGCAGTTTCTTTTCTGTTGCAATGACAACTCCATTGGAAGCTGCAGCAAGTAACCAGTTACCATCTTAAAAAATTCCCAAAGAATTTAATTGATCTATTAGCAACTAATTAGGTCAATGACAAACCTTTAATACCCAAAGAAGTCTGGCCTGATCCAACAGCTGTAAGAGCATGCTCTATCTGAACAAGCTTCCCAGATGGGCTGTATCATACCCACGACACAAATTAGCCGATGATGCGACAGAACCAAATGCTAGGAAGTTATCTACTTGTATGATTAACGATTTACATACCTGAACGTAGTGAGAGAAAACGAGTACTGACTGTCCCCCATTTCACCTTAATCAAATCCGCAAAAGGAAAAAAAAAAAAACTGTAAATTCTCACACACACACAAAAAAAGAAAATCAATCTCTAGCAATATTTTCCACAAGTAAAACCAAGGACTCTTGGAAGCAGGAACAGTTCTAAGGCTCTAGGGTTTCAACCTCACCGGGATCAACTCAACACGAATATATAGGTTCCGTTTTCGAAGAACATCAGTCACTAAAACAGTACAATAGAACGGGACTTAAGGAATCGAATCGAACCCTCGGAAGAGAAACAACCACTGAGAAGAAAATAGCTTTACCTTAGGTTTGATATCGAGATCGAATGAGCGAAGAGAGATGAAAGATTGTATATAGCTTTTTTAGATTTCTTGCAGAGAAGGTTGAAGTGAGAATTTAGGAAGAGGAAAGAAGAAAGGAGAGCTAAAACGACGGCGTTTGGCGAATTAAAAAAAGTTTTAGAAAACGACGGCGTTTAACAAAGAGACCGCAAAGGTTGATAGTAAAGACAACGCGGGTTGCGTTGAACTAAACACCTGGTAGATGCAGCGTCGGAGTCATCAGTGAAAATGAGTTTGAGTTTGACTTTGACACTTAACTCAGCAACTTTATCTGTTACTGCTCACTGCGTGATTAATCCCTCTCTATCTTCTACTCTTCCGCAGAAGACCCGTAGTTTCGCAAGCATTTTGAACGTAAGTTGTAGTCAATTCGATTTCTGATCGTCTCTCTACTGGGTTATTCGCTTGATCGTTTTCTAGTTTCTGCTCCTTCACCGGTTATTGAGTTTCTGGTTTTAGATTGTTTGTTTAATTTGGCTACTACTAGTTGTGGGCTTTCGAGTTTAGAAAGGTTTCACTCAGGGAGATGAGGCTTGGAATCATAGTTATCTGTGTAGATATGCGACGATGTCTGTGTCAATCGGTGTTCTTCTCTCACTAGTTTAATCCACTATATTCACTTGTGTCAATCTGATATTTTAATATCGATTTAGACTGCCAAGTTCACTGTGATTTCTTGTGAACTTCATAGAAAATTCAGTTTTTTGCCTTCTTTTTTATAAAACCAGCTTTGAAAATGATTTTTTTTAATGGTTGTTTGTGCTGAATTCTTGTGTGTCGTTTTTGAACGATGATTATTATTACAGAAGAAGAGAGGATTCAGCACACAGTTACGCTCTCCTGCCTATTCAGCTTATAAACCATCTGCTTGCGTTGGTCGAGTTATGGCTTCTACTGGAGATGGGCCAAAAGCTGGTCACTCTACATCATCCATGTCCACCAATGAGCCTGTTGTTTCTGTTGATTGGCTCCACTCTAATCTTGGAGACCCTGACTTAAAGGTAACCGTAGTAGCTCTTGCTGTGTTGAACGTTAATCTCTCAATACTCTCTTTTCTTTTTTTTCCTCACTTGTTAAGATTGTATGACTTCTTCAAAAGTTTGTCTCCCATGATTCTTTGTTTCTTTCCTGAATCAGGTTGTGGATGCCTCATGGTACATGAAACATGAGCAAAGATATCCAATCCAAGAGTATCAGGTGAGAATATGTACGGTTTTGTAGATAACTAAGCTTCAAGACTTTGTTCTAGCAAGGAAAAACTCTACATTAGAGTTAAGTACACGACTTTATGTTGATTGGCTTGCTTGTATGTGACCCTCTTCTACAGGTTGCTCGTATTCCAGGTGCTCTCTTCTTTGATTTGGATCGAGTAGCTGATAGAACAACAGATGTGAGCATCACTGTCTTTTTTTCCTTTACAGGCGATAATATCATGCTGTTTATTTCTAACTTACTGAAGTACGTGTGACAGTTACCACACATGCTACCGTCTGAGGAAGCTTTTGCTGCTGCTTGTTCTGCTCTTGGAATCGAGAACAAAGATAGCGTGGTTGTGTATGATGGAATGGGGCTCTTTAGTGCAGCTCGTTTATGGTGGTGAGTTATGAATTCTCATGTCCCTAACCTTTTTCTCTTTGCTCAATATGTTTTCAGGTGTTAATAAATCGATGAGTGCTCGCTTTTTCTTTTATCATCAAAACAGGATGTTTAGAATTTTTGGACATGACAAAGTATGGGTACTTGATGGAGGCCTGCCGAGATGGCGTGCTTCAGGTTATGAAGTTGAATCTGCTTCGAGTGATGCAATTTTGAAATCCAGTGCAGCAAGTGAGGCTGTCGAGAAAATTTATCAAGGAAAAACAGTAAGTTTGTTCACTCATAGCACTGGTTTTGAAAATCTTTGTGTTTGCAAATTGAAAATTCAGTCTGTTCACCTGTTACTTGTTGTTTATTCACACTCCTTTGCTGCTTGCACAGATTAGCTCTGTAACTTTTCAGACGAAGTTCCTGCCACATCTTGTATGCACACTTGATCAGGTTAGCGTTTCCTAAAGTTTAAGATAGTCAGTTGAATTCGTTCTATGATATTTGGGTGTATTACTACAGAATCAAATCCTTGGTGACATTGAATGGAACTAACAAACTGGTGTGCAGCTTCAGAGATATCAATTTTGCTATGACTCAAGTGTATTGATATATTATATGTTTCTAGATAGTTTGCTAAAGTTAATTAGATAATTTGACAGGTGAAGGAAAATATTGAAAATAAGACTTATCAGCACATAGATGCGCGTGCAAAAGCTAGGTATGCTGCCAAAGTTATTGCATATTCTTTGATTATAATTTCACTCGAATATGTTAATGGCTAAAATTGATTCCGCTTGTTGTAGCATATGATATGATATAAATGTTACTCTGTTTCACAGATTTGATGGTATTGCTCCAGAACCTTGGCAGGGAATACCAAGCGGTCATGTACCCGGTAGCAAGTGTGTCCCTTTTCCACAAGTAAGCCACCGTCTAACTTGAAGAACTTACCGTTATATTTGCGCTTTGACAACAGAGAATGTGATAGTGTATTCTTATGCAGATGCTTGATTCCTCTAAAATATTGTTACCAGCAGAGGAGCTTAAGAAACGGTTTGATCAAGAAGGTAGAACAAAGTCATCTTGTTGGCGCACATTCTCTAAGTTGTTTTTGATAAAGCTGATTACGTTAATTGTTTATCTGCAGACGTTTCATTGGACAGTCCAATCGTGGCCTCATGTGGAACCGGTGTAACAGCTTGTATTTTGGCATTGGTAACTATACACGCTCATAGAGAATTTACTCATATATTGAGATCATATGGTAACAAAACAGAGACTGATTGCTCTTTTTTTTTAACCGGTCAGGGACTTCATCGTCTCGGAAAACCCAATGTGGCAGTCTATGATGGGTCTTGGACTGAATGGGCCAGCAAACCAAACTCGCCCATAGTCGGTTCTTCTTCTTCATGAGAAAGTCCAAGAAAAAGCTGCAAGACCCCAAGCCAGTGGATGTGTCATAAGCTTGGCTTGGTCCTATCTTTTCTTTTTTTACCTTAAGATCCTGGATTGTGGAGTTCTGTTTCATCTGTGTGGATTATAGAAAGTCAAAAGTCCTTTAAAAAACCAGAAAATTGTTTCGTATTCTCACACAAAGATCCCTCCAGGTTGTTCATGTTGTTTTGTCACCCAATTTTCTGACAGCAGGCAAATTCAAAGTAGAAAATATAGCGGAATCATAAATAAATTTAACGATTGAAATAAAATAGCTGGAGTTATCAAATAAAATGACCGCGTGGCCTAATGGATAAGGCGCTCGCCTCCGGAGCGGGAGATTGTGGGTTCGAGTCCCACCGTGGTCGTCTATTCTTTAATTTCTTTTTTATTACATGAATGTATATTTTCCTCGTTCATTTTCAATTTGCCCTATTCCTAGTGCGTAATTTCCGAGAATTCCAGAAACAAAGGTAAAAAGTAGATTGATATACTAACAAAATAATCTCTTGAGGTTAAAACAGTAGGAACACATCATACAAGTGAATCGGTGATGAAGATGAATACATCACTTTTCTCTCTTAAACATGAAAACAGGAACCGGTGCTAACGGCCGGTTCAACATTTGAAATTTGCAGCAGACCCAATCACTGACCGGTAAACCCGAGGCAAAAGCTTCAACCACATCTAACTCTTCCCTGAACAACAAACCAATTCACAACAACGTTAGACCAGAAATGGATCAAACATATGTTACAAAACTTCAGATTTCATCTTATTACATCATAAGAGAAACCTTTGGCCACCATTTTTGTTATTTACCTTCCACCAGGATGACCAATGTAAACCACCAAGCTGATGAGGCCACCGGGCATCAACACTCTCTCAGCAGCCTTCAACGCAGATAATGTTGTATCCGAGACAGTGATTATCGACTTGTTTCCACCTGGAAGATACCCCAGATTAAATGCAACCATCCTAATATCATCAAAAAAGGTAGATCACATTTCATCAAAATGTTGCCATGGATTCATCAAAATGTTGCATCGGGTCATCGAATTTAAAACTGTACCTCACACGGGAGTTTTCAGGAACAATCTCTTCCATCTTACTATGACAGATGTTAAAGAGTTTGACGCGTTCCTTCTGCATTTCTTCAGCAGAAATGGAACAAGACTCGATATTAGTAAGAACCACATCGCTATGGAAGCGAGGTTTGCTAATCATCTAACCTCTTTTGAGCCAAGGGTTTGATCTAGCAAAGAGGAAGTGCTCTCTATGGCGTCTTTCTGAATGTCCAATGCATAGACATGGCCACCATAACCATCAGAATCATCTGTAACCATCTTCAACATTGCTAAAGTATCGTTGCCATTTCCACATGTAGCATCAACTACAATGTCCCCCTTTTGGATTACCTGTTTCCACACACTGAAAAGTAATAGTTTTTACTACAGTTTTCTTTAACCAGAGACATAGTTTCTCATGTAATTGCTAAAGCTCCAAGGTCAAGCTGCTGAGAATTTGAGATACATAAAATCTGAAAGCTGTAAATGTGAAGCCACATAAATTACTCTTTGTTGTTGTTTATGTCCCAAGATCATATGAAATGAAATTAGTTCAAGTATTGGGTTTAAAGAACTCACACATGAGCTACTTCTGTTGCCTTCGTCCTCCCAAATAGATAACCAACAAAAACGTCCTCTATCCCTGAAACGCAGAAAAGACGAACTTTATGCACACAAACGCTAATCACGATCCGGGAGCTCCGCAGATACTCGATTTCTTTCTAAAATCAGTGTTCGGTGACCAAAATATTAAAAATTTGACCTGGAACTGGAAAATTTCGTGAATGCGAAGGAGACGAGCTGAAAGCAGCAACGCGAGAACATCGAATTCTTAGGGAAGGGTTTCGTTCCATTGCAATTCGAAAACTGAAGGACATTAGCGTTTTGCGGAAGGGAATCGAGTACGAGCGCGCCAACGTAGAGGATAACACTGACATCTCTGCTTGAAAGAACGCAGCCGCCATTGCAGGCCAGAGTGTTTCAAAACGAAGCTTCTTCAATCTGTTCTCAAAAATAATTTATTTTTAACACTTTCGCTAAACAAAATAATGTATCTTTCGGCCCAATAGTTATATTTGATGCGGCCTAATAACTAGTTTTATCTCTCATAAAGAAAAATACACGACGTCGTTTCCGTTTACAAATGAAGTAAGCAATCAATAGAAAGTGTTGAGATTTTATGAGAAAACGACGTATTTACTCCAATAATTTCCATCATATTTGGAGTAAATTATAGTAAGTACTTTTGGAGTAAGTAATCTAATTGCACTTGCTATGCATGCAGATTGTAGAGGAATGAATTTTGCTAGACACTGTGTATAACACACATGTACATTGTAAATAATACTTCAAATTAGTAAAATTGATATTTTAGATGCCAAGTGTAACATTTCTTGCTTTTCTAAAATGTTCTCTATTCACTCATCTTAAAACATTCAAACTATTTTTTCCCAGTTTTAGCATTCTCGCAATTCATTTGTAAAAAAGGTTTTTTTACTGTTGATTAATAAAGGGAAATTGAGTTATATGACCATATAAATGACCTAAATTTAACAAATAACCATACCAAAATAGATGCTGTTATATTGCTTATATATTCTACAATATATACAGAAAGATCCTTAGTTTAAACTCTATTAAAAAATATTTGCTGACGTTAGCAGTAAAAAATAAGAAAAAAATTTAGCATATGTTTGACACGTATATAGAAAGAGCCTATGGTTATATTATTTGTTTGACGATTCACATTTCATAAACTTATAGTATACCTTGAAAATGAAAAGCCATATGATCCATAATATCAGAAACCTCATATTCCCATACGTAGTGGCATTTTGTGCATCATCGCCCAATTTTCGAAACTGGATACTGTAAAATATAACATAAAATTTGTCTTAAATCATGGCGAAGCTATACTATATACTTTTCTATAGTATAGTTTAGAATCGTTTTATAGTAAACCACATATGTACGTTGAATTCACCACATGATGGTATGAGGCGTTTCATTGGGTACAGTTCTGTATAATATATATAGAAATTCAAGGAACCACTTTCATAATTTTCCAGCAAGTCTATACTATTTATTTGAGAAATATTATATTACTCAAAATACTATCATAAACTTGTAGTATGCGATAGAAATAAAAAAACTATATGATCCAGAATATCAGAAACCCCTACTCCCCATACGTAGTGGCATTTTGTGCATTGTTTCCCAATATTTAAAATTGGATGTTGTATACTATATATTTTCTATGGCGAAGATATACTATATATTTTTCTATGGTATAGTCCAGAACTATTGTATAGTAAACCATATATGTACCTTGAATTCACCACAGAATTGTATGCGGCGTTTCATTGGACGGTTAGGGAGCTGACGTACAGCTGGTGAGAGTAGATCAGTTGAAAAGCATCCGCCAATTTTGCCGCCTCCCACAGATGGTATATCAATAACGTCAGAAGAAAATATCTCAGTATATGTTCCCGCTTAAAACTGAAGGAGTTTATTGTAAATTCTCTCTGGGACATAGTTACTTATCTAATTTTTGGAACAACGTAGCTATATTCTTGGATTCTTTCCCCAATATAGTTATTATAATATAGTTATTATGCTAAAAAGTCCATTAATAAATGTTACATTAATAAAAAGAAGAAGAAGAAAAAATCATTTAAATATGATCCTCATTGTTGCTAAAAATATTCAAAATCAATGTAATCAGGATCACTACAGATCGTCTTCTTTTTCTCTCCGTCGGTGACTGTCGCCGCCAACGCCGGCAAAGACTCCTTCTCCTTCTTCGCATAACACGAGAAATCCACCGGCTCGGGCGGATGCGGCGGCGTTTCTCCCCGAATCAACGCCCAGTTCACACCTTCAAAGAAAGGATGCTGCTTGATCTCCGTCGCGCCACGCTTATACGCGATCCTCTTTTGCGGCTCTTTTACTAGCAAACCTTTGATCAAATCCTTCGCCGTCGAGCTCACCTGAGAACATTCCGGGAATCTCAGAGGTTGTCCGATTACGTTATAAAGCGTCGCTTTGTTTCCTTGTCCTTTAAACGGCGTCGCTCCATGGAGAAGCTCGTAGATGAAGATCCCGAATGTCCACCAATCGACGGCGCTTCCGTGACCTTCGTTTCGGATTATCTCCGGCGCTAGATACTCGTGAGTTCCGACAAAAGACATTGACTTCACGTTTGCCGGCTCTGCCATGAGTTCTGGTAATGATCCGTCGAAATCAGATTTTGATTTTCGGTTTTTTTTCGAGGATTGGAGTATTCGTGGGAAGAATGTGGATGGTTGGTAGCATCCTTGCACCACCGCATCGTCGACGATAATTCCGGTGGTTCCGCCGCCGTTGACGTGGACGGAGGAAGATTTGACGAGTGTTGGGTTGACTGAACATCGAAGAGATAAATCGAAATCGGAGAGCATTATGTGACCGTCGTCTCGAACCAGAACGTTCTCTGGCTTTAAATCTCGGTATACGATTCCGAGCATGTGTAAGTATTCTAATGCTAATAACACTTCTGATGCAAAGAACCTGCGTAAGCAACAAAACCATTCATATTAGATTACATTTTCCTAACTTGAGAATCCGAACCAAATAGTATATACATACTCTGTTTTTGCTCTGTTCCAATATAATATCTTATTATTTACTAACCTTGCAGCATCTTCTGTAAAACATTTGTTGGGTTGCTTCTGTCTCAAGGAATAAAGATTGCCTCCGCTACAAAACTCCATAACCAAGCAATAGAACTTATCAGTCTCGAAGTGAGAGTAAAGAGTAGGCAAGAAAGGATGATCAAGCTGAGACAAAATCTCTCTCTCCGTCTGAGCTCTTAACAGCTTGTTCCTGCTCACAAGAGAAGCCTTATCCATCACTTTCATCGCGAAATACGTCGTCTTTTTTGCTCCTTTAAGCTCAACGAGATAAACACTTCCGATATCTCCGTAACCTAGCCGTTTCAAAACGCGAAAATCGCTGATTCCGAGCTTGATCCCCCTCGTTTTTAGATAATTTACTGCGTCCCACCTAATATCTCCTCCTGTGTGAGGCTTATTAGATGATGTGCTTTCAACGCTGCTGCTTCGTGAGCTCATGTTATTGTGAACAGGACGAATAGTATTATCGATGATAAGAGACGGCTCTGTTGTTACTAGATGTTCTTTAATCTTCTTTGTCTTTTGTTCAAATTGCTTCTCCATATCTTTGCGCGATTGTTGTTGAGGCGTATGGTTTGATGAGCTTGAGGCTGAGTCACGATGATGACTCGTCTGCACAAGCAACAAAAAGAAGAACACTGAGGTTGTGAATCTTGTATTTACAAACACATGTAGCCCAAATATAAGTTATACTTATCTAACTATAAGTAATAGGATATGTATAAGTCTTATAAAAATTTGTTCCTTCAAAGAATGATATACAATTATCGGGTGTTTAATTAAGAGATTACCTCCGGCGGGACAATCTTGTTTCCAGGTTTCAGTAACATCGTCGGCGAGATATTTAAGATCAAGAATTTCTTGACGTAGTGAGAAGAAACCAAGATTTTTGTCTTTAAAGCATCAATTTGGGTGACTTTGCTTTATCATATAGATTCCGACATTACTTGTCGTCACGAATATAACGAAGCTTCATTGTCAACGAAGACAGGCGAACACGTCGTGATCTTAAAAGACTATTATTATTTACCTTCCACATCTCAGGTTTCTTGGGATTTTTGAGTAAAATTTAGTTCCCATTATTTTTATTTTTCTGTATTGTTTGAAGATAATAAAAGAGAAGCTCTCCATTACAGTTTTCTGATTGCATGAAAGAGCTTTTCCATTGAATAATTTGAGCAAATGTTACATACTTTCCGCTTTGGCATAGAGGAATAAATATAGTTGGATTAAAAATAGCTTAGAGGTTTAAAAGCCCATATTTTTTATCGGATTAGTAGGCTAAGGATTTGGCTATAGAAGTAAGACAAAAATGACGCAGATGCTATTTTTACGGGTTAAAAAATCCCTCAAATATCTAGAGCCAATCTCTGAGCAGAAGAGTAATAGTGAGCCTCGAGCTCTTTAAGACTGGCCGATGCATCATCGCCTATTCTAGCCAACAATCGATTTGTCTTCTCGGCCTCTTGATCAAACTCTGCAATTCTCTGTTCCACGTGATCGTTAAGTGATGCAAAGCCAGAAAAGATGGCGGTTTGCTTCAGTTCCGATACGAGTTTCAATAGAGAATCAGCTGCTTGAGCCTGCCACACCGTTAACGAAGAACTCAGTTATCAAACCCAACCGAAACCAAAACTTCAGTAAGATATATTGGAGACCCATCAGTGAATGTTTCAGCGATTCAATCATTTCTAATCAGTGAGCTTTGGATTCCACATATGCTGCCTTAAACCCTGAAACAGTACTTCTATGCAATTTCCATAATCCATATGCATAAAAGAGACCATTTAACAAACACAATGAGGGAATAAACTTATCAAAGCAAAACAATTCGCATCAGTGAGCTTCAGAGCCCAGATTCTGCCATAAACCCTAATTGCAGGTGCCTCAAAAGAAATCATTCGAATTCGATAGATACAAGTAAGCAATTTACCATTCTAGACGCTCGCATCTCCATCATGTATGCTTCCTGCGAATTCTTCACCGGCAGATCATTCACCTAACCAAAGATGTACGTACATACACCTTAATAAACAGCCAACGAAATTCGAAAGCATTTTCCCAATAGATTTCAGATATACGGTAAACTAAACTTCAGCCGAATCTATGCCCCAGAGATTGGATTCTGGTAAATTAAAAGTCTAATTTCGAGAAGAAATTCACTGACCCTCGCGACATTGACGATTTGCGTGAAGTTATCGACGACAGATGTGATGTCAGTATCAACTCTCTGCAACAAAGCCTTTTGCTTTTGTAAGGCAGCGGCAGCTGCGGCGGCCGTCGGTCCGCTTCCTCCACCGGATCCGGCCAAACCTCCACCGGCACCACCGCCTTTGTTCATCATTATCGATGGGCTCGGTCTTTGCAGAGGAACGGAAAAAGAATCAGATGGGCTATGGAGGATTAATAGATTACAATATTACACATACAAGTGCAAAAACAAAACCGGCCATAAGTTATTACTGGGCCTTAACTATTGGGCTTAGATATATATAAATTCCTAATTTCATATACAGGAGAGAGATGTCACTTATATAAATGAGAGGGTAAAAAACCAAGAAGCTAAACTTAATTTTAATTCAACTTTCAGACATTCTCAATCTGTTTAGACATACTGTAGTTATGCGTAGCTTATAGACGACTCCAAGGGGAAATACCAGTAAGATAGTGTCAACTCGTAGTTTTCTAGACATACTGTAATCAAACCTAATCATATAAGTCCTAAATTGGCCACCCGTAGACTAATCCAGATCATTAACTTAATAGCTCTCATTTTTATTAGTTTTCTTGATAAAAAAAAAATAGTAATATGTATATTCGATATTAAAAAAGACCAATGACTTTTAAAATGAGACTGAAAGGCCATTTACAGGACAGGACCCAAGGAAGTTTCCTCATAGAGAAAAAAGGCCAAAAAACAGCCAAGAATGTTAGTCTGTAATGTATTTGGTCAGAATTGAATAAATCGTTCGTATATAATAAGTCTGTATAGAAAAAAAAATTCTTCAAAAGCAAGAACTAAAAGAAAAAAAGAGGAGAACCCGGAGACTGTTATTCATTCGTCAATGGCGAAGAAAGCGCTTTTGATCGGAATCAACTACCCAGGAACCGCCGTGGAGTTACGTGGCTGTGTCAACGACGTACGTCGGATGGAGAGATGTTTAATCGACCGTTACGAATTCTCTAAAAAGGACATCACCTTACTGATCGACACAGACAAATCCGGCGTCAAACCCACCGGCAAGAACATCCGAGATGCTCTGAAGAAACTCATCGATGATGGGGAATCTGGTGATTTTCTTGTATTTCATTACAGTGGACATGGCACGAGGCTCCCACCTGAGGATGGAATATTAGGTGACGCTACAGGGTTTGACGAGTGCATCACTCCGTGCGATATGAATTTGATAATGGGTATGTGATCAAAAGTAATCCCTCTCTTTCTTGGGTTCGATGATTTTTTTTTTTTTTTGTGTGCGCTTGTTATATACGAATTCATCTGAACATACCACTATTCTTTCATATCTTGAAAAACAGAGCACTCTGTTTTCGAAAACAGATCAATACGTTTCTATTCGCAACTTCGATTTACTTCGGATCTCTATACTTGTAGCGGGTGTTAATTATGGTTCTGCATTGAATATATTAACGTTTTTTTATTATTTTCTGGTTTTTTTTTTTTTACTAACCACCTTCCTTCATAACAAAAATTGTTTTGTAGATCATGAATTTAGAGACATGGTGGCAGAGGTAAAAGAAGGATGTCTCTTGACGATAATCTCGGACTCTTGTCATAGTGGTGGTCTCATCGAGGACGTAAAGGAGCAAATCGGGGAGAGCGTGAATATTCCGAAACCGGAGAAATCCGGGTTTGCTAATTTCTTGGTTAGAATTGTGAAGAATTTACTAGCTACATGTGGAATGTCGACTTCTCAGAGAGATCGTGGAGGAAGTCAAGAAACCTTTACGAGACAGATCGAGTTAGAGGACGGTGAGACGGTCGATATGAAAGCAAGATATCTACCTGTCGATAGCTACATAACTCTTCTCGAGGAACAAACCGGACAGACCGATATCAGACATGGGAAGATCAGACAAACCCTTGTCAAGGTATTCGGGCAAGACTCAAGCCCCGTTGTGATGCTCTCCAATTCAACGAAAAGAAATGGTCACAGAGGGTTGCTTAGTATGATCATAGGCAAGCGCGAGGTTAGTACAAGCGGTGCAGGCTCTGAACCCCAAAGTAAGCTTCCCAACAACGGGATTTTGTTAAGCGGTTGTCAAACAGATCAAAGATCCGAGGATGTTTATGTGACAAAAACTGGAAAAGCATATGGAGCATTCAGTGATGCGATTCAGACGATATTGTCGGAGACGAGAAAGGGTAAGAAGATTACAAACAAACAGATGGTTTTGAAAGCTAGAGAGATCCTCAAGAAACAGAAGTTTAGTCAACGGCCAGGTTTGTATTGTCACGACCGTTATGTTAATAAACCATTTATATGCTAATCACATTTTTTTTTTTTTAGATGGTACAGCTTACTTTTTGTGTAATTTGAAATGTTAATGAAAAAATGCATGGGGGTTTATCCAAGCCATTCAGTGACTTGTGATTCAAGTAATACTATATTATTATTAAATTTTTCAAAAGGACTTAGTCAGACGATTATTTCAATTATTTACGCATTTGGAAATATAAAATGGCGACGTGCTAACATCTATTATGCAAAATAGCCCAATTTTAACGGATCGTTAACAAGGAAAACCAAAGCACGTAGGGACCACACGGTGCCATTTATTTAGTGAATGTAACAAGAAAAAGTATTTCCATCACTCATCGGGCGTCTTTCTCCTCAAACGCTTCACAAGCCAATCTCGTCGGAGTTTACAGTGCTGACGTGGCTTCCGACGAAGCAGAAGTAAGCTATCTCTGTCTTGCAAAGTCGTCAATCGCTAAAGCATGATGGTTATGTTCCTTGATTATGGGGCGTATTTGTGGGTACAGAGTAGGACGTTGAAAATGGTATATAGTTTAATGGGCCTTGATAAAATTGGATGGTAAACAACTTGACTAGATATCAGATATGGCGATGATAACGTGGCATGGTTCATCTTTACTGTATAGTTGTGACTCGTGAGAACGAGAAGTGACAGAGACTAGTAAATGGTATTTGCTGTTTAAACACTACATCGACATGTATATCCAGTTCTGCACGTGATGCTCACGTGGATTCGGCGATGCCTCTGGGTTGGTAACCACGTTTATATTAGAATATTTTTTATATACAAAATTTGATGTACCATATGGTTATATATATGATCATGATATTGATACATTGGCATGGAAAGTGTTGCCTCCCATTACGTTAATGGAGCCTGACCAAGATCATTCTAGCTCCATATGGACCATATCTTCTCTTTATTGGGAAAATAATATATGTCTATCATCAAACTTTTGATTCAATCCATTTTACAACTCAGAACTATACCCTTTCAAAAAAAAAAAAAAAAGTCAACAATATTGCTTTATTAACTCATCTGACAGACCAATTCCAATGAAATTTTCTTACTGGCTTTCCTGCCTCTATCTTTCCATTTCGGTAGTCAGAAGCAAATTCATCTCTAGAATCTAAGAATATTTCCATCAGTTGCATCTAACGTAATTTCTAACAATTAAAAATATAAATTAATAAAAAAGGAGAAGAGAGACAAAATTCTTGTTTAAGAAATCTTAAAAAAACGTATTTGACCATGTATCATTATGTGATTAGTTCAATATCTTTATATTAATAAAATATACATTGCATATCCTTCATTCTCCTTGAGAGACTTACGGTGCATTAACGTCTTACAAAATTTACAGAAATATAACCAAAATAATTAATTTTCAGTATAAGAGGGTCAAATGAAAAGATAATTTAATCTGTTCGAAAGTGAACTTAATTTGGCAAACACATATTAGAGAGTTAATGGTTTAATGCATTATTATATAATGTTAACATATAAAAATTTAATATAGGATGATTATGGTAGATAGTTTTTTTTTTTTTTGAAAATAATTATGGTAGATAGTTTTACGTTATATTATACTCCATATTGAAGACTGAAGAGTTGAGGTTTCGAATGAAGATGGTGTAAAACGGGTAAAACAAATGCGGGATGAACAGAATAATATTAATGATATTTATAAGAAAATGAGCCGCACCATCACATCCGGCCATGCACCGACCTTCTCTATTAAACGGTTTAATTTTTATTTGTCTACGTACTAACTGATTTAATAGCTTAAAGTATTGTTAATATTTATAACCATGGCACGAGCCATCGACTTTTAATATTGTCTACGTAAGGATTCACCATTTAATATTATAATCTATAACAATCTCAACTTTATTAAACTGATCCTCACTTATTGGCTATAAGTATAATGACTCGGAATGTTTGATTGTTATTAAGTTACAGTGATAGAAAAAGAAAAAAAAAATACACAAATGAAACGATGGCGATATTTAGCCAAGGATAGTCTAAAACAACAACAAACGACTGGGTGCCAAGTAAAGTAACATAACATAGTAATGACAAAGCGTTGTAGAACAGAACAGAGAAACAACAAGGAGTCTTGTTCTTTTCTCAAGGGCGGAATTTTGGGTAAAGGTTTGGTGCCAAGCGTGGCTCAATGGACAAGAGCAGAGGCTTAGCCATAAGCAATGCATCATCTTCCTCTAGACTTAACGGTCCATAAGCAGGATGGAGTTTCCAGTTAAACCCTTGAAGAAACCTAGCCAACATTATAACCATCATGATCGTCCCGACTTTAACACCGATGCAGCCACGTCGACCGGTGCCAAACGAGATGAAACGCAACTCTGTCTCGACCAGAGAAACCTCTTTTGTGATTCCGTCTCCTTCGAGGTGGCGCTCCGGTTTGAATACCAATGGATCTTTCCATATTTTAGGGTTCCGGCCTAGTCCCGGACGGCTTACATGAATGTGGCTACCTGTCCAAAACCGATACTTTTTTAATATAAGTATCATATCGAATTATTGGTGGCTCAACTACATGTTAAGCTAAACTATGCATGTATTGACTTGCTAGTGATAAAAATGCAAAATCCTACGAAAAAACACAGTTTGTTTTACCTTTGGGAATGAAATATCCCCCGAGAGTGGTATCTTGACGAGCCGCATGAGAAGGGACATAATGAGCACTTGGGTGAATCCTGAATGTTTCTCGGCAACAAGCTTTTAAGTAGTTTAGATTCGGTATGTCTGATTCTTGAACAAGCCTCTCTTTTCCCACTACTTCGTCTAACTCCTTCACAGCTTTCCTCAGAATCTCCGGGTTCTTTAACATCTCCGCAAGTGTCCATTCCATGTTATTTGCCGGATTATCGATCGCTGCTATACAAAATTCCTGTAACAAAACACCAAACAATGATCAAAAGTTGATTCGTCACGTAAAAATATCAAAATAGATGCCATTTTTTTTGTTTCTAATCCATTTTTTGTATTACTAAATATTTGTACTTTTAAAATGATTTTTAAGTTACTTAATTATAACTTTGTAAGTAGTATCCAAACAATCATCTGTAAAAATATGGCTGCAACAGATCTTTTAAAGTTCTCATGACTCATAAGTCATAACCATTTTCAGTAGAATCATCAGTAATATATATTTCGATGATCGTCATATTAAATTATTAATTATTCAGTAAATATAGATCTAATTAGTGATGATGATCAACAATAAATAAATTTTTTTTTTACTTACAACGCATTGAGCTTTGATTTCGTCTGGCGTGACCAAGTACTTTCCGTTTTCATCTTTTAGCGTAATGAACGTATCAATCCAATCTTCAACAGCAGCCTTACCACCTTTCTCCCTCCATAACGCGACCCTCTCGTCGATTATCGGATTGTTGTAACTACGAACAATATTACTATTCACTATCACCCTCTCCTCTTGACCATCGACGTTCCATCCTTGCAACCATTTTTCTACGTAATCCGCAGGAGAAAAGCTCGGCAAACAGTTTAGGGTTTCGAAAATCGCCTCAAGATGATGTTTTTCAGCTTTTCCTAGTCTTCCTTCATCGGAAAAAATGTTTTCTCTCGTGACATGTCTTCTTCCAAACAACATTCTCATGGTCACCGTGTAACCATAAACCCTCGAGAATTCTCTAACGTCGCAGGTCTCGCCTCGTTGATACATCGATAGAAGGTAAGCAATGAGATTATCCGCTTCGATGGTTCTCGCAGCCATCAACATGTTCAATGTTTTAACGGACATAATCTCCGTTGTGATCACTCTTTTCATCTTCATGAATTGTTCACCGTAAGGTGAAATCCCCATTGATTTGTGATTGTCTCCGATGGTCCTCATGTTGAAAAGATCAGGCCTGTCCGCGAAGTCGGCGTCTCGCTCTCTAAACGCTTCTCTAGCGATCTCGTCGGAGTTTATGATGATGGCGTGGACTCCGGCTAAGTTGAAACATCCGATCTCGGATTTGAGCTCTTTCATGGCAAGGGCGAAATACTTGTGCCTAGGACGAGTCATGATGAGTTCGGGTAGATTGCCGAGGATGGGCCATCCTCGTGGACCAGGAGGAAGCTGGCGAGACCGGTCTTTGGTTTTGATGGGTCTTGCTAGTATTCGGCCCAGTAAAGTGATTGATGCCATGGAGATGATAAAGACTAGTAGGATTTGAAAAGGGTATGGTAATGATGTGGTAAGGCTCCTCAGCATCGTCATCATGTTTGTGTGTCTGTGTAGAGAGAGCTGTGTGCTCGTTAGCAATGAACACTAGCGATAATTTGATATTGGGGAATTGTCTTGTGTTTCAAGTATTTATAGATTCGATTTCATGCGCATGCGATGCTCACGTGTGGGGTTTGGGCTTATGGGTAGGTACTAGCTGTAAGGAAATCACGTTTATATATTTTGTATCTAATTTTCAGCGGCTAATCATGTTTAATAGGAAAAGCTTTATTGTTTCATTTCAATTTGTACATTTGTTAACTAAATAAAATCAAAATTTCTAAGCATGTTTAGCAAAATAGAAGAAAAATAATGATAACTAGTTTCTGAGGCAGATAGTTCTGCCACTTAGCGCCATTACGTAGGAGGTACGTAGAATGGGTAGCAAAACTAGAGCACTGTCACAGACTCACACGTAACAAACGTGCCTAGCGTACAGTACTACAGTCTTGTATCACACTATCTAACTTACTATCTAGCTACTTGAGTCCTTGGGTGGAGACTGGAGGCTCTCCCATTCCCATATGAGGTGGATCGAGGAGGTCCCATAGGTTAATCCGATCCCTACTCGCAAATTATGTTGGTGAGACTGATGATTGAAAATCATTCCTAAAACTCTTAAGTAGGATATGTTTTAATATGATAGTTTAATATATTTTCATAAAGTACATCAATCTAATGGTGTTTTCATAAATGTACTAAATGATATATGTTTGTTTTGAAAGGAAAAAAAGATAAATAAATGATATTAGTTAAGAATTTGTCTACATTAATATTATAGTAGTAGTTTCTTATTAAAAGAAAATGAAAAAAAAAGAATAAATGTAAAATGTGCAACACTTGAAAGAGAGAGAGAAAGCAAAAAGTGATTCAGAATAAAGGAATTTTTGGAATAGAAACTAGATGGGAGCTCTTGGGTAGGTAACCACGTTTAGATGTTCTCTATCGAATTTCCATGAGTGTCGTCAGCTTCAATGGAAATTACTTTCATCATTTGGATTCATGATGTAGTTTTATTTCTTTCTGTTTTTCGTCCTGTGGCTGTGTCCGTGGTTTGAGAAAATCAAAAGTCAAACTGAGTCAAATTTACGATTCTAAACAAACCAAAACTGAACAACAAGAAATCCAAAAAGGAAAAAAAAAAAAGAAGATTCGATCCAAGTCCAACTATATAGTATACGTTAAAAACACATCTTATTCTGAACAATTAACAGATAGAATTAGTGCATCACATGCAGTAAATCAATATCCACCTAACTTACACTGATTTAGGTTGTAACCATCTTTGCATATATGATACATACAAAGAGCCCTTCTTGCCTTTTTGGAAATCCGAAGCGGCTATAAGAAACCATTTTTATTATTTTCTTACACAATTTTTTTTTTTATATACCAAATACTCAAAAATAACTATTAGTACAACGATAAAGCAATTACGCTATATATGGATAATCGACAACAAACGTTTGCAATCGAATATCAACATATTTCAGGAAAGCGGGAAGCAATTTATATTAGGGATAATATCCCATATCGAAAGTTGGAAGTGATCTTAACTAATATATAAGGAGCATAGACCAATCTATTTACTGCCAATTGGATTTTGCACCAAATTACAATAAGTTAAAGATTTTTGGGTGTCTATGTTTTTCCTGGCTTCGTCCATATTGCTCTCATAAACTGGAATCATGTTCTACGCTATGTGTATTCTTAGGATATTCACTAACACAAAGTGCATATCTCTGTTTTGATCCTCTGCAAAGTCGTCTTTATGTATCTCGTCATGAACAATTTGACGAGAAGTGCTTTCCTTACACTTCTCTCATTAATCCCATCTCCTCCCGGACGGACATTATGGCCGAACCTTTTCAAAATCCTCTTCACTCTTCAATTCCCCTTAATCCTCGGCGACTTGTCCCATCTGAAGTACCCCCACCATCAAGTTCTGGCTCTTCATCGTTGACATCTCCGATTGTCACCTCCTCTCAATCTGTCTCTGCCTCTGCAACAACGCCATCATCACCAACCGTTGCGTCATCAGCGCCCTCTACTCCCCCTGTTTCACCAATTATCATAGACTCCGCCGATAACCTCGATCTCTCTCCGTCATCGCCAACAATTATTGCTGATCCCTCTCCAGACTTATCATCGTCGCATCTCTCTCTCACAATGACGAGCTCTTTGCCAAATCAAAACGATGTCACTTTGTCTACATCTTCTCACCAGGCCCAAGCCCAACAACAATTACATGATCCAGTTTTACAACATCCAGACCTATCTATTATCACTACTCAACCTCCTCGCCATGGCAAATTAACGAAACGTCAACAGTCCCGAAATCCTCCACCACCACCTCCCCCTCCGCCACGACCAAACAATAGCCACACCATGGCAACAAGAGCAAAACAAGGAGTCTTCCAGCCAAATCTAAAATACGCTAACATCACCACATCTAAATATATCAATCTTATTCCCAACACCATCAAACAAGCTCTCGCAGATCCTCGTTGGCGAAAGGTTACCTCCGACGAATTCAACTCCATCATCGCCAACAACACTTATTCTCTTGTTCCTCCTCCTATAAATCATAATATTATTGATTGTCGATGTATCTTTACACTAAAACATGCTCCTGATGGCTCTATTCGCAGGTACAAAGCGCGGTTCATCGCCAAAGGCTATACACAACGCCGTGGGGTTGATTTCACAGAAACCTTCAGCCCTGTCATTAAATCGACCACCATTCGTCTTGTTCTCGATGTAGCAGTCAGTCGCTCCTGGCCAATTAAACAGCTTGACGTCAACAACGCCTTTCTCCAAGGATCTCTCACAGAGGAAGTTTATTGTCATCAGCCACCGGGTTTCATTGACGCCAATCATCCAAATCATGTTTGTCGCTTGCACAAAGCCCTCTATGGATTGAAGCAGGCCCCAAGGACGTGGTATCAAGAACTCAGCAGCTTTCTCATTACATCAGGTTTCGTCAATTCTCTAGCCGATGCGTCACTTTTTATATTCAACAAGGGCTCAACTCTCACCTATATTCTCATTTACGTAGATGACATTGTCATCACCGGCAATAATCAAGCACACCTCCAACAAACGCTAAGCTCCCTGGCAACACGTTTCTCTGTTAAAGACCCAGAAGATCTCAACTATTTCTTTGGCATTGAAGCTCACAGGACAACCAGCGGTCTTCATCTCACTCAACGCTGGTATATTCTTGATCTTCTCGCACGCAGTCACATGTTAGATGCAAAACCAGTAACAACTCCCATGGCTACCTCACCTAAGCTCTCTCTTCGATCTGGCACATCACTGTCCGACTCAACAGAGTACCGAACACTCATTGGCCGTCTTCAATATCTTGCCTTCACTCGTCCTGACATTGCCTATGCTGTTAGTCGTTTATCATAATTCATGCATTCACCAACTTCCGAACATTGGCAAGCGGCTAAGAGAGTTCTCCGATATCTTGCGGGAACAACTTCTCATGGTTTATTTTTCAGCAAAGACAATCTGACTGTTCTTCATGCATATTCGGATGCTGATTGGACAGGTGATCAAGATGACTTTGTCTCTACTAATGCCTACATTGTTTACCTTGGAAAACATCCTATTTCCTGGTCCTCAAAGAAGCAAAAAGGTGTGGCACGCTCATCTATCGAAACTGAATACAGGTCCGTTGCTAATACCTCTGCAGAAATACGTTGGATATGTTCGTTGTTATCCGAGTTGGGTATTCAAATCAACTCTCCTCCTATCATTTACTGTGATAATGTGGGTGCCACTTATTTGTGTGCAAATCCTGCATTCCACTCACGGATGAAGCATTTGGCTCTCGACTATCATTTCATTAGAAATCAGATAACTTCAGGCATTCTTCGTGTAGCTCATGTCTCATCCAACGATCAATTAGCCATGCTTTGACAGAACCGTTAGCTCGTGCACCATTTCTGAATCTCTCTTCCAAGATTGGAGTCTCTAAATCTCATCCATCTTAGAGGGGGCATATTAAAAAAAGAAGATCAATCTAATCCCTGTAAATGCTCTTTCTAATTCATGTAATCACTCCTTTAATCTCTCTACAAAATTCTCTGTAATCAGTATATATGATATATGATGTACTCTGTTAACAATATGAATACAAGAAACATTCTTCTCTATAATATATGTGATGAATGGCCTCAAACCACTCGTTAATTCTACTTCCCATGTAATCGTTTTAGAATCAAAGGAGACGTCCTAATCTCATAAACAAGCTGATGCATTATTTGTATAAACGTATTTTTTTTAGTTGAATTAAATTAAAGATTTTTCTTCAAAAAATGCTTAAGCAATTATATATATGGAGTATATATTTATATTTACTCGTACAATATACAAAAAAAATTCTCACATCCAAATATTAAGATTGTTGTAATGAGTTAGTATTCACACAAGTACACGTAATAAAATCAAAATGATTTGAATTAAGGCCGAACCGGTTAAACATGCACACTTTATAACAATTAATACAATAAATCAAGCGAAAACATCATCATTCATCATTCACCAATATTTTGTTCTTTTGCTAAATTTTTATACTCTTCTTCATCCATAGTGTCACATAAAACAGTTCCTCTAGTCTCTGGCAGTCCAACCACAAACAATCCAAACAATCCTATGACCAAACCAAACAACCCATACGACCAAAACTGATTTTCCCGACCAGCAGCCACCATCACTGGACTAAATACGCCGCCAAACACCAACGCTTGCCTCACCATCGCAATCGCCGAGTTCCTCACACACGTCGGAAACAGCTCAATCGTGTATATAAGCGTCATGTTGAACGCCGTACACGCGCTGAAAAACGAAACCAGCTCTAACACAATCTGTAGTGACCCTATTTTCTGTCCTAGCGCAGCGATTAGAACGCTAGAGACTCCGCTTAGAGCCGTGAATCCGATCAACGCGTCTCTTCTATTGATTTTATCAATAAAGAAAAACGTTATTAAAAACGCTGGAAATTCAGACAAGGCGTTGAACACGACACCTAGGTAAAGATTGAAGTTTAGATTCGCTAAAGCTAATGGCATTCCGTAGTAAACCATACCAATACCGAATCCAACCGCCATAACCGCTAATAATCTCCTAAGTGACCAAGGTTTCCTCACTAAGATCTTCAATGCGTCGTAAACATCAGGGTTTGACTTGGTTTGATCCTCTTGTACATCCAATGATAAGTTCGAGAAACTCGTAGTTATTGCATTAGAAGCAATGCTATGGAGAATCGAGATGGCTTCTTCTTTACGACCCTTTACGATAAGCCATCTAGGAGACTCGCGGACAAAAATTCGGACTAAACTACAGTAAATTAGTGTCGGTATAGTTGTCCAAACGTAGAGATACCTCCAAGAATTCCCGTTATTAACGTAACCTAATATCGGAAGCGACAAAAACCCTAACGTGAAGCAAAAGAAACCCATCGCACCGACTTGTCCTCGCCATTTTTTACCGACTAACTCCGTCGATAGAACGAGCGCGCAAGTCCCGACTGTGGCTCGACCGAATCCATTCAAGAATCTCAAGAACGCGTAAACCCAAATGCTTGTTGAGAAAGCTGTTAACATTGAAGACAGAGACATTATGAGACATGATAACATGAGCATGTTCTTACGACCAAGCGATGAGTCGGCGAGCGTAGAGAGAGCTAAGCCGCCGATTAGACAGCCAAGAAAGAAGGAACTTGCGGGTAACCCTTTGAGCAACGAGCTGGCGCATTGTAGGCCCCACTCGGATATGATTGACACGTGTGGGTTGAAGTCCCAAGACCAGGCTTGATTGGGTAAGGTGCAGAGGTTAGAGGACGAGTTGCAGATGAAGTTGAATCGGTCCGAGTCGACGCAGTGCCACGTGGGCTGTGAGTCTGTGAAGACGGTGATGAATGTTTGCTGAGCGTCGAAGACCCAAGCGAGTGAGACTAGAGCCGCTTGGAGAAACTGTGCCCACCCGAAGTTTCCAATGCACTGCTCGATCGTCTCGTCGAGGGACCTTGGTAGTGGAAGCTTGGACTCCGACGAGTTGGAACCGGAGAGAAGCGGCCGAGTCGAGTCGGCCATAAAGACGAAGAAGGGTTTTGTTTTGTTCCTTTTTATGTTTGATTTAATCTGCATGTTCATTAATATTTTGTACTCTATATATATAGAGGATAAAGCTATAGCTTGTGCGCATTTAATATTGTTTTTTTTAAATAAGAAGATAATTACTTCGTGACAAGACCTGTAAAAAAAATACTAGACAGAAAACTAAACAAAGAGTGATATCAATGAATATTCAATATATTATTGGATGATAATTAAAAACCGAACATTTTCTTAGTTGGAATGGTGGGAATAAAAAAAGAAACTGTGTTGGATATTTGGATGCACTATTGCCCGTGACTATGATCCAGCAGACATGTCTATGATATCGCATGTGTTCGAAGGATTAACAGTTTTATTTACATTTAAAAGATCACACAGCCGATGGAAAAAGAAAAAGAAAAAGAAAATCTCTCGATCACTGGCATAATAAGTTATTGGCTGAGGATGAGCCATCTCTTGGTTTCTCAAGACCTTCTTCTCATCCGCAGCTACTTCGCCATGATTCCACATTCTTAACCACTTTGGATTTAATTATAGTGCTAGAATAAAACAAAACTATGCCTCATTTCTTGATGTCGTCTATGTAACAAAATTAACACCGTTCCATTGGATTTACATCTTTGTAATAGGAAACAAATATAGATATTTTTTTTCTTTTAATTTGACCTAATCTTATTGTAAGAAAAATACAAAATTACAATCAAACAATTAATTTTTTCAACTACCAAGTTGCACTAATGGATGCATCTGGACAAGATAAGCTTAATCTTGCTTTACAGGGCATGGAAGATGTCTTTTGGAATGTCTATCGTTAAGTCATTTGGAAGCTTATGTGAACCTTATATATTTAAGTAAAGAGATCTCAAATTATAGATCTATGGAGGCATAGTTTTGTTTTATTCTAACAAAGCATGGAATGGAAAACTAAAAAAAAAAAATGGAATGACAGTTATATAGTTCGATATATATAGATGGATCATGGATGCACTATTTTTTTCATGCATTCTAATTTAAAAAAAATGATTTAGTAAATCAAATACAATATATCCCAACTGACCGATTTGTTATACATATATATTTTATACGGAAATAATTTAGAATAAAAGTTTTCTTAATAAAGAGATTATTTTAAAATATCAAACCCATCAATGTATTTATTCATTAGGTAAAATCTTCTAAACAATCTTAAAATAATAGTATTAAAAAGTTGTCTGTCTTGCTATCATTGACAGTATTCTATTATCTTACGAAAATAATTCCACTACAATAAATTAATTTGTTTGGGATCTGTAAAATTTCATAAAGTTATAGTATATGCATTTTCCGGTTTTTAGTAATTTTACCCGCTTTTAATGGCGAACACTAGATGTGTTGACAAGAAATATAATGAGAAAAATAGAGGCATGGAGTAATCGAAGGATAGTCACGTAAATCAGTAAAATGCAAACCCTTCAAACTCCAACCAAAATAAAAATAATTTAAAACATTGAAAATATTTTCTAAGAAACTCGAAAATATATATTCTTTGCTATGCAATAAATTTAAGTTTCTTTTACACTTTTTCTCTGTTTTTTTGTTGTTGTTCCGCACTAATCTTTGAAGAATGCTCATAATCGAATCAGGAAAATGGATCCAAAATTGTTGTTTTGTTTACCAGAAGGAGATGCGTTGTTTAATCCACTCAATACAATGTTTGTTCAAATGGCAAGCATTCTCGTCTTCTCTCAATTCTTCTATCTCTTCCTTAAACCCTGCGGCCAAGCCGGTCCCGTCGCTCAGATTCTCGTAAGTACTTTTTGTATATCAACAACACTTCTAGTTTTTCAATTTTCATTGATTGGACTCCTAAACTATGATAGTCAAACCCAAGTCAAATTCTCTCTGCAGAATATCGAATATTCAGTATTCAGAAACTAACGTTTTTCATTATTTCTCGTTTTCATTATTCATTCTCTGAACTTAAACCCCGAGAGTAACTTGTCGTGGAAGAAACACCCGAATGTATGTTTTTGAAAGATATATTTTGCAGATATTCAGAAACTAACGTTTTGATTGTTTTATTCAGGCTGGGATTGTGTTGAGTTTGCTCACAATAATCCAAAAAGTCCACGATTTCTTCCTCCAAAAAGACTCAGCAAGCTATTACATATTTTTTTCATTCCTTCTACGAACAGGTTTCATGTTCTTGATCGGTCTCGAAATTGATCTTGACTTTATGAAACGAAACTTGAAGAACTCGATTGTCATAACCTTGGGCTCCTTAGTTACTTGTGGCATTATCTGGCTCCCTGTCCTCTGGTTTCTCGTCCATTTCCTTCAGATCAAACACGACTTCTTAACGTTGTACCTAGCCTTCCTCGTTACCTTGTCCAATACGGCATCTCCTGTCGTCATCCGCTCGATCATTGATTGGAAACTCCACACATCTGAGATCGGACGGCTAGCAATCTCCTGCGGATTGTTCATCGAGATAACCAACATATTCATCTACACTGTCGTCATTTCTTACATCTCCGGGACAATGATCGGCGATATCTTTGCATACGCGTTTGCCACCGGAGTTATCATCTTAATCAACAGATTCTTAGCTTCGTGGCTCCCAAAAAGAAACCCTAAAGAGAAGTACCTCTCCCAAGCCGAAACGCTTGCGTTTTTCATCCTTCTTTTAATCATCGCGTTAAGCATCGAATCCAGCAACATAAACTCCACGATTTTCGTGTTTTTCATCGGATTAATGTTCCCGCGAGAAGGAAAAACCTACAGGACGTTGATCCAGCGGCTGAGTTACCCGATTCACGAGTTTGTTCTTCCGGTTTACTTCGGTTACATCGGGTTTAGGTTCAGCCTCAACTCGCTAACCAAACGCCATTACCTCGTCCTTGGTATGACAGTGGCTCTAAGCATGATAGGGAAGCTTCTAGGAGTTTTGTGCGCTTGTTCATTTCTTAAGATCCCAAAGAAGCATTGGCTTTTCTTGTCTACCATCCTTTCCGTCAAAGGTCACATGGGTCTGGTTCTTCTCGATTCTAACTTGAAATACAAGGTATTACGATTAGTTACAAGCTAAGTCACTTAATAATCTTCTCTCTGTTTAGTGATTTTATATGATTTTTTTTTTCCTCTCTCTGTAGAAATGGTTTACGCCCGTAATTTATGATATGTTCGTTGCGGTTCTGGTGATTACGACATTGTTAAGCGGAGTAATATCGTCTATATTGCTTAAAACGCAAGAAAAGAGTTTTTCACACCAAAAAACATCGCTTGAGTTCCACGACACCAGAGACGAGCTACGAGTGTTGACTTGCGTTTACGGTGTGCGTCAAGCTCGTGGATTGATCTCTCTAGTCTCAGCTATAAATGGAGCTTCTTCTTCGCCGTTCACACCGTATCTCATGCACCTCATACCGCTCCCGAAGAAGCGGAAAAGTGAACTATTGTACCACGAATTAGACGAGGATGGAGTGAATTCCAGCGGCGGAGACGATGAGTTCGGGACTAACGAAGGACTAGAGATCAATGACTCGATCGATTCGTTTACTAAAGACAGGAAGATCATGATCCGGCAAGTGAAACTCGTGGCGCAGATGGAGAATATGCACGAAGAGATCTGTAACGGGACTGAAGATCTCCGCGTCTCGATCGTGTTTCTTCCGTTCCACAAGCACCAGAGGATCGATGGGAAAACTACAAACGACGGGGAAGTGTTTCGGGATATGAACCGGAAGGTTCTAAAGCAAGCTCAGTGTTCGATCGGTATCTTTGTGGATAGAAACATAACCGGGTTTCACCAGCTTCACGGGTCTGATTCGGTACAACACGTTGCGGCATTGTTCTTTGGTGGTCCTGATGATCGCGAGGCTCTTTCCTTGTGCCACTGGCTTACCAACAACTCCCAGATTCACCTCACTATCATACAGTTTATCTCGGATGACTCAAAGATAGATAAACTTGTTGGAGACGCGGTGACCAAAGAGAACAACGAGGTTTTCATGGAGATTGTTGGTAAAGATCAGACCGAAGACGAAACTGATCGAAGCTTCTTAGAAGGATTCTATAACAGGTACCGTACAAAAATTCTGCTTCTATCAATACTCTGCCTCTTGAACAACTCTGTTTTTTCTTCATTACTCTGTTCTGCTTCCAGTTTTGCCCTGTTTTCTAGACCAGAAACATTGCATAGTTTCATTTACCGGACTGGCTTTCGTTTGCTTTGACTTTCGACAGATTTGTAACGACGGGGCAAATTGGGTTTATAGAGAAGCGAGTAAGCAACGGATTGCAAACACTGACGATTCTGAGAGACATCGGAGAGATGTATTCACTGTTTGTGGTGGGCAAAAACAGAGCAGATTGCCCTATGACGTCGGGAATGAACGATTGGGAAGAGTGTCCCGAATTAGGAACTGTCGGAGACTTCTTGGCTTCATCAAGTATGGATGTAAATGCTTCTGTATTAGTAGTTCAAAGACATAGACACTCATTTGATAGCTTTGTGGATGAATAATAGCAAATATCTTTTAGTAACTTCAACTCATCTTTATTCTTTGTCTTGCATCATGATAAGATAGACATCACGAATTGCAAAACATATACAAACGGAGAATTTGTAAAGCTAAACAAACTCTCTTTTAACTAACTCACTCAGCAACAGTGGCTAGTGTTTGTGGCTTGATCTCTCTTTTCTTGTTCTTCCATTGTATCGCAGAGACTCGAACCTTTTGTCTCGGGTAGAATCAAAACGAACAATCCCAAACCGGACATTGCAACTCCGAAAATTGCGAATGACACTGATGGTACTTGTCTTCCAATCGAAGCAATTAGCGGACAACAAGCTCCTCCAACAACGAGAGCCTGTCTAAACATCATTGTTGCGGAACTTCTCACACAAGTCGGAAACATTTCAACCATATAAACCGCCATTAGGTTGAATCCGATCCTTGCACAGAAGAATGTCCCCAGCTCAAACGCAAACGCGATCCCTGTTTTCCCGAGAACGCTGAGAACGAAACAGAGCATTCCCGATGCTCCACCGAGTAGAGTATTCACTAGAACAGAGCTTCTTCTGTTGAATCTCTCCAATAATATCGGAGTGATGACGAAAGTAGGCAACTCCACCAATGCGTTTAGGGTTTCGCTCAAGTAGATGTTGACGTCTATGTCTCTAGCCGCTAAAGGAACTCCGTAATATGATATTCCCAACCCAAACATAATGACCATAACAACTACAATCCTCCGAAAAGCCCACTTTCGGAAGAAGAAGTCCTTAATCGAGTAACTTGGCACTTGTTCACAGGTTTCTTGCTCGAGGGGTAACTTAGAAACCGCTGATTCCAAGTAGGCTCTGTTCTTCGGTGACATCCTTTTGAGAACATCAATGGCTTCTGCGTCGTTTCCTTGCATGTGAAGCCACCGAGGTGATTCAAGTGCGAAAATGTAGAGGAAGATACAGTAGCATGTCGCGGGAACGGCTGTGTATAGATAGAGAAACCTCCATGAAGAGTGTTGAGCAAGGTAAGCGATTCCGGACAAGGACATAAACCCTAAAACGAACAGGGTAAATGGAATCATCGTAGCTCTCGGTCTCCATCTTGTGGAGACTCGCTCACTGATGAGAACCAGCGCGTATGACCATGTCTGCGATCGCGCGAATCCGATGATAAACTTCAGGGATGTGTAAATCCATACGTTGGTTGAGAAGATAACAGAGATTGAAGTGACTGACATTGCAAAGGTTGAGAACAAAAGTAGTCTCTTGCGTCCCAAGGAGTCATCTGGGATTAAAGCTAGAAAGAATCCTCCAACGATGGCACCGATGTAGAAAGCAGAAGTAGGCATACCTCTGAGTAATGAGCTCGAGCACTCGAGGCCGAATTCTGAAATGACGGATTTGCCCTTGAAGCCACCGTCCCATTCCCAGGCTGATCTTGGAAGCTTGCAGATGTCAGAAGCTGAAGGATCGCAGAACGTGTGGTTAAGACAGTGCCACGTGGGGTATGCATCGGTGTAGACGGTAATGAATATCTGCTGAGCATCGAAGAGCAAAGCTAGTCCAACGAGGAATATCTGAAAAAATTGCCAGAACTCGAAATCTGATAGACTCTGTTCGACGATGTTGTCGAAAGTCAAGTCTTCTGCTCTGGTTAGGTCGCTGACTCCAGAAGTGCCGGCGAGATGAGACAACAATGGTTCTGATGGATCAGCCATTACTATTTTCTAGTTGGGAGCTTTCTTTTATTTTCTTTTGAAGGGGTACTTGGTTATTGATATTGCCCTTCTTATTAGAGAGAGATATATAAATCTGAAATCTGAATCTGTGTTTTCACTATATGCAAATCTCAGATTTTAAATCATACCGTACGTGAGTTTGATGATATGTGTTGGTAGTATTTAAAACGCGCTCGTGGAATGCATGGGTCGACAAAGTCAAAAGTAAGAATTCATTTAATTACTAATTTGCTGTTTCTCTTTTAATGGCGTTCATACTTATTAGGTCGTGCCATAAAAATATGTTACATATACGGGATCGAGAAGAACGCGTCAACAGAGAAATATGTTTATACAGTATTCTCTTTACATTGGAATATGTTTGGTAATCCTTCCATGACAGATCATGCTTAAAGATCTGATCACAATTTGCCTTTCTTTACTGATACAGAGAAAAATTTTTCTAAAGACAAGATAGGACAAGAAAATATAATAATTGTACTAGAATTATTATATTATACTTTTTTTGGGGTCAACTAAACAATCATAAGGTCTGCTCCGATCCGTTCACATGCGATGGATTAAATATCATGTTGGTCGTCATCACGTTGAGAATCTACAAATGGCAATTAAAAAGATTGAAATTTCTAAAAATACAATGGTGTGATGCCATAAAATAATGTTTCTTAATAAATTTGTTTTTTTCTAATTTTATTTTTCAATAATACAGTGGTTAAATGAAAAAATCATCCATCTCATAATAATTTTATGATTTATAACTAAAAATAAAAAATCACATCAACTTAACATATTAAAGAAAGTAATCATCAATTTAGAATAATTAAATAAATAAATAATCGTAATATTATTTAAATTACACATTACCATTTTAAAAATTTTCATCTTATCATTTGATAGAGAATGTATTTTTCTTTCATAACTATAAGTATTTGTATTTTTTCAACATGTATACATCATCTAAAACGGTTTTCAAACGGTCAAGAAATTCGTAATGTGAACTTTCTTCCTGTAAATCAAAGAGAGTTTATATATATAACTTTCTATTTGACAAAACTAGTTGGAAATTTGGAATTATGGTACATTTTTATTCTATAAATAAAATCTTACTTTAATAAAAGGGGATAGGACCGAAATAAAAATCAATCGCAAAAATCAATCTAAAAAAATTTGGTCTTTATGACCGAAGTAAAAATGAATCGCAAAAAATTCGGTTAGAGCGTTTTTTATAGAGAAACCAACTAAAAGTGAGAACAATCTTGAAAAGTAAAAACTGTAAATCGGATTAAACGAAAATAATCTTTCTTCTTGCCAATATCTTCGTAATGAGCACCTCTGCAACGTCCTCAATTGCCTTAGGCGGTGGATCCGCTGAGGCTTCTGCTGCCAAACACACATCAAAGCGTCCAAAATGTGATCTATATAACCTATTCCCCAATTTTGTATACATTTTTTCTTTTCTGGTTACGTTTCAGATTTTGTTCCCGGCTGATCTGATAAATGTGCACTTTGGGATCGTCCCTAGTTTTCTGGAACGTTTTTTTTCCTAATTATCCACGTTTAATTGTTATTGATCAATGTTTTCTATATATGAGTTTCGAGATGAATTTATGTGCGGATAGAAAAGAATGAAGAAACTCTGATTCTTTCTTTGAGATGTTGCTAGGCTAATAACTAAAATTTACATTGTATAGAGAGATATATAGGGAGAAATCCAGATTGGTGATATTAATCATATACACTCACAAATGAGTGCTTGTATTTTCTTATTAGTTTGGTATTCTTAATAATCCATCTCACGTGTAATTTTGACAATTTGAAGTAGCAACTCATTTTTGTTTAGATTAACTCCCAACAAATCAAAATGTGTAGATTAGAAACCTAACCTGTTGGCCAAATTTTCTTCATCAGATTCAAGATTTACCCAACAGGAGCTTCCAGCATGCAAACCAATTCTTACCCCAAAATGGGTAAAGCTTCAATAACTCGTACAATTATAACATTCTTAGTGGTGTAATTATCAATGTTTACTATAGTTTAAAGTATTTTTGTACTTATCTTAATTTGCAGGTGATTCTAACTTTTCTTACCTCGGGGGTGATATTTATTCCTCTCGGAGTGATTTGCCTATTTGCTTCTCAGGGTGTATGTTTTTAGTTTTGGTGTATTTTTTTCACTTTCCAGCTACATTTCTTTCTTACTATAATTATGATTTAAGGAAAAAAATATTTGTAACATGTAGGTCACCGAAATTGTTGATCGATATGACACAGACTGCATTCCAATATCCTCTAGAGACAACAAAGTCAGATACATACAGGGCTTAGAAGATAAGAGGTGTAACAGAACAATAATGGTTAGAGATATCTATCATCTTTACTTCTTGCTTTATAATTCATTAGCTTTCGGTGGTCACAAGTCACAACCCTTCTTTTTTATTTATTTATAATAATGATTCATTTTGATAGGTGACAAAAGCTATGAAGAATCCTGTCTATGTTTATTACCAGCTTGAGAACTATTACCAAAATCACCGACGGTAACATCTCCCTAGCTATTAGTATTCACTCTTGTGTTTGTGCCTTCAAATGGTTTGAGACGGTAATATTTTTTTGATGATTTTGCAAATAGCACAGGTACGTGAAAAGTCGACAAGATGGACAATTGAGAAGTCGAAAAGATGAACACGATGTGAAATCATGTGCGCCCGAGGATACTTTAGGTGGCGAGCCTATTGTTCCTTGTGGTCTTGTTGCTTGGAGTTTGTTCAATGATACTTATGACTTCACTAGAAACAACCAAAAACTATCTGTGGATAAAAAGGGCATCTCATGGAAGAGCGACAGAGAAGCAAAGTTTGGTAAAAACGTCTTCCCCAAAAATTTCCAGAAAGGATCTCTCATCGGCGGTAAAAGTCTTGATCCAGAGATTCCGGTAAGTATGTTTTGAAGTGTTAAGAATCTTACATCTGAAGCAAGATGAGCCCTAAAGTATATGAGTCATTCCAATCAAATCAACTGGCTTAATTTGAGTTGAAAGCAAATAACCAATAAACATTGTTATATTTTTTTAAAAATGTTTTTTGATAGCTGAGTGAGCAAGAAGACCTAATAGTCTGGATGCGAACTGCGGCTCTACCAACATTTAGAAAGCTGTATGGTAAAATAAATACTGATCTTGAAGTTGGAGACACCATAAAGGTATTGTTACAAAACAATTACAACACGTATAGCTTCAATGGGAAGAAGAAGCTTGTGCTATCTACAACTAGCTGGCTAGGTGGAAGGAATGATTTTCTTGGGATTGCGTATTTGACTGTTGGTAGCATATGCTTGTTCTTGGCTGTTTTCTTCTCTGTCTTGTATCTCGCAAATCCAAGGTATATATATATATATATATATATATATATAACATTATCTCCAATGTCTATTTAATTTATTTTATTTGGAAGATGCTCTGAATTTTGATATTACAATTTTGTTAAGAGTATATGATATTATTTCAGGCAACTGGGAGATCCATCGTACTTGTCATGGAACAGAAGTGCTGGAGGTGGACGATGATTTAGAGTTCCTTCAAGCTTTTGTTTGTTTGCAATCTTTTTTTGTTATTGTTTGTTTTGGTATATGTCACGTACCTCTCCTTCTATTGGTAAATAAACTAATAAGTAATCCTTTTTCAAAATTATAAATGAATAAAAATACTGTAAACTTTTAACCTTTAATATGTTTGTCTATATTATTATGTGCAGTATGACTATGACGCATATGGTTTGTTGGGAACTTATCAAACAACGTCCAAAAGTTGATCGAAGTGGGGGACTGAAAATTGCATGGCCCAAGTTATCATTGAGCAGAGTTTGTAGTTTATTTTTCTCTTTGGATAAAGCTGCATCCAACAGTTTGAAATAAAGTCCAGAGAGTTGCTAGAACAACTTTCATTGATGTAGTCCAACTTTTTTTTTGTCGTTTACGTCGAAACAAAATTTGAGAAATAAAACCCTGCTGACGTCTAAATGAAATAAAAAAGACTCGTAATACAAAATCTTGCTTTATTTCCCCACCCAGCAAAATTCTTATTTGTTTGTGATTTTAATACAAAACTGAACACACGAAGAGAAATAGCCATTACGCGAATATTCAACTACTAAGCGAGACAAGTCCTTCACTGAGGCAAAAAAGCTAGAATGATTTCTTTTCGTAAGAAACCAGACCATGGATCCCACCTTCAATCTGTGCTGCACCGGTACGAGCCTATTCCAAACCATAAAACGCAAACACTTACATCAGAATGGCGAAACTCGCAAGCTTAAGAGAGTTTTCCCGAGGAGTAGAAATAACGGCGTACCTCGAGTCTAAGGACTTTGTCTCTCAGTAGCTCGTGAGCCGATTGCAAAGAGGAAGCACCAAGATCTTGGAAACCTTGCTTCACGGCATGCATTGTGTAAGGTATAAACTTCAACACCGAGCCTTTGTCCGCGACTGCTCCAACCACTCCCTGTGCGATCTTGAGCTTCGCGGTATCTCCCAAGTATCTCTGGTCGCTTCCTTTGGTCATCGCTTCCAATGAACCCATACCTCGGTATTTCTTCACTCTCCTACCGTTCTACATGATCACCACAAAAACAGAGCAAACAAAGCAAAAGCATTTGAGGCAAACCATAATAAAAGTTCGTTGGTTGTAATCAATATTCAAAATAGGAAAGCTGTGTGCAATTACTCGGTATTCGTAAGCTCCAGGAGCCTCTGTGCTTCCAGCTAGGAAGCTTCCCATCATCACAGTTGATGCTCCAAGGACTAGAGCCTTCACAATGTGACCTGAGTTTGAGATTCCACCATCTGCAATAACAGGTACACCGTGCTGAGCAGCAAGCGTCGAGACTTTGTACACAGCAGTAGCCTAAGAGAGCACCAATCACATTAGAAGCCCGATCTCTAACTTAGCACTATATATATCAAAATAAGAAAGCTTTTTTTTTTTCATTTACCTGTCCGCGTCCAACAGCACAAACCTCTTGTGTTGTGCATATAGACCCAGATCCCATACCAACTCTCAGCCCATCAACTCCAGCTTGGATCAAGTTCTGTGCCTGGTACATAGTCACCACATTCCCACCGACAACATCCAGCTCCGGATACATGTTCTTCACATATTTGATCATCTCAAGCTGGTAAATCGAGTTCCCTTGCGAACTATCCAACACCACAACGTTAGCCCCAGCTTTCACCAAGTGTTCCAGCCTCTCCTTGTCTGATTCCCTTGTCCCTATGGCTGCACCCACCATCCATTTGTTGTCTGGACCAACAGTTCCTGACCCTAACTTGGGATATCCTTTAACTCTCTCCACATCGTCTTTTGTTACTACATTCACGGCCTCACCATCCTTCTCCAGAACCACAAACCCTTTCTGCTTATCTTCCAAAACCGCATCGATCTTGTCAAGATCAATATCCCAGGGAACGTAGTAGTCTCTGCTCTCACAGCTCCGCATGTAATCGTATATCTTCATCTCCTTTTGCTCATCTTTCATATTTGACCACTCCGATTTTGAGGCATAACCCAACAAACTCGGTGTCAATGTCCCTGCTCATCCAATCAAACACAAAAGGAGGTTTCTCAGCATTTACTAGAACCTATTTCACAAATATTATCACTTTGCTTTCAAAAACTGCTGAACGTGACAAAAAAGGGTATGTACCACATAAATAAAGCTTTAAAATGAAGTAGAAATATCAAAAGCTTTCAAAAATAGGACTAATGAAATGAGGAATCATAAGTAAAGCTTCAACATCTCAATACGATAATCATAATCAGTGTGAAAGCTTCTGACATATATCAAATCGTAATCAGTGTTTTGATTCATTACGGAAGTCCCTCAGCTCACAGTCTGAAATCGATGGTGAATTTACCTGTCTGCGAGACGAAGACGAAGGAAGAAGGACCGAAATCATCAACAGAACCAATCTGATGGTCGGGGCATTTGAAAACAGCGTCGGATGCAATCGGAACTCGGAGCGACTTGGCGTGGCGGATGACGGAAGCCTGGGTGGCGATGTCGCAGTTATAGTGGGCGATTCCGATTCCTCCAAGCGCGGCCATAGCAGCAGCCATGTGGGACTCTGACACAGTGTCCATCGGCGAAGCGACGCACGGGATCGAGAGTGGTACGCGCTTGCTGAGGCGCGTGGATAGGGAGACGGCGTCCGTCGCGAAGTCGATGTAGTGAGGTAGAAATATCACATCGTCGTAGGTGTAAGAGTATCCCTGTGCAAACAACCTTTCCGCTGAAAATCCATCCTCGAATCCCGACATCTCCCCACTCCACTAATGCCGTCGCTGCCGAGAGAGAGAGAGAAATGAACAGAGAGGGTAAGCTAGGGTTTAGTGAGGAGTTGGTGAAAGTTTAGGAGCGAAAGATGACAAATCAAAAGGTAGAGTGGATAAAAGAAAACCGTAGCCGAAAACATTGAACCAAATTTTGTTTATAAACCGATTGATTTCGTTTTCTAAAATCTAACAAACCGAAATCGAATCAAAGGTAATCGAACCAAACCTAGTAAGACGAAACAAGAAAGGATTTATCCGCAATAAGGATATTATTGTCCGTGCGTCCATACACCAGCTGTCGGAGGTAAAAGCATCCGTATTTAAGGAGGCTATCATCGCCAGGGATTGTACTGTTCTCGCATCCGAACATCACCGTTCTCGGCCAGCCCCGGCCCAATGATATTGAGAACCCTAGGGCAAAAAAACATTTTGGGCCTTATAACATATAAATTTACACAAAATTTTAAATATTTGGGCCCTCTAAAATTTTGGGCTCTTCTGTAATGAATTTTTCATGAATAGATACTAATTTAAATTAAAAATATAACTATTTGGGCTTATTTATTTAAAAACGGGCCCTATAATATACATAATTTTAAGAACAAATGAGTTGGGGCCGGGGCTGCTCTCGGCCATTGGTATTTGGTGATGTCAGTTTCATCAATTTGGTTAACCGAACCATTGGACGGAAAATTGGTGGGCCTAATTTGTCATAAGTTGGATTTAAATGGGCTTAATTTTAGCCCAACACAAACAGTAAACTCAAGGGGTCCTAACCGTAAATTCCCAAAAAGCTCAATTTGAAATACATAAAACAAGCGGCGTCACCGGTCTTGCCTTCTCTGAAAATTGCAACGGTAAAAGTCTCTCTCATTCAGTCTCTGGGAAGGAAAAAGGCGAGAGATCTGGAGATTGAAAGAAAATGGCGTTCGCCAAGGTAACGTTTGGGTGAAATCCTAATTTCTTCATGATTTTGTTTGGAAAACGAGTTAGTGTTATTACGCTCTTCACAGATGAGTTTGAGATCGAGAGCCTGTTCCTGTCTTCGTACGATTACCAATTTGCTAACCTTCTTTCTCCTTATTTTAAATGGGATTAAGATTTGGAGTCTTTAATTTCTCGCTTACAGAAGAGATTAGGTTTTTTTTTTCGCCTCTTGAGCTTCTTCTATCATATTTGGTAAAGGTTGATGTGATAATTTAAAGCTATAGTTCTTATTTCACTTTCTATGGATTTGATCTAGGCACCAAGATTAAGTAGAGATGATCTCCTTGGGAAGCGAGGTAAGAGGATTAATTTTAACTTTTGTTGGTTGTTGAAATCATATTCAGTCTCGAGCAAACAAATGGTCCGTTTCTAATAATAATATGTACATTTGAATCAGCGGGGACTAGGAGTTTCAAAGTCTACTCCGATAATCAGAAAACTGATCCAGCATGTACATTGTAAGTCTCGCAGTGTTTTGTCGTTCGTTAACCTGAATAATAATACAATTGCTGTTTCTGCAGAGGTAAATTACGAATTTTAAGAAATTGATCTTCTGGTTTTACAATGTTTTAGGAGAAAAGCCGTAACAATTAGCAGTGTAGCAACTTCTAACACAAACAATATGAAGGTTTCTTTCGTTTCCTTCTTTCTAAACTCATTGAATTGTTGGATCTTATGCTGTTATTCAACATTTAAAATGCCGTTTTTGCTTTGATTGATTGAAAAGAAGGTAAATTCGAGAATCGCTGGCAAGGGAAAAAGCAGTAATGAAAATTCTGGTAAGCTTCTATCAGAGAGTTTTGATTACATTTCCGGGATGTAGTTTCGATAGTTAACTCAACATTTTCTCTTTTTTCCAGAGGAATATACTAACGTCAACGTCACAAGGAAGGCACTGGCTGATGTAAGTAATCGTGGTGGGAACACTTTAAGGCCAACGCTTTGTGGCAGCAGTACGATGTAAGTTTTCTTAACATTAAGGGTTGCTGTGCTTTCCCATTGATTAGAATGATAAATTGCCCATTTTCTTCTTAATCAAACTGATTTTATATCTAGTAAGCATCTTTTACTTAGTTTTGATTGTATTTATATATGTTCTAAGACTATCCTATTGAACGTGCAACAATGCAGGAAATGGAAGGGTGTGAAATGTGCAAATTTGCAAAGGTATGCACAAGTTGTTAGCTGCTGCTATACACGTCACATACAGTAGTGTTACATCTCTACATAGGGATTAGTAGATAGTTGTTCCTCTGCAATAGGCATCGTAAAAAAAAATGGAAGCCTTTGTTTCCGATGCCCTTTTTAAAGTGAATTATCCTCTTCCATTTTCTTTGATCGATTGCTTTTTTCATAAATTTGGTATGGTGCCGTAACTTCAGTTCATGTTGCTCTTGGGATCAGTAGATAAACTTTTGCAGAAAGAATCGCACAGTTCAATGTATAAACTATCTGGTTTTTGACAACGAGTTGATGATGATGCGCTAATTGACCTTTCCATGTGTAGGATTTCAGTTGGTTCTACCAGAGTTCATGATATTTCTTTGAAAAAATCTATCAAGGTACAACAATTGTATTGACATTTTATTTTCAGGCAATATCATAAACTTTGTGTCTAAGAGCATGACTATCATTTCTCAAACTACCTGAGTTATTTTCTTCATCTTTATTGCAAGCCTTGATTACAGTTTTCTTCTGATACAGGAGAACGAGAGTAAGAGAACAACTGAAGTTGGAAACAATCGCATTTATAAGACAGGTGAGCTCGTAAATGTTATGTTTGTTTTTCATGTCTATTGCTTGAGTTGCTATTTACCATTTATCTAAAATTCAGACGATTCAATTCTTACTTTAGGTCAGAAATTTACCAAAAACAAAACTCTGAGCCTTGGATCAACTGCTGGTGGAACAAGGTACCTTTATGCTAATCTCGTGCCTAGTCGAATATCCCCTTCCAGTATAATTTGTTGAATTTTCTGAGAGGAAAGTAAAAATCTTGTTTATGCCATACATTACTTATGGATATGCGGAAGCTCATATGAGTGACCTCTTGTATGTTCAGCATAGCGGAAACATTTCTTATCTTACCAGACGTTTTAGTTAGCATCTGCTGAGAATAGTTCTACAGCTTTTATTGATTAAGTTCCTTGATTTGTTTGTTTTTGTAGAGAATCTTTACCAGCTTTAAAGAGAACAAGCCTCACAGACAAGAACACAAAAAAGGTTTGTTATCAATATATACTTTGTCATTTTTTTTGCTTACAGCTATCTGATTATAAAACAATTTTTGTGAGGCTAATAATTTAGGATATCTTACTCTACTCACTGTCCTTGATTCTGATTTTTTATTTATTTTTTTTGCAGGGCAATGTCTCAAGCTTAGATTCAAAACAATTGGGTCAAGGTCCAGGTAACATAGATTTCTTTCCAGTGTGTGATGGAAATGTGTATGTTAAAGTTGTAACGTAATTGGTTCAGTATCTGATATGAGTAATGTTGCATTGTTTCAGCTAGTAGAGTCAGCAACAAAGCCTTCCCGCAGCTAAGCAGTGCCAGAAGCTATACTTGGAAAACTCGGACAAGTGTTGGCACTATGCCATCGTAAGTATATATGTTTGTTTCTGATATCATCATCACACAAGTGGACTTTCACCTACTCAATTGCGTCTACATTCACGAAATCCTTGTTTGCATTTTCATTATAAATATATGACTTTTTTGCATCTTCGAAAACCAGAAAATTGTTTTTTTAATCGTTTGTGGACAGCATCTTGTGATATACGCTGCTAAGTCATTTTCTTTGTGTTGGCCAGGGACCGCAACAACCAGAGTAAGAATAACGTTAGTCTCGCAAGGAAATCTATCAAGGTAATATACCTTGAAGCTGTACATTTTGTTTATGCAAGTTGTACATTCTCGTAAAAGCCGACACTATTTGAAGCTCTATCGACAATATTTAACTGCTTCTGAATCAGTCTTTTTTTGTTTGTCATGTGATCTTGGTATTTTTAGGCTTCACTTTCATATTTAGCTTCAGATCATTTCATCTGCCATTAGTCATAGTCGTATTGAGGTTTTTTGTATAGTGAATATGTGATAAGTTTTCTCTCTTACTCAAGATCCAGACAACTGTGAAGACCTCGCTGCAAAACCGTAGTTCTCTTAAGAAGCCCCCGGTGGCCAGAAGTAAATCAAGATCTATTCCTTCAATCCCTTCTCCCGAAGAAGCTGCTTCGGCACTGTCACTTCCGGAACAAGTTGAACCAGAAGGTCTCAAAGAAGATACTCAAGGAGAGAGTTCATGCAATGAAACAACAGAGCCAACGACGAAAGTGTTGATGGATGTTACAGCGAAGCCAAAATCAAAACGTAGAAAGTCTTTCACATCTCTACTAGTGGCTGGATCAAAGGTTCGCAATTCTACTAGCTGCTGTGTTCCTTGTGACTTCTCTTTATTCAATGCTGTTAATTTGTTAACTTTACTCGCAGTTCGATGAGAAAGATGGTGAAACTGCAGAGACAGTAAAGCTTCCCAACATTGATGATGAATCCAACCAGCTGGAAGTTGCAGAATATGTAGATGACATATATCAGTTCTATTGGACTGCTGAGGTAATCCACTTGCTTTTTATACATAAGGCCACGCTTTCCTTTATACTCTTTTCTCCTTATACTTTTCACAAGATGAATTTAAGCTTTAACATGAAATGTTGTTGCAGGCATTAAATCCAGTTCTAGGATACTACATGTCAACTGAGACAGAAGTTAGTCCAGTTACGCGTGGCATTTTGATCAACTGGCTTATCGAAGTGAGTGCAGTTTTTTTTTTCGTTTTACATTTCAAATTGATATTTTCCCTACTCAAAGTTTTTCTTCTCTACGTGGTATTGTTTATTTGTTTGCAGGTTCATTTCAAATTTGATCTAATGCATGAGACTCTCTATCTCACAATGAATCTACTGGACCGTTACCTCTCCCAAGTTCCAATACAGAAAAATGAGATGCAATTGGTCGGTATTACTGCACTCTTGCTAGCATCTAAATACGAGGACTATTGGCATCCTAGGGTTAGTGATATATATCCTGAAAGCTAAAACATCTCCTCTCAACTCAACTCCATATTGGTAATTGACATCTATTGTCTATGTCCATTTGCAGATCAAAGACTTGATTAGTATCTCGGCAGAATCATACACACGACAACAAATCCTGGGAATGGTATAGATAAACTCTGTTTACGATCCACTACTCTATTAATGTTGACAGTAATTGTTGAACTTTTGCATTACTTATCTTCTTTTTCTTGTTTTCAGGAGAGGATTATGCTTAAACAGTTAAAGTTCCGTTTGAATGAACCCACCCCTTACGTTTTCATGTTAAGGTTCCTAAAAGCTGCTCAATCAAACAAGAAGGTAACTTGCAACTAATAAGCTATATAACCTGTAAAATCAAGTACGTATATGACTAGACAGACATTTAATAGTTAATACGACTACTTAATCAGCTTGAACAACTCGCCTTCTACCTCATCGAGCTGTGCCTGGTTGAGTATGAAGCTTTGACGTTCAAGCCGTCGTTGCTCTGCGCATCAGCCATCTATGTAGCCCGCTGCACTCTACATACGACTCCGGTTTGGACCGCTCTCCTAAACAAACATACCAACTACAATGTCTCCCAAATGAAGTAAGTACCTCTCTCTTTAATATCACCATTTTGCAGATCACTTGACTGATTTGCATTGGTTAAAGCTCATAGTATATACAATCGTTTTATCACAGGGATTGTTCGGACATGATCTTAAGGTTCCATAAAGCTGCCAAGACAGGAAAACTGAAGGTCACTTATGAGAAGTACATGAATCCAAATCTCAGTAACGTCGCAGTCTTGAAACCATTGGATAGGCTTCCTCTCTAAGTGGGAACTATAAGAAGAAGAAAAAACTCAGGCTACTGCTGATTCTTAATTAGGTGTGTTGTTTTTCTGTGTGTTTAGTCCGCTAAGTAATATTACTGTTTCAAATGACCATAAAGACAAAACTCCAATGTATTGTTGACAAAGTTTGTATAAAGCTTCTGTAACAACATTACAATTCTATGTCTCATAAGAAGCTTAAGGTCAACCAGATCTACTCATATATAAATATATAACCTTCAAATGTAAAAACTTATATACACCTTAGAAGCGTGTCCTAGAGTATGTGTATATCAACTCTACTTCCACTATGAGCATGTGACTAAGCTGTCTGTGACAAGCGTATCCTCTGTCTGGTCCACTGTACGTCTCACCGCTTGATAGAAATCAATCCATGAAGATGAATACGAGTCAACAGAACCGAAAAAGAAGGTTGGATTGGGACTACTTGCAGGCGAAGCAGTCACCAAATCCAGAACCGAAGCTGCGGGTTTGAGCTGATGAGGGAAATTGAAGGCCAAGTTGTCGACTTTATGCTCATAGATTTTGCCATTACGGTCGAGTTTATACCGAGAAGTGCCTTGAAACTCTCCTTTAGCTTCCCATGGAACTCTAGGCACACCCTTGAGGTTCCACCTGATGAGAATCATGTTCTCTGATGGTTGCCACACCCTGAAGATCTCAAGTGAGATGTCTCTGAAGAGTATCTTCCCATGAAATCTGAGTGCCCAGAAGATCAGTTTGTAGTTCTCAATCCCACTGAATGTGTTCATCGGATCCACAAATGTTACATCATCCCTGCAAAACAAATAAAGGTTCTGAATTTATCCAGCGAGACATTCACAAACAGAGAACAAAGAAAATTGTTTGTATAGATTGCATCCAGAGAGAGAGAGTCTCATTATCATTATCATTGAACAATCAAGTTACCCAGATGAGAGAATTTACCTGTAGATGTCGTAGTTGAGATCTCTGTTGAAGAGCAAAGGCAAATCTTCACGAAGCGTACGGACAGCGACACCGAGATTGATATAGAATTCATCTCTGTCGTGGTTATGATTATCTTGCGCAGCGGGTCTTGTCTTCACCTGCGCATCTCGAAGAGGAGGAGACTGGACGCTGGAAAGAGAGAGTTTACAGAGACTATCTTCCTCAAATTCGTAGCTAATCGAAGAAGAAGACGACGGCGATTGAGAATGATTGAAAATGGGTTTAAGGTTTTGGGATTTTCCGGTTTGAAGAAGGACTGAAGGAGATAGGTTACGAAGAAGAAAAGCCATGACTGCTATATTTGAGAGCTCGTCTTTGTTTCTTTCTTTACATTTTCATGGCGAAGATTCTGAGCCAGAGAATGTATGGTGTGGAGAAGAGCAATGAAGCACGGAACTTTGTTGGATGAAAGATAACCAGCTCTTCATTTTTCTTTTTGAGTGGTTTTAATTTAAAACATTATTTTATTGATTTTTCCGTTTAGTCCTTTAAATTATTATATTTGCTCCGGGGTCTATGAAAAAGGTTTGAATATCAATTAGCTTCAAACATCTTGCAGTCTGGACTCTGGACAAAGAAAGTATGTGGCATCGAACTCTAAACAGCACGCAGTGCACTTTACAAAAAGATAGACTGCGTGGTTTTCAACTAAACTCATGACTAAGCCCATAAACACGGCACAACATTCAACGTCAGCCAAACCAAACCACACACATTTCACTCGCATGTTGGAGCAACAGCGTGGACATTCATTCGATTTTCAATACATACAAAACGACGCGAAGACATAAACTAAAGAACTAACACTAGAAGACTACTTAAACGCTTACCTTCATTTCCTGAATCTTTTCTAGTCTTTCTAAGAAGCTCGAAATCTAATTACACTTGTGTTCAGGACGATGAGTGAACTCAAAGTCTATGTGGACAAAAGCTCGTTCCACCTCAGCAAGCTGTTCGAGCTTCTCCTGAAGAGTCTCTCCGATGTTGTGAGCTTCCTGCAGTCTCATGTCCTCTGGCAAAACAATGTCCACTTCCACAAAGTAGTGTGACCCAAAAGTGTAGGCCCTTACCGTGTCAATGTGCTTGATCTGTTCGTGATGGTTCCATATCAAGAATGTCAGTTTCGCCAAGAAATCTGGCGGAGCAGAGCGTCCGATCAGCGAATGGACGTTCTCTAGTACGGTTCTTGCCCATGTTCCAATGGTGTACAAAGCAATCTGCAACCATATATTAAAAAAAAAAGGAAGCCTTTTTGTAATCCCATGAGACATTTCTTGATCATTATTATAAGGATTGAGTAAAAAACTTACAAGTATAGCACCGGAGGGATCAATCCACCAGTAGAATTTGACGGCCAAGACGGCTGTTGCTAAGCCGATTGAATTGGTGACGACATCAAAGAGGTGATCCTGAGCGTAGGCCCTAACGATTTCGTTCTGAAATCCTCTGCAATAAAGCATGAGTAGAAACTTAACGATGGTGACAGAGACCATGATCCCGATCATCCATTTCTCCTCTGTGCTGTTCATATGAATACCATTCTGTAACAAAGGAGATAAATTGGTTAAAATACATAAAATTTAGCGATGGAAGCAGTTACCGGAAAAACATTGTGATGTACCTTGGAGACTAGTTGCCTTCCTGACTCTAGCAAAACTTGCAGCCCAAGAGTTGCCATCACGGAAGCAAACACAATGATGCCCTGTTAATATCAACCGTTATTAAATTCGTTTCCATAAGGTTTGCAAAGGCAGAAACACAAGTTTTGTGTCCATAAGGTTAGGCTTGAAAAGTATGTATATTTCTTGAGAGACAAGTATAACTGGTCACTGGTGAATCACAACACACAGCATGACTTGAAAGACAGAATCCAAACACAATAGGTTGATAGACAGAACATACCACAGGTTGCATACGTCGCTTGCCAATGGGGTAGTGAAAATGGTTTGGTTTTCTCATGGCATTAGCAGTAAACCACAGTATAAAGCCAGACAAGAGATCCAAGAGAGAGTCCAAAGTTGAAGCAATCACAGCCATGGATCTACTCTCCATAGAGGCATAAACTTTTGCCACAAAAAGTACCAAATTTGTTGCGTTAGAGATGTTAACTGCCAGTCTCTCACTCTTGGCAAGCTTCTTCATTTCTTCCTGTTGAAACCAAAAAAAGATTGAGGTTGCGTAATTAAAGGACAAAGTACTCAAAGAGACATACTATATACCATAAGAAAAGACCAAAGTAGTAAATAGACCTCAGTTGGGGCTGCAGATGCAAAACCGGGTTCGTGGATAGTCTCCATCTCATTGAAGCCCTCGAGGAGCATCTCTTGCTTCTTGTAGTATTCAGAGACTTTACGTTCCTTTCCTGCGTTAATTGACACAACAGAGGAAGGTTTAACTTAAAAACATCTTGTCAAGATATGACATTCTGATAGTCGACCTTGTTTAACAGATTCTATCTAAATCATTCTACACAACGCGTTAAAACTCTGTATAGAATCTGATACAGCATCCAAATGATATTTTTAAAACAAAAGAATCTGGCATATACAAACTCCAAAAGAGAAGCTTAAGATTCCAACTTTGAATCAACAAAAGAAAAAGTTTAATATTCCCTTGAATCAATCAATAGAAAGGGGTTTTGAACAGAATAATCATACACAATAACTCTAATATACTATCTTTCCAAAAGACTAAAACATACTTAAAGCAGTTTCAGTGAATTCAACGGAAGAACAATCCTTTACAGATGAGTGTGGAACTTCATAAAACAAGCAATTACACATTTGCGTAATCACTTTTCACGAGATTAAGTTCCTAATAAAAACTCATGGTCGATGATCCTGTATAGATATCCACACGAAACGGATTGAGCGCAGATCACGAGAGAAAGGTAAAAACTGAAACAAGGAAGAACAAAACTAAACTTACTCGGAGTACGAAAATAGCGAGAAAAACGAGTACGGCCGTCATGACGGCCGGTGGACGACGGTGAAGAAGGAAGTCGGAAAGTCTCGAGGCTGAGACGCCAAGACGATTCATGCGGCGGCGCATCGTTGTCATTAGGTAATAGCTCGACATTGTATTCGTCTGCGGTACGGACTATATGCTCCGTCGCCATTCTCCGATCACTCTTTCTCTCTCTCTCTGCGTTCGAATTTCGAAAAGCAAAAAAAAAGTGTTTCTGGGGAAGTTGTGAGAGAGACACCAAATTTTGTTGCTTGTATGAAGGAAGTTAAGTATACGAGTCGCACACAACTCTCTCTATATATATTGTGACGGTAAAAATAATATCAAACAAAATGTCAATTACAAATGCCCTTATATTTTTCTGCGTTTACTTTATTAAAAACAAAAACAAATTATTTTATCGATGTAATTGGGCTTTTTTTCTCGTTAATATATAAACACAAAATCAGTTGTATTTCCCCATAGTCTCGTTAGTATTTACAAAACTTCTCTAATAAGAAAATTTGGGTTGAATTGGTTTAATTACCGTTTCTAGACATTGTGAGGAATTGGTATACATATAGCATGAATGATATTTTCTACTTTAAATTTGTTCAAAAGCATATATATAGTGATATCCCTTATTCAAGATAGTAACAGGTACACGAAATACATTTTGTCTTCTGTTTTAAAAATGTGTACATTATGGGAAATTTATATAGAGAACGTAATTTAAGAGAGTTATTATTCATATGTTGTTGAGTTGACGAAGTAGGTGGTGTCATTTGTGTGATGCAAAAGTAGTGGTCCAAATAACCAAATTAAACAACAGGAAGGAGTCCCGGGTTCCTGCTTTTACATTATACGCTTTCTTTCATTTTTAAAAGAAAAGATCAAAAATAGGATTTTGAAACGGCCACGTAAAAGAAACAAAATATGTTTTCTAATTTTTTGTGGGATTATGTGATGGAGATTAAATGATTAATTAATTTGTGCACATTTGTTGAGATCAAAGTGGTTTCCCACGATTCCAAAAAGCTTTTGTCCGTTTTCCCCTTTGTTAACTCAAACTTTTCCACTTTTTTGCCAACATTTTCTCCGGGTGGGTTTTTTATGTAACATCGTGTCATTAACAACTCTAAAGTTTTGCTGTTCTCTGCATTTATAAATTATTATCAGATAATATCCGCCTTAAAGTGGATGTGATGTCACTCTTTCATGTATATCATTCGGTCCAAAGTATTAATTAAAAAACTCCCTTACCTAATAATTATCGTAGAACCTAGAAATAGTTAACACTCTGCTAACTACCGTCAAGCCATATCTTTGTGCATTCACAAATGGTGAACTTAGAGACCAATCTTAGAATTTTGCTATATATAGAAAGAGATATCGTTCTCTCAACGGATATTCGAACTCGGGAATGTGATACCCGCCAACAATTTTTCTTACTACACCAAAAAAGTCTTCCCCTTATTATTAGATCGTATGGTTTCAAAACCAAGTCGTGATTCCATGAAACTCAGAGCAAAACCGGAAGGTTCATCATTCGAACCCCAATAACCACAAAAAAAAGCAAGAAGAAGACCTAATGAGCTGAACAAGGAGAGAGTCTTTGGCTCATGCAAGAAGCCGTCATGGTTTAGCGGCTGGCTGCAACTAACGCCATGTGCTCTATCAGGTCAAGGACTCGGTTGCTGTAACATTACAAAACCCGCAAAAAATCTTAGCCTTTGCGTATTGGAAAATGGCAGACTGATGGTAAAGGAACGAGAGAAATTAACTGTTTACCTGTAACCCCATTCGTTGTCATACCAGGAGACAAGTTTCACGAAGGACTTGCTTAATCCAATCCCAGCATTAGCATCGAAGATACTTGACCTGAGAATGTTGACAATGATCACCACGTTTGAAAACAAAAACTAGATTTTTGAAATCCATGATCCGTTACAAGATTGCCCCTAAGTGGAATACCTTGAATCTCCGAGGAAATCATTGGAGACGACATCTTCTTCTGTATACCCAAGAATGCCCCTAAGTGGTCCTTCGGAAGCAAACCTATTTACATGAACATCGTGATGGGTTACTACAGTTCCATTTTATGTTCAGGTAACAATATTGGTAAGAGAAATTAGTTTTACAGAGAGTTTTGGGAGTACTACTTTATGGCTGCCTTTACTTCTTCGTAAGATGCATCCTTCTCAAGTCGACAAGTTAAATCCACAACAGAAACATTTGGTGTTGGGACACGGAAAGCCATTCCCGTTAGTTTTCCATTGAGTTCTGGAAGAACCTTACCAACAGCCTATTGAGACGAGAGCAAGAAATATTTTTATGACTATGATTCCAGATTGGATGTGTATATAAAACCATATGATTTTGTTTTACCTTTGCAGCGCCGGTTGAGCTAGGAATGATGTTTTGACTGGCGCCTCGGCCTCCTCTCCAGTCTTTCATTGATGGGCCGTCCACAGTTTTCTGAGTTGCTAGATAAGGAAAGAAGATATGAACACATAATTTAGTCTTCTCAGGTTAATGATATGCAGTGACTTATAACAAGAGGACCAAGAATCCAAGACCTGTGGTTGCATGGACTGTTGTCATCAAGCCTTCGAGAATTCCAAATTCCTCATGCACCACCTGACAGATACAAGGTAGGGGCCGAAGACAATTTATTTGACCTCAATGAAGCTCTTCACAACGAGTAATACACAGATAAAAAAAAACAATATGAAAGTGTTACAAACCTTGGCAAGAGGTGCAAGACAATTGGTGGTACAGCTTGCATTGGAGACTATATCCATGTTTGGTTTGTATGTCCTCTCATTTACTCCAACTACAAACATGGGTGCGTCTGCTGAAGGGGCAGAAATGATGACTTTCTTGGCGCCACCCTACACAGACAATAAAGGGTCAAGCAAACCATTGGCCATTTTAGCAGAGGAATGTTTGAATTAATGTACGGCATGGTCTTAATGTTAGCATCGGTGACACAAGTGCATTCAGATGAAAATGCACACCTTCAAATGTGATGAAGCTTGTGCAAGGGTGGTGAATACTCCCGAAGACTCAACAACATACTCAGCTCCAAGATCAGCCCATGGGATTTCAGCTGGGTCTCTGAGGAAGAACCAACAAGATGTCAGGCTCTAAAAACTGTAAACATTACATTTAGTTTCAAATTTGACCATGTCTATACAGATATCTATATATATATATGAGTCAACATTTTGAATCTTTACCTTTTGCTGACAACTTTGACCTGTTTTTCATTGATCTCCAAAGTGGAATCATCAATAACATTGATGGTTCCTTTGTAATTTCCATGAGTAGAATCATACTTGAACATGTAAGCCTGCATAAAATGGGAGAGCAGATTTTCAGTAACTTTGATATACGAGTACCACATGCCTTTTAAAATGACTTTTTAAAAACTATACTGGATTCAAGCAAACGAAAAAGTTACCAATAGTAAGATACACTACATGTACACTATTACTACTAGATAAGACAGTAATCATCCTTACCATGTACTTGGCGTCTATGAATGGGTCGTTGACTGCTACAACCTCAATATCATCTCTGAAAGTTGCGATGCGAAGGACCAGCCTTCCAATCCGACCAAAACCTGTCCCGCACATAGTAAAGACTCAAGCATCAGTATAAAAATGAAAAAGGCAGAGGACTAGAAGTAAATCAAAAGGAATGAAACCATGTACCATCTGATGATGTGGGATTTCAAAAATGAATTCAACAGTGGATAAAAAGAACATACCATTGATCCCAACCTTTGTCTTTCCACTGCTCCTTGACCCTATAAGTCAATCAAATCAAATTCAGCAGTAAGAATGCAGCCTCATATAGTACGGCTAAAAAATTTCAAAGGATTTTATCTACTTACTGTGAACAGCAGGAGGTGCTTCTGTGGCTGTTGCCTTGATAGGTTGAACACTTCTCGCATTGCATTTTCTGTACATTTGAACATAAGAAACACTTCTGAAACCAAAGAAAAACATCGTGTAATTTAGATGTGCTACAGAGTTTGTCACTGAACTGTAAAGATGAAGATGACCCAGTTGAAACCGCAGCACCAGAGAATCTGGACGAGGTCAGGTTGTGACTGAATCCAAGACTTGACGCGACCTGATCGTTTGAGACAAAAGATAAACCAACTATAATTTCTTAAAAGTCCCGTTAAAATCAGAAAGAACAATAACAACCATCGAGTTCACTTTATATTGAGAAACTGAAACCAGAGCTAAAGACAAACCCAAGGCAACACGGAAATACGAAACGAAGCAGAACAAAACGAAACATAAGCTTTAAATATATCAAATCGAACACAAACCCGGGAGAGCAATAACGAGAAACTTTTTATACCTGAAAATGATCGTATGACGGCGATGTATAAAGCTCGACACGAGGAGCAACGGCGGAAGTGGCGGCAGATCTGAAAAGAGAAGAGAAGGCCATTGCTAAGCTACCAGCCAAAAAAAACAACAGAGATCTCGCCACCAAAAAACCCTAACTAACTCTTCTGCTGTATGGCTTTTAAGTGTAAATGAAGAGCCGAAACAATATAAAGTAACCTGAAGATATGTTCGTCGAGTTAAAAAAAATTGAAAGAAATGCAATTTGCAATTGCACACTCTTGTCTACTTAGAAGAATATTCCTCCTGAAAATATGCTTACGACTTCTGCAGAGACGATGGGTGTGTTCCGATGCGGCACGCCCCATTGTAGCTAACGGCTCAATGAGAACTAAAGGGTTGGGAGTTCACGGAGGAACAACAAAAAAGACGCGTGTCTTGATCGGCGTAAGGCCCATGATTGGTGGGCCTGCTGACATATCTGAACAAAGGGTATTAAGAAGCCTTATTTCCATATTCAGGTTGACATATTTGGTCTCCCTCTAAAAATGGCTTTACGTCAAAACAACGACGAACTAATCCATCCCCGAATCGCCACGTGGCACTCCCTTCGAAAAAATCGTGGCTGTTCTGCATTTCGTTCGTCTCACAGTCCTCTCTGTGTGATTGATTTTTCTGTTCTGGCTCTCCCGTCAAAAATGGCGAACCGTCGGTTTCTTCTTCGTCATATTCTCTGTATCTGTAGAATCTCCCAAAGATTATTTTGAATCTTCATCTTCTTCTCTCTGGACTCGCCGAGAAGCCTCGTTTCTCTGCTCCTGTCGTCGACGTTCTCGTCCTTCGCGCGTACGCCTTCGGCAAGGTCTCTCTCTCTCTCTCTGCTCTCGTTTCTGCCGCTTGTTAAATTTTCATTGCAACTCTTTCCATACACACGAAATTTCTCGCAGTTTTTGGGCGCTTGATTGTTTGTCCGATTTTTTTTTTTTTTTTTTTTTAAATCCGCTGGCTTGCGTTTGCTTAGCAATGTTGACATGCTACATCCGAGAAATTTCGCTCTTGCTTATTTTATTTTGTTTCTTCCATCAGATCGTTTATGTGGCTTGAGCTCTTATATTTCCATTAGCTAGTTCTGGTTGTAAAATCCCCAATAGCGTCTGTGACAATTCTCTTTTTCTTTGTGATAGATGTCAATGGAAAGGTCGTTTAGCAATGCAAGAATGGCCAATAGCTTCATGTTCTGGAATGATTGTGTTGACCCAGAAGATTTAGAAGCAATGTGGATGGATCCTGCGGTGAGTGCTGAATGGATAGGTGTTGGGGAGACTAAAGGACAAAAGGTTCACCTCTCAAGGGATCCTGATGGACAGCCTTATCTGACACAGACTGAGATGAAGGTAAAGATTGATGAGGATTTTGTGAATTCTAGTTAAAGCCTTTTGCTAGAACTTCTGCCTACCTATTTGATCAATTCCTTGTTATTTGCAGGCTGTTGCTGATATTACTGTTCGAAGACATTTCGATTCAATATTGGATCCGGTATGCTTCATTGTCACCTATCACTGAGAGTTTCATATTCGATTGCTGGTGTTAGCTGCTCTTGAAGCCAAAGAATCCCTTTCTGATCTCAAAGTTTTGCATCTAATTCCTCTGCAGGAAATGATATGCGCAATTGCTGAGCTTGAAAGTGACCGAAAGCCTCTCATTATGCGGTACAACAAAAAGACCAAGGAAACTGGCTTAGGAATCTTACAAGTTTTTGCAAAGACAGCAGAGTGGTTGGCTGGGTACAAAATCATTTCTAGCTTCCCTCCTTTCCAAGATCTTTAATTTTTTTTCAAAAAGTCTCATGTTCCTCTTTCGGGCAAACTTTATTGCAGAGGACAAGGCTATCAGGAATATAATGTGGATGACAATCCTGATCTTCTTCACAAGCCCTTTATAAATGTATATTTTGGGGCAGCTTACCTGAAATGGTTGACAGACTATCAGAATAAGTATGAGACACTGTCCCTAATTCGATATTGCTAGCTTTTACAATTTTCAGTGACAAGCCTAAAGTTATCCTGGAATTACTCAAAGTTTTGGCAACTTCCCCATGTGCAGCCAGAGAAGTGAAGAGTTTGTTGTCAGAGCATATAATGGTGGAACTAAAAAGGCGACTCACAAGTCTACATTACCATATTGGAGACGATACCTTGCAGTAAAAGACGCTCTCCCTTCAAGGTTGTTGTTTATGTTCTCTGATTGTTCTATATACCTAGTTTCTGCTGTCATATTTTATGCATCGTTGCAATGAAAAGGTTTTGTGTTGCAGTGTGCTTTCATATTGTTAGTTTTGTTAGAAGACGAGAAAAGAAAAGCTTCTGTACTAAAACTGCAGTCTTTATTGGTAATAATTGTTGCAGAAAACATGTCGATGCTGGCCCTTCAAGCTTTCATCCTACTAATTCCTCTTCACCAGGCTCAAGTAATTAATCTCTCACTCGTTTTCTCTTTCTGTAACATACAAAAATTACACGCGCATCTGTTTCAAACATTTTATGATCTCTTTACGAGCATGGTGCCCTGAGTGTGCTCGTGCGTTAGCTGCACATGCACTCCGATTTGGAGAACCTCTATCATTCTCTTTTATGTTTTTAATATGAACTGGAATGTACCCTCTGGATGGACAGATACCAATTTCACATACTGGGACTCTAGAGCTTCCCCTGAAGATATGGAAGATATGTGGAATCATTCTGAAGTATGTAAAGAGTGGACAAAGTCCAAAGAAGAAAGGGGAAAGGTTCGTTTCTCACAGGATAGTGAAAAGAGGCCTTACCTTTCACGAGGGGAAATGAAGGTATATGTCTTCTAATTGAGCAGTTTGACATATATGTTCCCGAACTTACTACTTACACCCTTCTCACCATATTGCATTTGAAGAAGTGATGCTATAAATTTTCTTTCCAGGCTGTTGCAGAAATAATTGTTTCAAAGTACTTCAGCACAAAAGGAATTAGAATTGTAAGTGCGCATAGCTGTTATCCATCACCTGCACTACTATATTTCAACGCCAAGGCAACTTTATTATTGGAGATATTTTTCATATGCTAATTCTGAAAGATATTTTCCATTTCACTGATGCAGCCTCTCGTTTGTGCTGTTGCTGATACCGTGACCATGCGGTTTGTGAACGGTACTGGGAAACGCGTAGGACTAATGGGGGTGGACTACTCAACTGCTTCCTGGCTAAGCACGTAAGTTTGTGACCAAACTTCATTTCTGTATAGACACATTATACTGTCTAATAAAACATCAAATCTAATAATTGTGGCTGTTTTCTGAATGAAGGGAGCTAGGGTATCGAGCATACAGAGTGGATTCACCAGATGATCTAACCAAACCATTTGTTTCTACGTACTTTGGCGTAGCCTATTTGGTTTGGTTATCCGAATATGAAGGGGGGTAAGCACAAAAACATATATCAATCTGATTCAGTGTTGAGTCATACATTTATATTTGTTCAAACAACGTTGGACGCAGGGAGAGAAGTAACCAGTTCATTGTCCAAGCTTATATGAAAGGTCCTGACCACGTCGATCTTGAGGCATCATGTCCAATCTGGCTCAAGTTCGAGCAAGCTCTGAGTTACTATGAAGAGTCCAAGAGGTATCAATGTTCATAACCGAAACGATTTTTGTTTTTTCTGATAGAAAACAAATCTGATTCTATGATTGATTTTGATGGCTCTTTGTTTCATCAGGGATTCAGGAAACTGCATTATCCTATGAGATTCAGGAAGCTGCATTATATACATACACACATAATGGAGATTAAAGGATTAAGCTTGGATTCGTTTGTTTGTAGCTCGAGATTTCCTTTTTGCTGTTTCTTTGTTTTTTTGTTTCTTAATTCTTTGTCCTTATTGTTTTGTACGTGAATGACTAACAGCTCCATAGAAATCAAACTAATGACTCGTTCTTTCAAAATGGTTTTAGTAATTCTCAAACTTTTAAGAACCAAGAAAACTTTAACAAACAGCAAACAGTGTTGGATAATTTGTTACTTTGTTCCCTTAATAAAATACTCGCCTTTAATGACGTACAGTATTTCTTGTAACCAAAAATCTCAAATTTTGGGTTTCGAATTTGAATAGACCCGTATCGAAATCGGTTTAGTATTCAGGTTCGGCTAAACCGGATTTGAACTCCCCTAATTTTTTTACTCATGTCGAGCATAATCTGAGAACGGCGGCTAACGTATTCTTCCACTTTTGTTATTGCCGTCGATAACTTTGGAGTCAAATCTTCGACCTTTTTGTGCTTCTGATCCGAAGAGGATGGAGGAACCCACGTCGGAGCCGGAAGGGGGAATCACCATCATGGCGAAATCTCGCAAAAAGCCAAAGACCTTTGGACCAATTCAATCCCAGAAACTTGATTCCGACCAGATTGCTCCTCAGTTTGAGAAGTTCACAAGTCCTAACCCTAGCTCCGACACCACGTCCGCCGCGAACTTCGAAGAGCTCGGATTAGCCGAGTGGGCAATTGAAACGTGCAAGGAGCTTGGCATGCGTAAACCCACTCCAGTTCAGACTCACTGCGTGCCCAAGATATTGGCCGGCCGGGACGTTTTAGGTCTTGCTCAGACCGGTAGTGGTAAAACGGCGGCGTTTGCTCTGCCTATACTCCACCGCCTCGCTGAAGATCCGTATGGAGTCTTTGCGCTTGTCGTGACGCCGACCAGAGAGCTGGCCTTCCAGCTCGCCGAGCAGTTTAAGGCGTTGGGTTCGTGCTTGAACTTGCGTTGCTCTGTGATCGTTGGAGGAATGGATATGCTGACGCAAACGAGGAGCTTGGTTTCACGACCTCATGTCGTCATCACCACTCCTGGGAGAATCAAGGTTTTGCTTGAAAACAATCCCGACATCCCCCCAGTTTTCTCTAGAACGAAGGTAAACTTTTTCATGCTCCAGTCACATTTTGAGCTATGAAAGTTACTTCCTTTTTTATTTCGTTTTGGATTCGTAGCCTTAACTTCGTGTTTTTGTGGTTTGCTTAATTAGTTCTTAGTGCTGGACGAAGCGGATAGAGTTCTTGATGTTGGTTTCCAAGACGAGCTGCAAGCAATTTTTAAGTGTCTTCCCAAAAGTAGACAAACACTGTTGTTCTCTGCTACGATGACTAGTAACTTACAGACTCTGCTCGAACACTCTTCAAACAAAGCTTACTTCTATGAAGCCTATGAAGGGTTAAAGACGGTTGATACTCTTACGCAGCAGTACATTTTCTTGGATAAAGATGCAAAAGAGCTTTATCTCGTGCACATCTTGTCGCAAATGGAAGACAAGGGGATTCGATCGGCCATGATTTTTGTCTCGACTTGCAGGTCTCATATTCACAGCCTTACCGAGTTCATCTATCAGCGGGTGGTTCCGTTTTGCAAGTTTCTTATTAAACATTGTTTCGTGTTTTAGAACATGTCAAAGGTTAAGTCTTATGCTTGACGAGCTTGAAGTGGAAAATGCAGCTCTGCATTCACTGAATTCCCAGTCTCTGCGTCTCTCTGCACTCGGTAAATTCAAGTCCGGGAAAGTACCGATATTGCTTGCGACGGATGTTGCCAGCCGTGGATTGGACATTCCTACTGTTGACCTTGTCATCAATTATGACATTCCGAGGTAACTCTTGGTGAAGATCTCCTTTCTCTTCGAATCGCTGTGCTTTTGAGGCTTGCTGATATTCTTTACTCTTCGCTTGGCTCACATTAGATATCCGAGCGATTATGTTCATCGTGTTGGGCGTACAGCTAGGGCTGGTAGAGGAGGACTGGCTGTAAGCATTATCACTGAGGTAAAGCAGGAAACCATAGAATTACACGAAACATCGACTCTTAGGTTTCTTGTTCGTGGCCTGCTTAGAATCTAACCCGTACATTTTCTTTTTTGCAGACCGATGTGAACCTTATTCATGAAATAGAAGCGGAAGTTGGAAAACAGATGGAACTGTACAACTACAAAGAAATCACTGACAGTTTAGAAGTCACAAAGGTAAAAATTCGCTCTGTTATACATTAAAGTTTCGTTTCTAATATTTGGCTCAGTCTTGATTTTATACCAGTCATACCAGCTGTTCACCATGGTGTTCTAGTATAAGCTTTAGTTCATCTTGGTATATAAGGAAAGTAAGAAGATCAGTTATTAGCCTAGAGATTTGTCCAGGCGTCTTTTTACTGATTCAAACTTCATGCCATGGCCTGAGGCTTACGAAATCATCTAAATCTGAATCTGCAGGTATCAAAAGCTAAAAGGGTGGCAATGATGAAGATGCTAGACGATGGATTCGAAGACAAGGTCAAAGACAGGAGGAAACAGAAACGTAAAACACTTGCGGATAAAGGGATGCTTAAGAAACGCAGCAAAAGTAGAAAATCCGCAGTAGAAAACTAATGGCTAAAAACATCTTCAAGTTTTGTTCTCGTAACTGCATTTTGATCAGCAAATCTTCGAGACTCCATGTTTATTAATGTTGTTACTTTTACTCTTCTTTAATCGTGATTGTTTACGTTCTCAAATCATCTTGTAAGAATATCAATCACAATTTTCCGCACTAGTAAGAACAGTAACATGAGATTAAACAATTTTCACTGTTGATGCAACGCCTCAAACCAATTTTATTACTTGATTTGTTTTTGGTTTTGGTAAAAAGAAAAGGGAAAGGAGAAAAGGGTCAACAAATATCTCCCTCCTGACCCCAAACACTTAGAACGAGTAAAGAAAACCTAAAAAGAAGAAAGACACTCTGTTTTACTTTGAAGCCTTATTGTGAGCTGGTGGTTTGGATTGGTTCGAGGTTGTTGCAGTTGACATCACACGTAACCGACCGGCTATCTCCGTGAAGGATGGCCGTACCGTTGGATTAGGCGCCCAACATTCCTCCATTAGTATTCTCCAGTCCGAGTCACAGTAACTTGGTATGGTCGGCCTCAGTGTGTTGTTCACTATCCCACCTGCACTTAACCGTAAATGCTATGAGCGGCTAAGACATACTCGTGTTCAATCCGGTGTAACCGATTTGAGACTTAAAAAAAAACTATCAGACAAAATACACACCTATTATAGCACCATAGTGCATATTAGCATATGGTTCCTCTCCGGTTAGAATCTCCCACAAGACTATACCAAAAGAGAAGACATCGACCTGCGGGAAGAAGAGCAAGAAAGAGAAATAACTCCGTATGGTTTCGTTTCCAATAATTATAATCACTATGAGACGTTTTACTCTTACCTTCTCTGAAACTTTGCTGCTGCTACCGTTTAGAAGCTCTGGTGCCATCCATGGTAGGGTTCCTCGTACACCGCCAGATACCAATGTATTTCTTTTAATTTTCGACAAACCGAAATCACCAACCTTGGGAAAGAACAAAATGAGTGTGGATAGTGTAAGACACAAAATATGAGTTTGTTCAAAGACATCACACCGATGAAATTTACCTTGCAGATTGGACGAGAAGGATCTTTGAGGTTCACAAGTAAATTGTCACATTTCAAATCGAAGTGAACAATGTTTTTGGCGTGCAAATACTCCATTCCAAATGCAGCATCCATGGCAATGATTAGTCTCTTACGGCGATCAAGGTGTCTGAAAATTTAAGAATTATAAGCAAAGAATCTTTTTTTAACTGTACATTGAACAGAAAAACTCAGAAACGCGTTATAAGAGAGATTTGTACCTATCTTTCCTGAGCAGAACATGTCTGAGAGAACCATCAACCATGTACTCTGTCACAGTAGCCAATGTTCCACCAGGTCCATCTTTTACAACACCATAAAATGCAACCACATTTGGATGATGAAGCTTTGAAAGAATTTCAGCCTCTCCCCAGAATTCACCAGTCTAGGAAACAAAAAAGAAAGAGAAATTTATAAGCATCCAACGACAAGCCAATGTTAAAAGTATTGCAATTTTAACATACGCAGAAAGACTCACTAATCTCTCTTGTTCAGACGATCGACCAGCAAAGCAACTTTTCTTTATCCTCTTGATGGCAACATCTGATCCCCTCCATTTCCCATGATACACAGTACCGAACGTGCCGGAACCAAGCTCCTTTAGCTCCTCGAGATCGTCATTCATAATGATCTAGAAATAATTAACAACAGAAGAACCAGACCAGGTTAGAAACTGATCATTTCTTTTACTATGACAGACAGATGAGTAAAAGACTATATATAAGCACACTGAAACTGCATAAAACACTGGCCAGATCCTTTTTTAAAATGCAATACAAGTAAAGGTTCTATCAGCTGTAAGGTTTGAAAGTCCATCATACCTGCAAGCCACTTGTATCGTAATCTGCAAGAGACGGACCAAGTGGAGGAAGCCCAGCATTCCTTGTTTCAGACTTTTCATCCTACAAGTATTCATCCTCATTAGTACACACTCATCCTTTTGTTCTCGTGAAATCAAATCTGCCAGAAACTTATACCTCATGTTCACCATCCGGCGTCCTTAGATTCTCAACCATAGCACCAAATTCCTCACTCTCTGTGACCTTCGTCTGTACATCCTCGCCATCTTGACCTAGATTCAGCTGAGGATCCACACGGTTTTCTGCTGAAATGCCATCTCTAGTCAATGGAGCGCCGTGATGCAATTTGGTAATCTGTCCGGCATCTTCCATGTCAGATGGAAAGCCAGGGGTTCTGTCGATATAAGAATCATCTCTTTCGCCAAACTGTTCCTCGGCTAGCTTCCGAAAATAAGACCAATTTTTAGGATCATGATTCTCTACATTCAAACTTACACCGGCTCCTTCATGATGATATGCATTGGCACCTGGTGGCATATCCTCAGAAAGTGCCTTTGCAAATATTTCAGAAAGAAAGTCCTGAGGGAACCGATCATTGATGTCAATAAGAACACCTGACGAACCTTGACTTATGGCTGTGTCTATATGGCTAACATTAGGATTTTCAGTCTCTGTACCTCCACCATTTACCATTCTGTTCTTGTCGGCAGCATCAGGGTCTAAATTCTTTTGCTCATTCGACGAAACAACATTTTCAGAGACTGTTTCATTAACCATGTGCGAATCTTCATGTGATTTACCCTCTCCTTGTTTTGCTGGATCTTGCTGTCCAGTGCTAGCTTGTGAATGAGACATTAAGAACTGAGACCCTATCGAGTCATCAGACTTCGACAAGCGGTTTAGCATTTCTAACTGTTCGCGGGGAATCCTCTCCGAACGATACACCCTCCGCGTGGGCTGTAAAGGCTCCGGATAATCAAGATCGATTAAATTTGACTCAGAGTCAGTATGAGCAAGACCACAGGTACCACTTGATGTTGAAAGCTGATCATCCTCACCAGATACAGGAACCTGCTCAGGTGCAACAGCATCACGGTAGGTAGAAGGCTTCACAGGATTGTTCTGTCGTGGGTCTCTTCTTGGGGGCAACATATGTGCAGCATCCTGGCTAGGTACAGCTGCAGAACCGGATGCCTCCCGAACTTCAGAGTGATTCTTAACCTCATTACTATCTGCTTGAGGAGGATTCTGGCGATCTTTTGCCAAAATCTGACGATTTTCAGGCTCTACATTCTCGCGAACTTTCATCTCAGGTTTTATGTTTAGGTCTCCTGCCTGCACTGCTGCGTTTTGCTGTGTGATGCCAGGGTGAGGGTATGGCTGCCCTTGGAAAGGCATGGAAATGGAGTAATTGGAAGAACTGTGTTCATGATGCATTGGAAACTGCTGTCTTTCTTCATAATATTGTGGGTATATTCCATAGGAGCTGGAGGAAATAGATTGTGGATACTGAAGAGTGGGACTTGGTAGAACAGATTGTGGATACTGAAGAGCGGGACTTGGCGGAATGGACTGAGCGTACTGAAGAGTAGAATGTGGGGGAACAGCTTGCTGAAACTGAAACGCAGCATTGTGTGGAATAGATTGAGGATACTGTAGCAAGGAGCTTTGCGGCGCAGAGTCAGAGTACTGCATAGAGGTTTGTTGGAAATCAACCCCCGTTGATTGCGAGGCGCCAACACCATTGATTCCCTCGGAGTTTCTGCCATCCAGCTCAGATAAATTGTTTGCAGAAAAGCTGTCCAAGCCATTAAGAGTTGAGTTGCTTCTTGATCCAATGTCCATATCATTTACAGCTACAACATACTGAAACTCAGAGTCAACATCACTTTGCTTAACCCCCAGAAGAGAACCATCCAAATCAATGACAGAGAACAGAAACATCCTAAGCTTTTGCGAACCCCCACGGGTTTCCATCTCATTATACTCCTCCATCATATTCTGGAGATCTTCATCACATGATACAGACACCAGGGCGTCAAGATCCTCACCAGGAAGCTGATACTTGACAACATGGGTCCGGTAGTAGATTTCAAGAACCTTTTGCCTGAGCTCCTGCCAAGATATGTCCTTTCTTATAGAAATAATGTGCGTTTCACCTCCAACATACCTAAGCTTCGAATCACCAGGGCGTGGGAGTATTTTCCCACCAAAGCTACAAAGGACCTTAACCTTTGCTGTTAAACTACCTGAAGCTGAAGAAGATGCATATCCATGAAAATTTCCTAAACTTCTATCTTGACACAGTGCAGCTTCTGGCGCTGACTGGATATGCCCAAGTTTATTTCCAAACTCATGAAAGTTTGTTCTCTCGTACTCCCTCATCCCATTCCCCACCATGTCACCAGCTGCATTGGGGTTTGCAGACCTTTGAGAAATCACTCGATCCCGCAGAAACTCTAGAGAAAACTCCTCTCCTGTCTGTATGGAGTAATGAAGCCCTGGCTTCACATCTGAAGCATTCGAATTGGGAGGCCTTGCGTTTGCATTTGTGCTAGTCGTTTGATCGGTGGTAAACGCTTGAGGCACAGGTTCATTCACATATCCAGTAGGTTCCATAGAGTGTTGCTGGAACGGATGCTGTGTTCTGTTTCTATCCATCACAACAACAACAGGTCCCTTCAAAATTATTCTAATTGACAATACCTGAATGATGAATCTTGCATACTGAACAACTATAATGAGCCACTAAAACTACTGAGATGCCAAAATTGCTTTAGAAATTGCAGAACCTCGAAGTAAAAACAGCTGCAATGAAGAAAAAGAAAGTAAGGTTAGAAGCTTTGAATTCTCCGGAAATTATCAAGAAAATGGCAAAACCCAGAGGTTCTTCAGATATATGCGATGGTGGATGAATGAATCTGACAAGAAAACTCCAAAACCATGCTTTTTTATTTCCAAAAACGGCAACTTTTTCTATGGCAGTTAATTCAAAACCTCGATAGAAAAACCTACAGGCAGAAAACAAAGCCCTAGCTCGATATGAAGATTCCGCCATTCACATCGCTAAAATAGCTCAGAAAAAAGAAAAAGAAAAAGAAAAAAAAGGCAAGTGCTTTGAGAAAGAGAGAAGAAGAACCCAGAGAATGAGAAATGAAAAAACAATACCACCAAGGAAAAAAAATGCAGAGCTTGGCCTGTCCGGTGTGTAAATTTCGGAAGGGACTGTGCGAGCTAGCTACAATCAGAACATCTTCTCTTTGCTCAAATCTCAGGATAATACATCAAAAACCCTAACTTCTTCATCTTCTTCTTCTTTTTGTTTTCTCTCACATCCTCTAGTTTTTTCCTCGCTTCTTACTCAACAATGGAAAAATCCGTTTTAAAGGATCAAAGTAAAGAAATTATTTAAAAATTACCAAATTGTCAGACTTTTGTGTAATGAAAAATGGGAAAATACAAAATCTTTAGTGTTAAGATATAGGCTTAACTCCGTCTGACTCGGTTATAAGACCAGAAGAAACGCGAACCGTACATCTTTCGAAAGATGGACATCTGCAGGAAAATAGACGGCTAGGATGATAGAATAAGATCGGTGGAGTATGGAATCAAGTCCCGTAGCTTATGTTATACGGTTTGCATTAAATGGGACTCTCAATATCATCAGATCCTAAATTAATACGAACGTGGGGAAACTTTTTTATATCATTTTCGTTACAACAATGGTTCTCTTTTAATTTCCTTACGTAATGTTCTTTTTTCCCATGGAATAGTCAATTTACAGTTTTCACAATTCTGATTAAAATGGATTTCATATGAATGTATTATGCATTCAGTTTCGGAAATTTCAATATAAGTATAAATAAAAATAACTAAATTAGAGAATGGAACTGGTTTTCGGAAATTTCAATAATAATACAGTATAAATAAAAATAAGTAAATTAGAATGGGACTGGTTTGCATATAAAATCGAATTTTTATTCTTGTTGGAAATGATATCGAAATTTAGGTCCATTATGGAATTGAAGGACCATAACTAGGCCTCGTTTTAGGCCCATTAAGCCTAAACATAAAAGTCCATAGCTCCGTGCTTTACCAACGAGGCTGAGTCAAGTTCCCCAAAACAGAAGATCCGTTAAAACTGAATTAACCGTGACCTGAATTATATACTACTAGATTTGGAGGTAAAAAAATTAAGAATGTTTGGTATACAAGTATATATGATGATGATCCAACAAGAATGAAAACAACAATTTGAAGAAAAAAACATTAAAACAAGGAACCAAAATGTAACAAAGTCCTTATTAAAGCAGTTATGAGTTATACAAAAAAAATTGTCACTAATGTTGTTAAAGCAAGCAAAAAAAAAATACATAAAGAGTTTTTAGGACACGTTCTATATTTCTTCTGTCACCATTAGATATTCATCATCAAGGGGTTTGATACATCGAATATAACACCAACATCAGTGAACTCTTTGCTATGAGGTTTCTGGATCAAAAGCCACTTCAATATAAACTTAAAACAAAATCATTAAGTGTACTATCGGTGACTAAAAGTTTAAACAAGGAGTGCTCATTTCGGTTTAGGGTCCAAATGGCATGTGGCCTCTCCCTCACTGCATGAAAAAAAGATGAGCATAAATGAAAACTAAGTGATTTCCATTGCTCCTTTTTACTACATCTTTCTTCTCACCATGCCACACAGTTGAAGAATCAGCTGTAACAAGTTTATGTATCCCGAGAGATTCAATCACCTTGGTTAAGGTTCTTCCAAGGATACACAGCCAATGATGGACCCACCAGCTGGAATGCACATCGGTTTGGTCTCTCTCCAATTCAGAGGCCTATCCAAAGGGTTACATACCCTCACGACGGGCAGTCTCACAATGTCAAACCTCCCTGCCCCTGACTCTTCCCATTTAAGAACCTTTCCTCCTATAACATAGAGCTCATCCCTTAGAGCCGCAAACCCGTATCCAAACGCCTCTAACTCTCTCGGGTGATTAGGAAGAACAACAGAAGGAACTGAACCAACATTGTACCATTCCCCTTCATCTGTATCCCTAGTCTTGATCAAGCTTTCTCCCCAGTCTACAATCGTGTACACTCTGTCATTTTTCATCACCTGAACAGCAAACTGCATGGCCCTAGAGAAAGGCCAGATATCCTCCACGGTCGACCAAGACATGTCTACAGGATTAAAAACCTCAGATGTGTTTTGCTCCGCGAATCCCACCTGATCACTCAGAACATGAAAGCACCCTCTGTACGATAACCCCGAGCAGTCCATCTGTGGTCTAGGCATCGCTGGTAACTCCTCCCACCTGCAATACCGCTACGTCAGACCCCAAGTTTCATAGTTTCTCTACTTTGATATAAGAAAACGTAAAAGACATATCTTTTTTTTTTATCATAAACCTCAGCAGATGGAGTTAGTGGAGAAACAAACCTATCAGCCACAGGATCATAAACCTCAGCAGATGGAATCCCTCTGGAATGGGTTACATTGCGACCTCCAGCGACATAAACCTTGCCAGCGACAGCAGTACAAGCAAAGTGAGTCCGTGGTGTTCGCATACTAGCAGCCAATCTCCATTCTTTCTTAAACGGATCAAACCTCATGACGTCTTTAGTGACAACAGGCTTCTGATGAGGGAAAGACGATACAGAAGGCGCGTAGCAGCCCCCGATCACAAGAAGACAACTCGAAACGCAAACACAGGCAAAGCCAGAATGATGCCAGCCGTCTTGAACAGACCTAGTTCTAGGCAGTGGATGCCACCGATCAGCTTCAGGGTCATAAGCAACCCACTGGTTCTTAGAACGCTCTGTAAGAACAAACAACCAGCTCCCTGACCATCCGTTTCTAGCTTTGTAACACGAGTAATCTGCGCTACGAACAAAATCTCTCCACCCTCTAGAGACACACTCGAGGGCTCCATGATACCCGTGAGAAAGCTTCGCTAGGCATCTGAAAGCCAAATCATCAGGCAGACCTGGGATAATAGACTGTTCTATGGACTCCCTGAAACACACAAAGTATAACAATCACGATTTGGCTACAACATCGATAAAATGTCAAAGAACACTATTCTTTTTAGAATCGGTTTTAGGAAGAAAAAGATGATTTTGGATCAAGGAGATAAAGGTAAAGGATCTAAATTTAACGTTTTGAGAGCCTAATTATATAGCCAGCTTACATGATTTCGAGCTCGAGAGATTGAAAATGTATTCTGCGATCCCCTTCTCGAACTTGCTTTAGAACGCCCTTTAAAATACACAACTTTCACGGAAGCAAACCACCATCAACAGTACCGAACGAAGAATCGGAAACAGAAATAGCGATCAGACAGGTATATTCAAGGTGGGAACCAAGCACACTCGGAGACAAGCCTCTGGAAACGAGAGAGAAAGAGAGAGAGAGAGAGTAGAGACAAGCCACGGGAACAGAAATGGATAGATCCATCATAATGGGTCAAAAATTCTCAGATATACTAATTTGGTCCTTCACTTTATATATAGTTTCTGTTTCTAAACACCTTCTTTCATAAATAAGTATTAACCCCTAACATCTACGACATGAATAAAACGATGTCGTTTAATCTCAGCTTCGTATAAAGATCTCTTTTTTTTTTCTACGAAAGTCACGGAACTTCCCGGTCTCGGTGCGTGACAGGTCGACTCCTTATCCTCCGATTCACGGTGATTCACCAGCAAGCCCATCTCTTACACGATACGAGCTCCGTGATATCGAAGGTTTAATCAGAGAGGTCCTAGAAATTTTCCTGGTAAGCAATACGATTCCCTTACCGATGTTATATTCTTAATTTCCGAGTGCATTGATTGGGGATAGATCTGTTTCTGAATCGCTCCGATCTTCCCTGATCATGAACTTTCTGATCCTGGATATTGCATATATTTGGCTATTTTTCTGATTATGCTCGTCTTGTTGGCGATTCTTCGTCCGCACATAGTCAAATGTTAATTTTCCGCCTTGACATTCCAGCCAAAGGCCGCGTTTTTGTGTGTACACCAATAACTAATTCGTCGATCTAGTCAATTTTATTCGATCTAGATTAAAAAAAAAAATCAATTCTTATGCATTTGTTGTTGTCGCATCTTGCATACACATCCTTGATCAAGTTAATAATTTACTTGAAAGTGATATGTGGTTTGTATTGGCTTGAGATAGGAATCAGGGTAATGGCGTCTTCGTCAGATTCATGGATGAGAGAATACAACGAGGCTTTGAAGCTCTCGGAGGAAATAAATGGAATGATCTCTGAAAGGAGTAAATCGGCCGTAACAGGTCCTGATGCTCAACGTCGTGCTTCAGCTATACGTAGAAAGATCACCATTTTCGGAACCCGCTTAGAGAGTCTGCAGTCTCTTCTTGCTAAAATTCATGGAAAGCCTATGTAAGCCATTAAGTGTTGTGTTGTTGTTCTTCACCTGTGAATAGATATTTTTTTCTTCTTCTTCTTCTTTTCTTCCATCTGAACATCTACTTACTGACACAGTTCGGAGAAAGAGATGAACCGGCGCAAGGATATGGTTGGGAATTTGAGATCGCAAGCAAATCAGATGGCGAATGCTTTGAACATGTCGAACTTTGCCAATAGAGACAGCTTGCTTGGGTCAGAAATAAAGCCAGATGACACCATGGCCAAAGTTACTGGCATGGATAACCAAGGGATTATTGGATTTCAACGGCAAGTCATGAGAGGTTTGCTGTTTTTATCCTAGTAAACATAACACATATCATGACTTTTGTATTAGCTTCTGTACTGAGTTTGTTCTTCTTTTCGCGAGTTAGAACAAGATGAAGGACTCGAGAAGTTGGAGGAAACAGTCATGAGTACAAAACACATTGCTCTAGCTGTCAATGAGGAGCTTAGCCTGCAGACGAGGCTTATCGTATGTCATCGTGTTTTTACATTCACATTTTTACGTGCCTTCCTTTTGGGATTTCATTATCGTAACAAATCTGGGTTGTATGCAGGATGACTTAGACTACCACGTGGATGTTACTGACTCTCGCTTACGGGTATTATATCCTTCAACTCTTAAATACTTCTTAACATAATTTTGGTGAGTCATAAGTTAAAGTTAGTCCATACATGAAGTGAATTGGTTTCCTCAAAAGTAACCTGATCTAATGATGATCTGTTACTGGGTTGCTCGATTAAAAACCACGTTAGACTAAGCGAATGACTAATTATTAGGCATTGATCTATTCTGTTTGTGTTTCTTATTACAGAGAGTGCAGAAGAGCCTTGCTGTCATGAACAAGAATATGAAAAGTGGTTGTTCCTGCATGTCAATGCTCTTATCAGTGCTCGGCATCGTTGGTCTTGCTGTTGTAATATGGCTGCTGGTTAAGTATTTGTAATCCCAACATTTAGAGAACTTATAAGCTTCTCTCTAGTTCACTTGCCTCCTCTATGTGAATGGTCTCAGTCTATCTCCTGTTTCCACATTTGTGCTTGTGCTTTTCATTCCTTTTCTGTTGTGAGAATCCTTAAAGAAGTATATATTATGCGTGCAGTTTTCAGAATTTTTGAAGTCTTCATAAAGATCAAATAACTAGTAGGTAGTAAAACGTAGAGACATAAACGTATCTGTAAGAGAACTTCCACGAATAAACTTGTCTGAGTTCGTATATGAAACAGTGACATTTGCTAACACCGATTTGCATGTCATCATTGGAAAGAAAAACCATCATGAAATGAAAATCAGTGATTGTTTGTTTGATCACTTTTCGACTCACACCCATTTTCTCCAGCTACTTGATCTTAGCTCACCAGAGAAGAACCTGGGAATGCTCAAGAGACTGTTGGCTCTAGTCAAGCCTTCCAAGGCCGACCACTCATCATCATCCTTAGAAGATATACATTCGGCGAGTGTTGTCTTCTTGGACTCAATCCCGCAACTCTCAGACGTTTTTTCTTCTTTCGTCTCCCAAACTGGTACAATCTCATCGGTCTCTGTTAAAGCCTCTTCTTTCTTCTCCCCATCTTTGCTTGATCTGATAGTGACACTCTCTGTAGACTCTTTGTGTGAATGATTAACGGTTTCTGAAACTTCCATGGATCCTGCTGGTCCTGAGGAATCTTGGAGAAAGAGACATACTACAGCGCAGTCATCGTTCTTCGAAGTAGGATACTTGAGCCTCCACGCTCGTACAGCTGTGTCGACTACGGCACGAGCCGCAGTGTTTCGACTAGGAGCTGAAGCCACAATATCAACAGCATCTTTGTTCGACAAAACATCCCATACCTGCAATTGCACAAACAGATTTAAGTACACAGATTTTGATATAAAACCGCATGAAGAAGAAGAAGAATAATGTTATACCCCGTCAGTGGCTAGAATAATGAACTGATCTCTATCAGTGAGGCGGCGGTAGTTGATATCCGGAACAGAGATTAGACCGTAATCTTTAAGACAGAAGTCTCCGAAAGCTCGAGCCATTGCCAGACCAGGTGAATCGCTGTTCGGTAACCACACACGCGCAACCTCAGGCTCATCTTGCAAGGCAAAGACTCTACCTTTACATTTCTTGATTCTTGCGGATTCACCTGTAAGCACATAGAGAAGAAAGTTAAGACTGTGTTTCCAAGATGATCATTTGGGACAAACATAAGGGAAGATATATATATATATATATATATACTTGGCAAATCGGGTTTTAAGTCTATGGTTAATTGTACAGCGATCAGAGCATTGTCTTCGTCTCTTGTGGCAAGAACAGCTCTTGAGTCACCAATATTTCCCACCACCAGATCCTTACCCTATAAAGGAACAATCAGAGCAGTTAATGTACAGAGCAACGGCAGTGTAAATAACCGATGACCGGACTTTCACCTGTTTGATCACGGTAACCGAAGTTGATCCGCTGCAGAAACAATCGATGGTTGGATGCATTTTTAACTCTTTGTCCATCTGTTGACAAGTCTTGAGCAAAGCTCGTTTCAGCGGGAGATACATTTCGGGAAGTAGCTTTTCGTCATTCTCACGTGGCTGTAACTCACACCATTGCTCTTCTTCATCTATGCAAGTAGCACACTCGAGGCCATTCTTGGAGCCGCTTAGTTCCATCGCCGATGCCGTTTTCAATTGGGTCGATAATGTGAACGGCAACATATCTCGAACTCTCTTTGCAACCATATGACCAAACGGACCATGTCCATCGAATACACCACAGAGCACTGTATCGCTTCTCGAACAGAAATTCTGAAAATTTGAGAGAAAAAAAAAAGTTTCAAGCAGTGAACTTAGTTGAAGAAGATGGAAGAACATAAATAGTAACAACACAGAGAGAATTAGTAGCTTTCTTCAATCGGTGAACCATAATATCAAACAATCCAACATTTCATTTTTTTCCCTAAAGAGGGGAGAGACACAAACCTCCCAGACAAGCATGGCGTCTTGGTTGGTTCCTTTTCTGCCTTGCTGTGTATAAAGACAAGCAATTTCACTTGAACCATTGCCAACAAGCCGACCCACCACCGGTTGAATCTCATCGATTTCGCCGCCGCTATTCAAATCTCTCGGCTTCCTCCGCCGCCCGGAGCCTTGTATCTCCACCGTGGAAGTAGCGTTGCTTGTTGTCCCCGTTTCTTTACTCGTGGTTTTATCAGTTGTAGAATAACACAGTCCCATTTGAAATCCAAGAGAGAAAATCCCAATCTTTCAAAAATAGACAGTTGAGAGAATCTACTAGAGATCTGTTTTTTTTATTTGTCTGAGGTTTGGTCGGCAATAAATACTCAATTTAAAGACTCACAGCTTCCAGTACAACAGCCAAATGGAAAAAAAACTGAGAGAGAGAGAGAGAGAAGACAGACAAATTCACATATTTACATACAAAACCGTAGAAACAATCAAAATCTCGGAAATTGTTTTACGATTCCCTGTTAGAGAAGAGACGCCAAAACTTGAAAACAGACCAGAGCACAAAGTTTTACTAACTCCACCACTTCCGTAAGACTATTCAAAAAAGTGTTTTCCCCAAATCTTTTTGGTCAAAAAAGAATTAGTGGCGAATGAGGTGAAATGTTCAGACAGCGGTCGTAGCTTGGTTCTGCACGACCACGACGTGCACGTGAGATCATTTTTCGCTCTTTAATTGTTTTCTGTTTTAATTTTAAAAGTCAATTTTTTTTTTTACTGATAACATCGTAGCATCAAGAAAATAACAGACTAACCAATTGTAATTTGAAACGCGTCCTTTTAGTCCTCTGGTAGGGTGATGTCATTGATTTTTATAGTTACTATTACTAATTATAAAATTTAGCTGTCATGCATGAACTCCCTAAAATACGATTTCCACACCCATCAATCAAAATAAAAAATGCAAATTCAAAGACCCCCACCCTTCGTAAAATATTGAACAATTGGCTATAATTTGATAACAAATGCGAATAGATTAATACAATATTCTGCCGCCAAAAGAGATAGTTACAGACTTACAGTATTGTGATGACCTTATTCTATGCAAGAAAATGGTTCGTTTAACAATTGATCAGAATTTATACAAGGCCTTGCGACAGCAGCGCTTTGAGCCAAACAAAGCTGAAGCCGGTTCGATACAAAATTACGGGATTCAGAACAAGAAAAGTTTCATGAAAAAACCGTGAGCTGTAAATAATTATCACAATCACGCAACATACGAGTATGACCACAGTTTAGTTAGATCCGTGACACTAGTTTCCTGTGCTATCTAAGATCAAAGATCTAATAAACACAAACTACTAACACGAATAAAGTAAAAGTGGAAAAGCAGATTATTCTTTAAGATAAATATGAGATGTAAGAATAAGGTATGATCATCTGAGATTCTGAGCGGAGTAAAATGAAGGGTCCAGACGAAAGAGGGGAGGAACAAAACATTTTCTTGTGCTCAGATTTGGTTAAAAGGCTCCTTTTTTTGTTGTTGTGGGAACTCAGTCTTCAAAATCTGCTGAGTTCTCTAGCAGATAGTTTGCAGCCAACTCCTCGTTACGGTCACACGCAAGGAATGCCTCTATGACTAATGCTCTGTCAAATCCCATTGCCTCAAGCTGATCAAGAAAATAGGTTTAAGGCAAGAGTAAGAAGGGATGACATAAAAATGATGGTTCGGGTTATAATGATGATGAGGATTGGAATGTATGTACCCGTTGAATCGCTTCTTGCTCTGCAGGGGTAACGTTGACTGCATGGGACATTTCTTGATCGGGTTGGTCGAAAATATCCATCTCCCTGAGAGTTTCGCGCAATCAATAAGAGGCGTTCAGTCATAAGATCACATATATACTTACCGATCTGCAGACTACAGAGTACTTACCCGTCAGATCCTTCATAGGGCTCGTTTAGCAGCTGAAGAAACTCAGCTTGGTTTTCTTGAATTAGCCTCAGAAGTTGGGGGTTCTGCTTTCCGAGCTCCTGAAGCATAGGCTGTAACAGAAGCAGCGATGAAACCATGACATGTTCAGAAGTTATAAAAAGGGTCTAAGTACTAAATTATGGACCCAAGGGTATTATAAAGCAAGATGAAAGACTCGCTTCTTACCTGCAGAATCTGGGGATTCGAATTGACCATGGAGCGTAATTGTTGGAACTAAAACAAATGGAAATGTAACAAGATTAGTGTATGGGGGAAGCTGCATTTCATCATTAATAATGATCACATAGGAGGACCAGGTTGAAATACACCACCCTGAAAGTGGTGAAACAGGTTTCTAATAAAGTATAATTGCCAAAGTTTCAAGTCCTCAATCATTCTACAAGACCTCACAAATAAAAATCCAAGGGGTAAGGATAAAGTAACAACCTGATCATTGCTTCTAAGGAATTCAAGCGTTCCAAGATCTCCAGCACCAGCATCAGACACTGCTTCCTGGGACAACAAAAAAAAAACAAATCTTAGGGCCGTAGCGTGCAACGGGAACTGAACTCATTTCAATGCGCAAAAAAATACCAAGTTCTTACCTGGGGAAACAAATCCAAAGGAGATGAATTAGGTCCCCCGGAGGCAGGAGGAGCGGCAAGGTCTGCACCAGAGGCTGCTCCGGATATGTTAGTTACTGGAACATCAACTCTTTCGGGAATTCCCTGAAAATAGAACAAATTTCAGCAGCTTCGTTCCCTTAAAAAACATTTACAAAACACTCAGTTACAAAGAAGGGGCATACAGAATATAGATAATCCACTGCTCTCTCCGGGTTGTTATAGGCTGCACGGAGTGCGCGAGTAACTGTTTCTTTGTCCCAGCTGCCTCCTCCCATTTCCATTATCTGTTGAACCATTTGCTCAATATTACTGCCACTAACTAAAGTTGAAGCAGCTTCACCCAATGTGTCACTTTGTGCACTACACATACAAATTCAGTTATGGAGATTATAGAGTATCAATAAAACCCTCAAACATATAAACTCAAGCAAGTTTTATTAAGGAAGATAACTTTTATCCGATTATGGCAATAGCAAAACTTACGCCGGTTGTTCTTGAGCTGAGGTAGAATTTGAAGCTGGCACAGCTATAGACTGGGTTGACGACGGAGCTGCAGGCTGGTTGGTTGATACAAGCTTGTATTTAATGAACCGAGAAATCCAGATGGTAATTGCATAACTCCCAAACAAGAACAGATATGTAAGAAAATTACCGTAGTTGAAGATGTGGTCGTGGAAGTAGGCTGTGAGATAGGAACAAAGTTTTTTTACTGAGAACACTCGAATGAGAAGTAAGTGATTTGCAACAACACGAGGAAACAAGAAATACGCTTACCTGAGCAGAAGATGAACCAGCTGAACTTGCAGTTTTGTTCTATCAATTGCAAAAGAAAAAGTCAGGATATTGTCACCTCGACACGGACTAAGTATTATATGTAATTTTCAGTAACGACTATTTAATAACAAAGCATGCCATAACAGCCAAAGATTGCAATACTTCACACAGGTTATCTTGTAGCGTTTCTTAACCTATTATATTTTCAAGCTTTCTACCAAAATCTTTTCATGTAATTGTTTCTGATGCCAACTTAGAGTGTCTCAGAAAATGCATCTTATGCAAACATTTAACCTCATAAGGAATGAAATAGGTACCTTGCTAAGCATGACAACGAGAAAACCCTCCTCGGTAACCTTATTCTCCACTAAGGTGGTTTCATCTTTCAAAACCTTTCCATTGTGAATCAACAATTGCTGCCCACATGGATAGTTGTCTTTGCTCAGTGAATCTTCAATATTCTTTTTCACCGCCATTATCTTACAATACACAAAGCACACCGGATTTAGACAATTCAGAACCCATACACATATACACTCCACTCAACAAGACAAATTAATAGAAAAAACTTGAAATTCTGAATCTAGCATATAGAAAGCTGTCAAATTGTCATAACCCAGATTGGTATTGACGCACGGGACTTACTCTAGAAGATATCTAAATTTACTTATTTCCTATACAATATTACACGTAAATTCGAAGGAATGAAGCGGAAAATACAGAAGAAGAAGCACTAACCGTGTCGGTGGGCTGAACCCTAATTTCAAATTGGCTGCCCTTGAGAGTCTTAACGTTGAGCTTCATGTCGACGAATTGAACCAAGAAGATTTTACCGGCGGCGTCGGGGGCAATCCGGCGAGGGACGACGGCAGGGAGCGAGATATAAGAGTGACCTAAAAGAGCGCTTATGCTAACAACTCTAGACTTTTGGCAAACAGTCGCAATCAACAAAGCGTTTCGGATTTTAAAACGCGGCAAGACCAACCCACGTGCGATTCACTGCAAAGATCCCTCAAGTGCATCGCACGTGACACACACACGGCCTAACATATAAATATTCCCAAAATTTTCATTTTTCATTTGTAATTATTTAGTTTAAACATTTTTAAACTAAGATAAACATTAAATTTCTCCATATTGTGACAAGAATGTGAATATTCACGATGTAATAATTGAGGATTATGTTGATTTATAATTTTATATAACAAAATATTCTACACGAGACGAGGCGAAATTTACGAGAAAGGAAATATTTATATATTTATATTTATTTTACAAATGGACCAAGAAAGGCCATGCGTGAGAAAGCAGCACACTAATATGATAAGTCAAAAGATAAATATGTTATTTTACGATCTTTACAAATTCAAGATTCAAGAAAAGTGTATCAGAATCTCTGGTGGAATTATCAAGCTCAGAACTCACGGTCAGGGAAGAGAATCGGAGCAACAAGAGACCAGATGAAGAGACCAGCGGTGGCCCAGCTGGTCACAACACGAACCCAAACAGACGGCCACCCGACATCGACCAGCTTTCCACTTTCACCGACCGAAGTTGACCAACCAGTTAAGAGCATTGCAGAGTACATGCTCGCGAGGGAGAAGATGATGTGGAAGAATGCGTATGAGTACGTCACTGGCTTCTTCTGCTCTTTCTCTTCCTTGTCTTCTGCTTTCCCGTCTAGCGGAAGCAGAGGCTTCTCTGAACGTTTTCAACAAAGCAAAATCCCTTAAAAAAATTAGACGCAACTCAAGCACTCAAACAAGGTTTCAAACTTCAATCCAAATTTCAATTCAAGAGCAAGTTAACATCGATATCACGGAACACTCAGTTCTGTTTTCAGACCTCTAATTCCAAACATAAAGCAGACGATGTGAAAACTAAACTTAAACCAAAACAAGAAACGGGATTTGGGAGAAGGAGTTTTTGCTGGAAACATACCTGCACGGGGAGAATCAGGTGGGGAGAGAAGCGTAGTGGAAGAACCAGCACGAACCGCGGAATACACGACAGAGAGAACAGTTGTGAGTAACCCAATTGTCATGGTGCCTGTTGAAACAGCTTTGGAGTGTTTGTGGAGACCATTGCATTCGTAATCTCGGGGTTCACTTGCAAGTCCACTGTAACAGAGGTACATGCAGTAGAAAGATATAACTGATGCTGGTAAAATGCTTCCACCGACCTGCAACATAAAGGTTAATATGGCTTCATTAAACCTGAAGATGAGAAGCAACTAAAATCTCATATAAGAGAAACTAAAGGCCTTAAAGTCCAAACTTACAGCGGGATGCAAAACTACAACAGCAAAGACGAATACGAATATCAAAGTCATGACAATGAAGAAAGTGTTGAGTCCACAATCATGTTCAGATGGAGTAAACCAATGGAAGAGAAGTCCAGAGAAGACGAATGTTGCCAAGTAACATACCAGAGAAACAACGAGCAACGCAGCATACCTGTACATAAAGTCCAGTGCTTAGATTAGCAGTGGGATGATAAAGCTACACATAATGATTGCAAATATATATATACACTAACCAGAACTGCTCGTCGTAGCCAACCCATGTGTCATTCCATCCATGAACGAAATCCAAAAGAAGCACAACTTGAACAAGAAGGAAAAATCCAGCACCAAACTTTGACATTGACTCTGAAAGATGTTGAAATTGATTCTCATTAGTTCTAAGTTAATTACTTCATCAGGAGCATGCAGACGAGATAATATGAGCAATGGTAGATGGCACTTGCCATAAAAGCTGATGATTTCATTCGGAACGAAGAACATTAAGATGACCAAAATGAACCAACAGATGACTTTCATCATCCAACCACCGTGGTGTATACCATCACGAGGGTCTTTTTGAGTTTTCACACCAATCATCATGACTGACAGAATTGAGAAAAACACGAAATTCCCTAAGCTGACACGCAACACAGCATCAGTCTCGAACCACTCCCGGTCAGGTGTCTTGTGAAAATGGTTAATCCCTGCACAGTGTCAAAGATTAGCTCCGCAAGCTACAATAGTCCAACTGGAAAGACAGAAAAAGAACAAATACAAGGACATAAGAAGAAAGAAAAAGCTTACAAGGGAGCTTCTCCATGAGAGGAGCAGCAACTTCACGGAGAATCCATGAAACGATCAAAGAAAGTGCAAAGAGACCACAGTAAGCAATTCTTGCAGAACGTCTGCTGATACTAGAGACCACAGTACGGCAAGCGTCGCATGCACAAGCAGCACAGCACGATGCGAGACAAGAAGCTGCCCACATCTTCGAAGATCAAAGCTTGGATTCAATATTCAGCTGCTAGTGCGAAAGAAAAAACAAACACATATTATTTAATCATTATCAAATTATCAAATAAAAAACCCTAATTTCGGATGAAGACGGTAACAAATACGGCTTTGCTACACCGAAACGAAAATTAATCAATTTTATCATAAAGAATTAGAATTACTTACGAATCGACCTTATTAGATTGGAATTGGATAAAAAAAATACTGAATTTCCCCCAAAATTTGAGACGGGATCAAAATTCCCGATGATAATTTTTCACCCAGGAAACTAGTTTTAGTGATCGGATTTAAGCTTTGGAAGAAAAGAAACAAAACCCAAATCGCTTCAGAGAGAGAATATAAAGATACCTTGGTGATGGATCAAAATCTAGAGCTTTCCTCTCCTTGAAAAGTAGAACGAACAACTGGGTGTTTTCCTTATTCTCGCTGATGATTTCGGACTTTTGACCAGCTAACAACGAATTGAGAACCATAGATACCAATATAATGATGAACTTTCATATTAAGCCCACCAATGGCCCAATACATACCCAATACATCTAATATATATCATTGTCATTGTCCAAAGATCAGTGTTTAACAAATCATGATGCTTGTTGATTTTAAAATTCAGCATCTGGTACATACAAATGAAAAACGAATTTGTGCCCTCCTGCAATGTTTGCTTTTGCTTTTCGTAATTCGATTGTAATTGAGTTCTAAGACTTACACAACAAAAAGTTCATACATGTCACTAGATATATACTATAGTATGTGTTTCAGTGTTGTTTGTAAACACCCTCTGGATGCTGCAAGGGTCAGATCGTAGGTAAATGCCATCTAGAACATGCCAATCATTTTATCCAAAAAAAAAAAAAATACGTGTGCCCATCATCTTAAAAGACAAAGCCAATGGAGTGGATGCTAAACACGCATGAAATCATTATTTCCTCTCTCTCTCTCTCTCTCTCTCTCTCTCTCTCTTTCCTTTTTTTATCTTTTGATTTTTGTATATAAAAATCCCTAAATTCCCGTCGTATGTAACGGACTTCATAAAACCGCGTAAGGCGACATCCGGCAAATCGGCCCCCGCTCGAGCCAATCAAGCTACGGATGAGATTGATCTCTCTCTATATATATCGGAAACGCAACGCCTAGCGGCCGACTACTTTTTGGTGTCGTCGGATTTGCGTGTCGACGGAGCTGGAAGCAGCTCTCTCTTCTCCGGATCTCTCACCTGTTTCTGTTTCACCGGTTCGTTTTCTCAACAAAATCATCACCTGCTTCGGATCTATTCCCTCGATTGCCGGCGTAACATTCTGTATTGTGTGTCCTTCGATTGATCTCCCATTTTCCTCGAATCTTCTTTTAATCCAAATGTGCATTGACGAAGAAAGGTCGTTGTTGTGATTTGACTGAAAATGACTTTATTGCTTGTCTTGCGATTGTGATTCCGATTACAAAGACTAAAATGCCGTTTACAAATTATATTTACCTCGTGGGAACAGATGGAAACGCCATTATTCTGTCTCTCTCGCTAGCTTATCTCGATAGAAATCCGAAATTATTGGTAGCTATATAAATGGTTTTTGAAGGAAAAAATAGTTCCAAAATGTACATTCAGTCTTATTGAATCTCATCTCCATATCCTGTTTTGGGTTTTTGTGCAATGTGTAAATGATTCTGTGTGACGATTTTGCAGGCTGGTTAATATCAAGCAGCCATGGTTCTTGATGGGATTGTATCTTCACCGTTAAGGAGACCGCAGTGTCTAAAGAAGCAGTGGGAAGAGTTGGGAAGCTGCTCCACGGTTATTCAGAGGCATCGATATCTCTTAACAGCCTTGCTTCTTTTGGCATTCCTCTGCTCTGTTTATCTCTACTTTGCAGTCACTTTAGGTGCTAAGCACTCATCGTGCCATGGCTTGACCGGGAAAGAGAAGGCAATGTGTCAGTTACAACATGTCCAAACTATCTCCAAAGGGAAACTCAAATTCTTCTAGAGTGTCATCGGCCAATGGTAGCTGAAACCCACCCCCCATTATTGTTCTCTTGTACTAAAACATTCTTTTTGTTTTTTTTATTGATTCTATACTGCAATGTCTGTGTATCATATTATTACATGGTGAAAAACCAGAGATTTATAATCGAAAAGATGTTCTTATATTGAAAAAGAAAAGACCTTTACAGGATCCGTTGAGGAACCATTGGTTTGGGAGATACACTTAAGCGTATTCTTTGTTGTTGATTTACATGGCTTGATTCTCTTGTTCGTCGTTTACCAAATGGACTTGTAAATCTTCAGGTGATGAACGGATCCTCTCTAGCTCAATTGAAACCTCTCTCATGTTTGGTCGTTTCCTGCCTTTTCGGCTAAGACACTTTTGAGCGAGTTTTGCCACCGCCATCACTTGGCCCAGCTTGCTTTCGTCTTTGATTCGACCATCAATGATGTCAATCACTCTGTTTTCTTTCATGGCCTCGAGGAAATGAGTAGCCAAGCCTCTGCCTTCTTCAGACCGGATATGGGACAACGTCTTTTCTCCGGTTATGAGCTCCACCAGGACAACCCCGAAACTGTAAACATCGCTCTTGTCAGTGTATTGGCTTGACAAGAAGTACTCTGGATCCATGTACCCAAAAGTGCCTGCAACTAGTGTTGTCAGGTGAGTTTGATCTATGGTTATTGATCGTGACGTTCCGAAATCAGATACTTTGGCTCTGTATTTCTCGTCCAGTAGTATATTGGTTGTCTTGATATCTCTGTGGTATATTGGAAACGATGCAGCTGAGTGCATGTATGAAAGTGCTCCCGCGATCTCTATGGCTATGCGAAGACGAACTTCCCAAGTCATCGTGTAATCATCGAATTCGTCGTGCAGACGCTTGAACAGATCTCCATTGGGAATATATTCGTAAACCAAGATTGGGACTTCTGTCTCCAAACAACATCCCAAGAGTTTCACAATGTTCCTGTGGTTAATCTGTGAGAGAAGAACGACCTCGTTGATGAAATTTTCTAGCTTATCTTCATCCACGACTTTGGATTTTTTAACCGCAACGATCCTTCCGTCCACCAGCATCCCTTTATACACAGTTCCCTGACCGCCTTGCCCCAGCACTCTCTTCACGCTGAAGTTATCGGTGGCTTTCTTCAACTCCTCCGAGCTAAATATCTTCGACATCTCAACATTTCCGTCATCTGTTGTAGTTAGTTGTTGCTTTAACAACAAGCCTCCATTACGTTTGAAGAACTTCCTGTTATGTATGATCCTCCTCCGGTTTCTTATAAGTAAAAACAATACGAATATCCCAACAACTAAAACCATTAGTCCCAACAAACCTATAAGAACCCCTGCAGCAACCAAGAAAAACACAAATTACTTTACTGCCATGAAGTCTGATAGTTGCAAGGTACCATTGGAACTCACCTTGTAGCACGAGAGATTTGGCCGGCTTGATGATCATCTCGGGTCTGGGTTTGCACATGTACGCCGCTCCAGGCATGTTCACGCAAGTACTGCCTTCTTTACAGACATTAGGTTCTTTGCAACCATCACCGTCTACATATACATCAATCATAAATATTAATGATCTGATATATGATTCTGATTAATAGTCAAGAATTCAAGACCACACACAAAAAAACAACCACTTACCTATGCAGCCCCCTCGAAGGTATGGGTTCCCTGTGAAGCCATTGTTGCAATAGCAGTTCCTATAACTCATTTCGTTTAAGTAACCATACTCGCAACTGCATTTATCAAAGGAGGTGTAGGAACTGTAACGGGTCATATTTCTACAACCTAAGGGGCTCCTAAAGCGAGAATCTGAGGTAGCAAAGTACCAACCTAGCTCCACCACCACATATCCCTGAGAATGAAACTGTTCTGGCTCCGTAACATTTATCGGCGAGTACCTCTTGTTAGTCAAGAATGCAACTCTGCACCCTTCTTCTCCCGTGGCATCTATCTCCACACCTATAACCTGTGGACGCTCCACCGGTAACCTCGCCTGGCAGCATTTGTACCCATCATACATCGAGTTTGTTACTTCTTCACCACTATTTCTCTCTTCGCAGCTCGATTCACAGCCCAAGATCTCTGAGTCAATATCCGTCATCAACGCCTTGGTACCGCAACCAACCGCCACGAGGCGAATCTCGTCTGTGAGGAAATATGGGCTGCCCTTGCCCGTGACGTTCAGATCCGGTAGCGACTTTTTGAGTCCTTGGCTACTATTACTAGAACAACCCAAAGAAGTCACAGGACCTTTGATGTGAACCAGTCCGTATGGTTCGTTGCTCTCTGCATTAGAGATGTTGACCACTTCCCGGTTGATCCGTGAGAGGAACGGAACCGTTGTTGTGTTAGATCCGGAAGTGGTGGTGTTGCAGACAACCTCGTACCAGCCGTTGAGATAGCAGTCCTTCCCGCCGATTCCGAACGGGAATGGGATCGAGATTCCTCCGCAGGTTCTGTTACAAGAAGCTGAAGAATTACTATTTTGAGTTGTTGCCGCTGATGAGTGGTTGATGAGCAAAGTAAGGACAGACGCTACAATACACAGGAAGTTGTAAGTCCTGGTCTTCATATTCTGTTTCTGTTTTTTGTTCTTGATATGATCAATCTTAAATTCTTAATATGCTTTCCTAAGAGAAAAAAAAAAGCCAAGGAGCCAGAAGTCTAGAAAGTAGGGGTGGGCAAAATATCCGTTATATCCGTTTCAAACCGATATTTGCTTCGATTCGATTCGAAAAATCCGGATATCCGTAAAGCTTCAAAGCAAAGCAAATAGCAAAATGTAGTATTCGTACAAAATGGAGCAAATAACAAATATGTTTTTAGACAACGTCAGATATCCGATCCGATCCGTATCTTTATAAATTTATTATATATTAGTATATCTTATCATATATATATCAATTATATTATAAATTTTTATTAATATACTCTCGGTTTTCTTCCTAAATTTTCAATTGTTTATAAATTATTTAGATTATATAAAATAAATGACTAAATAACCATTCATAAAAAATAAATAATATATTTAAACTTAAAATATATTAATAAATTATAATTTATTTGATATTAGTTAATAAATATCAACAAAGGTTTTTAGTAAAGTTTAATATTTAAAGTTTCAAATAGTTAATATTATTTTTAAATATAAAATAATATTTTTTCCTCATTTTAATTTTATAGGTTTAATTTTTATAGATTTTTTATAAAATAAAATATTTTCTTTTAATTATTTTCACTTAACAGTTTAGATAAAAAATATTTTTTATAATAAAAATTGATGTACTTTCAGTTTTGTGTATATTAAACGGATCAAACTAAATATTCATAAATATCTGTAAATATCCGTAAATATCTGCAAATACTTGTAAAATTTTCGGATATCCGAAAATCCTGATATCCGTATATTTTCGGAGCAAATCAAATCATTAAATTAAATATCCGTTAAAAATGGAGCAAACCACAAATACTTAAAAAATTTTGGATATCAGATCCGTGCCCACTCCTACTAGAAAGAAGCGTAAAGCAAGTTACAAAGCATAAAAATGGATAATCGTAATACAAAAATTAAGTCAATGCCATGAGGGCATCTATTTTAAACGGATGACTCAACCTTGGATTATAAAAGTCCACTCTTAAATTCTGCAGAGCATTTGAAGGTAGACCAAACCTATCAACACATTTGAGTATTTGACCATGTTCGTTCATGATACAAAATAATGTTGACCATAATCACGTTAGCTCAATAGTCAAATGGACCCATGACCAATCAAATGTAATTCAGGTAGTGGGGATCACATGGAACGAACTGTTGACGTGTACATTTTTGTTTTTAACCAATGAAACAATGCCACCTGGTAGAAGTAATTTATTGGAAAAAAAGTTGTGTCCCATATTTCAATGGCGGAAGTAAGACCAAACCGCCGTCCGCCGTTGATATCGGAGATTGCTGCTGCCGTCGAAGTTTGCCGTTGAAATCGAACTTAGACTTCACCATTTTTCATGATCCAATTAAGTTGTTTTTTTCCTTGATTCCATAATATTGCAAAATTATTACATGGTGAAAACCAGAGATTCGTAATCGAAAATAAATATTTCTTTTTTATCAAATGAGGATACATATACATATATGCACCAGTGATTCGAGTCGATCATCACCATGTTCGTAGAGGAACTAATGCCTCAACGTCAGACGTTGGGGATGCATTATTAAACATGGAGGCTGGAGCAGTCATACCAACATCCCAACTATCATCAATGTTGAACTCCATGGCTTGATCTTCTTCATCATCGTCTTCCTCAATATGACCCTCTGGTTCATAAGGTGATGAACGAATCCTCTCCAATTCAATTGAGACCTCTCTCATGTTTGGTCGCTTTTTCCCTTTTCGATTTAAACACCTTGTTGCGATTTTTGCCACAGCCATCACTTGGTCAAGATTGCATTCATCTTTGATCCGTTCGTCAACGATGTCAAGAACTCTGTTCTCTTTCACGGCCTTGACAAAATGAGCTGCAAATCCTCTGTTTTCTTCAGACCGGACATGGGAGGACGGCTTTCCCCCGGTTAAGAGCTCCACGAGAACAACTCCAAAACTGTACACATCACTTTTGTCTGTAAACTTGCTTGATTGAAAATACTCTGGATCCACGTACCCAAAAGTACCTGCAACTTGAGTTGTCAAGTGAGTCTGGTCTATGGTCACCGATCTTGAAGTTCCGAAATCTGACACCTTAACTCGGAATTTCTCATCTAATAGTATATTGGTGGTCTTGATGTCTCTGTGGTATATCGGGAAAGATGCAGCAGAGTGCAAATAGGACAAAGCCCCAGCGATATCGATGGCAATGTGAAGACGTACTTCCCAAGTCATCGTGAAATCGTCATATTCACCATGAAGACGCTTGCCTAAGTCTCCGTTGGGAACAAACTCATAAACCAAGACTGGAACATCCGTCTCGAGACAACATCCCAAGAGTTTCACAATGTTTCTGTGGTTGATTTGTGCGAGAACAACAACCTCATTGATGAACTCTTCAACCCTGTCTTCGTCCACAACTTTCGACTTTTTCACAGCAACAATTCTACCATCAACCAACATTCCCTTGTATACAGTGCCTTGACCTCCTTGCCCAAGAACCCTATTCTTGCTGAAGTTATCAGTAGCTTTTTCCAACTCACTCGAGCTAAATATCCTTGACATCTCTACATTGCCTTCTTTTCTGGCTAGCTGTTGCTTTAACAACATACCTCCGTTACGCCTGAAGAACTTTCTCATTCGGATCATCTTCCTACGCTTTTTAAGGAACTTGTACAACCCGAAAATTCCAAAGGCGAAAAGCAACAGTGCCGAACCTATAAGAACACCTGCACCAACAAAAAAACTAAAATGTAAAGAACAGAAAAATAAATAGGGATCCTACACAAGACGCTCAAGATAATAAACTAAAGTTGACTCTTACCTTGAAACACCGGCTTGAGCTGCTCTGGTTTCTTGGGCTGGCACTCAAACCAACCGCGCCTGTTCACACAACTTTGGTCTTTACACCTTTTGCGTCCTTCTTCTAGTTTACATTCATCAATATCTGTAGATTTGGTCCATTATCAGCAATAATCCTATTGTTGCCCACAATATAATGTTAAGATTAAGAAGAACATCAATCTCTTACCTACACATCCACCTGGAAGGAACGGGTTCCCTGTGTAACCCATGGAGTTGCAATAGCAATTCCTATAGCTGAATCCAGAGAAGTAGCCGTACGAGCAGATGCAACTCGTCTCGGACGAGTACGCGCTATTATCTGATGCATCTGACACGTTTTTACAACCTATGGGGTTTAAAACACGAGAATCCGAAGTATCAAAGTACCATCCTAGCTCTACCACCGCGTATCCATCGCCATGAAACTGTTCTGGCTCCGTAATATTCAAACTCGAATACTTCTCGCTCGTCAGAAACGCAACTCTGCATCCTCCTGCCGTTGTGTTGCTGCCTTCGGGGATCTCTAAATTGACTCCGATTACTTGTGGCTCCCCTTCCGGTATCCTCGTCTGACAACATTTATCACCATTGCAAATACTGTTTCTTGCTTCGTGGCTGCTGTTTCTTTCGCTACAGCTTGACTTGCAACCGATGATCTGTGATTTGACATCCGTCATAACCGCCTTGGCGTTGCAACCAACCGCCACGAGTTGGTTCTTGTCCGTGAGAAAATAAGGGCTGCCTTTGCCGGCAACGTTTAAAGGCGGCGGTGTAAGCGGTTGAGATGTTCCGGTAGAACAGCCAGAGGAAGTTACGGGGCCTTTGATGTGAACTACTCCGTAAGAATAGTACTCTTGAGCGTCTGGAAGAGAGATGTTCACTAATTCTCTGTTGATCCTTGAGAGAAACGGAACAGAGGGGCTGTTACAGACAACCTCGTACCACGGGTTTAGATAGCAATCTTTCCCACCGACACCGAACGGAAATGGAATAGATATACCTCCGCAGACTCTGTTACACGGATCTGGAGGTTTTCTTGCTGATGTGGCGCCATTGATGAACAGAGATAGGACAGAGATTAATAGAACAACACATAGGAGATTGTGAGTCTCTGTTTTCATACTCTTGTTCTTGTCCTCTCAACTTGATCTGACCTTTCGGTCTCCTATTCTTCTGTAATGAAGAGAAAAAAAATAGAAATCAAAGACTGCATAGTTGGGTGAAAATGTCAGTTGAGATGGAAGGCGTGAAAAGAGATGCAAAACAAAGTTGACCAAAGTAGTACAAGCCTTAAAGTCAACGGATTCATGCTATGGATAGATAGATGACTTTCTTAGTTTTCAACCAATGAAGCGAGGCCATTTGGCAGAATGAATATTCGTTTTCTAAGTGGGCCCGAAAGTGTTCAGACAAGTAGAGAAGTTGAGATGCAAGACGATATGACGTGGCTAGCCAATAGATGACGTGGATTATTTTGGGTTCCATTTTTGGAAGGTGTTAGAAAATTTGAACGCGAAAAGACGCTTATCTGGCCCACAATTAATTGAAGAAAGAAACAATGTCGGAAGTCGGAACTGTGGAGGAGCGAGACCGCCGTCGAACCGAGTCTCCCCGTCTTCGGCGGAAGAGAATAAAGCCTCCGAAATAGGTACAGATCTGGAAACTTAAACCTTACGATTCCAACGAACACGAGTGTTTCTGTTGACTCCGATGGTTTTTGATTAATCACTATACTATACATCCTCGTACTTCTAAGTTCCAAAGTTAGCATCTCAGGCAACACAATTTTCGAATTTAGAAGATTTTCCTTCCTTCTCTTTTTGTTTTTCTGGTTGTTTCTGAATATTTATATTTTACGTTTTCCCTTTGGTTATCTCAAGTTTAGCGTTGTGATAAACAAACAGTGAGAGATTATCATTGTGGCTGGCGACAAAAAAAAGAAAGTTGTGGCACGCGTTATACACTTATTAAGTTATTAGCACGCGTTATATCTCTAGCAACGCATTGAATCATCTTTAAACGGTTCAGAAATTATCTTTTTGTTGATTATCATAAGTTGATTGATCCTCGTCGTCTTCGTTTTCGATATAGATATCTAAATCTTCAAGTGATAATCGGATCCTCTCCAGCTCAATGGATACCTCTCTCATGTTTGGCCGCTTCTTTCCTTTCCGGCTAAGACACCTTCGAGCTAGTTTTGCTACCGCCATTACTTGCTCAAGCTTGTCATCGTTTTTGATCCGAATATCAATGATGTCAAGCACTCTGCTTTCTTTCATAGCCTCGAGGAAATGAGTTGCTAAGCCCTTTCCTTCTTCAGACCGGACACGGGACAGTGGTTTTTCTCCGGTTATGAGCTCCACCAGGACAACACCGAAGCTGTACACATCGCTCTTGTCAGTGTATTGGCTTGACAAGAAGTACTCCGGATCCATATACCCAAAAGTGCCTGCAACTAATGTTGTCAGGTGAGTTTGATCAATGGTTACCGATCTTGACGTTCCGAAATCAGACACCTTGGCTCTGTATTTCTCGTCCAGTAGTATATTGGTTGTCTTGATATCTCTGTGGAATATTGGAAACGATGCAGCTGAGTGCATGTATGAAAGAGCTCCCGCGATCTCAATGGCTATACGAAGACGCACGTCCCAAGTCATGTTGTAATCATCGGATTCGTCGTGAAGACGCTTGAACAGATCTCCATTGGGAATATACTCGTAAACCAAGATTGGAACTTCCGTCTCTAGACAACATCCCAAGAGTTTCACAATGTTCCTGTGGTTAATCTGTGAGAGAAGGACAACCTCATTGATAAACTCTTCCAGCTTGTTTTCATCCACAACTTTGGATCTTTTGACCGCAACTTTGGATCTTTTGACCGCAACCAAAAACAACAGTCCCAACAAACCCATTAGAACCCCTGCAGCAACAAAGGAAAACATAAGGTACACTACTTCTCTGTTCTAGTTCGTTTCATAGTAGACACATACACAAGCTGTTGTTTTGACTAACCTGCAAGCACAGGGAGTTTGGAATGTTTGGTTGGCTTTGGCACGCACCTGTACCCTCCAACAAGGTTCTCACACGTGCCTTCTCCACACTTGTGTGGTACTTTGCATTCATCAATGTCTATACATATTGGAATCATAATTACAGAGTGTGTGTGATTGACGGTCAAGATTACAAAAGAAAAAAAAACAGGCACTTACCTACGCATCCGCCTCGAATGTATGGGTTTCCTGTGTGGCCATTGCCGCAATAGCAGTTCCTATAATTGATCCCGGAAAAGTAACCGTAACGGCAAAGGCAGTTGTCCTCCGCGAAGTAAGACCCATTAGAACGGGTCAGGTTTATGCAACCCAATGGGTTCCTAAAGCGAGAATCCGAAGTATCAAAGTACCATCCTATTTCTACCACCGCGTAGCCATCAGCATGGAACTGCTCTGGTTCAGTAACATTTGACGGCGAATATCTCTTGCTCGTCAAGAACGCAACTTTGCACCCTTCTCCTCCTGTAACATTTTTGCTCTCTATGTCGACACCTATTGCTTGCGGACGCTCCACTGGTATCCGGGCTTGGCAGCATTTGTAACCATCACATATCGAGTTTGTTACCTCTTCACTACTCTTGCTCTCTTCACAAATTGATTCACAGCCTAAGATCTCAGATTCTATATCCGTCATCAACGCCTTGGTACCGCAACCAACCGCCACGAGACGGTTCTCGTCCGTTAGAAAATATGGACTTCCCTTGCTTGTGACGTTCAAATCCGGCAGCGTTTTTTGTAGTTCTTGACTGCTATCTCTAGAGCAATCCAAAGAAGTCACAGGAACTTTGATTTGAACCAGTCCGTATGGCAACCTGTCTGGAAGAGAGATGTTCACCACTTCCATGTTGAGCCTAGAGAGGAACGGAGCATTTCTGTCGGATCCGGAGGTGCTGTTACACACAATCTCGTACCAGCCGTTGAGATAGCAGTCCTTCCCGCCGATTCCGAAAGGGAACGGGATCGAGATTCCTCCGCAGGTTCTGTTACAAGAAGTTGAAGAAGTGTTATTTGGAGGTGTTGCTGCTGATGAGCCATACATGAGCAGAGTTAGGACAGACGCTATAATACAGAGGAAGTTGTAAGTCTGTGTATCCATAACTCTGTTTTTCTTTTCTGATCAATCTGCTCTTTTAGATGAAAACTTGAGTACTTGTCTGACTTTATCAAAAGGTCAACGAGAAGTGTAGAAAGAAGCGTGAAACAAGTTACAAAGCATTGAAAAAGCTATTAAAAATTGAAACTCTACGCACTGAGGGGTTTTGTTTTAAATTAATGAATGGACGTTTAGACTATAAAAATCCAATCTTTTTGTTATGCTGACCATTTGAAAGTAGACCAAAAGTGAAAGTAAAACCAGAATCATTCTCTGGTGATGATTTCTTTCATCACGAAAATCTCTTAACAGGAAGTATCCTGGATCCATGTACCGAAAAGTGCCTGCAACTAATGTTGTCAGGTGAGTTTGATCTATGGTTATTGATCGTGACGTTTCGAAATCAGATACTTTGGCTCTGTATTTCTCAGATACTTTGGCTTTGATCTATGGTATCTTCAGGTGATGAACGGATCCTCTCCAACTCAATTGAAACCTCTCTCATGTTTGGCCGCTTCCTCCCTTTCCTGCGTAGACACCTTCGAGCGAGTTTTGCAACTGCCATCACTTGGTCTAGGTTGCTTTCCACTTTGATTCGATCATCAATGATGTCAATCACTCTGTTTTCTTTCATGGCCTCGATGAAATGAGTTGCCAAGCCTCTGCCTTCTTCAGACAGGACACGAGACAGTGGTTTTTCTCCGGTTATGAGCTCCACCAAGACAACCCCGAAACTGTAAACATCACTCTTGTCAGTGTATTGGCTTGACAGGAAGTATTCTGGATCCATGTACCCAAAAGTGCCTGCAACTAGTGTTGTCAAGTGAGTTTGATCAATGGTTACTGATCTTGAAGTTCCGAAATCAGACACCTTGGCTCTGTATTTCTCGTCCAGTAGTATATTGGTAGTCTTGATATCTCTGTGGTATATTGGAAACGATGCAGCTGAGTGCATGTATGAAAGTGCACCTGCGATCTCTATGGCTATACGAAGACGCACGTCCCAAGTCATCGTGTAATCATCAGATTCATCATGTAGACGCTTGAACAAATCTCCATTGGGAATATACTCGTAAACCAAGATTGGAACTTCTGTCTCCAAGCAACATCCCAAGAGTTTCACAATGTTCCTGTGGTTAATCTGTGAGAGCAGTGCGACTTCATTGATGAACTCTTCCATCTTGTCTTCATCAACAAGTTTGGATCTTTTGACCGCAACGATTCTTCCATCTACCAGCATTCCCTTGTACACGGTTCCCTGACCTCCTTGCCCAAGAACTCTGTTCATGCTGAAGTTATCGGTAGCCTTCTTCAACTCTTTTGAGCTGAATATCCTCGACATCTCTACATTTCCGTTCATGGTTGTAGTAAGTTGTTGTTTCAACAACAAGCCTCCATTACGTTTGAAGAAGTTCTTGCTGCGGATAATCCTCCTTCGCTTCTTAACAAGTTTGTAGAGGCCCAAGATTCCGACGACGGAAACAAGTGCTCCTAGACCTATAAGAACGCCTACACCAACATTGAGTAAAGCTACGTTTCTCTTCTTGTCGTGTAGTCTCGTTGATGCAAAATGCTACTTTCAACTCACCTTGAAGCACAGAGGCTTTTTCCGGCTTGGATATCTTGGGCTCGCAGCTATATGTTCCAAGCCCGTTCACACAAGTCCTTTCTCCACAATTGTTGTGTCCTTTACATTCATCTATGTCTACACACATTTTTGAAATCATAGCTATTGATGACTTGATCGATGAAAAGCAGTAAAACTAAAGAAGAAGAAACAATCACTTACCTATGCAGCCATGTGGAAGGTATGGGTTCCCTGTGTAGCCATTGTTGCAATAGCAGTTCCTATAACTCATGCCAGTGAAGTACTGATACTCGCAACTGCATTTATCAAAGGAGGTGTAGGAACTGTAACGGGTCATATTTCTACAACCTAAGGGGCTCCTAAAGTGAGAATCCGAGGTATCAAAGTACCATCCTAGCTCTACTAACGCATAACCCTTAGAATGAAACTGTTCTGGCTCCGTAACATTCGACGGCGAATACCTCTTGTTAGTCAAGAAGGCAACTCTGCACCCTTCTCCTCTTGTGACATTAGAGTTCTCTACATTGACACCTATAACCTGAGGACGCTCCAACGGTATCCTCGCCTGGCAGCATTTGTAACCATCACAGTTCGAGTTTGGTACTTGTTGACTACTTTTACTGTCTTGGCAGCTCGATTCACAACCTAAGATCTCTGACTCGATATCTGTCAGCAACGCCTTGGTACCGCAACCAATCGCCACAAGCCGGTTCTCGTCTGTGAGAAAATATGGACTGCCTCTGCCCGTGACGTTCAAATCCGGCGATGATTTTTCCGGTCCTTGACCAGAGCAACCCAAGGAAGTCACTGGACCTTTGATGTGAACCACTCCGTATGGTTTATTACCATCTGGAAGAGAGATGTTCACCACTTCCCTATTGATCCGTGAGAGAAACGGAACAGTTGTTCTGGAAGTGGTGGTGGTGGTGCAGACAACCTCGTACCAGACGTTGAGATAACAATCCTTCCCGATTCCGAACGGGAACGGAATTGGGACTCCTCCACATGCTCTGTTGCAAGAAGTTGAAGAATTACCATCTGGAGCCAATGAGCCATTGATGAGCGGCAGAGTTAGGGCAGACACTACAATACATAAGAAGGTGTGAGGCTCTGTCTTCATACTTGTGCTTCCTCAGTCCCAGTCGGTCTGTTTAAATGTGAATAAGGAAAAATGTCCAGTGACGCGTTCAAAGAAGTTTGGATATAGACGCGTGAAGTTTATTCATCGAACTTTATTATAAAGAAAACTAAAAGTGTTTTCTTTTCTGCTTACCATTCACCTTTGGACACTTCTGTTTCAATTATTTTCTTTCTGCTTACCATTCACCGAGCAGTGTTTTGAAATTCGACGGAACCGGCCGATTAATCGATTTTGATAGTAACCCAAATAAACAGCACGCAGTTCGTTCTTAAAACGTGACGTTATTTTGAAAGTAATTGTAAGCATACAAGAACCAAAAGATCTATTTTGACACATCAAGTACTATTCACAGACATCCCAAGCATACAAGCCCGTCTAGCTCAGTTGGTAGAGCGCAAGGCTCTTAACCTTGTGGTCGTGGGTTCGAGCCCCACGGTGGGCGAATATTTTATTGGTTTATTTTTTTAACAACATAATTACTTATGGAATCGAATATTTTATTGGTTTATTTTTTTTAACAACATAATTATGCCATCAAAGCTGAAATATCACAAGCTTTTGCCACAACCCATAAATCGAATGGGAAAATAAAAACATAAGTACATGTGAAAACGTCTGAGCCAGCGATAACCAAGGTAATAGTTGGTCTCCACTACTCACAATGTTCGATAAGACGATGATGTGAAGGTAACGTCGGAGGAAGAATCATTAAAAAGACCGCTCCATGAATCAGTGAAATTGATCTCTATGGTGTCATTATTATCTTCCACGTTTTGAATATGGACCTGTGAACCTCTGATCCTCTCCAATTCCATTGTCACTTCTCTCATATTTGGCCGTTTCTTCCCGTTCAAGTTCAAACACCTCCTCGCGAGGTTTGCCACCGCCGTGACTTGTTCCATGTTGCAACTGTCTTTGATTCGAGCATCGATGATGTCAGAGACCCTAGACTCTTTCATTGCAAGAATGAAATAAGTTGCTAAAGTTCTGTTTTCTTCAGACCTCACAAAAGAAATCGGTTTCTCTCCAGTGATTAGCTCCACAAGCACGACTCCGAAGCTATAAACGTCGCTCTTGTCCGTAAATTGGCTTGACTGGAAATACTCTGGATCCATATACCCGACAGTACCTGCAACCACGGTCGTGAGATGTGTATGATCTATGGTCACCGATCTTGAAGTTCCGAAATCAGACACTTTGGCTCGGTATTTCTCGTCCAGCATTATGTTTGTAGTCTTGATGTCTCTGTGATAAATCGGAAACGAAGCAGCTGAGTGTAGGTACGAAAGTGCTCCCGCGATATCTACAGAAATCCTCAAACGCATTTCCCAAGTAGCCATTGTGTAATCCTCAGATTCATCATCTTGATGAAGATGCTCGAAGAGGTTTCCATTGGGAATAAACTCGTACACCAGAACAGGAACCTCTGTTTCGAGGCAACATCCCAAGAGCTTCACGATGTTTCTATGGTTGATCTGCGAAAGAATCACCACCTCATTAATGAACTCTTCGAGCTTGTCCTCGTCCACGGCTTTGGATTTTTTCACTGCCACTATTCTCCCATCAACGAGCATCCCCTTGTAAACAGTTCCTTGACCGCCCTGTCCAAGCACTCTGTTTATGCTGAACTTTTCAGTGGCTTTCTCCAACTCTTTTGAGCTGAACACTCTCGTCTTCTCGATGCTTCCTTCATCCGAAGTCAGCTGCGGTTGCAGCAACATTCCTCCGTTTCGCTTGAAGAACTTCTTCTTCCGTTTTATCTCCCTTTGCTTTCTGATAAACTTATACAACCACCATGCTCCAATGCCAATAACCAACACCCCAAAGCCTAGACAAATACCTGTACGTACATCACCCCAAAAAAAAAAACATACTCAATCCTCTTTCTTACGTTTTCTCATCGTATATAAAACATGACTTATTGCATAGCCCAATGATCGGTAGCTTACCTAAAACGATGGCCAGAGTTTTGCTTTTGATGCGTTCACAACGATGGTTTCCTTGGATATTTACACAATTCTCCCCTTTCCCACAACGGTTGCGCCCTTCAGCTTTGGCTTCCTCACACTCATCAATATCTACATAAAAAGAATAATGCATCAAATGATGGATCCTGCAGAAACTATCCCAAAGCGATACCAAAGACAGTGAGTTTACCTGTACATCCGATCGATAGATATGGGTTGCCTCTGTAACCAGAGTTACACCTACAGCTTCTATACCTACGCTCCAAATAATTACCATATTTGCAAATGCAAGCTTCATAGTTACTGTAACTCCAATCGCTTTCACCCTCGAAAATTGAATAACAACCCCTGGAATCAACGGACATATTGTGTGCCATATCTGTGAACCATCCTAAATCCACCGTCGCATATCCCTCGCCGTAAAGCAACTCCGGCTCTGTTATATTTGAAGGGGAATATGCCTCGTCTGTCAAGAAAGCAACTCTGCATCCAGCTGTCGTCGTCGCGTTGCCGTCAAGGCTCTCTATTTTTATGCCAAACTGTTGCAAACGGTCAGACCGTATCTTCGCTTGGCAACATCTGTAGCCGTCGCAGCTTGTGTTCTGTCCTATCCGGCCAGACCCCACGTCGCATGTAGACTCGCATCCTCCAATCTGCGGCCTGACATCCGTCATCACGGCCTTGTTGTTGCAACCAACTGCGACCAGAGTATTGCGGGCGGTGAGGAAAAATGGGCTTCCTGTCATATTCAAAGCCAAGCTGAGCTCTTCTTTATTAGAACAGCCCAGTGAAGTTATCGGATTCTTGATTCGGATGTACCCAAAGGTATCACCACGGGGATCAGGGAGAGAGATATTCACCACCTCTCTGTTGATACTAGAAAGAAACGCGACAGGGTTCCCGGAAGAGCTGTTACAGATTACTTCATACCACTTGTTGCCGTTGAGATGGCAATCTTTACCGATTCCAAAGGGATAAGGAATCGGTAATACCCCGCAATGGCTTTGACAAGACGAGCGATCTTGAGCCGTTGCTGCAATTGAGCCGTGGATCAGCAGAACCACAAGAGAGAGCAGGTTACATATGGAAGAGCTCTCTCTGCTCATTATGCTCTGTTTTTATTTTCTTTTAGAATAATCTCCTAAGTAAAACCCTGTGTTATATAATAACTAATCCAAGTTGCCTATTTTGACCAACTTGGCTGCAACACCGTACATTTTCAAACAAGATTGATGATTACAGAAAGTCTTAACAGGTCTCTATCATAATTTGTTGGTTCTTGAAGAGTCTAGTCTTCCCTTTTACAATCATAAAGTACAGAAAATTATGAAAACAACCATCGATGGGACAGGAAGCATAAGTTTCAAGAGGTGGAAAAGTCTAAAGTCTAAACTTTCTACAAAGGGTAAATAATTTGTTAGGCAAATTCAACTTTATTTGACATTTCATGCGTGTACACAGGTTACAGTAGTTTCAAATCATCTGCTTAGAATATGTAAGAACAATGCTTAAACCCATATACTCACAATTTGCACAGATCGAGACTCTATATCACTTTAAGCTCTCTCAGCCATTCGGTGTGGAGGGGACACGGATCAGATTTCCCTTCTGCAATCGCTTTCTCTGAGAGCGAATAAAACCAACCATTCCTCCATTTAAACTGCAGTCATGAGTAATAAGAAAACTAGTTGAGACAGAGACACTGGTGTACATGCATTGAAAGAGAGAGAGAGATCAAGGATGGTAAGAGTATATATGTACTTCTTTAACGGCGGTCGGGAAATGAGCAACAGCTCGGGAATAAGCACATAGCCTCTCCACCATGTTCTCTTCAAAGGTTAGTCCTTTTTCTGCAGCAGCAGCAGCTGCGAGTTCTTGGATGAGTCTCGACACCTGAATGTGTAATTAATTAGAAGTTAGAACTAAAACAACGATATTGAATGCTAAAAAAAACGAAACGAGGAATAGAAGTTTTTGTACTTCATCTCTGTATTCTTTCTCCACCATGCCCACACTTGCACCCGGATGACGAGCTCCAACAAGCATAAATGCACAAATCCAAATGAGTTTCTCCAGCATTTGCTTCTGAAAAGCTTCTTTGTCAAGTACCTAACCATGGAAACACCGAGAAATGAACACATTTAGTATTGTTCGTGCAGTTCCTGTTTTTCCATCATAGAACAAAAGATTTGCTTCTTAAAACCTTGCAAGAGAGGCCACCAGATTGCAATCTTGCAGCTACCTCTGAAGCCCATTTTCCATAAGCAGCGGTTAGACCTTCTGGGTCAGTGTCAGTCTTTCCATCCACTGGAGGCTCGCCGAGCTTTGATACAGCAAAATAGGCCAACACTTGATCTGTATCACCCAAACCTTTGCTTTCAAACCAAGGCTCCATCATTCCATTTTGGAAGAACACCAAATCTGGATAATTACACACAGCATTATTAATATACCAGTCACTGAGTGAAGAAAACATAATCATATTTTCCACGTATCCGATCAAATCTGATAAATGTGAAAACGGACGCTGCCAATATCAAACCCACAACACATCTGACAAATTTGATTCATTCAGGATTCTTAAGCAGAGAGAAAGTTTCTACCTTTCCATCTAGACTGAGGAGTAGCTTCAAGAACAGCATCGAGATCATCATTTCTAGTACACACCAAAATGGGTCCGTTAAAATCAACCGGAACTGCTTCTCCTCTCTTCACCAAAAAATCATCGCCACTACCCATTTCCTGTAACGCCCTTCCGACTCTTCCGCCACCCACAATCACAGCAGGAGCCACCTTTTTAGCGGTGGAAGCTGAAGCGGCCATGGCCATTGGCACGGCGAGTCTCGCGCTTGGAACTAAAGGTTTAAGAGATTCAAAGCGTCGAAGGAGAGAGAAACGAGCAGAAGGGGAGCAGGAGACAGCAAACAGAGTGCTGCTGGCTTTAGCCATTGACAATGATAATGGGCTTCGACGATGTTCTGTGGCCCTCTCATGGTTTGGACTATTTCGTAAACAGTGATGGTTTATTAGCCACTCGATGGTTTGAGGCTCTTAGCTTATCGGCTTTGGATGACTCACGAAGATAAAACGGCATAACGTTGAACCTCGTAAAGGCAAAACGGTAGGTAGTTCACACTTTTGAGTATTTCAAACACAGTTCCCGCGCTAAGCCTCAAGCTCCCTCAATCCCAAACCTTCAGTTTCCCGACAAAGGAAAACGACAAGATCAAATCCCACTACTGTTACAGTGTTACTGACCGTTTGGGTCCATGGGAAATAGAAAAAGGGGAAAAATAAAACACAGACTTCTAAAAGGACTTCTTCTTGTAGAGACAAGAAAAGAAAGTGCCTCATTGTCTTTGGTTTTGTGCTCGCACAATCCCCAATGACTATTCAAATTCAAATGGAAACATTGTGCAACTTTTTAAAACGTTTCTCTATTCCCATTTTTTCCCAGGTCAAACCTAACCCACCCCATTTGTCAACACCTATATCTGGATTTACATCTTTTAAAAACCCATAGAGATATAAATAATCTCTTCCCCCAGAAAGCTCATAACTTGATAGCAACCCAGAAGGGGAAAAACATGGCTGCTTCGAGAAAAGAGAATGATCTGTTGGATGGAAATAAAGAACACGTGGACACAGACTCAGGTTCTGTTGCTGCTGTTAAGAAAGGAGAGGATAAGGAGAATGTCTCGCCTGTGAACAGCTCTGCTTCTGTGGAAACTCGGAAGCAAGATCGAGCTTTGAAGTCTCAATCGATGAAGGGCAATTCTGGGTTTCCCACTGAGGTTACAAATTTCAAGTCTTTCTCGACGGGTGGTCGAACGGCTCTGAAGCAGACATCGCTGCAAGTGTGTATGCAGATGAACAGTGAGGTCGATAAGGGTAGTTTCGGTATGAAAACTTGGACTAGTGTTGATTCCGAGCATTCGAGTTCGTTGAAAGTGTGGGAGTTCTCGGATTCCGAAGCTGCCCCTGCTTCTTCTTGGTCTACTTTGCCCAATAGGTAAAAAAAACACACCCGATTACCAAAATTCTTTTGCTTTTTTTCTTCTTGTCCTAAACATGTCTGAAATTATATATACAACTTGTTAAACAGGGCTTTGTTGTGCAAGACACTACCTTTGGATGTGGGTAGATGCACTTGTCTGATTGTAAAAGAACAATCACCAGAGGGCTTACGCGACGGATCTGTATATTCACTTTATACACATGTAAGTATACAGATATCTGATTCACTGTGAGAATTGAGATGCAGTGATGTTAATGTTTCTGATGATAGCTGACAAGTTGTTGGATGATATATCTCAGGAAGGTCGGGGGAGAAAAGACCGGAAGCTAGCAGTGGCTTACCATAGGCGGCGTAACGGGAAGTCTGTGTTTAGAGTGGCACAGAATGTTAAGGGATTATTGTGCAGTTCGGATGAAAGTTATGTCGGTTCTATGACGGCTAATCTCATGGGTTCAAAGTACTACATATGGGATAAGGTTCTTTGTTCACCTTAGCATCACTCAAATCTGATATATTCTCCGTTGGTTCTGCTCAAAGGTTCAGAATTCAAGCTGAATGTTTTTTTTTTTGGTTTTGATTCCATTGCAGGGAGTTCGAGTTGGTTCTGTAGGTAAATTGGTGAAGCAGCTTCTTTCGGTTGTAATGTAAGCTTTTGAGGAATTTTTGAAATTTGACTCTCGGTTAATATTTGGTCTGCTAATGTCTCTCTGTTGGTTTCTGCAGATTCTCCCCCACCATAGCAACTTGGACAGGGAGTTACAGAAGAATGAGAGCTTTACTACCGAAGCAGCAGCCAATGCAGAAGAACAACAATAATAAGCAGGTATATATGCCTAATCTTGAAACTTGTTTACACATTCCGAAAACATAAAAACCACTAATATACATTTATCTGTCTTTTTAGGTTCACCAAGTTAGTAAACTACCGCTTGACTGGACTGAGAATAAGGAAAAAGTTCAGAAGCTAAGCTCAAGGATACCACATTACAACAAAGTAAGTCTCGTAGGGGCTTCATTTGGTATCATCGTTGATTTACTGAAACTTTTATTCATTATGTCTTCCCCTTTCTTTAGATCACCAAGCAGCATGAATTAGATTTCAGAGACAGAGGAAGAACAGGACTGAGAATACAAAGCTCAGTGAAGAACTTTCAGCTAACACTCACGGTGCATTTCCAAAACTTTTTTTTAGCTTTAATCAAAAATACAATCTCCAAAACCCTAAAGACTTTGTATTATTTGGCATAAACAGGAGAACTCCAGACAGACGATTCTTCAGATGGGAAGAGTGGACAGAACAAAATATGTAATTGATTTTAGGTACTAACTCAAACCAGAATGGGATTACAAATGATCGTACTTTAATCTTGGAATTAAAATTTTAGAGATTAAAGATTTGGTTCATCATCTGATAACATTTTGTTTATATGTTTGCAGGTATCCATTCTCAGGCTACCAAGCATTCTGCATTTGCTTGGCTTCAATTGATTCCAAGCTTTGTTGTACTGTTTGATCAATATATGTTGGAGAGTTCAATCTCTAAACATCCCTCCAACGATAATTATCTGTGTTCCTTGCTCTTTCTGCATAATCAAATTTCTCTATTTGAGTTGACAAACAACTACCTCAATGCCTCTGAAATCAGATTCACTCCGAATGAAACTGAAACTGGAAAAGTGTTCAAAGATTCAAACTTTATTATATAAGATTGTCACAACAAAGAATAATCGTTGTGTCAATGGTGATTCACAACCGAGATTCTGAATAACTAAAAACAAAACTTATCATATCCCTTTTTTTTTTTAATCTTCCCAGAATTTCAATATCTCTGGAACAAAAATACTTTTAGCAATCATTTAGCTCGCTGTAGAAATCTGGCGTAAGGAAAGAATCTAAATCACCGAAGATAACGTCTTCCTCCGTCGTGAACTTGCCGGAGTCTTGATACCCGAAATACGTCTGGATATCGTCCGGAAAACTCCGGCGAGGCGGAACAATCTCCGGCGGCGTCGACGGTCCGATTACCTCCTCTGCATTCGAAGGTGACGACTTTAAGAACTTTATTTTCCGATCATCGTTGTCGTCTGACGAAGATTGGCCCTGTGATAATTCCGACTCGAGACTAGGATTTATAAAAGGGCTGGGAACAGAGTGCGGAATCTCCGGGATATGATTCGCGGCGTCGATAGAGTTTCCCGGCGCCGGCAATTTAAGATAACGGCTGATATCGAAGTTAGTAACGGCGTTAAGTCCACGGTACTCGATTGCTGCGACATCATACGCTATGGCCGCTTCTTCTTGCGTAGCTACAACACCGAAAAAGAATAATGGGTGTAAAATGCAGCAAATAAAACTGTTGTGGATTTTAACACAGTTTAGGAAACTTATTTTTTCGTCCTTGTATATTTATGAATTACTAAATTGTACCACATTTTTGACATCCACAAGGAAGGACCTCAACCTATTACCGTATTACGTAATTATTTGCCTGGTACGTAACATTATGCTACAGAGCCTACAAAACTACAAGTCAATTTAAAATGTACTTTAGCGTTGAATTATTTTTCAACTAATGTACTTTTCCCGTTAATGTAGGACCATATAATATATAACGAATTAAATTGGCCAGTAAAATTGGATGAGCAACTTATACAATAAATATTTGTGTATAAACATAAGAAAAAATATATATATATAAAAGATTAAAGGCTAGACTAAAGTGGTTGGGTTTGGTGATCTATTTCCCAACCAACTCAAGATCTGATTACGTGCATATCAATATATCAACCCCTCTTAAAAGATTTATAAGTCGAAAAGTTATAGTTTTACGAAGACAGAAATCACATATCGTATGTGTATAATATTTTTTGTGTATAACAGTTACACCATCAAATTTATAACTTACTGTATTATGTATATACTCATAGCAATTCTTGGGAAATTGCATGAAGATGTAGTCTTTTTATTGCATCAACTAACGCTATAAATTTTAAAAGAGTTCAAAAAGGGTGTTACCATAAGTTCCGAGATATAAATACTTATTGCCAAACACTCTTCCAATTCGAGCTTCCCATCTCCCATTATGATGATGCCTGCAAGTCCATAATACATACATATCAACATTTGAAATTAGTATACTGAGATTGTTATTTTGTTCTTACATATTCCTTAGCAAAATATATATATTTTTGAAGGATTTCGGTTTACTTTGCAACGCCTCTGTATTTCGATACACCACGTGAAAACCCACTACTTTTCCTGTTAAAAAATGTAAACCCCAAAATTTAATTGATCAACTCTTAATCTGATAAATATATAATCACCAATTATTAATGAAAAACAGTATCTGATTTAATAATTACCTTCTCAAAGATCCGATATACTCTTCCTTCGACTGGATTTCCATTTCTTTGATGTCTTCTTCATAATTGCACAGCTATTAATCACACCCAAAAATATTAATAATTAGAAAACCCCAAAAGAAAATTATGGTTGTAAACAGGTTCTTCGTCTTTCTTTCGTTTTCTGTTTATAAAAACACGTAGGCAAGAAAGACTGTGAAGTAACCATGATCATGTGGAAAGTAACTCTTTTGTAATTAATTTAAAAGTTTGTATTATAATTTGGATTCCGAGAAAATTTACAGGGAAATTCAAGATGGTGTCTCGTCCCCAATATTTCAATGCTGCTAAGTCGTAGGCACGTGCTGCTGCATCTTCCTCGTCATATGCTCCTGTCCATACCATATTTAATAAAAACATTAGTCTTGAGTTTTATCACATACGTACTGCGTAGATTGTAAATGCAAAGGTGAGATATAAACGAAATAAAACAATAAGATTTTTGCGGTTCACATTTAATTTTGGTTTTTTCTTGGGGTGTAAATTCACATTTGATTTTTTGATGTAAGCACATTATACAAAACGATAAACCCAGCTGAATTTTTATGAATATATCATTCGTTTGTTTTGTCACTCTCTATAGATCACTTTTTTTTTGAAACGCCAACATATCCGCCACTTTCTGAAGAACTGAGAAATAACATTTTTTTTTCAAATAATAAATAATAATTGTCATTGCTATAAAGTGTTTTATCACACTACCAATCCGGGAGAGCAAAAAGAAAACGCCATATGGAAAATGACCAAAACAAACTCACCTAAATATACTGCACGTGATGAGTCAGCCAATATTCCCGGTCAGCAACGTCAGAGAAAAAAAAAGAAAAAAGAAAACATATTAACAAAATTAATTTCAAAAAGATTAAACTAATTTCAAATCAAGAACAGTAACGACGAACTCATTCTCCGGAGAAATCGGAAGAAATAATATCTAAACGAATATGTTTATTTCATAGAGATATATGTCTATGTATTAGACTGACCTTGTCTTCCTTTCTTGGTCTGAGTCTCGTTCCAACTGTTCTTGTCCCACAAATGCGCTTCGTACCTTCCAGTCCATCTATGCCTAATCCAAATTTAAATCAGAACATTTTGTATATAAACAATTTTAGTGAAGTTTTGAGAGTATTTTGTATTGAGATGATGAGAGAGTTTGTGATGGAAAAGGATTTAATATGTCTCCGGTCTCCCACAAACCTGGTGACGCCTCTATACACGGAGCTGCGTTGTGGAGGAGCGTCTCGGGGTTGCGATCGGCGTTTACGTTTAGCTTTGAGAACTATTGATGCTGACTCATCTCCGGTTTCATTCTCAACGGAAGTTGTCTTGCTCCGCCGTGACTTTTCTTCCATTACCGGAGAGCCTTCGACTGCGATGTACATAAAGAAGAAGAAGAAGAATACAGAGGAGAAATTGATGAAATGGACTTTTTTTTAAGGAGACTATAAAGGGAAATGGTTGAGTATTTAAATTATAAAATTCCCGTTTATTTTTGTTTTAACCTTTTTTTTTAATTGTTATTGCTTTAAAATGTTTTCTTAGCTATACGGCCCTCTTTGTACTTGTGCAATTAGTTTTCTGATTAATTAAATTCCTAATCATAATCAAAACCATTTGTACCTGATTTTATTAGCAAATTCAAAAACAAAATCTACCGTTTTATAAATCTTTAATTCAGAACAAATAAGGAATGGACATGTGGAGGTTTAGATCCGCTTAGCCAAAAATCTTGGAGAAAGTAGGCAAACAAAATCGGAGCTCCATAATTTCTCCACTTCTTGGTTGATCTACTTTTTGGTCGGGCCGTGAAAGATATATGCAATGCTAAAAAACAATTTTATTAATTATTATATACTAGAGGTAATCTAACTAATTTATATTCAGTTATATATGTTGATATGCCCTTCCAATAATTTTAGCGATCGTTTTGATCTAAAAGCACATTTATAAGTGAGAATAATCACAATAACCGTGGAAAGTTTCTAACACCAAATCTCCAATGGTATTGACAAAACATGCATACTTTAGATCGACGTATGCTTAACCAAATAAGGTAGCTAATGTGTAAGTTTAAACTACTCTAATCCTCCAAATTGTATGAATCAAGAGGCTCTAGTCTTGTGTTTTCCTTTCATGTATAACAATAAAATAGTACATTTTAAAATGTTAAATAAAAAAAGACATGTATGAGTTAATTTTAACATAAGCAAAATTGTACATTGCACGTTATGTATATGAAATTATACAGTCTTCTCTCATAGTTCCATATTTTGCCTAATCGTCGTCTGTTTTCAATAATCGAAAATATACAGATGTAATGACTCTCTTAATTTTGTTTATGTTAAAAATTAACTCATACAGATATAGATAATTTTTTTAAATAAATAATATGAAATATGAAAATAATAGTGTAAGATATGTTATTCTTTCCATGCGTATTATAGACTTATACTATTATACAAGTCATCACGAAATACAATTTTCACGTTTCATAAAAAGTAAAGACATTGTTTTGTTAATGTTAACAAGTTGTGTAATATATAATATGTACCTGCCCCTTAATGAGATGGTGGCTGAATGTCAACAATTATAGTAAAATTTGTCAACAAGAGTCCAATCTAAAAACGATCCACCACAAGATATTTTGCGTGTTAAGTCATGCAGTTAGTTAGCAGCTTAAGATATACACTTGACATTATTATCTGTACTTGATGAAATTATGGATTGACAAGACTAGTTTGCGTACCAAAATTACGATCAAGTAATAAGTGAAATCACTATCTTAACTATCATCAAAACTACAATGATCTGACACATTCAACAAATGTATCTCAGAAATTTAACAAAACTTGTAATTGTTAATAAAGAAAAGAAGAAACAAAAGAGGGAGAGAGAGAAAACGATGCGTGAGAAATAAATGAGGAATGCAGGCAAATGGTCACCACCGTTTTCGGGTATGCCATCTTTTTACGGCGTTTTACCATATGTTTCACTTCGCCGCATTGAACAATTCACGTGAGAGGGAGACCCAACTGTGACCCTGTCAGCCAATAACCGCCAGCCACGTCATCCGACAGAGTTTGTCCTCCATGATGGATGTAGTGTACAGTCAACACTGTGATTTTGTGTATATTTTTTTTTTCTTTTAAGTAGGAAAAAACTAGATTGAAGAAAGGAGACACTAGATTCTACGGCCGTAATGTGAAATTTTGCAGTGACATAGAAATGCGTATAACAAACAAAAATCGATCTACGGCTTGGATCAATCGAATGATGTCGTTTGATTTAGAAATTCATGATATTTCTTTTTAAGAAACTCTTATACCAGTGGAAATAATTAACCCCTAAGTAATGTCCATCAATTCGATTTAACTATAGTGTTTTGAACCGCAAGGCGCGTAGACTACAAATATTAACCATAGTAGCCTAGCCCAATATCCACAAGATTTTTAGTGAGCCCAACAAACTCATTACTACTGTATATTGGTTCTGAGTCTTCTGACCTTATCCTAATTTCCTTAAGAACAGTGAAAATAATTTACAAGAAACCCAAGAGTATTCTTGGTGACGATACATTTGCAATCTCTCAAAGTCAAGTCTGTGATCGTTGGCTTTATAATTTTGCAATTCTTGAACACTTTGATTCTATGTGGGAAATTTGAAAATAAAAACTTTTTGTTCAAGCTAACAAAAACTCTGCCCTATTGTCCTCTCTCAATCTAGCAATCAAGTCAAAAGTCAAAACAAAATGGAACTCATTCTGCAGATGCAGACACCAACAATCTACAGTATTCTATGCTAGCTTCAAATTCTTGTGTTTCCTGCGAAAAAACATCAAACTCAAGGAGACGATTAGTCCAACTACGTAGCCTCCTATAGCTCCATAACACACACATATAGGCCACTCCTGTTTAGAAGAATATTATAAGGATTAGTTAGACATTACATATACTCAACCACCATGAGCGTGAACAAGAACCAATCTGTTGGATTAATAAATTATTACCTGCCATGGCCTCTCCCAGTCGAGTGGCATAGGCCAGGCTCCAAACCATCCTCCAATAATTGCTCCATATGCTGGAACCAAGATCATATATTCTGTATTTCCACTTGTTCTAACAGAAACAAAGAGATGGATTAACAACAGAAACTGTGTGATTATATCATATAATGTAAAACATATAACTTACTTCATCGAAGCGAATACACGATGCCAATCTGTCCATGATGCACCAAAAACTGCAGTTGCTGGTACGAACTATGAAATTCAAAATTACTAGAGACAATCAAAGGTTTGTTCCTGACTGTAGAGTATCAACATCGTTAAATCTTTTTAAGTCATAGGAACTGCCTTCAGCAGGAGACAGCTTACCGTGAAAACAGACATTAGAAAGGACCAGTGAATTGTTTTAGGTAGATATCTGCATGAGATGAGAGGTAATGCTCATGTTAGCATTTGAAAATCATGCAATCTCCATCCAGAAGGGTGATCACAATCAAATATTAAGGAGCCTTAGTTGTATAATCTGGGACAAACAATATTTCCACACAAAAAATTGAAGAAACAGAAGAGTTGTGGAGAAACAAGAAACATACTGCATTCCAATAGGTGCACCCAAAGCGACTGCTCCCAGAGTATTCATAAAAGCCCCTATTAATCAAACATAACAAAGGCTTAGAAAACTCACAATCAAGGGATACTGCAACCACCAAACAAAGCAGATCACGATCCTTTGACTATTAATATGAGCTTAATACATATTGCTGAACATTTACATGGTCAGATACAGCTAAACAGCTTAAATTTACAAGTGAAGCAATTGACACTATTTCTGTTCTTGTGCTGCACAGGAATGAAGAAGTACCAACTATAATAAGTTGAAAAGTCAAAAGATAACTAACCGGAAATTAGTCCTAATATGCTTCGCCCAAGAGCTCTAAAATACTGGAAACCAATTAGGAAACCATTTAGAGAGAGTTAACCACAATAAACTACACGCATTGTGCCATTTCTTCTCTGTGTAAAGCAAAATACTTCTTCAGCTTCTGTAATTTCAGAGTGTGACATTGAAGCAAAGGAAACAATTTGTAGTAAAACTGCAAATTTGCGTGCTTGGTTACTTTTTACCGATTCATAGATAAGCAAAGCAGAAAGCAAAACGAGAAAAGCCAGCATCTTTAATCCCTTCAATTTCACAGAAACATCACAAGAAATCAGAAATGATCTACACTCACCGAACATTTCTCTGGAGTTATCCGGAAAAGGCTGTAGATGAATACCACAGCCGGAAACTCGATACTCTGAAAATTAACATTAAAACAAAGGTTATTAACTAGAACATCAACATGTAAACAATACAGAAACCAGGGAAAAACCAAAAGAAGTAGAGTAGAGTACCCAGAGGAGAAACAGAGTGAGAGATGGATCAGAGACGAGATCGACGGAAAGTTTGTTCCGGGCCACCCAGAATCCGACGGCCAGAGACAATCCAGTAATCAAATGAACAAAAGCAGCCCCCAGAGATGATATCGGAACATCGCTAGATACACCAGTGGAGCTTTCGGGCTTCTTCTTCTTCTTAGCCTCTTTCATGGCTTTCCTTTCTCTCGTCTTCGGGATCGGAACGATTGAAGAAGACGTAGAAGAAGAAATATTGGACTCCTCCATTACTGTTTTACTGTAAGTTTTGTTCTCACATTGGGCCTCTTTATTAAAATATGGGCTTACATGTAAAAATGCTTAAATGGGTCTTTACGGGCCCGAACAAACTTATTTTAGGCGATTGCTGGAATACATATCTGAAACTCCGCGCCGGCGAATCCAGAAGTCTCTGGTACTTGTGTGTCGTTTCTCCATCTTTCCACATCTCCGTGGGTTGTTCTTCCACGAGTTTTCTCTCGAAATGTCTTCTTTCTCTCACCGAATTCGTATATATAGCTGCTTCCATCGTTTCAGATTGTTCATCAAGCAGATAAACAAACAACAAACCAAAGAAATCGAAAAAATCTACCTTTGCAATCAGCGAAATCTACAGTCGAATTTCAGTCACTGAAGCTTTTTTTCCAGAAACAATGGCGACGCGATCAGAAAAGGCTATTGGTATCGACCTCGGTACTACATACAGTTGTGTCGGAGTGTGGATGAACGACCGTGTGGAGATCATCCCTAACGACCAAGGAAACCGTACGACGCCGTCGTACGTCGCCTTCACCGACACTGAACGGTTAATCGGCGACGCAGCGAAGAACCAGGTGGCGTTGAATCCTCAGAACACTGTATTCGATGCGAAACGTCTCATCGGTCGGAGATTCTCGGATCCTTCTGTCCAGAGCGATATGCGGCACTGGCCGTTCAAAGTTGTTTCCGGTCCCGGAGACAAGCCGATGATAGTCGTCTCGTACAAGAACGAAGATAAGAAGTTTTCTCCCGAGGAGATATCTTCCATGGTGCTAATCAAGATGAAGGAAGTCGCCGAGTCCTTCCTAGGCCACACCGTCAAAAACGCCGTCGTTACGGTCCCGGCATACTTCAACGACTCTCAGAGACAGGCGACGAAGGACGCCGGATCGATTTCCGGGCTCAACGTTTTGCGGATAATCAACGAGCCGACTGCTGCAGCTATCGCCTACGGTCTAGACAAAAAGGGAACGAAGGCCGGTGAGAGGAACGTTCTGATTTTCGATCTCGGCGGTGGAACATTTGATGTTTCGCTGCTGACGATTGAAGAAGGCGTCTTTGAAGTGAAAGCTACAGCCGGAGATACTCACCTCGGTGGTGAAGACTTTGACAACAGACTTGTGAACCATTTCGTTGCGGAGTTCAAGAGGAAGCATAAGAAGGATATCAGTGGGAATGCGAGGGCGCTTAGGAGGCTGAGAACAGCTTGTGAGAGAGCAAAGAGAACGCTTTCTTCCACCGCTCAGACGACTATCGAGATCGATTCTTTGCACGAGGGTGTCGATTTCTACGCGACCATCTCGCGTGCGAGGTTTGAAGAGATGAATATGGATCTGTTCAGGAAATGTATGGATCCTGTGGAGAAAGTCCTTAGAGACGCCAAGATTGACAAAAGCAGCGTGCACGAGGTGGTTCTTGTTGGGGGGTCGACGAGGATTCCGAAAATTCAGCAGCTCTTGCAAGATTTCTTCAACGGGAAGGAGTTATGCAAAAGCATAAACCCTGACGAAGCTGTTGCCTATGGAGCTGCGGTTCAGGCCGCGATTCTGACTGGTGAAGGAAGCGATAAGGTCCAGGATCTTCTGCTTCTTGACGTGGCGCCGCTAAGCCTTGGAATTGAAACAGCCGGTGGGGTGATGACTGTGTTAATACCGAGGAACACGACGGTGCCTTGTAAGAAGGAGCAAGTGTTCTCCACGTACGCGGACAACCAGCCAGGCGTTCTGATCCAAGTCTATGAAGGAGAACGTGCAAGGACCAAAGACAACAACCTTCTTGGTACATTTGAGCTCAAGGGCATTCCTCCGGCGCCACGTGGAGTTCCTCAGGTTAATGTTTGCTTTGACATTGATGCGAATGGGATCTTAAATGTGTCGGCGGAGGATAAAACCGCTGGTGTGAAGAACCAGATCACGATCACGAACGACAAAGGAAGGTTGAGTAAAGAGGAGATAGAGAAGATGGTGCAAGACGCGGAGAAGTATAAGGCTGAGGATGAGCAAGTGAAGAAGAAAGTGGAGGCCAAGAACTCTCTAGAGAACTATGCTTACAACATGAGAAACACTGTAAAGGATGAGAAACTGGCGCAGAAGCTGGATCAAGAGGATAAGCAGAAGATTGAGAAGGCAATTGACGAGACAATCGAATGGATTGAAGGAAACCAGCTGGCGGAAGTTGATGAGTTTGAGTACAAGTTGAAAGAGTTGGAGGGTATTTGCAACCCAATCATCTCGAAGATGTATCAGAGTGGTGCTGGTGCCGGAGCTCCCAATGGAGGTATGCCAACAGACAGTGGCTCCGGTGGTTCTGGAGGTCCAAAGATAGAAGAGGTCGATTAAAGCGTGTATGTATTGCAAAGACCAAGAGTGGATATGCGCCATCGATAAGTCTTTCTTCGTTTTCTCTTAAAGAGTGTCGATAGTTGTCTTGCTAGTTAAACCAATGGGAGTGTTTTAGTTTGTATGTTTTACTCATTTCAGTTGTTTCAAGTAATAAAGTGAGTTATCTGCTTTTTCTCCAAGAGTTCTTAAGTTACACTGACAGATCTCCATAAAGTTTGTCTTGAGTCTTTGTTGCATAGACACAACTTTCTTAGAACATGTTTATCAATATCCACATACACTTGTATGCCTAATATCGATGAATCTTCTTCGCTTGTTGGATTTGTTCTGTCCTGAAAAAGCAATGACAGAGAATTTTGATCTTTGAAGTGTCATAAAGAAAAGTATCTACAATCCTTCACTAGTCATTTCAGAATATATGTTCCGTCTTGGACCCACCCATATACATATATAATGATGTTTAGCTTGGGAACAGTCACCTCAAATCCACCAAAAGCTCAGATTAACAATGGAGAGTATATCTCTTGCATTGTTCATCATTCTCCTCTTCTTCCTCTGCTTCCCCTTCTCATCAGATTCCCAGAAGCTCAATCCATCAACAAGCTTACTCGGCCAAGAACAAGTCCACGGTGCTCTGTTTTAAGCATCTATTGTTTTTCCTATGTTAATGACCAGAAAGTTAAGTATACTTATCTTGTGTTTGTTCCTCCGTATGGCAGAGGTTACAAGCAAAAACATAAAAGGAGAAGATGAAGATAAAAGCATCGACATTTTCCGGTCAGGGAAAGGAGTTCATGGAGTAGCAGGCGGAAGAGGCGGAGGAGGCCGGAAAGCATCTCCAAAACGCAACGCCACCACGGATCACCGGCCACAGTTATTCTTCTCCGCCGCCTCTGTTCTCTTTACCGGCTTTATGATGTTTTCATTAACTTCTTTCCACATGTCGATAAGATTAACTTGAGTGTGTACCAAATGTTAATGGGTTAAGTAAACTTTGAATTCAATTAAATCTTATATGGAATATGAACATGGATTATGAACAGTGCCTAATTGTCCTCGAGCTGACTTTCAACTATAAACTCAGGCTACTATCTCCGCACGATAAATATGCTTTCCTCCTCGCACAAAAAAAAAACGATTTATTTTGCACCGATCGAGCTTGGAATCATTGTTACAAATCTACAGGCCAACCAAGAACAATTGTTTTCCCTTCTGCAATTTCCCCACAACAAAAAATAATGGCTGAGAGAGAAGAGAACATTACTTCTTCTGAGCGTTCTACTTCGCACTTGAAACTAGAAGAAACCTCTTCCCAAAACCAGACAAATCTTAGCCCATCAAAAACGCTCCGCTGCAATACCTGATCAGATCCCAGCACATTTTCTTTCTTTCAGAAAAGTCATTATTTGTTTCCAGGGTAAGAGCACTTTGTTCGTAAGTAGCAATTTGTTACCTATTGCTGAATGTCCCAACAGCATCCGCGGCATCAAGAAGTGTGTCGCTGGCTTTCTCCAAAGCCATGTAAAGCTCTTTACCTCTGGTCACACGAGCGATCACCCACGCGTTGTTCTTAGCTCTGATGCATATTTCCAAGTCTTTCTCCTGCCTTTTCGCACGGCTTTTTTCTACATCCACTTCTTCTCTGAGCTTGTTTAGTGCAAGTAGAGTCTCCTGCGTTTTTCGAAATTCATACACTTTTGAGTCCAAGGTAGTAGTGACTTATCTCAGCTAGTAAATCATAATGTGAAAGACGTTACCTTCGCAAGTGTTGTTACTTTTCCTGAAGGAGAAGCTCTGGAAACTTCCATATCGTTGTCAACTACCAAGTAACGGTAACCCTTAACATGGTATGCATTCTCACCACCCCACCCTCTTGAGATCTTCTCTTCAATTTTCAAAACTCTCAGTGATGCCTGGAAAAGAGATATTGCGTATATATTAGAAGACACCAGAAAAGAGAATCACCAAGAAAGATCAATGAGCGATGTGTGCTAACATCTTCAATAAATTGCTGTTTCACGGCTGAGACGCTTAAATCTCCATTGACGATGGAAGTTGTAGGCATGAGAAGAAGTAAGGTGAGACGTTTATACTGATAAGCAAGGAGATACACTCTCTCTTGTGTCTGCTGAAGCCATACTGTAGGGATGGCAGAATCAGGTGAACCGCCAGTCTCTAGGCCCCAAATATCGGTCATAAGAAAACCATCTTTCCCTTTTGTCCACTTATCATTTTGTAGTGGCCGAATAACATTATGCATGTGATTACCACCACTTCCTGAATGTAGGGAATCAAGGGGAGCCGAAGTAGATCTAGAAGAGACTTCAGATGAACCAGTCCCCTTACGTAGATATGACCAGGAACTCGCGCCAGAGGATAAAGCTTGTGAGGTCAACCTCATTACAGCAAATGTAAATAAGTTGACGGTATCATCAGCTGAGAGAGTTGTTGAAACCAACAGATCTTGAAATAAGACCATAGAGTGGCATCGTAAGTTCCCAGCACATGAATCTAGTACTTGAACAAGAGACTGTACATCCAAAAAAATGGCTCGTCAAATACCAAAATATTACGTGTGTGATAAACGTCCAATAGATTTGGAGAAACAAACCTGAACTTCAAGTGCTGTGTCTCTTGCTAAAGTAAGCATTTTAACAGTTCCACGCTCTCTCAAAGTTTCACGGAAATTTGGTAGCTGAAGCTTCTTCCCAACAAAAAGATCTGCCCGAAAGAGAAAACCTCTGCGTAAGCTACTACAAACGAACAAAGTTGAGCATAATGCGGTTTTTGCACAAATCCAAAGCAAGGCATTCGACACAGCAACTTGAGCAATTTACCACAGCAGCAGTCTTCAGAGCGAGACCGCTTTTGAAATGCTGGCAATTAGTGATATTAAATGTATTGAAGCTGGGAAACAATATAAAAATTCCATGTGCTAGATTCGGTGAGAATGGCTTACTGCTTAAATAATCCGTGATGAAAGGATACAGCTGTGATCGTGTAAGCCCTCCTGTTGGTTCTATTTCGATTAATGCTCTAATTGAACCATGAAACATCACAAAGAGCGAGTGCACTTCCTTAAGCACCCTCCTCAATGCATCAATCCTCCATATTGCTCCTGTCTCCTTATTTTTCTCCACAACCTGCCAATGTCTAGATCAGATTCTTGTTCATAGACATTCCTACTATAAATGCATCATACAACGAAAGAATATACGCTATCGCAAGTAAAAGTCAGAAGATGCCTAACCATAACCATCCAGATATCAGGTTCCGCCTCGTAGAAAACATGGGAATGTCTTTCTGCTTCTATTACCTCACAAGCTGCTTCCGGAGAGAAAAGTCTGCATTTATATTCACACAATGCCTCAAAAATATCAACCAAATCAGCAAACGAGAGAAGCAAAAATAAAAACACATCAGGCAGTAAAAAAAAGGAAGAATCTGTGAGCAGCTGACCTAGTAAAAGTAATAAGACCTTCACTGAGGCCGATAACTGATAACTGCGTCGAGAAGTCTAAGTCAGCAGGATGAAAGAACAAAATCTTGTCTAGCTCTTGTCCTTCGGTTTGGCCTCTCCTCAAATCAAACATGCAAAGCCGAAGGCTTTCATCACCCGAGCTCGTGGACGCCATTTCCTGAAGCTTCTACCAACTCATTAACGCCCTAACATATACAATTCAAGGTAGCGTCACAAATTGGTTGTTATATATGCTCGACTTCATAATCCGAACAACACATTGGTGATTCAACCACTTAGCACAACCTGCGAGAACATTCCTAACACCACGACCAACGAACCGATAATTCTAGAAGAGAAATTTTACTAATTTAAGACTCAGCAACAGAAGTGTAATAAGCGGAAAACAATGGGGGAAAATGGAAACTTTCTACCTTGGGGATGTATCCAAAGAGGAAAGTCAAATGAGTGATCAATCGTCTGGGATTGCGATAGTGCAACGATCGGAGCAAGATTCTGATAAGAAGAGAAATGAGATAACGAGATAGAGAGAAATAGATGAAGAAGATGAAGAAAGAGGAGGATGATTAAGCAGATTATAGACGCTACTCTGGACTCTCTCTATCTACAATGGCTTTTAACATAAAACGTAATTTAAAGAGATAAGAGTCCATAGGCCCAAATAGTGGCCCAACTAGGCCCAATTTTTCTAATCATTTCCATTTTCGTCCACTCTGAAGATAAGGTGGACACAGTTAACAGCCACGATAATTTCCGGAAATAATCAGATCGGATTATCAAAGATATATCTGAAACAAGTCGCCGAATGTCTCTAATCTCCATGGCTTACGTTGATCAATAAATTAAGAGAGTGTTAATGAAACCATTAATGAGAAGCATCATAATAATTTCAGAGCGGCGAATTTGAATCTAAACCAAAGTAAATTAGCAATCCGGTTAACCGCAAGAGGCACTACTTCTCGCGACTATTGAAGAGCTCTTCGCGTGTTAGTCGTGTCCATCGCTCGTTTGCTTCTTCTTCAGCCATATTTTGCAAAATAAGAAGAAGAAAAAAAACGATATTTTGACGAGCCAATCCGTGTTGAACTTCGAAAATCCCGAGAAGCCTCGATCGATCTCTGTTCGATGCTAGTTTAAGGGTTCTCCCTTTCTTTCCCTGTTGAATCTCTCTCTATCGCGTTTTCGTTGGACTCAGTTTAGCTCCGAGTGATGAAACCAATCTCCCTCACAGAGGTAAGTTCTTCTGCGGATTCAGATTCATACTGGTGGGGTTTTCTTTGTTTTCTTCGCTTAGTAAGGTTCGATATGATTCTGGGTTTGTTTGGTTTCCAATCTTCAGCTGTTCGATCCGGTGGCTGGTGTTTGTATCCCTGATACGTCTGTGTGGTTCGTACGGTTCTGAGTTTCGAAATTTCCAATTTCTTATCGGAATCTGAAACTAGTTCAACCATTTTTTCTGGTTCCGGCGTGCTTGGATAGAGTAACAACGACATCACCCTTGGTATCTCTTCTTTAGCCTAGTCTTTTTTTTTAATTTCTTTCCGTGGAATACGTTTTTAATCTGCGCCTCATAGAAAAGTATCAAGATTTAGCTTAACTAGAAAATGCAGAATCTTTTTCAGTATCATTCATTCATTCTTGACTTGTTCTTTTGATGCGTGCAGTGTTTCACCTTACTCGACATTTCAGTATCTGAATCTTTTCTTCAGTATCTGAATATGTATAAGCATCAGTGTTTCAATTCTTTATTATGATCTCTGTACTTGTTTTGGCGTTTCAGTATCTGAATATTTGCAACAATGTCTGAACTAAAAGAGCGGCTGCTTCCTCCGAGACCTGCTTCAGCTATGAATCTCAGGGATACTGCTGTGTCTCGGCCTTCTGCATCTGGAAGAACACCCCTTCTTGGAGTTGATGTCTTGGGCCTGAAGAAGCGTGGACAAGGGCTAAGGTCTTGGATTCGTGTTGATACCTCTGGCAATTCTCAGGTCATGGAGGTCGACAAGTTCACCATGATGCGTAGATGTGACTTACCCGCTCGTGATTTAAGGCTGCTTGATCCCTTATTCGTGTACCCATCAACTATCCTCGGCCGAGAAAAGGCCATTGTCGTCAACTTAGAGCAGATCCGTTGTATCATTACTGCTGATGAAGTTCTGCTCCTCAATTCCCTTGACAACTACGTTCTGAGGTATGTTGTTGAGTTGCAGGAGAGACTAAAGACAAGTGGTGTAGGTGAGCTTTGGCAACAGGAAAATGCCCAGTTGAGTAGGAGGAGGAGTAGGAGTTTTGACAATGGGTTTGAGAATTCATCCCCTGATTACTTACCTTTCGAGTTTAGAGCTCTTGAAATTGCCCTCGAAGCTGCTTGTACGTTTCTCGATTCTCAGGTTAGTAATAGACTAATAGTTCACTTCGATGTTGTGTCCGCCTCAGAAAACACAGACTAACGCTGAGCTTTAGATTTTGACTTCTAGACACTAATTTGATTGAATTTTATCCGTCTTTATAGGCTTCAGAGTTGGAGATTGAAGCATACCCGTTACTAGATGAGCTTACCTCAAAGATCAGTACACTAAACCTGGAACGTGTACGTAGACTAAAGAGCAGACTTGTGGCATTAACTAGAAGAGTTCAGAAGGTCCGTGATGAGATCGAGCAGCTCATGGATGATGATGGAGATATGGCAGAGATGTTTCTCACTGAGAAGAAGAAGAGAATGGAAGGATCTTTGTACGGTGACCAATCGTTACTGGGTTACAGATCAAATGATGGTCAGTCTGTTTCAGCTCCGGTCTCTCCTGTTTCTTCTCCACCTGATTCCCGAAGACTTGATAAAAGCTTGAGCATTGCGAGGAGCCGGCATGACAGTGCAAGGAGTTCAGAAGACGTAACAGAGAACATAGAAGAGCTAGAGATGTTGCTGGAAGCTTACTTTGTCGTCATTGATAGCACTCTAAACAAGTTGACATCGGTAACTAATGCCTCCTCTATATTCACTTTTGATATTTCATTGCTAAGCAGCTTTAATCATCCGTGTGCCTCTTTTTGCTTTACAGTTAAAGGAATACATTGATGATACTGAAGACTTCATCAACATTCAATTGGTAAGACCTCGAAACTCGACCTTTTCAATCTGGATCGTTTTGTTTCACATCTGAAGGGTAATCCAACCAGGAAACCATAAGGCTCTGCTGAGAAAGTCTTCGATTTTTGCAGGATAATGTGCGGAATCAGCTGATCCAGTTCGAGTTGCTGCTTACGACGGCAACATTCGTTGTAGCCATATTTGGGGTCGTTGCAGGGATCTTTGGGATGAACTTTGAGATAGACTTCTTCAATCAGCCAGGTGCATTCAGATGGGTGCTTGTAATTACTGGAATCTGTGGCTTTGTCATATTTGCGGCATTTGTCTGGTTCTTCAAGTATAGAAGACTCATGCCTCTATGAGGAGGAGAGAGAGGACATGAATGTGAAGTAGACACCAGCAGCTTTTCATTTCTATGTTGCTTCAACATTAATGATTTGTTTTCTTTGCAAAATGAAACATTGTCAATGCAAATGTGATAATACTTTTATCATTTTATTAGAAACGGGTAACAGAAACATATATAGTGCATCTAAAAATTCATAAAAATGACTGTGTATCTGAACCACAAAGCCAAATCCTTACCAACAATAAAGTAGGGACACGTGTCCACGCCTTCACTGCTAATTGTTGGTCATTAGTGTATAATTAAGGCCATTCAACTTGACAATGGTTCGTACCTCACCGAGCATTTACCGCCATCTATGGTATGTAGTAGGAACCTCGATTTCTTCTTCCCTCAAACCCTTAGGTTATGCAAGCTTATATATACACTTTTCGAAAATTATTATTGAAAATCGCTATAACTATTGGAAATCACGACAAATTCTGATCTTCACCGAATGCCGTTGATGCTCTCTCTTTAATTTGATGATTTGTACTCTCTAATTTTCCCCAGATTTTTATCTTATATAAATCAAGATCTGTGTGTTGATGTTAGGTTATTTTTTTGCGGGAATCTTGCTAGACACGCAGCAGGTGTATACACATGTGATTGTTTCCCAAGAAAATGTACAAATCTCAATACATAAGTGGCCAGAGAGAAAAATTTGTAAGGTAAAAAAACAAAACAAATCGCAATAGTTTTCCTTGTTTCTTCAGATCTATTTATCTTTTAATCTAATTTGAAGATTACAGGTTAGATGATATAGATTCAAGTGCTTCTACTGCTACCGGGATGATGATGAAGACAAACTGTTTCGGATTCAACCTAAAGAATCGAGGTGGAGAAAAAAAGAGGGCATCGAAATCTTTTAGGGAAGGAGTCAAAATCGGATCAGAAGGTCTAATAACGATCGGTAAATCCGTAACAAGAGCGGTTTTCCCAGAAGATCTACGAATTTCAGAGAAAAAAATCTTCGATCCTCAAGACAAAACACTTCTCATATGGAATAGAATGTTGGTCATTTCTTGTATTTTAGCTGTCTCAGTTGATCCATTGTTCTTCTATCTCCCTATTGTCGATAACTCAGGAAGCAGCTGTATTGGGATTGACACGAAACTAGCGGTTACAACAACGACTCTTAGAACGATCCTCGACGTCTTCTACTTAACTCGAATGGCTCTTCAGTTTCGTACAGCGTATATAGCTCCCTCTTCTCGTGTGTTTGGTCGCGGCGAGCTTGTGATCGATCCTGCGAAGATCGCAGAACGGTATTTGACCCGTTATTTCATTGTCGATTTTCTTGCAGTGCTTCCTTTACCGCAGGTTAATATTAAAGATTCAATACGAAGTTCCATTGTCGATTAATTTCACCATTTTCTTTAGGGGTCGATTAGTATTATGGATTTTGCAGATTGCGGTGTGGAAGTTTCTTCATGGATCTAAAGGAACAGATGTGTTACCGACGAAAACGGCATTGTTGAACATTGTAATCACGCAGTATATTCCGAGATTCGTTAGGTTTATTCCGTTAACATCGGAACTGAAGAAAACTGCAGGAGCTTTTGCTGAAGGAGCTTGGGCAGGCGCTGCTTATTATCTCCTCTGGTATATGCTTGCAAGCCACGTAAGCATCTCTGTATATGACTCTTCTTATTAGGTTTTGACTATTATGATATTGTTTTCACATTTATGGACATATTTTTGGCAGATAACTGGAGCTTTCTGGTACATGTTGTCAGTGGAACGTAATGATACTTGTTGGAGATTTGCGTGTCAAGTCCAGCCAGATCCGCGACTCTGTGTCCGGACTCTGTATTGTGGGAGCAAATTTGTGAGCAGCGGTGAAACCGAATGGATCAAATCAGTTCCTGAGCTTCTTAAAAGCAATTGCTCTGCGAAATCAGATGATTCAAAATTCAACTATGGGATATACGGCCAGGCTATATCCTCGGGCATTGTATCGTCAACAACATTTTTCTCCAAGTTTTGTTATTGTCTTTGGTGGGGCCTTCAAAATCTCAGGTAAATTAAATTGCGTCGAAATAGATCAAGAAACCATTAGCTTGTGCGGTCATTTTTATTATTTATGGTATTTTCTTTCACAGCACGCTAGGTCAAGGGCTGCAGACAAGTACATTTCCTGGAGAGGTTCTGTTTTCCATTGCGATTGCTATAGCTGGGCTTCTTCTGTTCGCGCTTCTAATCGGGAATATGCAGACTTATCTTCAGTCACTTACGGTTCGTCTTGAGGAAATGAGGATCAAAAGACGAGACTCGGAACAGTGGATGCACCATAGGTCACTTCCACAGAACCTTAGAGAAAGAGTCAGGCGCTATGATCAGTATAAATGGTTAGAAACCAGAGGCGTCGACGAAGAAAACATAGTCCAGAGTTTACCTAAGGATCTAAGAAGAGACATCAAACGCCATCTCTGTCTGAATCTTGTTAGGAGGGTAAGTTTTCAGAATCAGAATGCCAAAAACTGCTTCAGATTCTACGAGGAACTAAAACTATGTGTTCTGTTTCTGCAGGTTCCTCTGTTTGCTAATATGGATGAAAGATTACTTGACGCGATCTGTGAGAGACTGAAGCCGAGTCTTTACACGGAAAGTACTTACATTGTGCGTGAAGGAGACCCGGTTAACGAAATGCTGTTCATAATCCGAGGCCGGTTAGAGAGTGTAACAACGGATGGGGGAAGAAGCGGTTTCTTCAACAGAGGGCTATTGAAAGAAGGAGACTTTTGCGGTGAAGAGCTTTTGACTTGGGCACTTGATCCTAAGGCAGGCTCAAACTTACCTTCTTCCACAAGAACAGTGAAGGCACTGACTGAAGTAGAGGCTTTCGCACTTGAAGCCGAAGAGCTCAAGTTTGTAGCAAGTCAGTTTAGGAGACTTCATAGTCGACAGGTCCAACAGACTTTTAGGTTTTACTCTCAGCAATGGAGAACTTGGGCTTCCTGTTTCATCCAAGCTGCTTGGCGTCGCCATTCAAGAAGGAAAAACGCTGAACTGAGACGCATTGAAGAAGAGGATGAAATGGGTTATGAAGATGAGTATGATGATCATGAGGAACAAGACGAGAGGCCTATGGTCTTTACAAGAACAGAGTCTTCTTCTAGATTACGTTCGACGATATTTGCATCAAGATTTGCTGCTAAAGCATTGAAAGGTCACAGGCTAAGAAGCTCAGAGAGTTCAAGGAGTTTGATGAATCTGCAAAAGCCTTCGGAACCTGATTTTGATGCTGAATAATCAAATTCTTGCGCAGAGGACAACATCAGAACAGAGACTATACAATTGATTTATAAACATAAATGCTATATATATATATATATATATATGTAACTTGCTTCACAAACTTTTGCCAAAAAATAAAAAAACTTGCTTCACAAACTGTAAGATTATCTACACGAGAGCCACTGATGCTTCAAAGATCTCCATTGCATTTTTAACAGTTCCTACGTCGACATCTGCTAGTTTTCCGGTCTTGGAAGCAACAATGACACAGTTACTCTTCTCTTCTGCGTTTGGTACAAAGAGCTTCCCTTTCTCTTCTGAAGAGAACAACCCAATACTGAAAGACAAAGAAACACACGCACATGTCAATCTTTTCAAAACGTTGATCACTGAATATCTAAATCAGATAAAGTCACCTGGGTTTGTCTCGCGCATTAGCTAGTTGAATCGCAGCTGTGTTTGTGGCAACAACTCCAGCAGAATCGTTTATCAGAGCAGCCAACTAAGAAAAGGAATCAAGTAAAATCAGAGATTTCCAACTGTTTTGTCAGTAAATACAGACAGATGCTTACACGTACCTGTCCAGGTGTTGTGATGAACACTATAGATGTACCATCACCCACAATCTCTTCGACATTTTCTCTCTCTTTCTCATGCGGAATCACATAGACCGGCTTGAATCCCCTGGAATAATTGAAGAATCCATCTCAGAGAAAAAAAATCCACATCTCAGCCCCCCCAAAAAAGTTCATCCTTAGGTTGTCTAATTACCTTATGCCCTTTGATATCTGAGCCCATTTTGTAAGTGGAAGCAAACTATCACTATCTCCTTTTGATTGCATCGACGCCTTCGAATCTGATTCAATCCCATGAATGACTATAAACTTCCCTGTCTCTGCTCCAGCTTTCCTATACTTCTCAGCCACAACCTCTTTCAATTTCCGTGAAATGGATACCCTAAGTGGCAGCACAGGTGTCCTTGGAACACTCCTAAACGGTCTCCCTAACCAGTCCTCCATCTGGTTATACCTGAAACCATCAACAGTCAATTTAGACTTCCCAAAAGTCTTTGGTTTGTAAAAGGGATTTGAGAAAAAAACACACATTTTGTAGCCTAATTCTGAAAGGTTGGTGTTTTCTGCTGTAAAGGTTTCAGACAGCATCAGACCAGCTCCAGCAGAGTTAACATTTGGGTAAATGTAACTAACTCTGTCTCGAGCCGTTGTCATGAACAAGAACGCTGCGTGGCCTAACCCTGCGAGCTTCGTGGACAGAATCATGTCATAGTACCTTCCCTGCAACATGATTTAAGTAAAGTTCATTTAACCTGTCTGATATAATCGAGTTAGCGGAGAGATTAAAAGGTTGAAAGATAGAGAAGGAACAAACTTTGAGAAGTCCTATCATGTCTGTATATTCAGCTGGTTCAGGCCAATCATCGTCTGGATCATACACATTTGCCCATCTCACGTTTTTGTTTAATTCGTATGTTTGTTTTCCTCTCTCCGTCGTTAATACATCTACCTGAACACCAGGATACCTTGAAAACAAAATAAACAAACGGACAATGTTCTGCATTTCAATTTGGGGTATTAAAAAGATCATTTTGGAGAAACATTTGTAAATTACCTGTCTTTGATTAGCTGAATTGTCGGGAAAAACAGCAGATTTTCGTACACGCCGCCGGAGATAACGCAGCAACATCGTCGAACATCTCCTCTGATTTTCAACGGCAGAGAAGCGAGCTCGACAGTGTAACCCATCGGAAATTTCAAGAACCCGTAAGGGTTATCAGGATTATCCGGTGGTCTTGGATCCTCCTCTTGCTTTCCGTCGACAAACAATGACCCGTATTCGTTAAACGGGTCTTCACCGTCATCAAACGGATCAAGCCATGCGCTATTCTTCTTCTTGAGATTGACCGATACATCCGGGGATTTCGAGGTTAAGCGAGTTTGGAAGTTGAGGAAGACGAGTGGTTTGGTGGAAAACGGCGGCGTTTTGAAGAATGGAGAAATGGGTTTCGGAAGTTGAGGAAGTGAAGCCATCGGAGGTTTTTGAGCCGAAGAATGAAAGTTTGGATTTTTTGAATGTGTATTTAGAAAAGAGAAGAGATGTGTATTTAGAAACTTTAAGATAAGTGGGTCCCCTTTATGGCTATTCTCGACCTTAAGAAAATTGGCATTTATATATATTTTTTTCCAATAAAAAGCCAAATAAAATATTGCTGTGGCAGTTTCAGAAAACATTTTCTGTTGGATTAGTTAAAAACTTTTGTCGTGACATGGGTTGTGATTGATTACACGAGCAAACATTCCTATTCTAAGAAGCATTAACTAATGATTAAACAAGTAACTTTACAGATATATCCGGTAATCTTATTCAAGTCGGGTCGAGCAATAAATATCCGTTCCATTGTCGGGTCGTAGAGAAAAAAAAAATATCAGAAAAAAGCGGAAGAACCGAACGATGACGTGTTAAGCGGTGACTCGTGAACGACCTTTTCTTCTCGATTCTTTGCTCTCTCTCTCTCTCTCTCTCTCTCTCTCTCCTTCGATTTGATTCGTTTCGTCGTCGATCAAAAAAGCCCTTCTTTTCTGTCTTTTATTTTTTTTCTGGGTTTTCTGAAGTCAAAAGGGTTTTCTCTTCACTGTTCCAAGACTTTCTTTGTGATTTTCCTCGCTTTCTCATTGTTTCTATCCCGGCTTTTCCCGTGAACACCGTAAGCAGCTAGGCTTGGTTTGCTAGAAGATTCCTAAAAATGGGAAATTTTAGTGGGAATAAATAGTTTCATTAGCTGTAAAGTGTAGAGCTTTCGATATTAATCTCCCTAGATCGGTTTTGGAGATAGCTGTTTTTGGTAGTGTTGATCCAGTGTTAGATCTGTGAAATCGAGAAGCATTTTTCTGGTGAGTATTATTAATCGGGTCAATGTCGGTTCCACCTCGAATCCGGTCCGTGGATTCCGGCGAGCGAGACTTCCGGTCAGTTCTCGGTCCAACCGGGAACAAGCTGCAGAGGAAACCGCCAGGGATGAAACTGGAGAAGCCGACGATGGAGAAGAAGAACATCGGGTCAAAGGATGGTAAAACGAAGAAACCAGATACTCCGGCTTCACCTACGACGACTCTAAAGCAGTGCTCGTCACTTTGCTCATCGCTTCTGAGACGTAACAGTGCATCGATGACTGCTTCGTATTCCTCTGATGCGTCGTCTTCTTGCGAGTCGTCGCCTTTGAGCGTGGTGTCTTCTTCGAGCTGTAAGAAGGCTGTGAGGCGAAGTGCGTCTGTCTCCTCCTCCGCTACATGTGCGGCGGCGAGAAGGAAGCCGATTGATGAGAAGGAAGACAAGGTTGCTGCTGGTGCCAGTAACGGTGATTGCTTCGCTGACGGTCGAAGAAGATGTGCCTGGATCACGCCTAAATCTGGTGAGGATCTCTTTTTCGCCTTCAGTCTCTCTCTTGTTCACAAAATTATAAAACAACACTAGAATGAATTAAGAAGTAATGAATTTGATCTGATTTTTTATTGCTAAGTTTTAAGACGTAATTGTTGACCAGTGTGACAGATATGGAAAGATAGTGTTTTAGTAACTGAGTCACACATAAACGGAGGATAAGAGTAACTCAATGTCACGAAAGATACTTGAATTTATCTGTGCTTTATGTGTTGAAGCGTGTGCAGATCATTTGTATGTTCTGAAACTTTGAGATTGTTATCTTCTTTATACTGATGGGTTTTGTTGTCACTTCCCAACGTGCAAAGAAGCTCTTTCCAATTCTCTCTGTTGCTCTCTTATGTGCCATATCTTTCTCTTTGCTTAATTGACTAATAATGTTGCTTTGGTTCTTGTGAAGACCCCTGTTATTTAGCTTTCCACGACGAAGAATGGGGAGTTCCTGTTCATGACGACAAGTAAGTGGCTTCCTCAACCATTTTCCTTTCATCAGAGATGCTCTTTGTGGTTATAAGAGTCTCTTACCGCTTTATTCAATTGTGTAGGAAACTTTTCGAGTTATTATGTCTCTCTGGTGCTTTAGCCGAACTCTCCTGGACCGACATTCTTTCCAGAAGACAATTACTCAGGTAACCACACCATGTCGAATTCTTTCGCCACATATATGAATCCCAAGCCAGAAACTAGAGTTTTGTATGGTCTCTGATCTTAGATTTGCTTCGTATATTAAAACAGGGAAGTTTTCGTGGACTTTGATCCAGTTGCTGTTTCAGAACTGAACGAGAAAAAAGTAACAGCTGCGATTTCCTTACTATCAGAAGTCAAGATACGATCAGTTCTCGATAACTCACGCCATGTGCGCAAGGTACCATAACATCACAACCCCACACTTCTGAATATTCTCTAAATATAAAAAATTTCTGTCTATTAATCCTTGACTCTAATTCAGATTATAGCTGAGTTCGGATCATTTAAGAAGTACATGTGGAACTTTGTGAACAACAAGCCAACGCAGAGCCAATTCAGGTATCAACGGCAAGTCCCTGTGAAGACATCAAAAGCTGAGTTTATAAGCAAAGATCTTGTACGCAGAGGCTTTCGAAGCGTTAGTCCTACGGTTATTTACTCCTTCATGCAAGCAGTTGGTCTGACGAATGATCATCTCATAGGCTGCTTCAGATACCAAGAATGTTGTGTAGATGCAGACACAACAACAACAGCAACCAAGGCGAAGAGGAAGAACGAGCGAGATTGATGAAATAAGAGCATTTCTGAAATTAACGTGTATTGTTGTTTGCTTTCGAATATTTAATTTACACAACGAGGTTTTGCTACCATGATGTGTTTTGTTTTTTCTGCGTTGTATAGATTGTTTTTGTTTTTTGTTTTTTATCCGTTCATGCTTAGTAGATTGTTGCAAGAAAACTCTTAGACCGGACGTCTTTGTGTGAATCGATTTCATGCTAGTTTTATAACCGAATACGTCGCAGTAGTATTTGCAGAATCAAATATAAAATTTGTCATGTTGTGGATGGTGAATATAAATTTGTATAAATGTCTATATTTGCAGTAATACTTAGTTTAATGTATTACAAAGAACATACATGAATTTGTTTTCTGAGTTTAATCTATTTACATGGGACCAACTCCAACTCACAACCATCAATGAGTTTTTTTTATTTATTTATTTTTTTTTTTTGTAACTTCCATCGTTGAGTTGTTTCACAAAATAAGAGATAAGAGACAGAAAAACCATTCATATCGTAAAATTAAAAATTAAATACATATTGATTAAGCTATACCAAGATTGCTAAGTCACGGCACACTGTCGTCAAATATAGAAGTTTCCTCCATCAAAAGGAGTGTACAACTAGGTAGACTCCGCATGGCCTTAAATGCTTATAGTTTCCTCCATGATCCATAAATTTAACGAACACTTAAAAACAAAATTTGACAAACAAAATATGAAAGTATAATTTAGAGTTGAAATTGTTGGAGAAATATAATCTGGAGATGGTCAAAAGTTCCTTCGCTCGTTTTTTATTTATGTAGCCATAATATAATTTGCACTCATGCACACCAATAAGGCAATAACGCGTCGTCGCCACCATATAGTCAATAAAAGCCTTTTAATATAACAAAGTGGTAGCAATTATGACAATTTACCGTGGTTTATATTCACCATCCACAACATGTCAACATGACAAATTTTATATTTGATTCTGAATATATTACTGCGACGCATTCGGTTATAAAACTAGCATGTAATCGATCACACAAAGACGTCCGGTCTAAAGAGTTTTCTTGCAACAATCTACTAAGCATCGATCACACAAAGACGTCCGGTCTAAAGAGTTCTCTTGCAACAATCTACGTCCGGTCGCGAACTTTCTTTGCTGGTTGGTTTTTCTCTGATGACACCTTCGTACACAAAATATATATATATATATATATTTATTAAATTAATATATTTTGTTTTTTTTCTTTTATTTTGTTTATTTTCTACTTATTTTTTGCTTCTATTTGGTTTATTTTTTACTTATTTTTTATTTCTATTTTGCTTATTTTTTACTTATTTTTTATAAAGATGAAAATAAAGAAATGTTAATAAGAATAAGTTTGTGGAGCTTTCCATAAATCTTTAGAAGTTTTAATTTCATAAGTTTTTCAAAAAGATTAAGAATATATAGTGTACTTCTTGCCTTGTTATGCTTGCCACAGAACGTTGTGGGTAAATGGAGCTGAAAGCTGTTCGCTGTTGCGTTGCTTGCTTCCGGTTAGAGTTCAACAATAACTGGAACATATGCTGGACAATACGTAAAGCAGGTGATCATCAAACCTCGACCAAATGCTTTTTACTCCTAACTTGTTGTCTAAAATCTTTTTTTCTACAGGGATTTCTTGATTTAAGATTAAAACCATGGCTCAGAAACTTCTCAACAAGATGTTTAGCTTTAATCCCAAGTTTGATTGTAGCTCTCATAGGTGGCTCGCCGGAGCAGGAAAGTTAATTATCATTGCATCGGTAATCCAATATCTCAAAATCCAATTTCTCTTACATATTCATTCTTAATATTAATCATCTTATCTGTTTTGTAGATGATCTTATCCTTTGAGCTGCCATTTGCTTTAGTCCCACTTCTAAAATTCACAAGAGCAAAACCAAAATGGGCTCACACGCAAATTCACTCCTAGTAATAACTTGTACTTCCCTGTTCATGATGAATTTAAGACATTAATGCGAGGAACGAAAACTCATTTGTCTCGTGGCCTTTTCTATAGATTCCATCTGTGACTTGGCCCATTGGTGGACTTATTATGGGTATCAACATATTCTATCTACTAAGCAGTTTCATCAAGATGCTTGGTCACGGGAAGCTTGTAGCCATTGTCTTCTTAGGACTTCTTGGATTCTCAGGCATTGCCATTTACTTAGCTGCCATTGGTTACCTTGTCCTCCGTAAAAACAGAGAGCCCTCCTCAAAGTTCCTACCCTCCAGTAACTCTCAGCCCACGGAAACACTTCCTAGAGAAGACATTGTGAACATGCAGTTACCTAATGGAGTAGCGGTTGCAGGCAACTTAGATTAGAGAACTATAACACTTTAGATAGAAGAAAACATCTTTTACTTAGTTTAATGTATTAAGAAAGAACATACATGAAGTTGTTACTTAATTTAATCTATTGCATACAATCAAACATGAAGCACCGAAGCCTTGTATTCAAAATCAAAATCCAGACAAGACAGTTTGAAACAAAGGTGTCACATAAACAGAGACAAAAACCAAATATCTGTTTTTATTTTCTTTCTTTCTAAAACGAAAGCAATATCCTGAGGGACCAAGCAATTCAAGACTGGATCTTGATGCCGTTTTCGCTGGATTCTTGTGGTGTCGAAGGAGGAGGAGGAGGAGGAAGATGACCTTTCTCTTGCAAGCTCTTTACTGTGTCGTAAAGGCTTTGCTTGGTGGATGTGAACACTAAGCCTAAGTCTTTAATCTTTTGGTTTGTGAACTTGTACGGTTTGGCTTTAGGGCTCTTCTCGTCCTTGCATCTGAACAATTAAAACAAAAACCAGCATATTTGTTACTTAACACAAATCTTTCTTGAACATTGTTACTCTAATAAAGCGATTGATTTGTCTAATTAAAGTTAGGGAAAGAAGAAAGACTAGCTCCATTAAAAAGTATCTATCAGCATATTATATTGTGGTTTACAAAATGTCCACGTTAGCAGTAGGTGACTAGTGGACTTGGACTTCTGGTGTGAGTTGTTGGTACACCAACTTTCACCACAAACGATAATAAAAAAAAAAAAAGAACATGGGACGAACTCTAAATCACATCCATCATTGAGTTTGTATCACAAAATAAGAGACAAGAGAAAGAAAAACCATTCATATCGTAAAAATTAAATACATGTTGATTAAGCTATACCAAGGTTGCTAAGTGACGGCACAATGTCGTCAAATTTAGCCTTACGTATTTCATGTTTAGTGACTTGTATGTGTTGGTGACGACTCATTGTATTGATGATGTACACTAATAAGCACGTGTGTCATATATGTGAGTGTCTTTCCGTATTTGTATAAAATAAAGTCGTACACGGATATGATGAATGCATGTACAATATATTCTAGATTTCTATTAATAATATAAAGTGTTACTGGAATATAATCAAAATTAATGTTTGGTTACAAAGAAGAATACTCGAGAGTTGAGACAGGTCATTGTCTTAATTGCTACGCTAGAGCTACCATCGGTTATTTTATTGACTAAATAGAAAATCTATGGTGACGACGCGTTATCGGTGCATGGGTGCCAAGAATATGATTCGTCATCAAAACTAATTGGATTGTTGCGAAAATAAACTAAATTTGGACCACGATACTTTGATATGAACCTATTACCTTTTACCTACAAGTTAGCAGTGGGTCCTGTAACTCTTTTACAAAATAATGTTTTTTAGTTGAAATTACATTGATTTGAGTGATTTTACTTTGAAGCCACCATGTTTGAAGTTGAAGGTGTCTTTTTGTTACTGTATTATTTTAATCGTTTTTTATTTGTTGTTATAATCTTTTAACTGTTAGATATCATCTATGTATACCAAACCTAATAATGTATAAATATTAAGCGGTAATAGTTTCACTTACTTGGTCGGAAGTGGGTACTCCGGGAATAACTTAGCCAGAATCTCAACAACTTCGCCGCGGTGAAGCGCGCTCTCAGCGAGGAGATAACGTCCAGAGGCCGACGGTGCCTCGTAGACCAGAACATGAGCCAGCGCGACATCGCGAACATCCACATAAGCCTGAGTCAAATTAGCGTAAGTCTTAGCGGAGCCGGTTAGGTACTTGAGGACATGGAAGAGACTGGCGTTGATCGTCGGCTGTAACGGCGGTCCAAGAACCAGCACCGGATTCAAAACCACCAGGTCAACACCTTTCTCCTTTGCCATCTCCCACGCGGCTTGCTCCGCCACCATCTTGCCGTAACAGTACCAATTCTATACAACACACGTACAAATTTTCAATAGACCAAACATCAAAAATAATAATTTATATGTCCATAAAGAAAAGATTAGTGTGCAAGACCTTGGTGTTTTTGCAGAAATCGAGATCACTCCAACAGGTTTCATCAACGACCGCGTCAGGGTCACGGTTCGGGTCCATGTAGACGGCACCAATTGAGGAGGTGATGACCACACGCTTGACCTTGGCTTCAGCCGCAGCATTTATTACGAACTTGGCTCCGTTCACGGCCGGCTCCACCATTTGCTCCTGATAATTTATTTTCCATTTGATATTAATATCTCATTTTCATTGATTTGCCCCTTCCAACAATATAATTTCTAAAAGCATCTTCTCTTTTTTTTTTTTTTTGCTGAAATTTCTAACCATCTTTTCTTCTCTTTGAAGTCAAACGTAATAAATTCATTACAAGTAAGTGGGATAGTGTTTTTCTCTGGTATTTCAACGTCTTGAATGAAATTTAATACTACTTGATCAAACTTACATATTCAATGAGGAAAAAAAAAATACTAACAAATTCAATGAAGGAAAGCATATTGCAAAAGATTTTTTTTTTTTAATGCAATATTTTTTTAATAGTTTTAAAATAATTTCATAATTGAAAGCGATTCGATACCAACGCGCTCTAATTAAAAAAAAATGATTCAAATTTCTGAAAGAAATCAGCTCCACTACCATATTAATTTTCAATTTCATGTAGGTCCCTTAACTTTATTTAGTTTTCTTCGAAGCCACAGAAAGTGCTAAGAAATGTAGGAAACCCCAAGAAAAGTACTCACGGGATCGTCTGTAACCGGAGAAGCCGTGTGAAAGACGCCGTCGCAACCATCGATCGCCGCTTTAAGAGCCTCGTAGTCCTGAAGATCTGCTTTGCACAGAATCAGTCTCTCCTTGGCTCCATCGAGTTCTCTCAAATGTGTATTCTTTGGATCACCTGCAAAGACGCAAGAACAAAATTCCAAATTATCAATAAATTAAGCTAAACAAATAAAAGAATATTATCATAGTGAGCAAAAGGAATACGGACCTGGATTCCGCACGGTTCCTTTGACGGTGTAGCCTCTCTCGAGGAGTGACTTAACAATCCAGGAGGCGATGTATCCACCGGCTCCGGTAACGCAAACGGTTTTTACGGCTGGCGAGGATTCGTCGACTGGCATTTTTCCGGCGACCGGAAGTAAAAGCTTCGGTATTGAGGAGGCTGAAGACAATGATTAATTAATGCGTTGTTACAAAAATTGGGCTACGGTTTGAATATATAAAGACTGAAAAGGAAGTTTATCCTTACAACACACTTGCCAAGTTCACCTAACCATGGTGATGAGTTTGGTCTTTATATTTATATTTTATTTTCGAATCTATAAAAGGACAGACCAAAATTATTACTAGAAAATGTTAATTTTGTAGAAAGAGGGGTTGGTGGAAGAAGAATGATTTGGAACTATACACCTTTAGAAAAAAAATCTTAAACTTGGACAAAACTTTGAAATAATACCTACATTCATTTTACTTACCTACAATCATTTTTCACTTTGGGAAATATATCTACCAATAACTCTTGATAAAGACATACATTTTCTGGATGATATATTCTGAAAATTAAATAAATATACAGCTTTATAATGATTTCTCCAATTAGAAAATGGTCTCTCATTCATTTTCTGGTATGTTACAAAATAAACATAATTCTAGAAGAAAAGGGGCACAAGAATGTGGATATGTGGACACGACAAGTCGCAAGTGTTATTATGTTTACTACTCTTCTCCATCATAGAAATATGTTTAGATTCGGACACTTTTCTCTGTAAGTTGTAGATTATATGTCCAATACCGGAAATGCTGAAAAGACTACACGCACGACACGATCACTGTGTTTGTGTATGATCGCAATTATTCATGCACAGACATAATATATGTTACTAGAGCCAGGTGACATCAGATCAAACTAGTTCCATAACAAGACATACGTCAGAAGAATCTACTAACAATAACACCATAAGTCTCTAAACAAGCAGCTTCACTAAACACATAAGTTACCTAAACCACAATAACCAATCCTTTTTTTCCTGAATTAACATCACCTAACCATGATGGATCATCAACCTGAAACAGAAGTAGTAGTACCCACTTCTGCCTTATGAGTCTCTCCTTCCAGTTCCTTGGTTACTCTCTGATCATCATCTTCTTCAGCCTCGTTTTCTACTCTACCAGTCTCAGGCACGCTTGTGTATGCGTCTCTGTCACTCTCGTTCTCCTCAGACATAGCCTCCTTCTCAATCAATGTTGTGTCTGCAGTTGGCTCTTCTGCTGACTCACGCTCTTGTACCTCAGTTTCGGGTACTGCACTGGGCTCTCTCACTGACTTGTGCTCTTCTCCATCAGTTTTGGGTTCGGCAGTAGGCTCTTTTGCTACCTCTTGTTCAGTTTCTAGTTCTGCATCTGGCTTGTTTGTAGACTTTAGCTCTTCTCCATCAGTTTCGATTTCTGCAATTGGATCTTCAGACAGTTCATGGTGATCTCTCTTGCATTCAGGCTCTGCATCTGATTCTTTCCCAAATTTTAGACCGTCTTCACCCTTGGTTTCAGCTTCTTCCTTCTCATCACAATCTTTTTCACTTTCCCGGTGCATAGCTCGAGCCGCCTTCTGCCTTTTCTCATTGCTTACAGCCCTCTTTAGCGCACCCTTGTTTTTTTTCGCTTGCTTAGTAGAGTTTGTTACCGAGTTTTTCTTCTTCGTTGCTCCCATAGAGGATCTATATCATAAATATGAGCTAATTCATTCAAAGATCAAATTTTCATATACCCATAACTAGAATTACTGTAAATTTACACACCCGACGTCTGGAGAACTGCTCATTTCCACATTCCTATGTTTGCTCTTATTGGCTCTCTGCCTTCGTATTCTGCATATCAAAGCAAAAACTCAGGGCTCAAGAGGTACCAAGTTAAAAATTGTTGGTGAAACAGAACCACGAACATCTCACTTACAAGTCAGATAAAGGAGTAGAATCAGGCAGATCAATCTCCTCATCCTGCTTAAGATTTTTGGGGAAATCAATACACTTATCAATTAATTTTTTTGTAAAAGACAGAAAATGATGAATGAATAAAGAGGGGCCCAATGTAAGAAAATTTTCACCTCACTAGCTGAAGAGTTATCCTGGAGTATCTCCCAACGTTCTTTTTTCAGATTAAGATTTTCAGCATCCCCATCAGAATAACATACCTGCAACAAGACCAACAGTAAGAAAATTTTATATGAATCAATAATGCAACAGAAAGAGAGAGAGAGAGAATTTCGAAATAGCAGTTAGAGAAATCAACTCACTTTATGCGTCTTCTTACGACTATCATAGGAATCTATGACGCCTTCATAAAACCTGTGCAAATATAAATGGTAAGATTGCCGTCATTCTTTACACAGTATTCAAAACGAAAGCTAGCATGTTTCTATATACACTTACTTTTTATCGAGTGGCCACCAGACGTTAACTCTCTTACCAACCAATTCCTCACCAAACTCACTCTTATTGGACTCCTGAAAAGAGGAGAACAGACCATATGAAAAACACATGACAAATCAATGCTTCATACCATGGACAGAAAAGGCAAAATATTCACACCACTTCCTCTCCAGGTGTTCGTTTCCTCTTGGATTGGCTCTTGGGAGTTTGTTCAGATTCTTTGGCCGAAGGTGTTGTTGCATGAGAATTCTTCTTCTGCACAGTTTACTCCATTAATAAGTTCAAGGAAGACAAAGTTCTAGAGTATTGACAAGAGAAATCATGTTTCATCAAATTTGCAAACCTTGCTCTTTGATGACTGGGGAATAGGCGTATCCGTGCCTGCACCTTCTGAATTCTTTTTCTTAACATCTGAATGGAGTGATTTCTTTCCACTAGTCTTTACCGTCTTAGATTCTGCAAGTGGCTTCTTTGCAGATGTTTTCGCTAAACCATTATGTGCTCTCTCCTTTTTAGATTCTGCGAGTGGCTTCTTTGCAGATGTCTTCGCCAATCCATTCTTTGCACTCTCCTTATTAGATTCTGCGAGTAGCTTCTTTGCAGATGTCTTCGCTAAACCATTATCTGCTCTCTCCTTTTTACTTGATTTGGCAGTCTTAATGTTATCTTCGGGCTTTTCAAGGTCAGATTCCATAAAATCTTCTTCTTCAATACGAACTTTCTTCACAACCTGTTTTTTAGATGCTGGTGTAGCTAAAGAATCTGCATCAAGATTTGTATCGTCCATCTTACTCCTGCTTCGTTTACGTGACCCCTTCCTAGCCTTACTAGAGGGTGAGAGAGAAATGACAACGGACTGATTCGTTTGACCAACTTTACTAGGCAAAGATGCTTTCTTGGCAGCCAGCTTTCCAAGTGACGAATCCCCAAGTTCTTTTTCCTGCACCTTCTTGCTTGAAGACGTCTTAAATGAATAGCCTTCCTCAGGATTCATCAGAGAATTGGGTTTCCGGCCTCTCTTTGTAAACCCTGATTCGGTCTCTGCATCTGTACTTGAAGACTGCCCTTGCTTCAAAAGTTGTTTCAAATCGTTTCCATTTGTTACTGTGTCATCTCCATTGGCTCGAGTTCCTCCTCTTGCTGTTCTCTTGGACCTACTCCCCTTGCCAGAAATCCTCAAATCAAGTTTTTCCTAAAATCACATAATTTGGAAGATATTGGTTACGCAACAAACAATGTGAAAAGGGGCTAAACACTTGCAATGAAAAAGCATACCAAATACAATACCTGCAATGAATCACTTGGAACTTTTTCTTCTGATATCTTTTCATCTGCCTGAAAAACGAAAAAGATATAAACTGTTGGCAGATGCAAGTTCAAGATTCAACCACACAACTACTGTATTACTAATCAAACTAATGAACTCAAGCCAACAAGAATACCTCAGTTTCTTTGGGATTCACCTCGATCTGTGCTTCAGTAGTGGCAGCTTCGCTTTGGCATATTGACAAAACAACTGGAGAATACATGTCCAAGCTGGTCCCTGTGGACTTCAAAGCTTCCATGATGCACGGTTGAAGCTTACAGGCGCAACTACTGAGAACCTTCTCCACAAGCTCCAAAGCTATTGGCGTGACATCCTACGCCATGGCAACCAGAAAAATCAAATCTCAAGTCTGTTGAAAAGCTTCAAGACTTTAATCTGAATTGGGAAAAAACTTACCCGTCTTCCTTTTTTGACAGTGGTCAAGAGAAGCTCAAGCAAATCCATGGATACTTCTTCACTTTCATCTATCACAGTGATCATTATGTTTTCCATTGAAAGAATCACCGGTTGAGGATGAAGCGGGCTTAATAGATGCACAAAAACAAGAAAAGCCATCAGCTGTTACATGAAGCACAAAAAAGTTTATTGAGCATTGTTAACACAGGCTCTATTCCTACCTTATGATTTTCAAGAACTGCCGAAACATCGCTAGAATAAGGTCATCGCACTCCAAGTCCAACATCACCAAGGATGATCTGACCTTAGAAACAGTGTCAAGAACAGCCTCGGCTTTCCTGTAACTGCGAGAGGTGGCATCTTGTAGTTTTCCGAAGGCTTCAACTGTCACCTCGAAAATTTCCTGCAAACCAAAGAGGCAAAGTAAAGTTAGATAAAGTTTTTTGAAGAAAACATAACAAGAAGAAACGAATTGTGTTGCTGGAATCGTGGAATAATGGTGTATATCAACCTTCATTTGGTCATCGTTATAAGGGGCCTCTGGGGCAGTAATCCTCATAATCTCGGTTAAGCACGAGACAACGAAAACCCTAACATCAGAGTCAGGGTTTCTCAAGAGTTCAGCAGAGACCAAAGCATTCATTGATGGAATCAGGGCATTATTCACTGCTGCAATAGGATCTTGCTCGACAGTAGAGAGAAGAGACTCGATTTCCTGCACAGAGAAGCGTCGAAATCAGATGACTGAACATCATAAACCGCAGAGAGAAATCTCCTCCATGGATTTGAAAGCAACAGAACTCTAAAAGGTTCCACCTTTACGAAAGCTTACATATTTACGTATGCACAACGGAAGAATCGGTGCGCTACTAAGACATTTAACATCAGAAATTGAACCCCCAAAAAAAAAAGCAAAAATCTAATTTTTTCCCGTGTATCGGCAAGAAAAAGTGAAACCCTAATCGCTTCCTCTAATCCAATCCCAACAGAGGAATTTTCCACTTGTGGGAGAAAAAAAGTTGCAAAATCAGAGAATGTGGAGGGAAAGGAGGATTCTTACATCGAGAAGACTGAGAATCGCATCGGTAGAGGAATGAGGTTTGAGAAGATTATTTCCAGCCTCGAGGAGTGCTTTCGACAGTTCGGTCGCTCCGACAAGAGGACCCATTTTTTTTCTTCTTCTTGTGAAAATTATCTGAAGATTCAAAACCCTAGAAAACAAAGAAACATTCTCCGAAGGAAATAAACCCCTGTCCTCGCCGCCTTAAATCCAAATGGTTGGAACCAGAGAGAAAAGAAAAAATAATAATGACACAACTTTACGAGTCTGATGCGCTTTTTATATCAGCGGTGTTGAACATGCAAGAACTGCTTTATATACCCCGTACAAAGAGAAAAAATTAACTTTAAAAGTTCTTAAACTCGATTATGTCAAAGTATTGAGAATAAAACAAAACTCAATTATGTGGAGGAGATAAATTATGAAACCATGTGGTTTATCATTTGATTATAAAGTAATCAAGTGTTTTTATTATAGATCATACAGTACTTCAGTATTTCTACAGGCTACAACTCACTAACATACCAGAACTGAAATCGGTGGTAAGCTCGGATTCGTCTCTTTCCCGCCCTTCTGCTAGACCTTTTCACTTACAAAAAAATGTAATTTTGAAGTGTTTTTGTGTTCATGTAAAAACAAAAAAACAAAGTTCTTTGAAGCTTAAAGTAACAACAAGAAAAACTATAAACATATTTGGATGGACTGATAAGAAAATCCTGTTGATTTATTAAAGAAATCGAGTTTTGAAACTTTAACCCTGGAGGAAAATACAAATTGAATGTAAGACTATGAGTGTAAACTAGGGGTGGGCAAACGGAAATACGGGATGGAATTTTGTGGGAATGGGAACGGAACGGGATTATGGAAATCAGAATAATTGTCTCATATGTGTTTCATTCAAAATTTGGGACGGGACGAGAATTCCCAAAAAATCTAATAATATGAAAAATTGATAATTGTAAAAAAAAAATTAAAATTCAATTTATATTCGTCCATTGTTCATTTCCTAAATCCTAATAAATAATAATATGTCATATAAGATTATAAATCAACCAAGAAACAAATGAAATCAAACTTAACTTAATTATTAAAATTTAAAAGCTTCAATTTTTTTTTAAAAAAACCAACATAATCTATTGAATAGTAAACAAAAAACTACATATAGTCTATTAGTCATATATAATAAAATAAAAAATAAAATCCGACATAATCCGTTCAAATCTCAGCAGTCAGCATACATTTAGACTATAACTTATAAGTTAAAACTTTAAAAGTGCAACTTTTAAGTTTTAACTTTCGTTTATATAAAATAATATATTAATATATAATAATGATCATTTTTGGTAATATATTTTAAATATTTAATTTACTATTTATATATAATTTGAGACAAATGAGACTTCAGGAATTCCATTCACGTCCTATTCCCAAATGGGAATCAATATGTTGTACCATATGCTAGCATATGGTACGAGAATTTGGGACGGAATGGAAGGGGAATTATGCCCACCCCTAGTGTAAACATATAAATAAAAATGTGTTGCTAACTTGTTTAACTTTTACCTACTGATAAAAAAGTTTGTCACGACAATATTCGCAAGATGCTAGCAATCTTTTTCGATCAAATATTGACTTGTAGTTAGTTTTCAACATTTATTATGAAATATAAAAAAGCTGGGCAAAGAAATTCTTAAGCAAGCAAATTTGGCCTTGGAAGAGTAGAGACTACATAAAACCAAAACTTGATCATGTTCCAAACAAATCTCGAGAGCTGTCTACTAAATATTAAATATCAAAACCAAGAGAAAACAGCGTTTGGATGAAAAACATCTGAAATTCGAAACTCTTCTTAAATTTAGTTAGCTTCAATGTGCTTCTTGACGATATTGAGTGCAGTTGTCTCCTCACCGTAGTCCTGAAACAGCAAGCAAGAAAACGTATTAAGTAAATGACTAGAGACCAAGATAAACAAAATTAACTCTATAAATTACAGATTCCACATCGACATGAATTGAGACGAAAAGACAAAACATATACCTTGACTACAAGGCATGAGCATCCAACAACCTTCCTGGCATTACCCTCTGAATCAATCTTGCAAAGCTGCAACAGCATCAAGTGATTCAATTTGTTGTTAAACACTAAACATTCATTCAGACAAAAATGCTTTTTTTAAAAAGGTATACATAATGAAAATCGAAGACTTACACCAGCCCATTCGCCGAGGGTCTTGGCACTTGGGACTGTAAGCAAGTTGATGTTGTGATCAGCACAGAGAGCTTTAACAAGCTTGACGTAATCAGGCTGGTTGCAGTCTTCAGCCAAGACACAGAGCTGAGCCACACGCTTCTCAATAAGCTTAGCGCTTTCATGGATACCACGAACCACACCACCATGAGCACGAGCTTTCCTAAGAGTCAACTCCAATGCAGTCAATAAGTCCATGTCCTCTGGAATAGCCGCTGGCTCAGCAACGGGGGGAACAACGGGAGCAGCCTCATCACTGTAATTAAGTAAAGAATCAGGATTCAGACCAACACCAATCAAGCACACAACAAGACACGGTCACATCATTCATTAAACTAGACTTGGATTATCAACAATAAGCATTTAGTAAATCTAAAGCGTATTGGTCTAATCAATTTCCAACTAGAAGGACAGAGATTTGATTAACCCGTTTAAAGTAACAATCATAAACAGGATATTGATTTATTGAAATATTGTCTAGCTCCAATTCGAGTACAATTATTTATCGATCTAAGACAAACTTCCTCATCTATCAACGAGTAATGACAGTAACATCAACGATGCAAGAAACATTTCTACTTTTCTAGTAAAAAGTAATCAGATAAGCTGGATGTTTATCAATGATTATGCATATTAAAAAATGCAGCAACGCAAGAGAAGCTTACCCAGACATGTTGTCTCTTTAAATGCTTTTACCGACCGAAAAAAACAAAAGTCCTTTGTTATCTGCCAATATAAAGGAAGCAAATCAGTATCAACAGACACCGGAAAAAAAAAACATCACTGATGAATCTCTTCTAACTAAGGCAGCAAAATTGGCGTAGGAAGAACAAAGTTCGACAGACAAATTACAATCGTGCGAGATCAGTCGGATCGTACAACGTTTGAAGAACTGAAAGACTAACCTCAGAGACGAAGACGGCTGCAGCGGAAAGGATGAATAAGAAATTGGGAACAACTTATATGGAGACTAAACTACTTCTACTAAAACCCTAATTCACCAGAATAATAATATTTGACGGATCGTTGCGGACCCGGGCCATATATTTGGGATTTCCTCGGCCCAATTAAATGGACTTTTATCGGCTTAATTAAATGGGCGTCTTGACTAATATCGGCCCAATTACAACACCTTGGAATAGTGTAGAACCATTGAAAGAAAACAAAAATCTCTGTGGATTGGTAATGATATGGTCAAAACTCAATACTGTGTAGCAACTGACATTTGTTTGCTATTTGTCTAAGATTTTGGGGAATTGCAAAACAAATGAATCTAAAACGCAATGCCACAAAATGGTAATGATGGATATAAGAAAACTAAACAGGGTACCAAACAAAATTATGAATATTTTTTTTTAATGATTCTTGTCAAAAAAAAAATTGTGTATCTTCATTCTTTAATCACCAATTTGTAATGCAATAGCCTAACGATCTACAATGTGAAGTAAAATAAAAAGAACTGTTTTAATTTTTTTTTTTCTTTTAATTTGGTTTTTTGGATTTTTCAGCGAGGAGCTGAGGATTATAAACACTTCCTAGTCCATACAAAACACCAGAATATTTATCCATGGGACCAGAGAAGTGCGTCTCTTTCATCTTCCTGAACACACAAGACGTTAGCAAACTATCTGAACCGGCCTGGTGCGAAATCCCGACTCGTTTGACATGGAGCAGCTCCGCTACTTTGCTCAGGCCGCCAAAGAGACCGGCGCAGAAATCCATCAGGTGTTTGATGTCGTAAACTACCGGGAAAAATGTCTTGACCAGGAGGAAGAACTCCGACTGCTTCTCCGGCAGATTTTTCCCGGTAAGGATTTTCAGCAGGTATCCGAAATCGTATCCGCAGTGGAACGTCACCCACTGTATCTTATAGTCTAGCACTACCGAAGAACTCATCAGAAGTTCCGCGAATCGTCTCGACTCGATGCCGAATCGGATGTTTCTGGCGAAGTCGATCCCGGATTGACTGAGGAGCTCGATGGACTCCATGGCGAACATGTCCGTCTTGGGGTTGAATTCCCTGAAATTGAATTGCCAGACGCACTGCTTGTTGTTGGTTCCCAAGGTCGGGAGGTTTCCTTGCTCGTCGGATAACGCGAGGCCGAGCTGAATCATGTTTAGCATGTTCACGTTCGTCCTTAACGAGTCGTAGCAGTTGAACTCGTTGCGTCTACAGTTTGCGTCTGTCGTCACTGTCTTGCACACGATCCCAGGGAACTCCGTGTCCATCGCGACGTAGGGGAAATGGCCAACCACTTGTGAAATCAGATACATCTCCTCTTCGAGATTGTCGTTCCAGACCTCGCGGATTTCAATCGAATCGTCTTCTTTCTGACCCACCGACATCTCTCTCTGTCGATTATAATGATTGATGATGATGATGGTGATGAAGATGAATCCGCGTCAAGATGATGGAAGTAATCACGAGAAAACCTAGAACGGATCTAGAGAAAGATCCGATCTGGTTTTGATCAGTATCTGCAACACAATTGTCAATGCCAAGAACAATCAATCCCAAATATCACGAAATCTGGCACGAAGATTCAAAGAAACCAAAACGCAATCGATAGATGTGTGTATGATACAGAAATGAGGAGGCGCTCGAATCGGCGATTCGAACCTGGGAATTCAAGCGAAGAAGATGCAGATAAATATTTCTGGAGAAGGCGGCGAATCTCCAGGTTAGGGTTTCAGAGGATGTGGTGGTTTATCGAAGAGAATGATGCGGGAAATTGGGAGAAGAAGGAAGAGGATTTTAATAATAAATCGAATTTTCTCGACTCTGGCAAAATAATAATCATCGATTTTTACCTTTTCAGGCTTTTGTTTTCTCCTCTGAATCTTTTTTGTTTTCTCTTCGCCACAAATTCCCTTGTTTCCACACCAAAGTGAATCCTAATTTGATTTTTAATAGTAATGCGTCATTGTTTGCTTCTTAGGGCTCTCGTTTCTTTTCCATGAAGAAAACCTATAAATAAATTCCCTACTGCCTGAATACGATTATTCATGTTAAATGCCTAAATACCAAATCATGGTTTCTTTTCTTTGTCCACTTCACCTGAACAAATTTATATTTCTGAGTAAAATTAATGTAAAAAAAAGCATATGGTAGGGCAATTAATCAAGAACTAGAAACAACGTAGATCATAACTAATTAACTGAAGAAGTGGCTTATTAGCTGGTCGAAATCTTTCAAAGAAAAAGATTCAAAGATACAAGTTGAAAGAGCTAAGTCTGGATACAGAGTACAACTTGATTATTTGACATCATTTAAGCTAAGTTAACTCTCAGTTACTTAATAGACATAAAGCTTAACCATTCCTTCTTCTTCTTACTCCATGGCTCCATCCCTGCAACCTGCAACCAAGTACAAGACCAGAACAGAATTAAAGTTCTTCAACTGGAGTCAGCAAACGAGATCATGTCCGTGCAGTATTTGTTGAAGAGTTTTTAAGGTTCTCAGGTAATGGAGCGTATGTAAGTTTTAGCCAGCACATAACATATACAAGATTCACAAGGAGCCCTGTGTCGACTGAAGAGGATAAAGCATACCTCCAGGCTTCAGGTTCTTTTGCGTTTCGCAGTTTTGATGTCGTTCGAAATGAAAGCAATCACTTCCTTTAATGTTGCTCGCCTTCCTGCTTTGAAATTCCAAAGTTCTGGGGTGGTGTACCGACCACTTCCATTATACTCATTTACCTCCTCCAGAGCTGTTTTAACTGCGTTATGCACCTCTTCTCCCCACTCTCCTTTAAGCTTCTTCAGCTGCTGATCCTCTTCGTCTACCACTTCCTGCAACCATAACCAGCTAACACCATTACTGCTAACGCACAAAGCAGTTACACCAAAACATGGATAAGAGTATCAACATTCACATAATCACAGGTTTTTCCAACATATTTAACTAAAACAATGGCCCAGAAAGGGTAAGAAAGAACAGACACTTTTCAAAGCCATGATGGCGTCACCCTAAATCAATAATTCAGTAAAATGGGAGGAGACAGCAGGAAAGAACATACCTTTGCTTTGATCCCGGTTCCTTGATGTTTGAAAGGATGCCATGATGAATCATTGACTTTTTCCTGCCATGTAGAGCAAAGGGTGGCACCTTCAACCGTAGCTTCATCTGCAGAATATCTTCGCTTGCAAACATTCAGGAAGGGTTTCTCATCAAGCTCTCCCATCCTTTTTATCCCTATATCAGTTTGGGCACCCAACAATCCTGTCAAACCCTGAAAAAAAAAGCTTTCAGACATTAAACAACAATTAATAAATCAGTGAATCTTATCGTAGAGTCTGTGAATCTTATCATACAGTCAATTGTCGTAATTTACTCAGGTGAGAAGCCAACCAATTAACCAACCAATTAATTCAATTTCAACGTGCAGGTTCAATTGTGAACTGAAGATATCCAAAAAGCTATAGCATCAGTCAATTAATCGTAATGTAATCAGAGAAGTCACCACCCCTTGACTTCATCCTCATCAAACAGGTTTAACCAACCAGTTAATTCAACTTGCAGGTTCAGTTGTGGACGGAAGATATCCAATAAACTATAGTGTTTGACCATATCTGTGGCACTTCAGACGCGAAGAAAAAAACAACTCTTTAGGAACATTTTGTCATTAAATGCTACGTGATGGTAAAATGCAAGTGTATCAGTACCCAAAAATACTAAAGCGTTAGAAATATGTACCGCAATTAATTTTTTCCGCGCTGCTTGTATTTCATCATTGCTTTGACGTTCTTTTGTCATCAGGTCTGAGTTCATCTGCTCTAGGTCTTCTAACTCAGTCTTTTTGTCCTCCAGTTCAACATTCATCTCCTTCATTTTCTGCTTGACCGCCTCATCATCGTCATCCCCCAAATGCTTCATCACTTGTAATTTGCCTTTCAGCTCTTGAATCTCCATTTCCAGTGTCTGTTTGATGTCTAGCTGCTTCTCAAGCTGAAGGATCTTGTCCAAAGCCTCTTCTTTTTGCCTCTGGAGTTTAAGCAGGAGAGAAATTCAAACTCAAGACACAAATGAGGGAAGGCTTTTTTCCCTCTTTTTGGGTTTAAGTTGTTATATAGTTTGTGTTGTGTACTACGGACTATACCTTATGCTCTTCTACAAGTCTTAAAACGCTCTCGTCAGCCTTTTCCTGCTCACGGGTGGCTAACTGGAGGGAAAGGTTCATAGCATCACTCTGCCAAACCAATAAGATACAAAATGATAATTAGTACCTCGGAAAACATACATTCATACATACGCACAAACTGATTATTTCCTAATTCCTATGTGTTACAGTGAATACGAATGAATGTTACCTTTTTCTTGTCTTCATCAAGCTTTTGTCTCTCCAGTTCAGTAATTGCTTCTTTTTTGTCCAAACTTTTGGACCGCTCCTGCAATGCCTTCATCTTTTTCTCCAGTTCATTGCTTAGCTTCTCTTTTTCTCCTAGGATCCTGTGAATGTTGAGAAGTGACATCTGCTGCATCTTCTTTGTTTCTGAGGAGATAAAATAGAAATAATAGTCAGATACCATAACACATGCTAGATGAATCATAAGCATACTAGTGTTTCACTAAAAACCTTCTGCATAAGCTTCGTGCAAGGTTTTTTTCTCGTCTAAGACCCTCTGCAGCGACATTGCGGTCTTGTTGTAACTGTACTGAACCTCGTTCAGATCTTCATTTGTGATAGCAATTATATTTGAAAGTTCTTCCAGAACATTGTTTCTATCCTGCGCTGTTTCTTGAGAAATATCTGAAACCGTTTTTAGCATTCCCACCTTGGAGAGGTACTCACCTATTGGCCCTTCAGAGTTATAGTCTTCTGCACGTGCAATCCAGCCATAGGCCTTGGACTCGAAATCTCCTCTCTTCTCCATCCACTCCTTTTTGCTGCAACCTTGGTTCTCAAATTCCTTCTCGAGCTCTGTTGCACTCCCAAACCCACTCCAGTCGTTTTTAAATTTAGCAATAACCCCAACAACCGAATCTTGTTCGACCCAAAAGGCATTCACCTCAACAGGATTGAATCTAGAAAGCCTCTTCAACCAATTAGCCGAATCAAGTAGAAATTCCTTGTCATCGGTTTCTTCCAAGGGTTTAATGACAACCCCCATCCATGGCCAGACATAGATGTCACCCGGTTTTACTTCCGACCCGTTAGACTGAGGAACCGGAGGGCGTGGAACAGGTTCTGCATCACCAGCAAGCTCCTTCTCTAAAAACATTGCCAAGGCGAGATGATTAGCCTTCTGTTTAGCATTTCTGTTGGAAGATCCTTTGGAAACCCCAGAAGCATGTGCAATCAACTCCTTGTACTTGTAATCTTGCTTTTTCTTGCCTGCACAAAACGGGCATCTCAGCATTCCGTTCACCTTAACCTTGAGCTCACCGTTCTGCAACCGCAGGTATGGTTTCTCAGAATAGTCATCAATCTCTGACTCGCTGACCTCAGACTCTTCACCATTTGCATTATCCATCCTACCTGCTTTACCTGGAACACAACTGACACATTTCTTGAGATAGGAACTTTTACAGGTGAAACAGTTGAAATAAGCAATCAAGAGGATGATTCAGTCACCGAACAAGCTAAAGAATCGAGATACTTTTGGCTTAAAATGAGTATGTCATATCAGAAAGCAAAAACGTCACCAGATAGACCATGCAGCAAAGTTTTCTGATGATAATCCTGAAGATGAAGATATGAGACTCAATTTCTAGCAAACTGAGTCGATAATATCGAAATCCCAAGAGCAAGAGAAACCCTAGGCAGGAACTAAGCTTAAAACTCCCAAAAATTTAATATCGGAAGGAGCAAAAGAGACGAAATTGATAACAGCATTTACAAAATCTATTAGGGTATTCACGCGTGCATGATAAATAACAGAACGAAACCCAAATTATCATACAGACGATGTGAGTAAAGCGTTGAAGCACGAGATACCCAGAAGAAACACGATACGAAAAAACTCATTGGTAGATTTCACTATATGAACAGAGAGTAGAATAAACCTGGAGTTTACGTGAGACGGGGAAGAAACGAAAACAAGGCGATGAAGCGAGGGTTGATAAAGAGAGGAGAAGAGTAAAGAGTAAAGAGTGAGGACTGAGGGATTCCGACGACCTTACTAGGCAAATACGCCGCGTTAGGAAATGTTAGGGCTTAGCCAAAAAAGTAGAGTAAATTAAGGGATGTAAAGGAAAAGAAAAAAAAACAGAAAATATCAGGAAAAAAAAATCATGTCAAGAGTGGGATTTGAACCCACGCCCTTTCGGACCAGTACCTGAAACTGGCGCCTTAGACCAACTCGGCCATCTTGACTCACGTTTGACCATGTTACATGTTTAAAATATCGAGCCGTCCGATTTTGTTATTTGTGACGAAATATGGAAATGGCTTTCGCTCGGTTTGCGAGTTTAAAGTTCGATTTTCAATTTGTCTTTCCTAGCAAAACTTTGAATTTAGATTCGTCTTATCTTGTTTGAATCGATTTAGGTTAGTCTGGATGTACTGACTGTATATTGGAGTAGAAAAAAAAGGAATCCACTTCTATTTTTACTTTCCCTGGGTCAACACAGGTAAAAATACTTGACCGGCCTTTTAAATAAAAGCAAAACCGGTTCTGAAAATCGATGTTACCTCGGATTAATCGAAAATAGTTGAGCAGTTTTGCCTTTCGATAATCTTCAGATTTCACGAATATAGTCTTGGATTGGTACAGTTAATTAAACCCCTTCACTTTTGAACTAACACACTCACATAAACTCTTCCAGGGCTTTAATCAGATTCCGAAACAAAGTGAAGGACCTTTTATTTATTACGACCTCTGGAAAAATTTCAGACTTTTCATCATATAACAATTACAAACGAGAAGATTACCAAAACTGTGATGATCGAATCGATCAACATTTTGATCAAATTGCGAGATCCTATTTGAGAACCGGACATCGACAAGCTTCGTAGCCGAAACAAGAAAAAGTCGAATCTTGACAATTTTTTCTCCGTAACCAAAGCAGTAGTAAGTTGGTACAAAAGGCATTCAAACCGGCAGGATCGGTCGGGGTTGACCCGGTTCGGGACGTGACCTGCGAGATTTCCTCCAAAGGAAAAGAAGGAAAGCGGCGATCACAACTCCAATGGCGTCCGCGACGGCGTCTCTCGCGGAGGCACCTGCGGAAGGGAAGACACCAAACTGATCGGCAGCTTCTTTAGCCGCACCGGCGGCGAGTGAGAAGGCAGATCCGATCCAGATGGAGTGACGTCGTAGAAAGGAGTGGCGAGAGAAAGCAGCGAGAGTAGAGAAGAGGAGAGAGATGGAGAAGCAGAAAACTAGATGGTACAATTTGTCCGGAGCAAGCCAAGGGTCTTCTCCACCACCATTCGATTGCGTCTCTCCCATCTATCGCTTCTTCTTCTTAATGGATTAAGGCTAAAAAAACTTTTATCGCGTAACCAAATTTGGGAAAAAGGAGAAAACTTTAAAGAAAGAAAATCAAAAGAGATTGAGAGGAAACAGAGAAATGGTAACGTACCTTGAGATTATACTGTATATCTGGAACTGGAGGAGGTAACATAGAAAACGATAGATAACAAAAACAACTTTCAACTTGGCAACGAGATGAATGTAGCACACAAGCAGAACATAAAACCAAACCAAACTCAAACATACTCGAAAAGTCGCTGAAACAAAAACAGAAGCTATAATAAAAACACACAACCAGATTTAACAAATGAGAGGATACAAACTTGAACATACAGCTGGTGCCTTATGAGCCTTCTTCTTCAAACCCATTTCAAACCACTAACCGGTGCCTTTACGAGCCTTCTTCTTCAAACCCATTTCAACCCTTAATTATTTATTATGTGTCTCGAACTCAGAGGCAGCTTCGGGCAGGCTCGGACGGTGATCTCTCTCAGGTTTGGAAGAGCCCGAGGATTCTGGCAGATTATCTTCAGTTCGTTCATACCACTCACTTCAAGGTGTTCCAGCTTTTTAAGCGGTGCACCAAGACGCGGGTGCTCATTGCTAATACGCATTCCTTTCTCTACATCTATCACCTCTTGTACGCTTGGTGACCTCATCACATATAGATACCTGAGATTCTGAGCATATGCCACCCATGTCAAATCCCTTGGACCTTCCAACCCACTTATCGTGATACTGGATAGCTGCGCGAAGCTTGGAGACGTTGTACGTGAGTCTATCTTTATCTCTGAGATTTTGCAACTCACAACCGAGAGTCTCTGAAGACCACCCAGAGCTACCGTGTTCAACATCACAACAGGTGTTGACACCTTCCTGATACATAGATATCGAATACAAGTAGCCAATGTTACCACTCTCTGTAGGCTTTCCAAAACCGCAGCATCCTCTACGTTTACGTGTAAAAGCTTCAAGTGCTTCAGCAGTTGTAACTCTCGCATCAGTCTGTCATCAATAAAAACACCGGAAAAGTAGAATTTCAACACTTCAAGATTTGATAAACTTGTCACTACACCAACAATGCCTTCAAGTTCATAAGTAAAATCCAGATTCAAGACGATTAGACTCCTCAGCTTCATCATACCAACTGGTAGTGATTTTATCCCCGTGGATGATAAATTCAGGTACTGCAGGGAGACCAAGTTGGAAATTTCTTCCGGCAATCCAGTTAGACCCTCGTTGTCTGACAGATCCAACACCACAAGCGCTGGCATAAACCTAAAGAACTCACCTGAAATATCCACCAACTTGTTCTTCTGCAGTAACAAGGTCGAAAGATTTGGGCAGTTTGGATTGCAAGATATCTCTGCAATTTGATTGCTCATTAAACAAACCCTTCTTGCAACCTTCCAACTGATGTCCTTGGGCATCTGGTCCAACCATAAACCGGATTTCACACAGAGTATATTGTTCTGTTTCCCAAAGTCAGTCGCTATCAAAAGAGCCACCTCGCGTACCAAACCATGCATTTTCACTCTCCCTGGACAATTCATCAACAGCTGTGCAGACACTAACAAGTTAATTATATCACGACCTTGCTTTTCTTCACCTCTGCTTCCATCTATCAATCCTTCGCATTTCCAATATTCTATCAAGTCATCCTTGTTTATTTCATGAGCTTCCGGAAACAAAGAACAATAAAGGAAGCATAGTTTGGCTTTTTCATCCTCCAACCTATCGTAGCTGAACTTCAGCAGAGGAAAAACACGTTCTTTCGTACATAAAAGAAACTCTTCGTTACACGAAACCAGAGCCTCAATCGCATGACTCCATTCCAGAACATCCCTTGTATCTGCCATGGATTTGCCAACGGCGTTGAGTGCAAGTGGCAAACCGTAACATATACTAGCAACTACTCTTGCTAATGTTGGTATCTCCGGATGGCTCCTTAGTGTTAATGCTCCAAGTTGTTCTTGAAACAGCTCCCAGGCTTCATCTGGTGATAAACGAGCAACTTCCATCACTTCATCAGCCTCCATGTCTCCGCAGATTTTCTCAAACCGACTAGTAAAAACTATCTTGGATCCGTTTTGCTGAGTCACACGTGGAACTCCTACCTTGTTCAGGTCTACTTTGCTCCAGAGATCATCCAACAACAGCACAAACTTCTTTCCGTCAAGGATGTTGTATATCTCATAAGCTTTCTCCTCTTCTGTCTCTTTTTCCCAGTCCTCGTCAACACGTAGTCTTCTCAAAATCTGATCCTGAATCCCCTCATATTGCAAGTCTTCAGAGGCCAAAACCCAAATAACAAGATCAAAGTCATAAACCTCTTCAACAAGCTTATTGTTAATACTAGCTAAGAGGGTAGTTTTGCCTACTCCCCCCATACCGTAAAGACCTAAAACTCTTGCTCCATCTTTCATGAGGCGGTTACATGCCCTTTTGACCTTTTTCTCCAGACCAATAGTGGCTTTGATTTGCTTCTTCACCACCTTAGATGCAGGAATTTTCTCTGCTACAATTTCAAAAACTCCACTTGATAGAAGTCCTTCAACTTTGTTCAACGTCTTCAATACATTTCCACCACGGTACAATCTTTTATAAGTTTGAGCTGACCTAGCCTCAAGCAGATCATTGACTTAAGACTCAAGACTTTCTACCTTTGAAAACCATTCTTGGACTTGGGCAAGCCGTTTAGAACCTTCATCTTCTTCAATGAAAACCCTTCTTGCCACATCATCTCGTCTCTCCTTGAGTTCTTGCATAGACTTCATTAGAGACTCGAGAGCTGCCTCGTCTCTGCGCATGTCATCTTTTTGTTGTGACACAGAGTTCCCCATTTTGCTCAAATTTTTTCAGAAAGCAGCTGATATTTCTGTCAAAAAAAAAAAAAAAAGAGAAGGGGACTAAATGGTGGGGGAGAAATAGGAATACATATTACCAATCATGCCTTCTTGACTTGACTAAACTAAAAATAAAATAATAAGTCAAACAGCAATTTTCTTTTAGTTTATATGAAAGTGGCAGCTTCAGGGAAAATCAGATGTTTGATTGGGATGTCACTGCATCTAAAACCAATAATTGATATAATGTTATTGAACGTGGCAGCTTCCAGGAAAGTCAGCAGTTTCATATTCATAAAATGATAATTAACTAAACAACAAATGTGAAGTGCACGTTTCTCTTTCAACTAATGTAATACATTCTGCTACTGAAGTTTCCTTTCCATAGTCTCACATGAATATTTTTCGTACAATAATTTGAATCTAATTACGTACACATCAATAACACACACTGTGAAGTTTGAAGCATTCGTCAAATGCAACATTTATCATAAGATAAAACTGTATAAAGACATTAGCCAGGTGAGTCGAAACCAAAACGCAAGCCAAACTAAGAACAGAGAGGGGTAATGAAAAGGACCACATTCGCCTCCACACCTGAAGATACTTATACGTGCGAGACCATCTGCTGGCTTTTAGGAACGTTTTTCTGACACCTTCCTCACATTATTCTTTGTCCTGTCTCTCAAACTCAGTGGCAGCTTCGGGCAGGCTAGGACAATGAACTCTTTCAGGCATGGCAGAGCTCGAGGATTCCGGCCGATTATCTCTAGTTCAGCCATACCACTTAATTTAAAGTGTTCCAGCTTCCCAAACGGTGCAGCAATACTTGGATGCGCATTGCAAATACTGATTGCTTTCTCTGTGTTTATTATCTCCTGTATGCTTGACGACTCCTTCACAACTAGATACCTGAGGTTCTGAGCAAATACCAGCCATGTCAAATCCCTCGGACCTTCCAAATCACCTATATGGATCCCGGTTAGTTGCTTGAAGCTTGGAGGAGCACTTGTACATGGAAGAATCTCCTTGCTTTCTTTGCTTTTCCCGTCTATCTCTATCTCAGAGAGTTTGCACTTCACAACAGCAAGATGTTCAAGACCACTCAGAGCCACCGTGTTCAGTATTACAACCGGCGCTGACATCTTTCTGATACACAAAGTTTGTATGCAACTCGCAAGTCGCACCATTCCTTGTACACTTTCCAACACCACGGCGTCCTCTATCGTTGCCTTCAACACCTTCAAGTGCTCCATCACTTGTAGCTCTTTCATCAATCCCTCATCGATACAGACACCGGAATGCAACAGCTTCAAGACTTCAAGGTCTGGTATACTCGTTGATATCCCGGCAATGCTTTCAAGCCCGGGAGTGAAGTTCAGATCCAACTCCATCAGTCTCCTCAGCTCCTTTATACCAGCTGGTAATGATTTTATCCCTGTGTGTGACAAGTTCAGGTATTGCAAGAAGCCTAAGCTGGAAATTTCATCCGGCAATCCAACAAGACTCTTGTTCTCGGAAAGATCCAACGAAACAAGTGCTGGCATGAACCTAAAGAATTCACCTGGGATATCAACCAACTTGTTGTCCCGAAGGATCAAGGTCAAAAGCTTGGGGCACTTGGGACTGCAAGATAACTCAGTAATCTGATTACTCATTAAAGACATCCATCTTGCATCCTTCGAACTGATGTCCTTGGGCACCCGGTGTGACCAAAAGCAAAATATTTCTTTCTTGTTTGCAAAGTAAGTTGCTAACAAAAAAGCCATCTCACGCACCACATCATGCACTTTCACTCTCGTGCTGACTTCACCATCCATCAGTAGGTGTGCACCAAGTAACAAGGCAATCATCCTATCCCCTTGCTTGTTAGTTCCATCTTCATCCCTCTTTCCATCTACAAACCCTTCGCGTACCCAATACTCTATCAACTCATTCTTCTCTATTTCTTCCGGAAACAGGGAACAATACAAGAAGCACAGTTTGACTTTTTTATCCCTTAAGTTATCAAAACTGAACTTCAAAAGAGGAACGAGGGTCTTTTCTTCCGTAAGTAGAAGTAACTCAGGGTCAGGGAAACTCAGAGCATCAATCGCGTCCTTCCACTCTTTAACTGTCTCTTTATATGCCATTGATGCGCCAACGGTATTGAGTGCAAGTGGCAGTCCCTTACATTTACGAGCGACTTTTCTTGAAAGCTCGAATATACCTTGATGGCTGTCTAATGTGTAGTTTCCAACTCTCCTTTGAAACAAAAGATACGCTTCAAATGATTCTAAACAAACAACTTCCATCACTTCATCAGCCTCCATGTCTGTGCAAACTTCCTTAGAACGAGTGGTGAAAACTATCTTGGATCCATTTTCTTGAGTCACAGGTGGAACTCCTACTCTTGTCAGATCTACTTTGCTCCACAGATCATCCAATAACAGCACAAACTTCTTTTCGTTGAGAATATTGTATATCGCATAAGCTCGCTGCTCTTCTGTTTCTTGTTCCCATTCCTTGTCAAGATCTAGTCTTCGCAAAATCTGATCCTGGATGCCTTGATACTGCAAGTTTTTGGAGACCACAACCCATATAACAACATCAAATCCATATATCTCTTCAAGACACTTATTGTTAATACCAGCTAAGAGGGTGGTTTTGCCTATTCCGCCTATACCATGTAGACCCAAAGTTCTTTTTTGTCCATCTTTCATGAGGCGGTTCCATGCCTTTTTGACCTGTGTCTCCAAGCCAACACTAGTTGGGATATGTTTCTTCTCCGCCTTAGGTGCAGTGATCTTCTCAGCCACCGTTTCAAAAACTCCATTAGATAGAAGTCCTTTAACTTCGTTCAACTTCCTCATCACCTTTCTACCATAATAACAGCCTGATATGGAATTCAGAGAACAATAACCGCAAAGACACAAGCTTTTAGTTTGGGTTGACCTTGTCTCAAGCAGATGATTGACTTTAGACTCGACACCTTCGACCCTTGAAAACCATCCTTGAACTTGGGCAAGCCGTTGCAAACCTTCGTCTTCTTCTTCTGTGACAACTCTTCTTAGCAAATCATCTCGTCTCTCCTTGAGCTCTTGCATAGCCTTCTGTAGAGCCTCGAGATTTGCACCCATCATGTGCATGCGATTTCCATCACCAAACATATGTAGTGATACACAGTTCCCCATGTCGCTCAAAATTTTAAGAAAGCAGCCAAAAAATTCGGCTAAGAAGTGCCGGAAACAACACGAGAGGAGAGACTAAATGGGTGGAGAGGAATTAGGAATACATACGTTACCAAATTGCATCAAAGAACTGTGCCTTCCAAGGAAAAAAAGTCAAACAGCAATTTCTTTTTGTTTATATGAAAGTGGCAGCTTCTAAGAAAGTCAGATGTTTGTTGGGATGTCACTGCATCTAAAACCAATAATTGAGATATAATGTTATTGAAAGTGGCAGCACATTTCTCTTTCTAACTAATGTAATATTCTGCTAGCCAAAGCTTCTTCCCTCATGCAGTCTCACATAAATATTTGTCTCAGGAAGATATGAATCGTTGATAAAACTAAAACTCAGAAAACATCCGATCCCACGTCAGTGACACAGTGAGTTCGTAGCCATTCATCAAATGCAACATATATTCAGAACATAAAACCACGTACAGACATTAGCCAGGCTATGACTAAAAAACCAAAACGCAAGCTACGTACAGAGACAAGAATCACATGAGAAGAAGATTATTATTTTTGGTAGCTGAGACAATAATTTACGTTGCTGAGACATAATTCGTTTGCATTGGTTTGTGACTTGGGAGAGTGGGAATGAAGGTATGGATGGTCCGGATGGAGCGGTTTGGTCCGAACATTCCCTGGACCAAGGCGACCTTTTTTTATCATTGGCTAATCCGACGTGTCACTGGTAAGGTTTGACTAGAAGATGTGGGTCAACTATTCAACGTATATATAATCTTAGTGTAGGGTGAAAAACACTGGATCAGAGCCCCTAATCTTTGGTCATTCTTCAATTAAATTACTGATTAAGCAAAATGGAACTTATTTGCCATTGAAGGGGCACGCAGAAATTCTGTCTGCGTCTCCGAACGAACTCTCTTCTTCTTCTTCTTCTCTCGATCAGATCCGTTTTGCTTTTCTCGATATCGAACCAATTGGATCGCATCTTTGGAAAATTCTCGAGGAGGAGGAAGAATAACCTTTGATCTGAGAAAAGTTTCGCATCTGATTTATATCGGGTAAAAAATCGTCTCTTGCCGGAATAGAGACGACCCTTTTTCGAAAAGGATAGACTTTGACTGATTCGGTGGACACCATGGATGTTCCTAGCTCTTGGGATGCTTTACGGAAACAGGTAGTTTCTCTTTGAATTCTTGTGTTATTTGATTCGAAGCTACTGGGTAATTTCTTTAGGACACGTGAAATTTTTGAAGTCTGTATTGGAACTGAGTTTTGGAGACCTGAATTGATATATGTTTATGGGTTCTAATGGAATTGGGGAACTTTTCGGTCATTTCTTTCGATTGGATCCAACGTGAATGTTAATATGCATTCGCCGTCGGATTACTTAAATGTGTTTGTTCTCATTTGAATCCCACAGGCCAGAAAGATTGAAGCTCAGCTTGACGAGCAGATGCATTCATATCGCAGACTTGTTTCGACAAAGGCGTTAACAAAGTCAGATGGTGCAGAGAGTGATCTTGAAGCTGGGATCGACTTACTGCTAAGGCAGCTGCAACAAGTAAACGCGCAGATGCAAGCATGGGTTTCTTCAGGTGGATCAGAAATGGTCTCGCATACTTTAACTCGACATCAGGAGATCCAACAAGATCTGACACAGGTATTATCCATTTTCTGACACAGACCAGCTAATTAATTACTTAATTATTTGGCTTGGGTTTGATTATATACACTGATTAGCAATAGAATGAATGTCATGTTTTGCAACCACAGTTGCGTTTGGACTAGTTTATGACTCAACCTTTGTTGTAAATCAGTCCTGTATGTATGACTCATTTCAAAATGCAGGAGTTTTATCGACATCGCTCCAGTCTTAGAGCAAAACAAGAGCATGCTTCACTTCTTGAGGACTTTAGAGAATTTGATCGGACTAGATTAGACTTAGAAGATGGGGATGGGTCTACAGAACAATCCCTGCTCAAGGAACATGTGGGAATCAACCGCAATACAGCACAGGTATATAAAATCCTTCGCCAGTAACCGTTGTTAAATTCCACAGATGTATATCATATGTTAAGCTGCGTGTTATATAAACGATGCAGATGGATGGTGTCATTTCACAAGCCCAGGCGACACTTGGTACACTCATGTTTCAGCGTTCAACTTTTGGAGGCATCAACTCAAAGCTTAGCAATGTCACCAGCCGTCTACCCACGGTACAAAGAGCTTCCCTTTCTCTTATTTACAAACTTTTTTGCTCTTTGCCTTCTTTCGGTTCGGGTTCTTACCTCACTCTGCGATTCTATGGTTAAAACCACTGCAGGTGAACACTATTCTGTCAGCGATAAAGAGGAAAAAGTCGATGGATACAATCATTCTTTCACTCGTTGCTGCTGTATGCACATTTCTCATATTCATCTACTGGTTAACCAAGTAAAATTTGCCCATTTCTTTCGATTCATGTCTCTGTTGGGCCACGAGTGGTTTTCCCATGATGTTCATTTGTTCTGTGATAATCGGTGTTCTAGAAAAGAATCTAAAAACATAAATATTTTGTGTACAGCAAGTTTCATCCCTATCTTTGCAGTTTAGATGAGTTTATACAACCCTCTCTGTTCCTCTCAAATCTTTTACTGGATAATTTTTTTAGCTGTGTAGTATGTTGCGATATTGAGAAGAAGGATACAAGAATTTGAGAATAAATCTGGCTTTCATAAAATCATAATCAATAAATAACTTATGTATCAACTTCATACATATTTGTATGCCATATTGCCATGTCACACAAATTTGGAAGCTAAAAATTGGGTGCTTAAGAATGTAGTAAAGAGAAGATTCTATTTTTGCTCAACATAAGATTTAACACACTCCATCCATCGAATATACTCGGCTTTATCTTTGTTCTTCATGTACTGATGCAAGAACACAGCAAGATCATCACTTATACCTCTTTCCTCCAAAAATCGATAAACAGAGTCCTGAAGTTCATCTTCCATTTCCCTGTAAAACCGTCAAAAACCAAGCTTAGTTGCATCTTCACATCAGAAACCAAAAGAAATGGATCGTTATGTATTCAGGACACTGTACTCGAATTCTGGTCCGATATAGGCATTTGGTGAGCTCTTGCTGCTTTTACGAACAAAGAACTTGGAGATCTGTATGGTATCAGGCCAAGCAGAACACATGATCTCCAAGGTCTCACCATCACCACCCTTGGAAACGTTGACAACGAAGGTAATGTGAAGCTGAACATCTTCAGGGTCACTGCTTGTGGATTTTGATGATGGAACTGATCCATCAAACATGGTTGCTTCGATCTTAATGTCTTCCTTGTCCCCAAATTTTCTTTTCAAGCTAATCCACTGCTCCCCTGGCCGCTCATCCACCGTGAATGGACCAAACCTGTCCTCAGGCTGCGATTTCGTATGCAAACAAAGATTATCAAAAGAGATTTACTCGAGAGCAGCATTTCACAAAACGTTGATTCCATTTCCGAAAAGTGTCAAACGTTTCTAATTAACAAACTGCAGAGAGGAGTCGAAACAATAAACAGAATACCTGGAGCGGCGGGGAGTGATGGAGCTCGGACGAAATCTCCGATCGAATTAATCGGAGAATGTTACCCTCAAAAGCTGACTTGCGCATTTCCGACACATAACTCCCCGAGCTTAGAAATTTGCGGCTGATTGAGACACAAGGGCTTTGATATGACAGGACGCATATTCTAGGATTTCGTACCGAAATCGAAGGCGATGAACTACATACCACAGCCCTTCTCAAACATCTGACAAGACGAGACATTGACAGAGACGAACAACACAGGAGCAGAAGCAAAAGATTGGGGCTTTTCCTAGGGTTTAAGAGAAATTCTGAGGATTTCTATTTGCGGGGTTTACGGTAATCTATTAGAATTGGTGGTATAAGCTAATCACTACCGTCCACTTCAAAATGAATCTGATGGTTATAAATTGTTCAAACGCGGGTAGCAGAGAGATAAGCCACTGCTTCAAATGTAATTCAATCAATTCAAAATCGTTTTGGACCAATTTGTCGTTGGTTGGTTACAAATACAAGTTGATATAATAGTTCAAACATAAATGTGTTCCCCCTCTATTGAAGTTAATCACATGTAACAAGAATCATATAATGTGTTCTTTTATAATGTTTTAAGGATAAAAAAAACTGAAATAAAAATTGCGCTGAATCTGTTTGCTGAGCCCAACGATCCTGCAAGCCAAACCGAAACACAGAGTTTAGTCAACCAACTACCGAAAGAGTAAAGAGGATTCGAGTTTAAACTGCGTTTTGAAAAAAGAGTACTACTCACTCAAGTAAAAGATTTGACGCTTTGAAGCTGAGAATTGAGGAGACTCGTAAAGTTGTTAAAGCTTTCAGGTTTGTTTTTCACGAATCCACTCAACAAAATTGTCGAGAACCAATGGCCATGCAAGCTCTGGATTGTACTCCGTCATTTCCGGGAAACTTATCTGTAAATGTTATTAAAAAAAAAACAATCCTCTATAGTTAGTTGATGAAGCTGCTAAGCGCGTGAACTAAGAGAACTAGGAAACATACCTCGTTACAGAATCGGTAAAATCCCATCCATTGATCCATGTTTATGACTTTGTAGTCGTTTTGGATCTGTCTCGAACAAAAACAAACAAACATGGTGAGATGATAAGATTACGAGTTAAACATTCGAGAAATGAAAAAAAAAAAAAAAAAAGATGAGGCTTTGAGTGATCCAGACCTTTAAATACTCGACAAAGTAGTCAACTTGGGCTCGGAATGTAGATCCCATGACGATATCCAGGAGTTGGCATATAGTCTCTATGTCTATGCTCTTCTGTTTCTCCTCTGCATTTAACAGTAAACAAGGGTCATACAAACATTAAAAAAAAAATACAAATATCTAGTTTCAGAAGCTGAAATGAATCTTTACCTGTTAAGCAATAGCGGAAGGCATAAGCATAGAAATCAGCAAAATTTGATTGCCTCCGGACCTAAAAGAATCAATATATAAAGCAGAAAAAGCTTAACATGATTAAGTCGTAAGGATGCTCATAAGATTATCAGAGATCAAAATAAAAGCATGAAACGAACCTCTTTCTCGAGCTCGGGAAGGCCTTTCTTCAGTTTACTGATTGTATCAGCTCTTAAAGCCTTGAGGCCTCTTCTCCACTCCTCCTACAGATGTACAGAGTGAGTCGATAATATCAGGAAATAATAAAGTACCAAACTTAAGTGGCATATCAGAGGAAAAAGGATCTCACCTGTGTAAAGTAACCTTGTTTCTCAGCTTTCATTTTCCTGCCATGTGAGAGTGTAAAAGTGTTAAGGATATGTAGTTGTGGTTAGATCAAAAAAAAAAGTTAAAGAAATTTTTTGATGGATAATAATTACCAAGCAAGCATCAAGATTCTGATGTCCGTATGGGACACTTCCAAATTGGAGCATAGTTCCTCTATTCCTTCAGGGCTGTTGAGGTGATACCATAAACATTAAGATCATAGAACAATAATGTTATGGCGGGAACTTGATGTCACAGAAACAATGATCAAGATTCAAGTTTTTGAACATCCATTCCATAGAAAGCTCAATGATACTGGCGAAACCGAGCTTAAGAAGATAAATGGTTCGATACTTACTCAATCAGATTGGAAGATCTATTGGCATACTGATTAAACAAATGATCTATTCGATCCATTTCTTTAGTCGACGCCTTACTCGAAGCTGAACAAACACACACACACACAAAATTATACAAAAGTCATAACAAAGCAGAAATGTTTATACAAAGCTACGAAAGATATAAAGAAGAAGTTGATTCGAAAAGCCTTATTCGATTCAATTGTCAACTACTGATTCAGAGTGTTCAATTATTCAAAATCCATGAGTATTCGTTTTTTTTTTTTTTTTTTTTTTTGTCATTCATCGCCCTCAATTCCCATCACAAGGTGATGAGATTCTAATCCAATTTCGAAGTAAAAGATGAAAATCACAAGAAATTTACAAAATACAAACCAAGAAATCAACTTTGAGCATAATAATTACACATAAACCCTAGACGGATTTGGATCATAAAGAAGGAAATGGATTAAGGGCAGAGGGAGAGAGAGAAACCTGAGCGAAAGAGATCCGTGGTGGAAGATGTGATTGAATCAACGTTTGATTGACCTGATTTCTTCTTCGATGCAGAACGACGCATCTGGACAGACAGAATCGCAGAGAGTCAGAGAAAGAATATCTGGGAAGAGAAAGTATGTATTAAACATGCAGAAGGAAGAAAGAGAAAGAGAGAGAGCGAATTTAAGAAAAACCCAGAAAAGGAAAGAGTAAGAGAGAAGAGGCACACCACGAAAGAGAAACACGAAAAGCTTCTAGATGGGGAAAATCTGAGAGACGAGCCACCTGATTGGAAGAGAAAGAACGATTAGTATATGATTCTCTTGATAACACCCTTTTTATATGTACTGTATTTTTACTTTTATCGGCTGTATATGTTTAATTATTCTATTATACACACATATTTACGCGCATTTTTTATTTCCCGACGAGATACTAATTCAATTTTTCTTGTATAAGATGATATCTAATACCAAATATTTATAGGATCAAGATGTACAAATGTCATGTTTATCTCCATATAAATTCATAATCATATCTTTATACAGTGATGTACCTATGTTTAATATACTCCAATTTCCAATTTATACTAATAACTTCACATTTATCAAATTTACCTAAATGATTTATTTATTATATAAATTTTCATATAAATTTTCTACATTTAAATTTAAACTGACCCCAAAAAAAAAGTTTCCCTTCCTACAAACTTTTCATAAACAATGTCACACGCAAACTTGGTTGGATCCGTCCACCATGTTTGAGTGATTCGATGATTGACTCGGAAATCAGGAGAAATATCAGAATGACTTGCAGCTTACTCATCAGCCACTGACTACTTCAAGCTTAAGCTTTAGTCACTTGTGATAACTTCATGGGATAATCAGGTTTGCTCCTTATTCTTCTGTATCTCTCTGCTTTAAGAATTATTATTTAATAAAAGTTCATCTGTCTTCTCTTGTGACCCTCTTTTGGAAGAATCAATATGCTATTGTTGCAGTTGTGCGTCTCTTATTGCCATAGCATCACATAGTGTACTGTATTAGAAGACTGGCGCAGCATCGCGTCTTACACAGGTCAAATTGTGTTGGTTCCAGGAAATGGATGTAAAGGTCACTGGTCAATAGCCAGATCAACCAGCAGAACTGGAGTTTCTCGCTCCTGAAACCCGGTGCAGTACATGGACCGGAAAAAAATTTAGGTTCTTCCCTCGTCATGTGTTTTCTGCAGTCTAGGAGCCAAAGATTGTTTCACTTACGCTTCTGTAAGATTGTGTGATCTATACTAGTCATGAATCAGATGGTAAAGGAGCAGTTTTGAATCAACTCATAGAGTGACTGTTACAGTGATAATTCTCTTCTAGATATTTCTTTGCCAGTATCATTTATTTTGAATCAACTCATAGAGTGACTGTTACAGTGAGAAACCAAAGAGAGATGATAAGTTAACAACTATAACTTACTGTTTACTTTACAACAACTGTTACAAAAAAGATAATCCTAGTACACAATTTCTGATACAAATCAACATAGTCCCATAAGAGATGAGCATTTTGTGATAATCCTCAAGGCCAATCAACATGGGAAAAAAACCTAGACTATTTGGCCATGTTAACAGATTTGTAACTAGCAAAGATCCTTACACGGTTTTTCTGTTACCATCGTCTTCTGTAACGGGTTTTGTCCGCCTTCGGCGACCAGAAGCTTTTCCTGTCTGAAGTGTATAACCAGCATTCTTGAGATACCAAAGCGCTGCTTCTGCTGCCTGCTCAGCTGCGATCTTCTTCTTGTTCTGTGGATCCCCAAAACACTCCAAAACCGTTATCCTGGAATCCTCCTTCATTTCAACCGTTACTTTGACCATAAATCTGAGAAAGAAAAACAAAAAGTCATGTCAATGCTAAAAGGTGTCATCCTGAAAGAAAGAAACATGTAAGAGAGAGTGCAGAAATGATGTGCATCACTTACAATCTCACATTGCAAGGTCCGTCTTGGTCGCTGCAATCGTACGCTGGTGCTTTCCAATGCCTCACACCACATAACGTATACAACTGTTCTTTGGCCGATACTTTCTGAGTCCCTTCTGATAACAAATCAAAAAGTCACATACAAGTGAAACAGCTTGCATTGTCATAACTAAACCCGAAACTCGAACATAATTGACAAGTTTCAGTTTTTGAGTCAGCTAAATTTTGAGGAACGCAGCAGTTTGGGAACATATCACTCAAAATTGTCTCATTCTATAGCAACAGCTAAACCCTAAACCCAGCAAATCCATTTCTTCATAAATTGATGAAACTAAAATAAGTAACATGTGAACAGAAAACAGTAACTTGAGTTGTGGGATCTTGTGTATAAGGAACCAAACCTGGTTCTGGTTCTGGTTCGGCAAGTACAAGATTCTTCTCATTTGCATGTGTGATGTTTGGCTGAATCTGTAATGTGTTATTGTCTTCTTCAACAACATCATCGTTCAGCTTCCTCATCTTAGATCCATTTTCGCATCTCTGTAGCATCATCCTCGGAATTGGTCTCTGATAATTAAACAAAAACAATATAACGCATTGTCGTTAAAATTAACTGATCCAGCAAAAGAAAACAAAAGCTAGGGATTTTCCTCCATTTTACACTGGGTTTAAACTATTGCGGAAATAACTAACAAAGAAAAAACCAAAAATTGATTTATTTTCCTCTCCAATTTACTAGACTTCAGCACGAATTGAGAAAGAAGCAAATTTCTATATCGAATCCGAATTTCTTACCGCAGAGGAAGAGGTGGGAATTGATGAGGGGTCTAGAGGAGGGAGATACATCGTCGCGACTGAAGAGATAAATCGTTTAAAAAAAAAAAGTATATTGGATTGAATAATTAGCTTTCGGCTGCTTTCTCTACCTCGTTAACTCCTCCTCTAAGCTTCCCCAACAATCTAATCTGTTGTACTTCGGAGAAGAGATATTGTCAACTGTACTGCTACCTGTAATTAATTAAGTTCATTGGGCTTAAAATTAGAATAGGCCTTTATTTCTTTTGGTAAATTTACGGCCCACAATATCGACCCGTTTTCTCCCACCTCCATCCACATTGTTTGAAATTGAATGCACATGCACTCAAGGGTTTTTTCTTTTTCTTTGGCAGTTCAGAAATGGGAGTTGATTAGCATGATCCGTGACTAAATTATCTGAAGAAAATTGTTTCTACTTTCGCGTAAAGAATACTTATAAATTTGTAAGTCAACGTTTTGAAGGAAGATAGAGTTTGCAGACAATGAAGATAAGCATCAAGTGAATGGGCAAACGCATTTAATTACAACGGTGGCACATTATTCTAAAATCATCATTCATACCTACTTAATTAATGAATCAACTATGTATATACACGCAAGTTGCTATACTCTATAGACTACTACAATTCAGTTCTTCTAGTCTTATACACCCTTCACCTCTATTTTAAACAGAACAAAATAAACAGAAAAACACTATGAAAGCAAAACATCTTCTTGTGATTGGATTTTTGTTCCCACTACTACTTTCAATCACTCACGCCACAGCGTCTATATCAGACCAAGAAGAGAACGCAAACGCCGAAGCTGTAGGCATAAAGGAGCAAAAACAAATAAACAGAGGAAGACGCAGTGGTAGCCGTCAGAATCGTGGGCGCAGAAACTGCGATCCACTGTACCAATACTTGTTCGGAGTCTGTGGCCGTTGGCCTTTCCCTACAACACCTTCACCGGAAAACCCTTTTCTCCCTTTCCAACCACCGCGTCCAAGGCCTTCTCCACCGCCGTTGGTTCCATCACCACCACCACCGCGTCCACCATCACGTCCACGACCGCGCCCAAGGCCGAATCCACCGCCTTTAGTTCCATCACCACCACCACCACCGCCTCCACCGCTCGTTCCTTCACCTCCTCCTCCCTCTCCTCCACCGTTTTTCTGGTTCCCTTCGCCGCCACCGCCACTGATAGCGTTCCCGCCACCGCTAGTACCGTCTCCTCCGCCGCTGCAACCAGGCTTGGATCCGATGATACAGCCACCGCCGTTATGGCTTCCGCCACCACCTCCTGAAGGCGATGCGCCGCCGATGTTCTCTCTTCCACCGCCGTTAGAAGAGTTTCCACCTATGCCACCAATAACTTGGCTTCCTCCTCCGGATGTTCCCGGCCTAACCTCCCCGGCGGAGGACTTTGATCAGAATCCCCCAGAGTTAATGGAGTCCCCACCGTTTTAAGTTTTTAACACAAATCATTTTCTGATAGTCATTCCCCACCGTTTTAAGTTTTAACACAAATCATTTTCTGCTTTGTCACTCTTCTGCTTTCTCTCTAGCTAGCTGGCATGTGATGTAATAATGTTAACAGATTGTAACTAGCAAAGATCCTTACACGGTTCTTCTGTTACCATCGTCCTCTGTAACGGTTTTGTCCGCCTTCGGCGACCAGATCCCTTTTTTTTTGTCTGAAGGGTGTGATCGACATTCTTGAGATACCAAAGCGCTGCTTCTGCTGCCTGCTCAGCTGCGATTTTCTTCTTGTTCTGTGGATCCCCAAACCACTCCAGAACCGTTATCCCAGAACCCTCCTTCATTTCAACCGTAACACAAAAAAACCAAGTTAATACTAAAAGAGTTAAACCTGGAATAAAATAAATATGTAAGAGAGAGTGAAGAAATGATGTTCAGCACAATAATCAAGCAATTCCTTACCCGACATTACCACCGCATGATTACGGCTCCTGCTGAATAATATGTTTCCACTATGATCTTTGTTTCTCTTCGTTTCCATGTGCGGAATCTCCGGTCCATTACCACCGCATGATAATGGCTCCTGCTGCTCTAAAGAAGGAGCTATAAAAGACTCATGATCAATACTGAGTTGCTGCTCCGAGGAAAAAGACTCAAGATGATGATGACAAGTTGAAACTTGATGATGATAGTGCTTCTTCTTGGACTTATTGATCTCGTGATTCTTCTTGCACAGAACCAGTTCTTGAAACTTATCTCCTTCCGAAAGCATATACTCTACCATAATCCACATGAAGAAGTACCGTCTCCTCTCTTCTGCTTCTTCTTGTTTTCGTTGCTTTTAGTGAAAGTTAGGGTTTACTTTACCCCAGATCGCCACGTGTTTATCAAACCCGACATTTTGCAAAACTATTTTAAAACCAACAATATTTTGAATTGACGCGCGACTTTCCGGGGAAATAAAGAAAAGAAAATTCAGTTCTCCACGAAAAAACTTACTCGCTCATGCTTTTCCGTCACGACACAAATGACACTTGTCGATAATAATATAAACAATTTAATTGAATCTGATTCATATTGATTATTTATCAAAGAATGATTATGGTAATTAAGTGACTGAAGAATTATTATTTTTTTCCTTCTTTTAATTTTTATAAGCTATATCAAAATTAATATGAACCAAAATAAAAACAAAAAATTATGTCGGGATAGGCATTTGGTATAATCTTGGCCTATTAGGAATTTAGGATGATGAGAGTTATAGAACGTAAGAATTGTTATGGATTTTTAAAAAAAAGTTAAGGTACAAGTTAATTACATATATATAATGTAGACTATGGTCTATGGGAGTCTAGGTCATGTTTGTAATGCCTAGCCATACTAATAAACCTAGTACTACTATTTTGTATTGTTGGAACTCTCCCTTTAAAGTCACAGAATAGCAAAAACAGTTTAGTATGACCGAAAAATCATTTTATCCAAAGACAAAGGACTGTTTGAAGTTCAAAGATAAAATCCATCTCTTAGTGAAAACCATGATCTATGATTTCCCAACTATTTATAAAAGGATCTTTTTTTTGATAAAGAGTATTCTATTAGTTAAAAAAAAGATCTTATTATGATGAATGGATTCTCAATTTCTTTCAAACATTACATCGTAAAAAAGGTTGGATTCGTTGATGGCTTCACACATATATATAAAGCTAACGAAGACTTTGGCGATTTAAAAAATTGGTGGACGACAGAGGAAATTCTTTAATTGATTAAAAAAATTCGGAGTAGAAAATCTGATGTGCCTTAGGTCTCACGACATATATATATATACGAGAGTAATTAAATAAAAAAGTTTAATTACTGAAGCTTTGAAGTTACAACAGAAATAATTAAATAAAGAAAGAATATGTCGTACATAAAGAGACTAATCAAGTGAATCTATTGAAGCCTAAGTTCGTCAAGATTACATCTGAAACTTGTAAACAACAAGCTAAGAAAATCAAAGAAGCTGGTTAGGACAAATCGACCTACACCGAGAAATTTTCAAAATGCTTAACAATATCAAAGGAATTCTCACGGAGGTTAAAATGTGTGCAACCTCCACTTAATTGCCAGCTCTAAAAGGAGGAGTGTACTGTGTTTGTTCTTGACTAGACACTCAGCAACATCATTCATAAGCATTGATTTCGCTTTCGATTACATTACAATATCCAGAATCTGTTTGACAATATACAACAGGCACGAGAATATGGGATACTAATGTGCTTGCCATTTGCCGCAAATGAAAAGATATATATTTGCAAAATCCACAATAGGAGAATCATCAAGGCAAGATATCAGCATTACAGCAAAACTTTCCTATCAAAAAATCAAATAAAATTTGGAGCCTTACTAGTAGCAGTATCTCATGGGAAATCAACAAAATATCAACTCCTTTTTGCCGTTTAGTCAATCATCATAACCTACAATGGTGACAGTGTATGCATCAATCTCGGCTGGGGTAAGATGTCTATAAACTCTAAACTCTGTCATCTCCTACTGTGCCAACCTCGATATCTCTGCTTAACATCTCTCTTTCAAACCTACCAAAAACAAAAACAGAAAACAAACTTTTTATAACGAATGATCACAGAGATTGTATCTGCTTACTTACCCTTCTTTCAATGTCAGTATTGCTGTGCAAACGACATCATCAAGTTTGATGTCTTTAGTGTACCTTTCCTCAAGGAAACATGTAGCATCTAAAACATCCTTCCCATAGCTAAAGCTTTTCGGGACAAATCCACCTTAACTACATCCACCTATAGAAAACATCAACACAAAGTATCATCAAAAAGTTATTACTCGAACATATATTTTAAATTTAAACGACTTAACTAATGAAATAGAACTTTCAAAACATTTTCTTAAAATAATTATAAAAAAAATATTTTGATAGATTTTTAGTATACGAAGGCTGTGCAAATTTGATAACAACATTTTTTTTATAAATTTAACAAATCTTTTAAATTTAAAAAGAACAACTCTATATAAATCTATTTTCTAATAAACCTTACTTAATGTTAACCAAGAAAATCTTCGTCTACACAGAGACATACATGTCTGAGGACGAGGAAGTAATAGAGCGGTTTTGCGATTCCATGAAATCAGGTGCTTGCAAAATAACCATTCAAGCATTTGGAAGATTGCATGAAGAAAGTTTGCAGTGTTACAACTCACAGAATCACTAGGTGTAAAGAACACTTGTCGATTCTGAAGAAGTTTATGGATTCTCACATTGATTACTATGAGCCCATTCTCGCCCTTGCCAAAGCTGCTGAGAATAATACTTTCAAGGAGTTATCTCTCATCTTATCGAAAGATCAAGAGGAGGAGTTTGCTTCCCGAACCAAGGATATTTGATTTTGTGCTCTTAATTAGGGATTGAGAATGGAGTTCTCTTATCTTTTGTACTACATGTTTCGTTTGAGAGATAATTTACTCAGAATGTTTCCCCAACTTAAGTCTTCTCTATCCTTTAATATATGATTTCTTTTCTTTGTTTTGCTTTGCTTTCTTTGGTTGGAGATATGATCGGTACACAGTTTTTGAGTAAAAATTCATCTTCTTTGGGAAAGAAAGGAAACTATGTCTAACATTGGTCCCTCTTACAAAAGTGGGCATATTTAATCTCTATGATATGAATCAATCCAACCAACATGATCTTGAAGGATCTATTGATGCAACTCTATCTCGTAATGGAATGTTATAGATACAACACAAACAAAATAGTTCTGTCCATATTCACTTTAATATTCTTTGAGCAGAGAGGCTGTGGGATGGCTAACACTCACCTCAGAGAGCTCTAAATATCGAGTCAGTTTTAGTTATTGCATATATGCATTGGATTGTGGAACCAAATAAATGTTCTCCTTTAATACCAAAATCCAAAATCATTCATTGAATCCTAACAAAATTAAGGTCTTTTGCATTGACAAATGTAAGAAATTCCCAAAAATCCGACACAGTCAACCATCAAATGATTCAGCTATAAGTATATATACACATGCGTAGTTTAGTTATTGCAAGTCTTAGCAAGAACAAAAAAAAGGATGAAAAGAATTATATACGATGTGTTGTTACTCTGCTTTTGATTAGTGTTTCCATAACAGAGTCAATATAGCTTTTGATTAGTGTTTCAATAACAGTATCAATAGAGAATCCACAAAGACACAGAGACGAAGACAAGAAAGGTTTGATTAGAAGACACAGAAGAATCAAAAGCAGGAGAAGAAGCCGTAGAATTTACTTGAAACGGAGAGTCCACGTGTTATTTACATTTCCTTTAATAAATATATGGGATAAAAAATGTAAATGTTGAGTTGGCAAGTACTAGAAGACAAGTGTGGGTGATGTGGATATGGTGAAGTTGTTTCTGAATTCTAATTGGTCAGAAATCTATCCACGTTAGCCTCTGAGATTTCATCTATAGATTCTCATCATCTCCACTTTGTCCCTCTAAATCTCCTCACTTTGATTCCTTTTTGCTCCGAAACACAGAGAACACAAAACACTCATTTCCACAACTTGAGAGAGAAAAAAACAGAGGAGCGGTATAAGAGATCTCATGGCAATGGCGGTCTCCGGAGCTGTGCTCAGTGGGCTTGGTTCTTCGTTCCTCGCCGGAGGCAAGAGGAGTGCCGCTGCATTGGGAAGCGGCGTAAGCGCTGGAGCTGCGAGAGTTGGCCGTAAAACTCTGATTGTCGCTGCTGCGGCTGCTCAGCCTAAGAAATCCTGGATTCCCGCCGTCAAAGGTGGCGGCAACTTCCTCGACCCTGAATGGCTCGATGGCTCGTAAGTCTCTTCACTCAAATCTCTCTCTTACTAGCATCAATAATGGATGTGATTCTGAATTTCGTGAATGCTCATTTTGTTAATCGAATCCAGAAAGCAAGAATCGCCGATTTTTTTCCAGAGTCGACTGTGAATGGTTATCTTTCAAATCTCTGATTCAAATCTCAAATGTGTTGCTTGTTTTCTCAGGCTACCTGGAGATTTCGGGTTCGACCCGTTGGGCTTGGGAAAAGACCCGGCTTTTCTGAAGTGGTACAGAGAGGCAGAGCTGATCCACGGCCGATGGGCGATGGCAGCGGTTCTCGGGATCTTCGTCGGCCAGGCCTGGAGCGGCGTGCCGTGGTTCGAAGCTGGAGCTGATCCACGCGCGATCGCACCGTTCTCGTTTGGGTCGCTTCTCGGGACCCAATTGCTTCTCATGGGTTGGGTGGAGAGCAAACGGTGGGTCGATTTCTTCAACCCGGATTCGCAATCGGTTGAGTGGGCGACGCCGTGGTCGAGGACCGCCGAGAATTTCACGAATTACACCGGCGATCAGGGATATCCCGGGGGAAGATTCTTCGATCCGTTGGGACTTGCCGGGAAGACGCGCGACGGCGTTTACGAGCCAGACAGAGAGAAGCTGGAGCGGCTGAAACTGGCGGAGATTAAGCACGCGAGGCTCGCAATGCTTGCCATGTTAATCTTTTACTTTGAGGCCGGGCAGGGGAAAACGCCTCTCGGTGCTCTTGGTTTGTGAGAAAACGGCATGACGTTTTTGAGTCTGTAGATATTATTTCTCCTCCCCAAAACTTGATGCTCATCCTTTTCAATGTGACAGACATTTCGGAAAATTAATTAAATCATTGCTTTAAAATAGCACCAAGTCATGAGTTTTAGCTTGCGAAAAATGTAAAATGAAATCTTGAAAACTAATTAACTTGAATATCAAAATACAAATGTGGAAGGGAGTAACGAAACATCAGTGACGGAGACAAAGAGATCCTCCAAAACTTCATTTATTTGCAGCACATGCATGACTCATGAGCTCAGAGTGAAACAATAGAGTAAGAGAACAAAATAAAAAGTAGAGCGACTTTGTTCCCTAGAGAGTAAAATGCCTAACAGGGTTTGAACAGCTAAGTCTCACTCACAACAGCGCGCTGCCCTTAACCAAAAGAGTGCGGAAATAGAATCATGGGGTCTCTAGCGCAATAAGCTTAGAACTTGTAATCCGGGTTGTCACGAAGGCTGAGTTTTGACAGAACAAGGCAGTAAGAATCCCAGTCAGTTCGTCTTAGATATTTCAACAGCTTCTTCCGTTTCTGCACCATTGCTACAAGTCCCTTCCGCGAATGCTTGTCCTAAGGATTATACAGCCACCGGACATGAAGTTAGGCATACAGAAGAATGTGCGAAAACAACTGATAGAAGCAGTAGTTTCAAAGACTCTAGTCATATTTGCAAAGTAACCAGGGTTTACTGTAGTGACTCTCAAAGTAACCATAGTTTGATTAGGTTATCTTTTAGTCTTATATATATTAGCTTTGAGGGTTGGGAGAGATTTCATCGCGTATTTGAGTGATCATCAGGGAGAGTGAGAGGAGCTCCATTATCAAAATCATCAGGTTCCTTTGTAATTCCAGAATTATATCTATAAAATCAGTACTTCATAAGCTACACATATCAACAACTTGGAGTTTTTACCTTTTTGTTCAGAGTAGAGGACAAATGCTTGATTCTAGTTGTGAGTTGCGCCACTGCAAGGCGAGACAAGACACATCATAAGTCAATCAACCAGAATCCGTTTCAGGAAAATGTGATGCCTTTGATGGCAAAAGCCAACTTTGATAACAAAAAAAAAAACATTGGTCTTATGTAGGATTTACCTTGCACGCGTGCAGAACCACAATCTGATTCCGACATCTTGAACTCTTCCCTGACTTTCGTGAGCTCAATTTTCATCTTTTCCGCAGAGGAAAGATTATCTGTGTGGAAGTACTGTGTTGATGCAGTCACATAAAAAACAGATCAATTCCATTTAATGGTCACACAACGGATCGACGGAGCATTGTATAAAATATGCTAGACGAAAGATCAACAAAAGAACCAAAGAAGCCTTTCGTTTCCGACTAATTAGACTAACAAGCTACAAGATCCAAGGTCTAAGAGCGAAAAAAACTTACACTTTCAACTAGATCCTCTTTTGGGGGATGAAGCTTGTATTCAGGGGCTCCATCAATATAGCCTAGAATGTCGAGATTCTGCTCTGCAAGCAAAGAAACCTCCTTAGATGACATTCGATGACATGAGTGTCATTTCAACAGCAAAACATAGCTACAGACAACAAAATCAAACCAAGATAACAGCACCGCAAAAACCAACAATTTAGAATCGCATCTAGTTGGACCTATAACGAACGAAGCTCGCAGACTAGAAACTGGGAAAGAGCGGAACGAAAGGAATATCCTTGCGCCAAAAGATCATCTAAGCAAACTTGGGTTTTCGAGATTCTATAAAACATTTGAAAATTAGACACAGAGAGATTCATCGGAGGCTCAGAACGTACCAGGGCCCTTCTGCAATGTTCCGATAACATTTCTGAGTACCGCAAAGTTCCCTCCCTGATTTTGGACCTCTTTCTCTTCGACTTGCCTTAGCTTAACCAATCTCTGATTCAACTCCTGCAATGAGAACCATCCTTCTTCTTTATTTCCCTCTGGCCTAAGCCTCCTTAGTTTCTCACCCAACTCATCCTCCCTATAAATCTTTAGGAACTCCGTCATCATTTCCTCTGCCTCACCTTCCCTTCCGGACACGGACGTTGGCAATGCTTCTCCTCCATCGAACACATTCGAACTAACGTTTTCCCTGGACATCGTCTTCCAAGTGCTCTTGAAATTTCGTAAAGACCCTCCTGCCATCTCCATCTTGTTTGAAGTGTTGGACTGCGCCTTCAGAAACTCCAAATTTTCCCTTATGTTGTTACTCGGATTGAAGTCCTGGCCTTTCCGATTTATAGGATCCGCCGAGTTTGGTGCAGCGTTCTGCTTATAGAGCGCCTCGAAGGAAATCTGCGGCCGAGACTGTGACGGCAGTACGCCGCCTGAATCCCTCGAAGGTGGAACGGCGGATCTCCGCTGAAACTTGGCGAGGTTAATTCCCAGATCATGTAAAGACCCGCGTGACTGGTTATCGGAGAACCTATTCGACCCGCGATTCTGAGCTTGGGCATCGGATCTGACGAATGGCTTTCTCCCTTGCTCCTGCTGCTGCTGTAGTTTCTGCTTCAGGGTGGACTTGATGTCGGTGAAGGGAGAAGAGTACGAGAAGTCCGACGGAGATGGAGAAGACGGTGGCTGGGAGGGTTTGTCAACGGGTGCGTTCACGGCTTGGGGAGGTGGGTCCGATGAGGAATTAGAGAAAAAGCGAATCCGAGATGGGTTCGATGGGAACCTTTGGTGGCGTCTGGCGAGAAGAAGCGCCATGACGTTGGCTGCTCCAAAGGATTTAGGGCTTTGGTTGTGTGTAAAGTGAAGTACATGATGCTTGATGACGGTAGTAACAGTTTACAGTAGATGCGGTTTAATTGAATTGAATTGAAATGTTTGACTTTTACCGGTTCGATGAGTCACAGAACTGGTCAGGCAAAGTCTAATAAACCGGATATATGCACATTGGGTCCGAGAAAACCATTCGCACCGTACATGTGAAAAAGCCCATTGGTCTTTCTATTTCGACCCATAGGATCACAACAAAGCCCATCATTTCACTTCAATGGAGTATTTATCATTTCGCCCATCATTTATTTTAGATCCATTTTCAGAATTAAGCAGATATGAATTCACAAATGATAGAATACACAATCAATAAAACATAATTTTAACTTCTACTATTTGTTAGCAAAATAAGAACAAGGTAAATCACAAATGGACATAAGGAGAAGAAAAAAAACAAAATTAATGATCCTAATTTCGTCTAACCTCTTAGGCTTTTACTATATGGCATCTAAAAATTTCCGTACAAAGTATGAAAGTGTTTCCAATAAGAAGACCTCACACGTCCACAAAATTATCCCGAAACTGCATAATAGTGGATGTAACTGAACCGTCACGCAAGCTAAAAAAAACACTCTCACTCACCGCGCGTGTATTTTCTCTAGAGTAGCTTTTGCAGTTTGCACAAAGCACAAATAATCCATGATGCCACGTATGTATTCCCCATGGGTCCCACTTTCACCAAGAAAGAAAATAAAGACAAATTTACAAATAATTTCAATCTAACTGTGTGTGTGAAAACGTTCCCAATGTATATAAATAAAATCCACCCATTAATGTGCCACGGAGATTTTTCTTCTTCTCCACTTTTCGCCACCATTTCTCTCTCTCTCTCTCTCTCTCTAAAATCGGTGGGAGGTCCAACCTAAGCTATGACCGGCGGAGACTGGATTCGGGAAGCTATGTGCGACGATTCATTGGTGGCCGAGGCTCTGATCTGTCTCCACCATTCCGAGTCGCCACCTCCTGAGCAGAGCGGCGCGTCGGATCTCAAGCTGAAGTGGACCGTGAGACAGCGCAGGAGCAAGGCGGCTCTGTCAAGGAAGAAAGGAGATCATACGCGTGCAAGTCCCACGACGCCTCTTTCCTGGAGCGGCGCCACCTCCTTTAGCGGTGGCGCCGGTGCTGCTGCCGTTGATGGAATTGAGGAGTCGAGCGGCGCCGTGAAACTGTCAGAGGCCGTTAGATCTGAGGTTCGTTTCGATCTTTTCACATTCCTTTCTGTTTGTTTTTTCTCGAGTTTTTTTTTAAGCTCTGCGTTACTCTGTTTGTGTGTGTTTGACCAATATACCCTCGGAAATCACCGGTGGGCGACGAGACACCGTTTTTATACCTCAAGCCTGATCATAATATTATCTTTTTCGGCGATTTACACTTCACGTAATCTCGGTCCTCCTTTTATTCCACAACTACTACCATTTTTTTCCCATTCATCTATCTGTTTCTCCTAGGGTCATTTTTGTCATTTCTATCCGGGATCGGTCTCTTCGCCGGTCACGCAACCTCGGCCTTCTTCGATCTACTATCTATAAACTCCGACTTTTTTTTTTTTTCCTTTTTCTTAGCTTTCTTCAACTCAGTGTCGTTATTGCTGCTTTAGTGCTTTATATAGAAAGACCGAAAAGATCCCTGACACGGAAAAGTTGCCGTTCTGGTCATCAAGTTCACGTCACGATGCTTCGTTCCTGAGAACTGGTCGCTGAATCCAAGCAAATACTAAACCTAAGTCAGTCATCACCATTTTAATTGACTAAGATTCCCATAGGGTGTGTTGAGGGGTAATTCGGACAGTTAGAGAAGTTATGGCTGGCGTTATTTATACAAATTGCTTATTATTATGAGGGGTTGCCTCTTTTATGGGTCGAGAGGCGTTTTCGTGGCGAATTAGGTTTGGGCTCGGTTTGGTGCGTCTGTGGTGTAATCAGATGCAGCGTAGCGCATAGTAACTCTCATAGGCTATGGCTGACGTGGAAATAACACACGCACACAAAAAAAGTCAAAAACTTCCCCACACGACACTTTGACTGCAATCCAAAGCAGCTTTGGTCAAAATCACTCACTCCTCTTGCTTTGCTCGTCTGTGAGATTCTAATCGTGACAGCCCTGTGTATTTAGCCATATCCGTATGGTTTAAGCTTGAATTATATATCTTACCAAAGTAGAACCCACACCAAGTCTTCAATTTAAGGGTAAGTAGTAATTAAATTGAAAAGAAAAGGATATGATAAGGACAAGTGATTATGTGGATAATTCGTGACAATGGGTAAGGAGAGGTGTGTGGGGTCGTGGTCATGGGGAGACACGCGTAAATAAAGTCTTCCAAGTCACGCTCCAGTCACGTGATTCTATTCTTTCTTTCGAATTGGGTCGTAGGGTGTGTCTCGATGTAGGAGAAAAAAAGGCACTTCTGTTCATATAGCTTTTTTTTTTTTTTTGGTCTACGTAGTTGACCAACAAAGAAGATTCCTTTTTAAATGCTTATAACTAAGTGATAGATCATCCTCCACATTTCATGCTTAGGATCATGTAGATTTTTTTTTATAGATATTTTGTAATCGCAATTAAGATTTTGGTCCATACGAGATTGGTACACGCTCATTCACATGTCTCGTTAATTGCCATAGTCATTATGAAATGGTTTTTGATTTTAGGTCGAGTTTATGTGATCTTGTTTGATAAGTGTTGTGAGGAGCTACTATCTGATTTTTTTTTTTTTTTTTGGTGGGTTTGATGCAGATAACTCAAACGAGTGTAACAACAACCCCTTTCAAGAGATCAAGAAAGAAAAAGGTAACAAACCAGGAAAACAAAAATATGCAATGTCCAGATTATGCGATATCGGATGTTGTTATGTCGTAGTTTAATCCATGTATGTGTCGTCTGTCCACAGACTCTTGCTGAGCTTAAAGAGGAAGAGAGTTTGCTCGTAAAGGAAAGGAAAGGCTTGAAGAATGTAAAAAATCTCTTTCCCCATCTTCTTCTAATATCTCAAGTCCAATTAAAGTTCCATATCTTTAATATTTTGCTTGTTGCGTTAATCAGGAACTCGCAAGTATGCTGGATCTGCTCAAGCAACAAAGAGCACGAAACGACTCTTTAAAGAAAATGCAGGTGAAAACCCTTTTCTATTTTCGAGTATATATTAAAAAAGAAACTTTTTTTGTTGACAAATCATTGTCTCTTGGTGCAGGCTGAATCACAAAAGAATGATGGTTCCTTCTTGCTCCCTGACCTTAACATACCTCTTGATAACAACAACCCGAGCCCTGAAATTCTCTATGGAACCAGCTGATATGTAACTACAAGACAACCATCACACATCATTATTCTTTTTGTCAGCCACACGTTTCTCGAGTACGCATAACTGTAACTATATATGATAGTCGTCCCCTTCCAGTGTCTTTGCAGAAGGAAAGAAGATTCTAATCACAGTGGAGACGAGTTAAAATGTTTATGAGTTTTTTTTTTATAATTTCTCTCTTATAGATATTGTTGATTCTTAGGTTGTAGCAAGTTTTTGGTCTTGCCCTCCTTTAGTTCTCTCTCTCTCGTTCTTTTTATCCAGTTGCTTTTTTATGTTCTTCTTTTACGTAAGATGAGAGATGTGTAATTAATAAATACTACAAATTATCTATTCATAGGCACATTTCTTCTTTTATTCACATTTCCACCTTTTGTAATGTGCAAATTCTAAGATGATGGACCAATTTCTCCCTCATCTTCCTAAAATTGGTTTATTTGGACACTCAGCTTCAACTTGTGATCAAGGAAATAACAAAAAATAATAATTTTTTTATTTATTCTTTGAAAAATCACTATTTACTAGTAATAATATTTTCCTATCATTTTTTCTTAATTCTTATCATATAAAAAATTATAAAACAAATATATTCCTTATTTTATTTAGAAAGAAACAAAATATATTAATTTATTTCTTTATTTACTTCTATTCATTCTTTTTATTTTGTTTCTTTCATTCTTTTTCTTTTTATTTATATTCTTTTTTTATTAGTCACCACCACCAGTTCAAATATAAAAAACCTAGCTCCCACTTAAATTTTCCCAATTTCATTTTGGTAACAACGCTCTTCGTCTCTCCGCACGTCGCAAGCCGTGTGACCCCTAAAGTCCGAAATCTCGTCGACAGGCTCTGGATTTGAGGTGGCATTATTGAATTTTGTTCCTCTCTTGTGGTTGGGATGCGCGCGAGACAAGTTTTGTGGCTCCGCTGAATAGAAAAATCTCGTTTTTTAGAAAGCAATACATCATAATTAACAAATAGGAGAATAGATCATGGAAGTGTTTTTTCTTCTCTCGGATATCAAACTTGTCGCATGTCTCTAGAAATATTATAAACAAAGTTGGAGTTATTATTCACAATTGCTGTTTGTTTGAAAATTGAGCGTTATAGAACCCAGTCATGGACTCATGGATACAATGGTGGACTGGAGAACTCAATTGCCACCTGATACACGTGAGAAGGTCGTAAACAAGATGTAAGTTTACAATACTCAACAAAAGTTTTCAATCATCTTCCCCACTCTACTACAAAGGTTATTGATGGTGCTATAGTTAACGTTACTTGAGCAAATGGAAACTCTAAAGAAGCACCTTCCATTTTCTGGACCAGAGGGAATGAACGAGCTCAGGAGAATCGCTGCTAGATTCGAGGAGAGAGTGTTTAGAGGTGCTATCAACCAGGTAATATACAGAGATTTATGAGGCAACATGCATGGATGATGAACCGTATGTTCTGTACTTGTATAAAGCTTAGCCCCAGTATTATACCTTACTCATGATCTAATCTTTTTATTTCGAGTTTTCAGACTGATTACCTTCGGAAAATATCTATGAAGATGCTGACCATGGAGACTAAGCTCCAAAATGCAGCTGGTTCTTCTTCTTCTACGTTCCCTGGTGCTAATTGCAGCCGCCTGCCCTTGAATCCGGGTATAAGTCCTTCCTCTATTAGCAGAAGCTTGAATCGGTGTGCTGAATTTAACGCATTGATCTCTTCGTGCAAGCTATAGACTAGAACACATCATATATATAATAATGTGAGATTTTCGGGTGCCGATTCCATCCATGTTCGATATATATCATGTTAGGCGTTTTGTGAACATATATATAGGTAATCATATGGACTACAGATTTTACTCAAGGCCTTGTCAATTCCGGAAGCCAGGACCTACCGTGAACACAGGTGACTGGAGAAGTCATCTGCCACGTAAAATGAATGCCAACAAGGTGTAAGTTCATTCTACAATCTGCGTGTTGTCTCTCCAAACATAATTTGTCATATTGTCTCACTTCAGAGCTCGGAGCCAGTTTACGTACTGCTAAACCTAATGTCACAAAGTTCGGTTATAGATATTGCTATGGCCTATGAATGTGTAACTAAATTATTTGTCATTTGAGCAGAATGGGAACACTAAAGAAACATGTTCCAAATTGTAGGCAAGAAGGAATTAAAGAGCTCATGAAAATTGCTGACAGTTTTGAGGAGTTGATTTTCAACACTGCCATTGATCAGGTTTCATCATTTTCTATTTTTGCCACCAACAATTGTTAACAGAGTGGAAGGATGAAAGAAATAGTGGAATATTGGTAGAACGGTGGAATGAAATTCATGTAGCAAAAACTTTTTCTTTGTAGCGATTGAAGTCAAAACGGAGAGTTGTTATTATTATTAATCTTGGAATGGCGTTTATAGCTCAAGAAAATGCAATTTCACCGTTTTGTGGATTACAAACCAAAACGTTTAATTCTTTAGTGTGAGCTAATAGATAGATTTCTAAGGCAAATGGGGAACGATCTAACTTTTGATATCATCTTCTTTCTTGTGTTGATATTCTGTTTGTTTCGAGTTTCAGGTGGATTACTTTCGCAAAATATCCTTCAGGATTCAGACTATGGAATAGGCAGACTAAGTCAATTGAAGCGGCCATTTTCGTTCGAAGCTTTCAGGGCAATTCCATATGTTCAAAACAAAAAAGAGAGAGAGAGTGCCCCCTTGAAGGCCTTGAAACCTCCAAACTTGAAGGCATGAATAAACATGGATCTATTTATCACACACATCTTTACCATTTCATTATAACGAACAGGAATTTGTAACAAGGAATAAAGTCTATTTAGTTGGTGCAGAATCCACAACTAATTTTGTAAGCAGTTGCTACGTGTGGCTGTTTGTGATGTAATTTATATTGTTCTACTTTTATATTACATTGACTTTTCATCTTTGGTAATGTACTCACTTTTTCTTAGATTGAAGAGTAACCCTGTCAAATGGGCATGACCATGTCCAAATGGGCTTGTCCAAATGGGCATTCTTTTCTGATGGACAAATATGGTCAAAGCTCAAAATTAACCATGTCCAAAACTGTCCGCACCCAATTGTGACCGCGTCCAAGTGGGCTTGTTTATGGTCGGCCCAAGTTTTTTTTCCTCATATTTACATTTATTTTGCTGTATTAATTAAACACAGTTTCGAACATGATAAGAAACGACATTACATTTATTAAGACGCTGAGAATAACAGAGAAGAACAATGATGTGAAACCATCCAAAAAGCCAGAATGTATCAAATATAAATAAAAACAAATTTAAATTCAAATAAAACACTTGTTTTACAAATCCAGAAATTACCAAATTCATCCAAACAAAACAATGTTCATAACCATTCAAACAAAACAATGTTCATAAGTCATAATCATTCTTTATACTTTGTTTTATCCTCCATAAACTCCAATTCAATCTTACAAAAGTACAAATAATAATTTTAGATGGCTAAACAATACTGCTCATTGAATCAAATCATAAATAACAATATTTTAAAACTACAAAGTCATTAATTACCTTAAGATTCTTCTTTCTCCTCTTCTTTCTCTTCTTCTATCTCTTCGTCTTTCTCTTCTTCTTTCTCCTCTTCTTGCTCATCTGAAAAACCAAATAAATTCATCAATCATCTCAGAAACATATCATCATCACAAAACATATCGTATATCGTATCCTTCTTCTTCTGGGCTCAACGAACCTTAGTCGATTCGGTCGGCCTCGGTGGTTGACTAGACTGAGCTTGTTTTTGTTGTGTACCTTTCTTTAGCTTTGAGCTCTCTACAGGATTAGCTTCATGATGATCCATATCTTCATCCATTACATCATTGGCATGATCCATTTCAATATCACTCAAAATATTCTCATCATTCAAGTTGATCACATCCATTTTCCTGAAACAACAGAAGATTTGATCAGAAACTCATTTCAAAGCTGCACAAAACTATTTCAACTGAGAAGTCAACACAATGATTCAGAAGAAACCCATCAATAGAATCAACCCAAATCAAAGAAACAACTCAACAAAGAATCATTCACGAAAAAAAGCATTCGGAAACCAACCATTATTCGAGATTGTTAAAAGACGTCGCACCTGAGAGAGAGAGACGCTTGTTTGTGATAGCAATTTAGGCTCCGAGTTCAACTTCAATGGCGACTCCTTGCGCCAAGGAAGGAGAAGAGTGAGAGATGAAGAAGCAACAAAAAGCTGCACAAAACGATTCAGAAGAAGTCATCACAATGATTTATAAGAAACCCATCAAGCTAAACGGAATCACAAAGCTAAACAAACCAATCATTGAAATCGAACAAAGCTAAAAAAACCCAACTATTGAAATCAAATCAGAAAGCTAAAGGAAATCAAAAGAGATTTGTTGTCTTCCATTTTGATTTTGAACATATTTCATAGGTAAATCAAAACAAAAAGAGAAATAAAGAGAAACCCAGAAGAAATTTCATAAACAAACTCACCGTCGTCACCAAAGATTGATGTCGCAACAGAAGAGAGAATGAAACGAAGAAGACGCGAAAGTTCTTTTTTTTTTTTGCCCATGGTCAATCCGTGGTTTGTTCTAACCCGCCCAAAAATAACCACGGGTCAATTGGTCTAAGCCCAATTGGACAACTTCAAAAATGGGCTTGTCCATGGATAAACCAAATTCTTATGGACTGGGCTACGCCCATGGTTGGCCCAACCAATTGACAGGTCTAGTTCATATTTTCTGGTAATAATTAAAGCATATATATAAGAAAGACAAAGACATGGGACCAACTTGACCATTGTGTATTTGGTAACGATGAAATGTTTCTTGTGGAGGAAGCCTTCCTCTATGCCTTGCTCCCAAAGGAGCTGCATTTAATTTTAGCTACACGCACACTTGTAAGCCTTTAAATATTTGGGCTGAATAGGTCGTGTTATCTCTCTACTTGGGCCGGGTTACAAAACATTGTGTTAATTTATATTTTTTCTATTTACATTTCCATTTCCGTTCATCATCAGCTTTTCGTTTCTCTGCTGCTCATCGGAACGGAACATTTCCCCCGAAAGCTCTGTATTTGAGGTGATTTGTTTTCCGAATTTCGTTATTTTTGTATCGTTGTCTTTGATTTAAGGGGATCTTTTTTCCTTCTTCTTGTGGTTGGAATGCGAGAGAAGTATTGTGGCTCCGTCGAAGTTTCTGTCGATGGAGGATCTAGTTTTCTTTTTATAGCAATGATTTGAAAGTGTTTTTGGCCCATCAGTGAAAGAAACTGGTGCTGTTCACTCTAATTTTGCAGCTCAATAGTCTGTTTTCTAGTGATTTAGTGTCCATAATTTCATTTCTCTCGTATATCAAACGGTTGCTTCCATCTGATCTCGCATGCCCTAGAAACATCATAAGACATTTGAAATATAATAAGACACCCCAACCAACGCTAAAGCCAATTTATTACAAGACAGTTGGAGTTAGTCACACTTGTTTGTTTGTTTGAAACTGAGTTATAGAAAGTTTACACTTGTTTGTTTGCTTGAAATTGAGTTGTAAAAGTCTAATAATATATACTTGACCCGGCCTTCTCTCCGCAGCGGAATGGATACAAACACAAATGACTGGAAAACCCAGTTGCCACCTGATTCACGCGAGAAGATCGTCAACAAGATGTAAGTTCATCATATGTCTCGTGTTATGTCTCTCTGCAAAGTTTTCATCTCTCATTCACGCTAGTGTAGTATCATTTTCCCCACAATCCAGTCAAATGTTATATATATATATATATATATATATCATAGAAAGGTTTTTCTTTTGCTGATGTATTGACTTGATTATAAGTGTTCTTAGTTAAATGTGCTTGCAACTTGCGCAGCATGGAAACGTTGAAGAAGCACCTTCCATTTACTGGACCAGATGGAATGAACGAGCTCAGGAGAATTGCTGCCAGATTCGAGGAGAAAAGCTTCAGCGGTGCTGCTGACCAGGTCGTTAACCGTCCTATGAACACATGTTTTTGATTTAGTTAGCGTCGTAACTACTATAAAGATCCTTGAGGCAATGGACTCCACAACATGAAGAAAGAAGCGATCTTTGGTACCTTCCTGATCTAATCTTTTTATTTCGAATTTTCAGACTGATTACCTTCGGACAATATCTATGAAGATGCTGACCCTGGAGACTAAATCCCAAAATGCAGCTGGTTCCTCCTCATCTATCCCTGCCGCTAATAATGGCACATTCATGGATTCAAGTAATCACGGTTCTCAAGCATGTATTGTTTAATCTGGTTTTTATGGATAGTTGTTCCTCTAATTTGGTGCGGTTTAACCTTTCCTTGAATAGTGCGCACCAATCAGGGAAGGTTACCAACCAATCAATCTCAAGCACCTCAGCCGTTGCTGCCCCAGACCATGCCGCCGGTTTCTTCCATGATCGGTTGCACACCAGACTTATAACTATTGTACTGATTATTTAGGCCTGTATATATGCTTTGGTTGATTAGGCCGTGTTACCTCGCTATTGTTTGCTTGGACAGGGTTACGAAACCTAGTTTTGATATATTTTTTCCATTTTATGTTCATCATCAGCTCCTCCTTTCTCTGCCCATCGGAACGTTGACCTGGAAAGCCCTGTACTGCATTTCAGGTGATTTGTTTTCCCGCATTTCGTTATTTTTGTATCTTGTCTTTGATTTTTTAGATTTTTGTTTTCTTTTTATAAGAGTGATATGAAAGTGTTTTTGGCTGATCAGTCAAAGGAACCGGTGCTGATCACTCTAATTTTTCCAGCTCAATAGTTTGTTCTCTTGTGATCTAGTGTACATAAATTCATTTATCTCGTAGATCAAACAAACTTGTGCTTCCATCTGATCTCGCATGCCCGAGAAATATCATAAGACATTTGGGTTATTCACACTTGTTTGTTTGTTTGATATTGAGTTAGAGAAGTCTAATATATACTTGATCTTGATGGGGCCTTCTCTCTGCAGCGGAATGAATACAAACGCAAATGACTGGAGAACCCAATTGCCACCTGATTCACGCGAGAAGATCGTCAAAAAGATGTAAGTTAGTTCATCATATATCTCGTGTTACGTCTCTGCAAAGTATTCATCTCTCATTCACGCTAGTGTAGTATCATTTTCCCCACAATCCAGTCAAATGTTATATATATATATATATATATCATAGAAAGATTTTTCTTTTGCTGATGTATTTCCTTTATTATAAGTGTCCTTACTTATAAATGTACTTGCCACTTGCGCAGCATGGAAGCACTAAAGAAGCACCTTCCATTTACTGGACCAGATGGAATTAACGAGCTCAGGAGTATTGCTGCCAGATTCGAGGAGAAAATTTTCAGCGGTGCTGTTAACCAGGTAATATGTAACAGTTGATTAGTTTTATATAGAGATTTTGTGAGGCAATATGGACTCTCAACAACATGTAAAAAAAAACCAACTTTTTTTGGTACCCGTAATGCTGCTTAGCCCCTCATCCTCTATCTTCTTTTATTTCGACTTTCAGAATGATTACCTCCGGAAATTATCTATGAAGATGCTGACTATGGAGACTAAATCGCAAAATGCAGCTGGTTCCTCTTCACCTATTCCTGCTGCTAATACCAGCCAACCCTTGGATCAGTGTAAGTAACGACTTTATTTTCCTACTCGTTAATCAAAAGTCCTTCATCTCATCCTAGTAGCAGGAGCTTGTTTTGGTGTGATCAATTTAATGCAATCTCCTGGTGTGAGCTATGTAGATGCCCTAGGCTAGGCACCTATATACCAAGTTTCAGGGGTTAATATGAGTATCCCATGTTCCCTTTCCTTCAATTTTTTATATATTCCATTTGGTTGGGTATATGTTTTGTTCTCTCAGTTTTTAATGGAGTTATAAATCTGTCCTCCATGCTTAGTGTACATAGGCCAACATATGGACAATGACAATTCAGAGCCTTGTCTCTCGAAGGAAGAAGAACCTGCCATGAACAAAGCTGACTGGAGAAGCCATCTGCCACCGGATTCACGCCAGAAGAATGTCAACAGTCTGTAAGTTCGTTACATTCTTTTGCCTCTCCTTTGGAAATAGAAAGTTTACAACGTTTTTGTCATATTGTTGTTTCATATGAATATGTTTTATATAATACTCGTATACAACTTGTCTGTCATTTGAGCAGAGTGGAGACACTGAAGAAACATGTTCCATATTCTGGGAAAGAAGGAATCGACGAGCTCATGAGAATTGCTCTCAGCTTCGAGGAGTTAATCTTCAACACGGCTATAAATCAGGTTTCACTTTTGATTAACCTACTTGTTGTGTACTTTCTTTATAATCATCATCACCACCATTTTTTTTTTTGATATCATGTTTGTTTCGAGTTTCAGGGGAATTACTTTCGGAAAATATCCTTAAAGATGCAGGCGATGGAAGGACACTAAGTCAATCTCGTTCAAAGGGCGGTCCCATATGTATATACAAAGAAACACACCTTAGGAGGCCTTGGAACCTGCTAATGTTAAAGGCATGAATAAACATGCCAATAGTATCCATTAGAGTGATTTATCAAACACTTCTCGTTTCTCTAATATAACAAGAAAGAATGTCGCTTTTTATTAATTTATTAACTATAATATCAAAAAAGAATTCGCTTAGCTACATTTTACTCTTAATATTCAAATTTTTTAGCAGCTGATAAGAGCTACAGTGAACCACTTCAGGAACGTTTCCGACCAAAAAAATAAACATTTGTTTACGTCGAGGATACGATTGCTGACTTTTTTTAATACGTTTGAGATTTTTTTGGCAGTATTTGTGTAAGTTCGTTTTATTTTGTATTTTCTTTTATGCGAAGGTTTTTCTTTTGTCATTTTAATGGATTGCAATTGTAGCTGCATTAAAATTAAAATTAGAATTAAAAAAAGAAAAAAAGACAAGCCAAGAAAATTTGTTATAAGGGAACTGCGAGGACTCATTTGACAGATTGAAGTTTTCCTTTTCGTTTGCCCAGAAGATCCTATTCGTTTCTCGATCAAGCTAAACCCTAATCTGGCTCCGATTTCCCCCCTTCTCTCCGCTGTTTTCCCTAAAATCAAACCCTAATCGTTGTAGCAATCTTGACCCCCGAACGCGAAATCTCCTCGATAGGCTCTGAAATTTGAGGTGAACTTTTCGAATCTTGTTCTTCTTTTTTTTTAGTTTTGTTGTGCTTAAGCCTTGTTTCTCGAGTTTTCTCTTGTGATCGGGATTCCAGAGAAGATAGACAATCGGCCATGGTGGGTCGCGGTTCTTACAATTAGGAGAATTGATGAACTTTCCTGGTGTGGTAGAGTATGCTTATTATGGATTCTTATTTTGGGTTAGGCTACTTGAGCTTTGAGTCTATGGCTTTGTTGCTAGGAACAGAAAACGAAAGAGGTGGTTGCTGATAAAAAAAATGAAAATCTGGCTGATCAGTGAACACAGCTGATTTTGATCTCTATAGGGTTTGATCCCATAATTAGCACATTTCTGCTTTCCTGAGTGGTTATCTGAGCGATGCATGACCTATATACATTTATTAAGAAATTTTTGAGAGTCAATCTAGTCCATGATGTGTAGTCGTTTGTTTCCTGTAAATTTGAGGATATCAGAGTCATGTTTTTGTTTCTCTGTTTTAATTGAGCTATGAAGTCTACTTACTATTGACACTTTGTTCTTCATGGCTGGCTTGTAAACGTAGGATACTTGATGGATAATAACAATTGGAGGCCTTCTCTTCCAAACGGAGAACCTGCCATGGACACAGGTGACTGGAGAACCCAATTGCCACCTGATTCACGCCAGAAGATCGTTAACAAGATGTAAGTTTTATATGACTGTTGTTATTATGTTTCTGCAAAAAATTTTGTTGTCTTTCCCACTCTAGCTGCGTTTTGTCTAAAAAATGCCAGTTGACTCCTGCAGAGATAGAAGCTTTATATGGTGTTATAGTTCATTGACCATAATTATGCTTTTTTACGTATTTACATGCGACTTTTGCAGAATGGAAACACTAAAGAAGCACCTCCCATTTTCTGGACCAGAGGGAATTAATGAGCTCAGGAGAATTGCTGCTAGATTCGAGGAGAAAATTTTCAGTGGTGCTGTTAACCAGGTTTTTGACCGTCCTATGAACATATGTTTTTGATTTAGTTAGCGTTGTAACTACTATAAAGATTTGTGAGGCAATGGATTTCACAACATGGGAAAGAACCGATCTTTGGTACCTTCCTGATCTAATCTTTTTATTTCGAATTTCAGACTGATTACCTTCGGAAAATATCTATGAAGATGCTGACCATGGAGACAAAATCGCAAAATGCAGCTGGTTCTTCCTCATCTATCCCTGCCGCTAATAACGGCACATCCATGGATTCAAGTAATCACGGTTCTCAACCATGTATTGCTTTAAGCCTGCTTATCTGGTTTTATGAATAACTGTTCCTCTAATCTGGTGCTGTTTAACCTTTCTTTGAATAGTGCCCACCAATCAAGGGCACCTTCTTCCAGGAACGTTACCAACCAATCAGTCTCAAGCACCTCAGCCGATGCTGTCCCAATCCATGCAGAGCAATACAGCGTCTGGAATGACGGGTTCTACTGCTTTGCCATCTTCCATGCCGCCGGTTTCTTCTATAACCAATAATAACGTCTCAAGCGGTGTAAACCAGAATTCCAATATGCAAAATGTATCCGGAATGTTGCAAGATTCATCTGGGCAGCATGGCCTTTCGACGAACATGTTTCCAGGATCCCAAAGGCAGATGCTGGGGAGGCCACATGGTATGTCTTCACAGCAGCAACAGCAGCCACAGAGTGCACAATATCTTTATCAGCAGCAGCTTCAGCAGCAACTTCTCAAGCAGAATTTTCAGTCGGGAAATGTCCCCAATCCCAATTCGCTTTTGCCATCATCACACATACAACAACAGCAACAAAATGTGCTGCAGCCTAATCAAATGCATTCGTCTCAGCAGCCTGGCATCCCAACATCTGGTACGCAGCCCTCCACTGTGACCTCAGCGCCTCTCCAGGGTCTCCACACAAATCAGCAATCAACTCCGCAATTGTCTGCTCAGCAGACTCCAACACAAACTATGCTTCGTCAGCATCAATCTTCGCTGCTAAGGCAACATCCGCAATCGCAACAATCGTCTGGCATCCATCAGCAACAAACTTCATTGCCGCAGCAGTCAATTTCTCCTCTACAACAGCAGCAAGCACACATAATGCGGCAACAAGCTGCAAATAGCTCAAGCATCCAACAGAAGCAGATGATGGGGCAGCATGTTGTTGGCGATATGCAGCAGCAACATCAGCAAAGGTTAATGAACCAACAAAATAATATTATGAACATACAACAGCAGCAGCCGCAACAGCAGAAGCAGCAGCCACCGGCCCAGCAGCAATTGATGTCTCAACAAAACAGCCTTCAGGGTACGCATCAGCAACAACTGGGCAGTCAAAGCAATGTTGCAGGATTGCAGCAACCACAACAACAGTTGCTCAGTTCTCAGGTTGGCAATTCGAGCTTGCAATCTAACCAGCAGTCGGTGCACATGTTATCACAGCCAACGGTTGGGCTGCAACGAACACATCAGGCTGGCCATGGCTTGTTTTCTTCCCAGGGCCAACAGTCACAAAATCAACCATCCCAACAGCAGATGATGCCCCTTCAATCGCATCACCAGCAGATAGGTTTGCAACAACAACCTAATCTGCTACAACAAGATGTGCAACAAAGGCTACAACCTTCAGGCCAAGTCACAGGTTCCCTGCTTCCACCTCAAAATGTAATGGACCAACAGAGACAACTATATCAATCTCAAAGAACCCTTCCGGAGATGCCATCATGTATGCTTTCACATCCTTGTGAATACTTTAGGTTCTGATATCTTACACCATCTCTCAGCAGGATCTTATGTTGAATAAACTCCATTGTTATAAATTTTAGCATCGCTGGATTCCACGGCTCAGACGGAAAATGCAAATGGGGTTGATTGGCAAGAGGAGGTTTTCCAAAAGGTAGTTTTATCTTTTTAAGTTGGGTAATGTGCTTCCGGCTTCTTAGTCTTACTGTCAGCACCTAGAAGTGTTTGGGGGAGATAAAATAAGTTTGCTATATCTTTTGCCAATTATGGCTACGATTATTGAATCTTCAAGAGATAGATGCAACTAGGCAGGCGATCTTACATAGATATCACCGTAATGAGTAATCGTATGACCATAGTGCTCGTCTTTGCAGATCAAAGCCATGAAAGAGGCGTACTTACCAGATCTTAATGAAATCTACCAGAGAGTTGCAACCAAGTTGCAGCAGGTAAGTTATGACTTTTTTTACTAGGAGAATAGTTTGCATGTGTATGTCATCCGGAACAGTAGTAAGTACCTTATGAGATTTTCAATGAAATCGATGTAAGATCAGTTCGATATTGCATAAGAAAGTCATACAAATTTGGAATCTTATTACCCATTTAACAAACTCTTGAGGCTCGTATTCTTGACTGTCCACTGGAAAGTAAACATCAGATATCTGTGTTCCTTCCCAAACCCACAGAGGTTGTAGCTTGCATCTATGTACTTGTTTTGGTCTTATTGAACACGTTCCTTTTTCTCTCGAGCAGGATTCTCTTCCGCCGCAACAAAGATCAGATCAGTTTGAGAAATTGAAACAATTCAAGACAATGTTGGAGCGAATGATACAATTCTTATCGGTTTCAAAGAGCAATATCATGCCTGCATTAAAGGATAAGGTGGCTTATTATGAGAAGCAGATTATAGGTTTCTTGAATATGCACAGGCCAAAAAAGACAGTACAGCAAGGGCAGCTTCCGCAATCTCAGATGCAGCCAATGCAGCAACAACAGTCTCAGAGCGTTCAAGATCAATCTCATGACGGTCTAACAAATCCGCAGATGCAATCAATGAGCATGCCGGGTTCTGGGCCAAGGGCACAACAGAGTAGTCTGACAAATATGCAGAACAATGTTCTATCATCTCGTCCTGGAGTTTCAGCTCCACAGCAGAACATCTCCAGTTCCATACCGGCTTCTAGTTTAGAGTCAGGCCAAGGAAATGCACTGAATAATGGCCAGCAGATTTCCATGGGATCCATGCAACAAAATACTTCTCAACAAGTAAACAACAGTTCTGCGTCTGCTCAAAGTGGGTTAAGTACACTGCAGCCTAATGGTAATCAAACCCAGTTAAGTTCTAGTTTGCTTCAGCAACAGCACCTGAAGCAACAGCAAGACCAGCAGCTCAAACAGCAACTTCAACAGCGCCAGATGCAGCAGCAGCTATTACAGAAGCAGCAGTTAATTCAGCAGCAGCAACAGTTGCAAGCAAGACAGCAAGCGGCACAAAATGATATGAATGATTTGACAGCAAGACAGGGAATGAATGTCAGTCGTGGGATGTTTCAGCAACATTCTCTGCAGGGTCAGCGTGCTACTTATCCCCTTCAACAGTTGAAACCAGGATCCCAGCTTCCTGTTACATCGCCTCAACATTTGCCAGGTGCATCCCCTCAGATGACACAACAACATTTGTCTCCTCAGGTCGACCAGAAAAATATGTCGTCATCTGTCAACAAGATGGGTACTCCATTGCAACCAGCAAACTCCCCTTTTGTTGTCCCATCTCCGTCAACCCCCTTGGCACCGTCCCCTATGCAAGTTGACTCTGAGAAACCTTCTGGAGCTTCTTCGTTGTCAATGGGAAATACTGCACGCCTACAAGCGACGGGCATGCAGGGTTTAATTGGCACTCCAGGGATCTCTGCCTCTCCTCTTCTTCAGGAGTTTACTAGCCCTGATGGAAATAGTTTAAATCCTTTGACAAGTGCATCCGGGAAACCAAGTGCGACTGAGCTGCCTATTGAACGCCTTATAAGAGCCGTAAGTATTTTTACTCATTTTGAAGGGTGTATTGCAACATGACGGTGTTATTGCTGCCATCCCTATTTTGTAGTAGAAACATTGTCCTGATCATGAAGTATGCTTTCTGTTGTTTTCAGGTGAAGTCCATCTCACCACAAGCGCTTTCTTCTGCAGTAAGTGACATCGGATCTGTTGTAAGCATGGTTGATAGGATAGCTGGTTCAGCCCCAGGAAACGGTTCAAGAGCTTCAGTTGGCGAGGACTTGGTTGCAATGACTAAGTGCCGTCTCCAAGCGAGAAACTTCATGACGCAAGAGGGAATGATGGCGACCAAGAAAATGAAGCGTCACACAACCGCAATGCCATTAAGCATTGCTTCATTAGGAGGAAGCGTTGGTGATAACTACAAGCAGTTTGCATGTTCGGAAACATCAGATCTGGAATCTACTGCGACTTCTGATGGCAGGAAGGCAAGAACTGAGGTATGGTTTTTTCAGTTAGACTTCCCTTAAGCATATCTGAAAATTGACGCACACGCACACAACAACGAAGATTTGGAAGAACAAGTTTTCAATTGTCTAATTTTGAAGACTCAATATTCGACTGCAGACCGAGCATGCTCTTTTGGAGGAAATCAAGGAAATAAACCAGCGGCTGATAGATACAGTTGTTGAGATTAGTGATGATGAAGATGCTTCTGATCTTAACGAGGGAGCAACAGCAAGCAAAGGGTGTGAAGGAACAACAGTTAGATTCTCGTTTATAGCTGTTTCTCTCAGCCCGGCCTTGAAGGCTCATCTCTCATCAACACAAATGGTAAGCATGGTCATGTCGTTAACATTTCGTGGAAAATTTAATTCATTTGTCTTTTTAATAATATATGTTGTGCTTCTATTACAGTCTCCTATTCAACCATTGCGTCTGCTGGTTCCTTGTAGCTACCCCAACGGCTCTCCATCTCTTCTGGATAAACTCCCCGTCGAAACCAGGTACAAGCAAGATCCTTGAGACTCAAGTATATAGTAACATAGATGTTTGAGACCGAGTCGAGCAAACTCCTACCATGTAGTTTAAAAATCACCTGCTCATGTCTCTAGAAACTACCTTAACACGGTCTGGTTTCTTGAACAGCAAGGAGAACGAGGATCTGTCGTCGAAAGCTATGGCAAGGTTCAACATATTGTTAAGAAGTTTGTCACAGCCAATGTCGCTCAAAGACATAGCCAAGACATGGGACGCTTGTGCTCGGGCTGTGATCTGTGAGTACGCACAGCAATTTGGCGGTGGAACTTTCAGCTCAAAATACGGTACTTGGGAGAAATTTGTGGCCGCCTCCTGAATCTGATGCATCTCTCATCAAGTCATTCCTGTGATTCACTGTTGAAAGTCTTATATTGTATAATTCTCACGGTTTCATATCGAAACTATATAGATTACGGCAAAAAGGCTTTTGTTTTTTTTATCTTCACGTTTTGTTGTATAGTGTAAGTTTTTTCTTGCCCATATATGTTATTGAGCTTTATCCATAAGCTTACGCTGTATTAGTGAATATTTTTCAATTATCTTATTAACTTTTTTGTACATGTATTTTGTGAATATTCGTATTTTTTTTATTCTTCTTTCGAATGAATGTCTTCGAAGTCATGTATTTACCACATCTGAATTCAAGTTGCAGTATGTAATTTACTGGCCACTAGAAAGTTAACTTTCCAATACCTCGATCTCTATCTATGCCTTCCGCAACAACAGAGACCAGAGCATTATGAGAAGTTGAGACAGTTCAAAACAATGTTAAAGCGAATGATACACAATGCGTCTCTGTTCCAACGACCAATATTATGCCTGATTCAAAAAGACAATGTAGCTTATTATATAATGAGAAGCACATTATCGGTTTCTTGAATATATTATTACAGGCAAAGGCAGCTTCCGCAATTTCAGACCAGTCATGTTCACTCTCATTTTGATAATCAAACTGTTCTCCAAATGCAATCGATGAGCTTGGAATGCACCAAGGACACAACAGAGTTTTGGTAATTGGGGATACTATATAAATGTAAGATAATATTGTATTAGTTGATGTTTAATATCGTTAAAGCGGTATTCTTGATTTGTAAAGCTGTAAAGTAAAAGCTGTAAACAAGTTTTGACTGGAACAGAGACTTGAGAAAACAGCAAAGAATGGAGAGACCGACTCATTACAAAATGACCCACACACACACACCCCTGACCTGACACTTGCACTCAACTCTAAATCTTTAATTGCTAATAAACAAAAACTAATTAGCCTAACAACACGTTATCAGTAATCATGCACTCCAACACACAAAGGGCAAAAATGAAAGAAAAAAAAAAACAAAAATCCATGGTGGAAGAACCCTAAAATCTCATCTCTCACCATCATTCTGTTTCGAAGAAAAACATATTGAAAGACAAAAAAAAACAGAAGTTGCGAAGAGTTCAAGTAGGTTTCAGATTCCGAAACATAGAGTCCCATTTGATATCTTCCAGGTAAGTAGTATCTTGGCAATTCTGCGCATAAAGTTTATCCTCCGAGAAGCTGTAATCGAAAACCATAGGACTCGAGAAGCTATCGAGTCTAGTGGGAGTCCCATTGGTCAACAGCAGCCTCTCTTGCTGCTTCTCGAGACCGCCATTTCCGTTGCTTGGCATCACAGATCTCTTGTTCCTCTTCATAAATCCGCCTTTCCACTTCCCATTCCCGCTCTTCGGCACCAGCACCAGAGCTCGAGACGACGACGACGACTCTTCGCGGCGGATCCAGGCGCGTAGGTGATCGGAGAAACACTTGCCGGTTCTCCTGATCGCAATCACGACTCTGGAGATCGAACGAGAGGTGAGAGGAGGAGAGTTCTTGCGATCTCGACGAGCGAGTTTGAGGATCTCGAGGCGGTGTTTGGCGATGGAGATTCCCATGCTCTGGAGAAACTCGTGGTTGAAGTAAGCAATGTCTTCGTGTTCGAGCTCGTTCTGTGAGAAGGAAAGGCCGTATTCGTGGATGAGACATGCTTCGAGCTTTGTTCTCGAGAGCCATGAAAACCAATCCATTCAAGAACTTTTTTTTGTTTCTAAACAACAAAAGTTTGTGTTTCTTCTCTCTGTCTGTGTATTTTTGCATGCGCGTGGAGATATATATATATATATATATATATATAAAGGAAAGTGAGTGTGGGTGGGGGGCTTTTTAGACTTTTTCAAAGTAGCGGGCTTCGTCGTTAAGTTAGTTGAGGCGTAAAGAGGGACTACATTTGGTCAAAGGTAAATAATAGGGTCAACAATGAAACTCAAATTAGAGAAAACACACACGAAATAATATTGATTTTAATATTAGTGGGTAACTTTAGAGATTTTTATTCGAGGTAAATGGCAATTACATTTGTGTGAATGCATAGGAAAGAAATAATAATAAATTGCTGCCAACATCAGCTTTTGTGAGTAATCTTTTAAAATAAAATAAAAAAATAAAAAGATGGGAGTGGTTTGTAGAATATCGAGAAATTGTGTGAGAGTGTGGGGGTAATGGAGAGTGTGACCATCAATCACGGTGTGGGAAAAGGAGCAAACCCAGTGGGATCTTGCTTTTATTTTTATGGGTCACTCTTGTATTGTATCTCTTGTGCCATTTACTGTTGTCTTTTGCAACTAAAAATTACTAATGGAATCTACTTTCTACAAAAAGAAATTAAAAATCGTTTGGGAAAGAAAAAAAAAATTAAGAGATTGATTAGAGTTTGTTCTGTAAAATTTGCCAGAAATCTGGAAAGTTTAAAGGATTCTTGATTATATAATCTACAACGTATGCAAAAACAATCATCCTATCCCAAACGAGGCAATCTAGATAGCTAGTTGGACCAGAACTTAGGGGAAAAAAAAAAGATTGCATTCTTTTGATCTCAAGCAACTTGCTTTGCTTCAATTACTTGGACCATGGACTTTGGCATAGTCGTGTGTGTTATATGATGATGGGCTTACAGAAAACGCATGTCAAGAGGCCTCTTCATTCCCGTGAATAGTCGATAATGACCTCTAAAAATGAACTTAATCGTATTTAGTCCAGAGCTATGTCCTTCCTTACTGATATGCACATTCTCTAATAATTATGTTGAAAAATTAGTTTGATAGATTTTATTATTTTACACATAGATGCTCTCATCCATGCAGAAAACCGTATCATGGCAGTCTAAAGTTTGATAAATCTACACATTATGAAAGTAGAAGTGGCCTTTGATTGCAAAGCCTTTTTTTTATGCCGTAAACAATCCTCTAGAGTGGCTAAATCGTACATCCTTTCAGAAAATTTCGTTGCTTAATCATTTTCTTCAATCTAGACTCGTTTGAGATATGAATTGAGCAAATAATATGTGAATATACGTGATTGCAAGTGATATTTCCTAAACTATAACTATTGATGGTCGTTTTCACTCTTACATTGCTCCAGGCCCATCGGCTTGGCTGCGTAACAGAGTTCTTAAGGGTCCGAGATATTTGATTCTCTCTATTGCGTACATTGCTCTGTTTCTAACTTTTATACTCTGACTTTATTTTGATGTTCTGTTTTTTCGTATAACTTTGGTCTTTGTGGCTTTTTTTTTAGTGGAGCTTCATAAAATTTGGTTTTGAGTTCTTATGAGAAGAGTTATTCCCAAAACAAATCAAAACATGTTATTCAAAAGTTCAGACTTAGTTTCAGACTTTACAATTACAAATTTATAGTCCTTTTACGACCGAAACCTGAGTCTGTAGATTGATTCTTCCATCACCCGATTATTAGTAGTAGCAACTCTAGACCATATTGACCCAATTATTTAATACTAGTTGTTTCAAAATATATAATTTTCTTTGTTTCGATTTGTCTTTAGCATTATTTTAGTCGTTTAATTTATGTCTTTCAAGGTCAAAGGGGTGTTGCAATTTTGTAGATCGTTTGCTTCTCTTTCTCTATAACGGCGAATTTATAGCTCTGCGTTTTGGATCTGAAAACGCTCCTAGTATTTATTTATATTTGTCTACAAGTTTTACTTTATAAAAGTATTGATTTCATTTTGCATTATTGATTCTTTAGAAGCAGGAGACGCACACAGGTCGTGCTGTATTAATCATTTATTTATTATGGAAAGCCTCGTTGTTCTCGTCAACAACCTATTCTCTGATTTTTCAGTATTTATAGTACTTGAGCACTACGAGTCTCTCTTTTATTTTTACTATCTTTTTACGCAGCACAAAATTCAAAATTCTAATCAAAGACGCTTTATACTTGAGCACTACGACTACGAGTATATTGGATTTATTTATTTTTGGGAAAAGTAATTTTCAGCTCAGCTGTCAGGTGTTTTCAAAGAAATGAATTAGATGTATCCGGTCACATCGTATAAATACATTTCATACTCTATGCACATTTCAAAAACCTGTGATATTTTTATGCGAAAAAACTACGATGTAACATTTTTTACTAGTGGTGGATAATGAGTCCACTTTATATATTCGGGTAATTACCTAATTAAGGTAATAATAGGGAGCTGGGAAATACATAAAACGCTTTTTGTCCAGAATTATTTTAGGACACGTTATATTTGAAAAGAGAACTAAATACTATTGGTATGAGTAACGAAAAGGGTGTGATGCCCTCACACAGCAACCGATATATCGCCAAATAAACGGGGATATGAATGAGAGAAAATGGAAAATTGAAGAATATGGGAAAAATAGCAAAGCAATTAAACTTTTATGTGAACGTGTAAGAGAAGGGGACACAGACATAAGTGGAAAGTGACCAATCCCTAACACCTCATCTCCCATATCTATTTATTACTACTAATTTATTAGTATTATTACTAAAAACGCCTTTAAAATAAAGAGAAAGGACCATTTTCTATCGTTTGACAAAAAAAAAAATATATACTAGTACTACTACTCCAATATAATTAGTTGCTAAATGAAATTTAACACTTGATGAATTCGATTGATCAGGAATAAATAACAAATAGAGAGAATTAATATATGATATTCGCGTGGGTGTGACGCGCTAACTTGTACAGAACAGGGTAGAGGCAAGATACTGTACGAGTCACAATGGTGCATGATTTTTTTAATAACGTTTCGTTTTCATTAAAATGGGGAAAATAATAATTAAATAAAAAGAATTTTAAATATTGGGGAAGTTAGGGTTGTGCTTCATCAAAGCGTCACTAATCTCGTGAGAGTGAGACTTTTGGACGGACACGCCTCGATGGGCCCCACGTGCGTTGCTTTTGGCCGGAGCCTCTTTATATTTATAAAGAAAAAGATGCAACCACCATCCCTCTCTCTTTTCTTGTTTTTTTTTTATTCTTTTATTCATTCACAGTTCAACTTTTTGTTCAGTTTTGCAATAGATTTGTAATCATTCTAGCTTTCTTCTTTCCTTATTTTTCCTTCTAATCAGATAAGTAATTTGTTCATTTATCTATTAACTTCTTTAACCCTAACAATACATATATTACTATAATTTGTATTTTATCATTCACGTTCTAATAGACAGTTATAATAAAAAAACTATTCCCTTTATTTTAAAATAAGTGTTACTTTGTCACTTTTCACACAAATTAAGAAAGTTAATAAAAAGTATTTTTTATCTCTAATAAATACACTAAATAACACTCTCTTTCTAATTAATACATTAAAGTAACAAAGTTAAAATTGGATATTTTATTATAAATTTGCATTTGTGAAACAAAAATAAAATTTTAAAACGACACTCTTAACACTAAATTTTTAGCAAGAAACGTGTAATCACAGACTGAAGAGTTGTTAATTTATTACATCATGATCAAAATATTTAATTCTCGTCAACTTCTTATATTTTCGGTAAGTGGAATTATTTACACAAGTCTTTGTTTTTACTCATAACCTGTGGTGATGGTGAGACGACAGTGTTTGTGTTGTTTGGACGGGATAGATGTCAAATACTCAAACGTGCGACTCTAATTACACCAGTCACATTAATTGCCCATCCTGCATCGAAATCTTGCCCCTCATTTTATTTTATTTAACAATTCTATTTATTCTTTAATACATTCAGTTTTATTTTATATATATATATATACTGTACTTATAAGTTCTCCTATGAACGTCATTTACTTTTAATATCTCTCTCTCTCGCTGTACTTTCTCTACCACTATTTAAACCAAAATAATTCACTTCATTCCGATCTACCTGCTCTTACTAGCATTCTTTAAAAATAAATTGAGTTTTTTCTAAAAGTAAATGTTGATCAAAGATATTAAATTGTGTAAAGTTTTCTCGATTTCTCCACAATAATAGTCAATGCGAGTAGTTTCTTTTCTATAGAAAATAAGAATTACAATTTACATCCTTATGCTATTTTTAACAAATGTGCACCAACCAAATTTACCTGTATTGAAAAAGTTATAAAAGAAATAGTTTTATAAATAGCCAGCAGTATACTTTGGACAAAAAATAATCTAAAAGTAGTTGCTCAAAAAAAAATGATAAGAAGTAATAATATTGAAAACAAAATTTATCCTCACCGAACCTCACTGAATTATTAAAATATCCAATCTAGGAGTCATATAGGTTTTGCATGTAATAAATTGTAATGAACCAAAATATTTATCAATTTAGGTAATTTGGGTTTATTTGTACCCTACCATAATGAATTAAGACATAGCATCTTACAAACATATCATCATATTTATATAAACCTCATTTATAATCTATCTTGGACAAAAAATGATTAGAAATAATAACCGATTCATCCTGCAAAACAAGAAAAGTACAATCATATCATCTCTGTTAAATACAATTTTGTTTTTTTCTATGAAAGAATATATAAATCGATAGATTGTTGATCTTTGTGGCTGCAGAGGTTAAATTAATATAAATAATAGCTTAATTGAAATTCAAAACTTCAAATAGGTGTTTTAGTTTGGCGCTGCATTAAATTAAAATAGTACTATTGACAAGCAATGACAACCTTTCCGAGTTGATTTTTGGTGATGGTGTAAAATGTCTTCATCATGTGACGATTTTGTTATGATGGTTTCGATTA